ATTTAAAGCACCCTAAAAGAATCCTGGGAGCTGTCCTTCTCTCTCCCCCCCCCATGCTACAGTTCCCAGCACTCTTCAAAAACTACAGTTCCCAGAATTCTTGCAGGGTGGTGTGTGCTTTAAATGTATGATGTGTACACAGCCCGAGTCTCTGGTGCGGTGGGCCTGAGCTCCACTCAGGATGGGGCAAGTGGCATAACCAAACCTAAGGGTGTCCACAGGAATTTTCTTTCGGGTGGGGGGAGGGGAAGGCAAGGTAGAACACTGAAAGTGGAGAAGCAGGCTAGTTCCTCAGGAAAAAATATATATGAAAAGAATAGTGCCTGTATATTTTGCCTCCTATCTCAGGTTCCACAAATACTAGAACTTTACTCTGTAAAAAACAACAGTTAAAGCAGGCAATTGTGGGTTATGGTTTGCCTGGGGTGATGGGTGCTTGCCCCCTTGCCCCTACCTCTGGACGCCCATGCTCAGGTCTATGTGGTGAGGCCATGCCAAAGGTGAGACTTGAAAGCACCTCTTTGGACTATCACAAGGTGCCCACAGTTTTCATTCCATTTGGATGGTTGCCCAGTTGCTTCTGTGGGTGCAATTGATTGCAAATCAGGGAAGGGGAATCTTTTTCCGTGTGGGGGCTGCATTCCCTTCTGGGCAACTTCTGGGGGCCGCATTCCAGGGGTGGGTGGGGCCAGAGACAAAAGAGGGAAGAGCAATGGATTTTAACTTTACCTATGTATGGAAGTTGTGCTTCTGCTCTCCCTCTCTCCCCTCCATCCAGCAAAGCAGGAGGCATTATTAGAGGTCAAGCACACCTTCCAGTCAGACAAAAGCAATGAGGGTTAAGGCTGATGGGAGTTATAGTGCAAAACATCTGGAAGGCACCAGGTTAGCAAAAAATGTGTTAAAACAACTGCACATCCTGTGTATGTTTAGTGCAAAGTAAGCCCCACTGTGTCCAGTGTTTAGGATTGCAAATTAAATGTGACTTCTTTCTCACAGCTTCATTCTTGGAATAACTTCATCACCCTGCGTCTTACTTTGTTTTACTTTTAATACACTTGCATTTTATTGAATTAGCAAACAAACAAAGTTTCTGTGCGTTTAGAATGGCCGAAGGGCCAATGCTTGTTGGTAGCAGAGAGGATACGGAAGAAGATAATTACTCTCTGCTTTGGGGAGAGAGAGCTGACACTGACTGTGAGATGGCCAATCAACACAATGGCTCTGCACCATTTTTAAATATGGGCTTTCCCTGCAACTCCGGCCAGAGGGAAGTTAAGTGCAGTCACATGATCTAGGTTACTGAGCAACTCATGAATGGTGGGCATGCTCCATTCATTATTTTTTTTTTTTTTTAAAACCACCCTTCTGTTCTAAGGAACTGTTGTGTACAGCAGATGGCCTGTCTGACTAAGGAATGATAGTGGGAACTACTTCAACAAGTATTGGAAATGGTTAACACAGGATAGGTGGAAATATATTATTTTCACTTTTCCCAAAACAGATTGAAAATGACCATAGGGCTCCTTTTAATCCTGAGATGGCTCTTTACATCATAATTTACCACACACCGTATTTTAGCTCTGTTGCTGTTGTTGATTATGATAGCAATAGGGAGTGTGAACTAATAAGTCCCCAGTGCTAATCTAATTTTAACCATAACCTCACTTGCTATTTCTCACCCTCATTCTTTCCATCTTTTGTATGGGGAGCATGATAGGAGACCCATATTCCCCTCTCAGAGCTACAGTTCTCAGTGTGGTTAACAGTTTCTCTTCCCAGGGAACTCTGGGAATTGTAGGAGACAGTTCCCATGATGCTTTGGGGGCGGCGGCACACTAATGGTTCCATATGAATTTGCTAAAAAAACCTCAACAACTTTGGCAAAGAAAAAAAAGCACTCAAGAACTTTTCTGCCTGATTTTCACTGTTTGAAATATGGTAACCCTAGACTATGAGTGTTAAAATTGGCATGATGCTGCTTTAAAAAATATAGTGCAGATGGGACCCAGATTGCACTACCTCACTTTGAGGTGTGTGTTTTTTACTAGCAGAGTCTTATTTCGGCAACAGTGGAAAAGTCTTCTCCTTGTGAAAAACTTAAGTTCCACGGTTATGTCACCTTAGATAAAACGGTTGTGGAACTCAGGATTTAAACAACAAAATGTTTCTCTATCAAAGGTAAAAAGGAGGAGGTGTGATGTCACAATGGCAAACTGAGCACTCCAGGGACACACACATACACAACCATCGATCCATTTTTATTGCTGAGAAATGAATCGGAGCAAGCGTTAGAGGATGACCCTTAGAGACCTGATCGGGGCACTCTGCAGATGTTACAAGCACAGTGGTTCAATGGAGACTTTCAATGTAGCTGATTGAGTTTTAATTAGTTGAAATCTCTGTGCGTGCGTGCGTGCGTGCATGTGTTCTCTGGCACATGCTTTCTATTTCTTATTGTCCTGGGTTCTTCTGCAAATGTGCTATAAAGCAGAAGTTTGAGTTAGGCCTGAGTTCTAGAAGAGTAACCGTGTTAATATGTTGCAAGCAAAACCAGAATGTCTCGCAGCAATTCTATATCCAATTTCCCTGACACAAAGCCAATAATAATAATAATAATAATAATAATAATTGTATATGCAGGAAAATGGTATCAGCTACTGTTAAAGAATGGTATGATAAAATATGGGGTTATGCATTGATGGGAACATTAAACTTAATTTATGAGATCCAGGGAACAAAATCAAAGACAGGATAATTTTCTGTTTTTCCCCGTGGCCTCCAGAGCAAGCTCCACATGGAAGGCTTTCGCAGCCTGAAGGAAGGAGAGGCAGTCGAATTCACCTTCAAGAAGTCCTGCAAGGGTTTGGAGTCCATCCGAGTCACCGGCCCAGGGGGAGTGTTCTGCATCGGCAGCGAGAGGAGACCAAAGGGGAAAAACCTCCAGAAGCGCAGGCCGAAAGGAGATAGGTAAGGCTTGGCGCAAGCAAGGAAACAAGCAGCTGCTGTGCTTATGAGACCTTGGGTGTTCTGCATCCTTTAACCAACTAGTTCCCAGGATGCTGTGGGAGAAGACACAGTGGTGTAACAGCGCTTTAAATGTAAGGTACCAATGTGACCACAGTAAAAAACAAATCCAGTGCAGTATTACTAACGATTCCAAAAGTCCCAGTATTCAATTCATCTTTCAAAATCAGCAATCATTTGTTTCTTGCATCAGAGGAACTTTCCATCCATGCATTCTCCAGAGAAAAACAATTCCCTTCCATTCTTCAAGCAGTGGAGCAAAGGGAAGTGGGCATGAGAAGAGAAAGAGAAATCCCAAGCCGGGCTGTTTAGGGTTTCTCCCCAGCAAGGCCTAATCTTCCCAGTCCTACAGAGGCCTGGTTTCCATATCAGCCACTCCTGTGAGGCAACAAAGACATCTATTTAGCTTCCTCCCCCAAACACATTTTGGGGAGGGTGGGTCTCGGGATTGTCCTTGGTCAAACCTGAGGCCCCTTCCCAAAGCAGGTTGAGACCCCGGACAGACTTTGTGAGCCTCTCGGCATGCTGGGTTTTTCACTCCCCTCCCGCCCTATTCAGTGTCCTGGGCTATAGATCTATGGAATCTATTTAATAGATCTATAGGCCGTGGCATTGCATTTGGGGCAAATTTAGTTGGTGGTTGTCCACTGCAGGTGGGAGCCAAGCTTTGCTCCCATTCAAAAGTGGCAATGCTGACTATTCGCTGCTAAAAATCAGTGCCTAAAGGCCCAATAGGGAGAGTGGCAAAGAGGCAATGTGGCTTCCAGGACCTTCAGCTGCTGTCCAACCTGGCTGGCTGGCTGGCTGCCTGCCCTCACTACAATTAAAGGGCCATTCCCCACAGTACAGTAGCAGGCATCAAGAATGCTACCTTCTAGAGTTCGTTACTTTAAGGCCAGAGCCCAAGCAGCTCAAAAGAGCTTGAGTGGCTTTTGCCTCCTCTGGACAGGGATTGGGCAGCAGCCTTTACATTGTGCTAGGGGCTTCCCTTAGCCTTTTAAATGAATGGCAGATGCAAATTTCCCAGGAAAGGGCAAAAAACTCAAAAGTGAAAGGTCAGAGGTCAGAAGCACCCAGGGGCTGAATACCACGGGCTGGTGCTCCTGTTCTGCGAACGTGTGTTTGCAGGATGGAGCTGTGATCGGTCTCTTTTCCCCTAAGACCCCCCTCCCCTTTGCACAGCGAGATCAGTAAAAGAAAAGAGACACCATAATATGGGTCTGTGTTTTGGACTACAACTCCCATCGTCCCTGACCCTGGGCTATGCTGACTGGGGCTGATTGGAGTCATTATCCAAAACACCTGAAGGTTGGGGAAGGCTGAGTTAAACCATTTGTCTGCTTTGTGCAGAATTGACTGCTTTTGAATGTCAGCAGCTTAAGATCTTGCAACCCAAGATTCTTTTAAATGCGTATGGCAGGGAAATATGCTTGGGTGGATGCATACAGGAAAAGCATGTTCTTTGTCAGTGAATTATACGCTTCCCCATGAGGAATGCCCTCCTGTGTTTGTAGATGAACATTGTTGGCATCCGTGTTTCTCAAGAGACAATGGAGTGTGCCTCTGTGGGTGAAGTTAAAGCGCTGCATTAGCAGCACCCAAGTGACCTCCCTGGGCACAAGCCTGAGCAGAGCGTATGGAGGTCCTGGGCTGCCCAGACCACAAGACATCCGCCTCCGCCCCCCTTTGGCCTTGCTGAAAAGGTCCAAAGGAAAACAGAGCAATACGTTTGGCACCAGCTTGGCTGCAGGAGTTGCCAGAAGGAACCGGACAAGGCACCATCCAACCGTCTTAGGGACTCTACTCTGGATTCATCACTGTATCAATCTTGCCTTCTGCAGGAGACCTTAAGTAGCTGTCAACAGTGTGATAGCAGAGCAGGCTTGCCCCCTAGTGGCGTTCATGTGTACTTTCCACTCATGATACACATGGTGTGTGTCCTTAATTATTGTATGCTTAAATTGGAGAGAACTGTACTGGATAGCTCAGTTGGTTAGAGCATGGTGCTGATAATGCCAAAGTTGCAGGTTCTATCCCTGTATGGGACAACTTTGGGCTAGAATTTAGGGGTCAGCAAACTTTTTCAGCAGGGGGCCAGTCCACTGTCCCTCAGTCCTTGTGGGGGGCCGGACTATATTTTGGAGAGAGAAAAAGAACGGATTCCTATGCCCCATAAATAACCCAGAGATGCATTTTAAATAAAAGGACACGTTCTACTCATGTAAAAACACGCTGATTCCATTTAGAAGGTGATTGGGCCGCATCCGGCCCCCGGGCCTTAGGTTGCCTACCCCTGTTCTATAGCTATGTAAAAACATGCTGATTCCCGGACCGTCTGCGGGCCGGATTTAGAAGGTGATGGGGCCAGATCTGGCCCCTGGGCCTTAGTTTGCCTACCTATGAACTAGATGGTCCTGAGGGTCCCTTCTAACTCTCCAATTACCGTGGTACCTTGGTTCTCGAGCTTAATTCGTTCCGGGAGTCCATTCGACTCCTGAAACTGTTTGAAAACCAAGGTGTGGCTTCCGATTGGTGGCAGGAGCTTCCTGAACTCAAGCAGAAGCCGCGTTGGATGTTTGGCTTCCAAAAAACGTTCGCAAACCAGAACACTTACTTCCGGGTTTGCGGCATTCAGGAGCCAATTTGTTCAACAACTAAGCCATTCAGGAACCAAGGTACCACTGTATATTATTCTTGTGCAGCTGCACCTGATGGCATATTCTGCTTCCAGGTTTGGTTTATTAAAGGATTTGAAATTATTAATTCTTTTACATTGTGGTTGTTTTACTCTTGAGTATCCTGGACCCAGAGCACTTAGAACTTGTACATAAATTAATGTCAGTTTTGTGGCTTAAAGGTGCTGTCTTTCTTTTTGGAAAGAGAAGGCCGAAGGCTTCTTGTGATCTTTAACAAATTGAACCTCTCCTGCGCCTCATCTCCCCGTCTCTTCTCTCTTTCCCAGATGCTACAACTGTGGCGGCCTGGATCACCACGCCAAAGAATGCAAGCTCCCACCACAACCAAAGAAATGCCACTTTTGCCAAAGCATTGCTCACATGGTGGCCAACTGCCCCGTCAAAACACAGCAGTCGCCCAGTTCTCAGGGAAAGCCCGCCTACCTCCGGGAGGAGGAGGAGGACATGCACAGCTCACCCCTTGTTCCTGAAACCAGGGAATGATGTTGGGAAATCAGTAGGGAATATACCGGATCAACAGGCTTCAGGGCATCGAGTTGGCAAAAAAAGAGTGGGTGGGTGGGGGGAACAGTGAATAGCCTCTGCCTCCAGGCTTAGGGAAGGCAGGCACCTAGCAAGAGAACAGCAGCTCTGAAAACATGTAAGACTTCAGCAAAGTGAAAGCTCAGAGCGCCTGAATGTTGACGCAGCCTCCTCCCCTTGTTTCAGCATGGGAAGGAGTTCTGCAAATCCTGTCCCCAATTGTTCAGTTCTGGGAAATGGGGAAGCAGCTGCTCCTTTCTCACTTTTGCTTTCTCCGGCAATCCAAATAATATTTTGAGAATAATAAAAAAAAGCAGCTGAGAAATCTGGTTCAGGGGTGGGTTGATTTTTGATTTTTGCACAGGTTAAAGTTGTCAGGAATAAACAGCTGCCTCCAGTTCTCATGTGGTTGCATGCTGTGGGGTGTGCGCCAGGCAGAGAAAGCAGTTGTTACATTCTAGTTAAGTCAGAACTTTAGGGCACAGATAGGGATCCTGTGACCCTTGGGATGTAAATGGACCACAGCTCCCATCATCCCTGACCGCTGGCCATGCTTCTGGGGTTGATGGGAGCTGGGTTCTAGTAACATCTGAAGGGTTGCAGATTCCCCACTATTGAATTAAGGGTTTATTCAGGACCCTGTTCTAAATAATGCATCTAAATTTCCTACCTTTGGGGACCACAGACAGATACAATATTGTGGCCTTTGTTTTCTGCCCAGGTGTGGGTCGCCCCCAAAGTTTTTTACTGCCCATGTGTATGTGGGGACTCATCTTGGCCAAGTGGAAAGATTTAGGCCTCAGGTTTTTGAGGAAATGTGGGCCTGCTTGCAGATATGTAAAAGGAGCATTTTAAACAATGCATGTACTGGGGTGCGCAGAAATTATTTCCACAAGCCAAAGGCCTACCCTAACTGTCAAACCAGGCCTGAGACCTACACTTGGAAATATGGCTTGTTTTTCTTTGTTGTCTATGTGTTGCTTTGCATCAGGTGTGGGAAGCTGCTACTGAACTACAACTCCCATCAGCCCCAGCAAACATGGCCAATAGCCAAGAATGATGGGGGTTGTAGTTCAGCAACATTTGACAGTCCACTTACCTGCTTTATATTACTTGGCTAGAATGTAACAGATGCAAATACAAACACAGGACACTAAATTCGTATTGTTTGTAGTAGTTTTAAATTTACACTTTCTGATTCCAAAAAGCCTGACAGGGAATTTAGTGCAGGATCTACTGTGCTAATTTCAAGCACAAAGATTTTGAGTTTGAGTCTTTCCCATTTTGTTTTCAAACTTTCACTCATCAGGTAAAGCTGCTGTTCCCTTGCCCCCTGCCTGCTTTCCCTACTGATGCCTTTAATTTATTTCGTTCCCAGGACAGCTTAACTTGCCGTGTGAGACACATGGGGGAGGGTGGGTGGGTGTCTCTTTGCTCTGAAGCCGTGATGTGAAACCTGCACTACGACGTGCGTGTATGACGTATCTTTGGGTTTGCTTTCTTTTTGCTTTCTTTGTTTTCTTGGTTTTTTGGGGGACGGGGTTCAGTGTTCATTGCTTTTGGTTTTTTTTAAAGAAAAGTATAAATATTCTGTTTTGTATTTTTGTATATTTTAATCTTTAAGAGAAAAAAAGGAAGAAAAAGAAGAGGAAAAAAAGAGGACATGATTACTGCAATGTATTTCTCAGGTATTCTTGTACATCTCAGGGATGGAAGAACCTCAGCAGCCTTCTGGGGCTGAACAGATTGGAACCTTGTGGCTTAAAAACTTTGGGGGGGCATTGTTACATTTAACAGCACAAAGAACAAAAGAGTCTCTGTTTTTCAATTGTAGCTTCCTGCGTGTGGGTGGACTGATGTTTTTAGACACTGTATTTGAATAGATTGTCTGCATCCGCCCCCAGCTATATTGTACCTTTGGGCCATTTAGGGGCTACAGGGACAGCACAGCCAGATGCATAAAGCTTGGGCAACAAAAGCAGTTTACGTATCAAGCCCATTTCACCTTTCTGGGGGTGGATGCCCTCTCTGTTCCCAGATATCCAACCATTCCTTAAGATTCTGAACACTGTCCTCCCCTGGTTACCATATCTGCATCTTGGCTGCTACTGCACTCACACATCATTTTGAATGACTTGGCCGATGGTGGCTTTCTACAAGGCCCTGTTGTGAGTCAAGGGAATGTTGGGTGCTTCTGAATCAGGGTGGCAGAGTGGAAGACAGAGAGATCTTGACTCACAGGTTCTCCTGCCTGAGCCTGGTTGGCTCCTTGTAATAAAAAGATGCTGGATTTGATGGGCCATTGGCCTGATGCAGCAGGCTCTTCCTATGCACATACGTTCAGGCAGCAACATCCTTTTGGATTTCCATACCATCCTGGCTTTTTCTCCTTTTCCTGTGCCCAAGTTAGTCTTGTGAGTTCCTCTTGTAGTCCAACCACATTAAGAGCATCCCAAGAGGAATTCTGGCATTCTACTCTTTTAGCAAAGTGCTGCTTCTTCAAGGTTGGAAGTTTTTAAGCCTCTTAAACCTCTACACTAGAGTAAGGGGATCAGCCTGGCCAGCTTTCCTGAGATGTGAATTTACAGGTTGATATTTGGGGGGAACTTAAAAACATGTAAGGTTGTTGGTTAATCTCTAGATCATCAGCCATTTCCCACAGATACGAGTTTCCTATCCAGTATATTTGAATAACTTATCTATGGTGGGCCCGTCCATTTCTAAATTACCTGCATTGCCAAACATTTTTTCTTAAATATCATAATTCACATAGCAGCTCTGCATGCTTTCCCTTACTGGATGGACTGCAAACATTTTGCTAGTGGAAGAAAGTGTTGGTTGTGGGCTGATTATCAAGGGCCAACATTACCAGCTGCTACAGAGCCATGCGGTGGAATTTGAAAACTAAAAACAAAAAGCTGATATTAGATAACACTCACTTGCCTATAGCTGAGAGTGCTCTCTGTCTCTTCCCACCTTCCTCTCCCTCCTTCTCCTGCAATGATTGCAGTGAGGAGCTGTGAAATATACAGGATGTTAGTTTTGAAATTGCTGTGGGGATCTTTACCTTATCTACCTCAGGTTAACGTGTCTTGTGTCAATGGGGCCAAATGCATTGGTTTATATAGCTTGCTCTGAGTTGCCAGAAGAAAAGGGATGCTTCCCTAGAGTGTGTCCAAAGATTAAAATGCTACCCCTTCTAGTTTTGTATCCGTCTTAAAAATAAAGTAAAATACAGTAGCATTGTTTCCCCCCTATTCCCTTCTTAGATATTTAGTATATGTAAATATCTTATGTAAATCTTTCTGGCTTATTTCCAGTTTTCCTTTTTGATGATTGTTTACAAACTTGAGGGTGTGGGAAATAGCCAAAGCATGTGGTGGGCATTTGCACCAGAGGGGCATAGAGGGGGGCACCCTCTTTGTACCTTGCCACTTTGCAACTTTGCCACATGAGAGCTGGTTAAGGGGTGGGGGGAATTTCCCATATCTTCCTACAACCAATGAGAGAATTGGACTTCTGAAATAACAGTGATTTATCTGCAAGCCAAGAGGAACAATGTTCTTGGGGGGGGGAGGGGTTGATTGCAGCTTCTTCCACCCACTAGTTTGCAGAATTGTTTTGGGAATTCTTTAGGTCAGTCTCCCAGGCCTTTTTTTTTTTTTTTTTAATGACAAGATGGTTTCTAAAACTCTTCAGCTTGGTCTTGCAAATAAATCACTGCTTGGAATAGGCAATATCATTACCATTTTAGACAGTGATGGACACTATGCATTAGGGGCAAGCAGTGTGCATTGCAGTCAGGCTGGTGCCAAGTCTGCACTCAGGGTCACTGTGGAATAGGGAGCACTGAATGTATTGGGGGTGGGAAGGGTGGGGGGGATGATGGCGACTTCTTGCGTGGCTACATGATTGTGTACTAGGAGACAAAACGAATGTAACTCCCATGTTTACTGCTAGCGACCAAAGCTTGTTTTGTGTCAAACTCTTTGACTTTTTATGAAGCGGGTGGGTGGATGGGTGGGAGAGGGTGGGGATGAGAGGGTGACTGTGTGGGGTTCTTTTTAGAGGGGGGGAGGGTCATGTCTGAGCTGCAGGACTCTGTTCAAGCAAGCAGCTATCCTGCTGATTATGTCTGGTGGCGACATCAAAAATCCCCACGACTGCATTCCCCTCCCCTCCCCTATTTTCATTTTTGTACCAGTTTTGGAAAACGATGGAAACCAATAAAGAATATGGATCATAACTTTCTGTGCATCTCTTCCTTTCAGCAAAGCATACCTTGAGGTGAAGGCAAATTATTTTGGAGAGCTAGATTTGGGAACCTAATGGTTGCTCAACCTTGGATTTACTGGAGAAACCTCTGCAAGACCAATTTGTGAAAACACTGCCCGCTTGCTAGCAGAGGTGGCCCTACCTTGAGTTGAGGTGAGGCAGTGACCTCAGGTGGCAGATTTGGGGTATGAACATGTCTCAGGGAAGGAGATTGGTTTAAGATTGGCCCTACTATTAAGCAAAGTGAGGCAAGGATGGGAGAGGCTCTTGTGGTATGCTGGCCTCTCACCTCCTTTGGAAAAGGCTCAGCAGTTATGAGTAGGTTCAGTTTTTTTGATTAATAATCTGGACACACCATGCATCTGTACAGTACAGTACTTGCAATTACACACAGGTCCTGCTTACTAAACACAATGCATTCCGTGGAAATCAGTATTTAGACAAGTATTCACATAACAAGCCTACAATTTCCATTATTTCTCTGAAAATATTTCTAAACTGGGATTTGTCTAATCTCTCCCCCCTCCACTTTTTTCAGTGGTTTCTCCCTGAAATGGCTGCAGCCAATCAGGAAGAGAATCTGATCTCTCCTCCCTGATTTGTTTGATCTTTCCTGTTCTGCAATGCATCCAATCTCCCTACCTTCCACCCTGGTTTCTGCACATGAAAATGGCTGTCCAACAAAGCAGAAACAAGCAGGGAAATAAGGAAGTAGGGAAACTCTGGATGTTTGGATATCTGAATGTGCAGTATTTTTAGCAAAGCTTTGCCATAATGCATTACATTTAATTTTAGCACAGTGAGTGGGCCAGTAGTGGGACTTGTGTACATTGAACACAATTCACAATAACGGACTGTGTTAATCATGTTTTGGAAGTGGTGTTGCCTTTTTAGCCATTTACCAACCCTGACTCTGGGCAGATTCACACAACTAGCCATTGAGCGTTAGAAGTCTCACAGCAATGTCCACTTTGAGAATATCCGACGAGGTCCAGCTTGCAGTGGCCCCAAGGATAATGGATTGTTAGGTGATTAAGAGAGGATTTGAAGAACTTAATGGGTTTCTGAAGCCATTATCTCTGATCTCCAGCTGGGGTGAAGAATTTCTTTGCCGTTCCTGAAATTTGGTACCTACAAAAGCTACTAACGGCACAATCTAAAGTGTGTGTCTCTTCAGAAGTAAGTCCAGTGGAGTTCACCAGGACTTCTTCTCAGTTAAGAGTGCATAGAATTGCACTGTGAGAGACTCTGATTCCAAAAAAAGTCTGAGAACTGACCCATTTATAATCACTTCTTCAAAATGCAAGACACTAAAGCCCTTTTCATTCAAAAGACTGCATGTGGGAAGAGACTGGAAGTCTGCCCCATACATTTGGAGTACTGATATGCCACTTTTATTGTCATGGTTTTCCCCAAATAATTTTGGGAGCTGTAGTTTCTTAAGGGTGCTGAGAGCTGTTAGGAGATCCACATTCTCACAGAGCTGCAAATAGCAAGAGTTCCCTGCTGTGAGGAATTGACAGAACTCTAGGAATTGTAGCTCTGTGATGGGAGTAGGGGTCTCCAAACAACTATCTTCACCCATAACAAACTACAGCTCCCAGGATTCTTTGGGGGAAGCCATGACTTTAAAGTAGTATTAGGGTTCTTTTAATTTTATGGCATGAATGTGGCCAAGGTGTGCAGAGGTGGCCATGCTAGCCCCACACTTGGTGCCCTGTCTGTTCCACCCCCACCCTCAAACTTCCTCCAGTTGAGCATACAATTCTGAAGGGGAATTTTCCCCAGGTTTGTGTAGTTGTGCAGAATTCCTGGTTGCGCCAAGGAGTCTAAACATGTTCAGTCAAACACATGAAGAATCTCTCCCCAGACTTTGAACCTCACTGCCTGAAAGTCTAGAGTGGAGCTAACAACTACCCAAAACAAAGAGAACATACATGCTCCAGTGGTTGCTAGTGCAAATCTATTAATGTGCATTTTGGAGTTTAAAAAACCCACCCTTCTTTGGGAGTTTGGAATTCAAAACACTTCATTCTTAAAATCTGACCAGAACTAGCTGGAAAAAGTAGTAGGACCAAACAAAAGAAATTTTTAACACTAAAACACATACAACTTTGCATTTTTTTGTGTGTGGCCTGAATGAGTACCAGAGCCCATTCTCCTTTCTGTTTTGTATGGACCATCAGGCTAGGGCTGATGGGAGTTGTAGTTCAAAAACTTCCAGAGAGCACCAGGTTGGCAAAGGCTGCATTAAGGGCTTTAAAGGTTAATACCAACACCTTCCTCTTGAGCCCATAAATTAACCGGTAGCTTTCCCTCAATAAGTTACCAGTGGCTGCTTTGTTTACTCTCGGCTGCCGTTGCTGGAACCTTATTATGACCTAATCCCTCAGCCGCCACCTCTCAAATTCCTCAGGCACCTTTGCTCCAAAGTCCTTCCCCACCTTTCCTTTGGGGCTCTGAACGGCACATTTGTCTCTAGGCTGCTCCTGACAAGGCGAACACTGCCCCCCTCCGCCCCCCAAGTTGGAGAAATATCAGCCGGGAACTTAAAACCGCTCCCCTCTCCAGCGTAGGCCTCGGAGCCTGCCCTTGGCTTTGCTCCCAAAGCGGCACGCCTGGATCTGTCAGCAGGTGTCACGCCTTTCACACCCGGATCCTCCCCAACAGGTGGGCCGCCTCCTCAGGCTGAGGGAGCGTGAAGGTGGAAAAGCAAAGCGCTTCTGGCTACAGAAAGAGCCACCCGCCTGGCCTTCGCTTGCAGGCAGGGTGTAGCGGCAGCCTCAGCCCGTCCTCGTCTAGCAGTTCATTTCCCTCAGGCCTGGAGGTCAGGACTCCGTTTGCCACCATGGCAAAGAAAGAGGGTCTGAAGAGGCGGCTTTCTCGCTTCTTCTCAAGGAGTGAGTTGAGCTTGAAGGAGCTGCAGCAGAGGCGGGAAAATGAAGATGAGGGTCCCAGGTTGGCAGGAGTGAGAGATGAAGGCGGCAGAGGGAAATGGAGGATGAGGCCTCGGAAGAAGAGAACCTCGGAAGGGTGAGTGTACTAGGATATGCCTGGAAGTGCCCCTGGGTCAGGAGTAAGGATGCGGAGGGTGGGATCTGTCAACATGCGTTATCTTAATTTCTCTCTCCCCCCCCCAGTCTTAAATTCAGTTTACATTTCCACATGAATCAGAGATTATTATTTTTTAGCATCCTTGTGAACACTCACATTTTAGTGCAATGTTCTTTGTATGCAGTTTTGGCTAATTACACATTTTTTTGCAAGCAGCATACCCTAATATATTGCATCTTTATATGTTATTTTCACGAATATTCTGTGAACCGCCCCGAGATCTTATGAAGGGCGGTATATAAATCTAAAAATTAAATAAATTACGCATTTTAATGCATACTCCCCCCCACACACATATTTTTTGTAAACATTAGTTGGAGAGTTGCATTACGAAATTCAGTTAAATGCAATTTTCAAAGGAGAGTTGTGTTGCAGTTTACAAGTGCAGATGTGAAGATTCACCTTTACACCTTTGTCAGGACATAGACCACGTACTTATTTATATACAGCAGGGTAAGGGGTTGTTTTTTGTTTCATTTTACAAATGTGTACAATGAGGTGCTCAGATGTGTTTTTGAAGTTATCTGCACATTCCTGTGTTGGGGGAGCATGAATAAGTTTATAACTGGGGAGAGGCTGTGGCTCAGTGGAAAAGCCAGAAGTGGCTCTACTGTTAGGCAAAGTGAGGAAACGGCCTCAGGCAGCAAATATTGGGGACCAGTGGCGGTAGACCCCTGACTGTGCCTTCTCCAGGCAATTCTCCCCTTTTGAAGAACAGGGGTATGCAATATGGCATGTCCTGGCTCCATTAAACTAGCTTGCTTTTGTATATGGAATGTGTTTGTCCTCTGCAAAATGTATTGGGACAGCCCTGTGCAGAACACTTCTTTTGCATGCAAAAGGTCCCAGGTTCAGTCTCTAGGGGAAAATTCCTGGAGAGTCATTGCTAGTCATTGCAAACAATAACTGTGCTAGATGAACCAATAGTCTGACTTGGCATAAGTCAGCTTCCTGTACAGAGGTTTTGCAGGGAACAGCTGCAGATCAGTGACAGAATCATAGAGTTGGAAGGGACCACGAAGGTCATCTAGTCCAACCCCCTGCAAGGCAGAAATCTTTTGCCCAACATGGGGCTCGAACTCATGGCCCTAAAATTAAGAAGTCTCATGCTCTACTGAGTGAGCTATCCAATAAGGTACATATGACAGGTGCACCTGAATGCCAACATATTTTTTTTGACAAATAGACGTTTCGGTCATAATCAGCAACAAGAAGGATATTGGAGATTTGTCCAGGAGCCCTCGGCAATCCTTCCTTTCCACTCTGCAGCTTGCTGATATGCTCCTGTCCTTCGCTCTGTTTGCATTTCAACAGGAGCTGTTTCAGGAAACAGGCCACAGCTGAGTCATCCCAGGGAGCTCAGTAGGGATCATCTTTCAATGAACAATTAGCGTCAGATTCTAGTTTTGCCCTCACTTCCTCTCTCTCAGCTCAGAGCAACCACTACCTCAGCCCTCATCTGTTGACAATATTTTGAAGGACCAAATAACAAATATAAGAAAATATTACCTTTCTTGCTGGTGGCAGCAAGGACAGGCGATAGTTAAGAATAGCAAAGCATGAGTGAGGGGTCACAATTCAGGAAACACCCCCCCCCCAAGAGGGCATGCAGCCCTTGGGCTGTAAAAGGATCTCCTCCCCTCATGTAGGGAGTGGCTGGGGTGGGCAAGTGCTCAATGAAAAAGGGAAGCAGAAGCAATTATTTGGCTGAGAGCCAGTGTGGTGTAGTGGTTAAGAGCGGTAGTCTCGTAATCTGGGGAACCGGGTTCGCGTCTCCGCTCCTCCACATGCAGCTGCTGGGTGACCTTGGGCCAGTCACACTTCTTTGAAGTCTCTCAGCCCCACTCACCTCACAGAGTGTTTGTTGTGGGGGAGGAAGGGAAAGGAGAATGTTAGCCACTTTGAGACTCCTTCGGGTAGTGATAAAGCGGGATATCAAATCCAAACTCTTCTTCTTCTTCTTCTTCTTCTTCTTCTTCTTCTTCTTCTTCTTCTTCTTCTTCGAGACGGTTAGCCTTTGTGGCCTCTTGTGTACCTTCCTTCTGACTCCAATCCTTCTTTCTCGATTTCATTCCAGGGCAAGTGAGGAGGATGTAATCTCAGTGCAAGTGAAGCATGTTATGGAGCCCCCTAGTTGCAGTAGGTCACAGAAGCCGGCATCGAAGGTGAGCCCCACTGCTGTCAAAGAACCTGTGGAAGGGTCTTCTTTGGGGCAGGAGAGGTTGTGAGGAGTGCGAACCCAGTGGGACTTACGGTACTTCTAAGCAGACATGTTGCGATGGTTCTCAACCTGGAAGGCTTAGATAAATTCATGGAGGATATCTACAGCTACTAGCCGTGATGAGTATGTTCTGCCTCTACTCTCAGAGGCGGTATGCCTCTGTATTCCAGTTGCTGGGAATTACAAGTGGGAAAAGTGCCGATTTCTGGTTTATTTATTTAGAAAACTTATAAACCACTTGATCATAAAAATCTCCAAGCAGTGCAGAAATAAAATTATAGGTAAAACATGGCTGAAACCCACAAACCAATTAAAAACGGGGGCTTGCAAACTTTGTTCCCCAACCCTTTTCCAAGGGTGTGTCAGGGAAACAGGATCCAGTGAATTCAAAGCTTCCCTTAATCTCCCTCTAGCATACCTGGAATAAGATCCCTTTTTTACTGTTACTGCCATCGGACAAATATGGTGAAGCAGCAATGGTGGCAGAGTTCCCTTTCCAAGGAAGGAGAGAGGGAGATTCACTCATTCATGCCTGCCAAAGGACCACAGGATCGCACCTTAGTTGAGTAATCATTTATATCAATTAAAAATACTTTGGTTTTTTTAAGTGCTCCTCTAAGTATCAGATTTTCTAAATAATGGTTAATTATTCTTAAGGCAAATAATTACACATCTAGGTGTGATAAGCATCTTCTGAGAAAAGACACATGCATCCTACTCACACAGAAAGGTATTATTTATTCATTTATTTTTAAAATGTCTATCCTGCTTTTTGTCCCCAAAGAAGCTTTCAAGTTTAAAACATAAAATATCCAATTAAAAAAACCCTGCAATCAATACAAACAAGAAGCAAAGCCAGAAGTGTAAAATCCACTCAGCATCAATGAAAGGCTCCTCTGAGGTAAGGCTTGCTGAGACACATGTGAAACAGGGAAATATATTTTCTGTCAGAACAACTGCTTCATTCCTAATCCATGCAGATTTGATTGATTAAATCAGTTAAACTCATATGATCAATAAGTCAAAATTTAGTTAATCAATTGATAGGTAGCTCTCTTTAACTTGCATTTTTTTATTTAGTTTTGCTTTTAATAATATGATACACAATCACCTAAGAATTTGATCAGGCTTACTTCTGAGCTTACATATGTATATAGGTGTTCGGTTGCTCTGAATATATGTATATAGGATGGCTATTTATTTATTGAAAATGCTTCTAGGCCACCTATCAAAATAGAAAATACCTTTCCAAAGCAGTGTGAAAAATATACTGAAAGTGTTTTAAAACAAGCATTAGTATTCACAATCAAAACAATAGCACAGAAAGAACAGTAATAGAGCAACATACAGCAACCCAAACATTAAGCTACTCTCTTAATGGTGGTTCACTTGTGGCTGGGGGGGTGGGGGCGGGAGAAATCAGCCATAAGAGGCAAGGTGCTTAACCCTTTGTCTACCCTCCAATTCTGGATGATGGAGAATAATTTTCAGTCTAACCCAGCAAGGTGATTCTTAGCGGAATGGGTAAGATGTGCTTTTGATATCTTCCATCTTTGTACTATTGATTGAAGCATGTCACATGACTCAGTTGCCTTCCCGTGACACACAGCTGACACACATTTATGTGTGCTGATTTGTGCTTGTGGTGGCCCAGCAGTTAGTCTCCTCTGTTATCACCTGTCAATCTCACCTCTATAGTTCACTGTCCCTCCAGGGCACTAAAGGCAGCATGCACAAGGCTAGCCCACTTGATGCTCACAACCTAGAAGAAGGTTTAGGCTGAGAGGAAGAGGCTGGTCCATGATCACCCAGTGAAATTCGTGGATTTAAACCTGGCCTCTCCAGTCCAAGCCCAGCACCCTGCCTTCTACGTGGAAGGGCTACAGCTAGTGGCCAGTGCTCCTGCCTTGCATGCAGAAGGTCCTGTCAAAGGCTTAATGCTGTCCAGCTGGCCATAGATAAGACTCCGGGCTCCCAGCCAGTTCCAAACAATTTGATTTATTTGACAAAGTTCAAACGTACATCTCCAGCATTTCAATTAGCGTCCTTCCCCTTGTGCACAGTTGCTCCCTCTAATCTTTCTTCTTCCTTTTCTGCACCCAGCATGCAAGTCTGCGAAAACTCCTCCCCTTACTTCCTCTGTGCACAGAATGACTAGTTCCAGGCTCATCCTCCTCCCCCTCTACATCAGACCCACTGTCAGACGAGAAGCTGCTGATAATCTCTTTAGGCTCTCTATAACTGCTGGTTTCTGTCCTTTCCTCTTTTTCCGTTTGCCTCTCCCTGACAGGTCCCAGGTTCAATTGCCAGGAAGGGCTGGAGTAAATCCCAGCCTGGAATGCTGGAGAACTGCTACTGGTCATTGTAGAATATAGATAATACAGAGCCAGATGGACCAATGGTCTGACTCAATATAAGACAGCTTCTTATATTCCTATATTCTACGCCACACTAAATCTGGAAATGACCCAGCCAGCTGTGTTTTGTGTGGGCACACACAAGGGAACAGTTTGTTTTTAATATCTCAACAAAAGGGGGCAAAACTCGGTCCCACAGTGCAATCTCTTTTGAGTGTTTTGGCCTGGCTGGACTCTGACCTTGAACAGAACAGAATGAAGAAAAAGAACAGAAAGAGCCGAAAAAGGCTCTTTCCACCTATGCACTAAGTCAATACACACTTTGTTTAACGTATTTTGACAGTTATTCTCTCCCTCCTTTATTTCAAAATGATGTTGAGGCAAGTTAACAATAATAAATATGCCATTCAGCGATATAAAGGCATACATGTCAACCATGCATTAAAAAACAACCATGAAAGAACAGCATTAATTTAGCAAGCCAATAACATGAATAGTCAACAAAATATCTCACTTTGTAGAGCCACAAAATTTAATCTTAGGGTCATGGGTTTGAACCAAATGGTTCCTGCATTGCAAGGGGTTGGACTAGATGACCCTTGTGGTCCTTTCCAACTCTACAATTCTATAATTTTATGACTGTACCCCGTTAAAAAAAAGTTTTCAGTTATGTCAAGGTGCATAGAGCTTCTTTTTCCCAAAGATAAGGATGCCCTCTGCTGGAAGCAAGGCACAACTGCATGGGCCTGTGCCTTTTGCAATAGAGTTCCTTTCAGTATGTGTGGGCACTTCAAGGTGTCCCCTTTATTGAGCTTTCATCCCAATTGGTTTGCAGGGAGATTAGACAACATTGGCTCTTCAACAAGCATTCATTGTGATTTTTTTTTGGGGGGGGGACATTGTGCCAAAGCAAGTGTTAACTCCCCACACTTTCCAATTCATTTTCCCATCACTTTCAGAAAGCCCACTTTTGTGGGAGAAGTGGGTTTGTTGTGCAAGAGCTCCAAAATCAGCTCAGTTGTGCAACCTGGATTTGCCAGTATGGGATTGAGTCTCACCTGAAAACAGCAACAATCTGGAAACACCTTGTGCCATGTTATCCCTCCTTACTTCCACTGTTTTTTGTACTCAGAATCAGAGTGATTAAAGGGTGTGTTAAAATGAAGTATCCCATCTCTTTCACCATGTGCTTCATTCATTCATTCATTCATTCATTCATTCATTCAGAGCATTATAGAATGCCTGTCCAACCAAACAGACTGCAAACATTTAAAGCATGAATTAAGACCAGCGAATCGACAGTGGAATGGAACCCTGATTCTCAAATCATGCCTCAAATCATGTTCACGCAAACAGTCACTTCAGTAAAAACATTTAAGATTATTCCCTCTGTCTCCAATGTTCAAGCAGTGAATGCTATTGCAAATGTAGTCAAAAGAGCACTGCACCAGCAAGCTTGGGGTTAGGTGAAGTACAAAAAACTGTGGAAAAATACCAAAGAGTGTGGGGAGGCAGTCCAGTGAGGATTGAACATGCTCAATGGACACATAATACTGACTGTGGGTGGAAAAACAGAAAACCAGGGAAGGGAAATGGAATGGAGACTGGAAACTAGAAGAAGCAGAATCACACACTGCAACATTTTGTTGCAGATCCGACTTGTAATTTATTTTGCCATTTTAAGACTTTGATTACATGTTTTAATCTCCATCACCCTGCAGCAGAAGAAGACTTGCAAAGCTTGTCTTGCTTAACCTATATGTAGCCTGTGATCATGCAGTGTTTTCTGATCTAGCATCCTTCTTGGACTTGTTTGATGTAGCAGTTCAGCTCTTGCAAAGCACATCTTGCTTGCTTTTGAGTGAAGTATTATTTATAGATTTGGCTTTTGCAGAGTTCATTTTGCTTACCTTAATTCCTAACGTCTTTGAGTCGGTGCCTTTGGTTAAGAAATAGTCATTCTGAGACGCCTTCAAAACAGAGGTATATCAGACACCACTCATTTTAATAGTGAACTTACCATAAGTGGGTGAGTGCCAACAGCCCAATAGGATTATAGCCAACTCTGATAAGCAAGAGAAAGGCATCAGCAAGCTTAGAAAAGCTTTTGGATTTGTAGAAGTATAGAAATATATTTACGGAAAAAATCCTAAGGGGACAAAAAACACAAAAAACAGCATGTTGAATAACCAAGGAAAGTTAGTTGTTAGATAGGAGAAAACCAAAACAAAATAGAAATCTGGGCATGTGTGTGAGTGCATGTGTGTAGATTGTACAAAGTGAGCCACAAGAACCAAAGTGTTTCACAAGCAGTTGTAGGGAAGGGAGCACTTTGGGGGAGCACAAAAAAAGAAGTTACTAAGTACAGGGGTACCTCGGGTTAAGTACTTAATTCGTTCCGGAGGTCCGTAGTTAACCTGAAACTGTTCTTAACCTGAAGCACCACTTTAGCTAATGGGGCCACCTGCTGCTGCCGCGCCGCCGGAGCACAATTTCTGTTCTCATCCTGAAGCAAAGTTCTTAACCTGAAGCACTATTTCTGGGTTAGCAGAGTCTGTAACCTGAAGTGTATGTAACCTGAAGCGTATGTAACCCGAGGTTCCACTGTATAATCTAGAAGTGCAGCTGCTTTATATCTTGGTAAGAGTCCTGCAAGTTCTGGTAAAGTCCCTTTGTTGCACACACTCCAGTCTTCATGATACTCTGTATAAAATGTTATTCCATTGAGAGAAGGGGGGGAAACGATGTTATCCAGGGTAAGAGGAACAAGGATTTCCCCCACTGGGGATTTATTAAATTAGGGGTGGGGAACCTTCAGAACCTTTTTCTCTGGCCACACCCTCCCCAACCCCAACCCCTCTTCCCAGGCTGCACCTCTCATCAGCCTTGCTTCTTCAAACCCTCCTGGCGTTCTTGCCTGGACGGAATGGGTCCTTGAACTCTGGCTTGCCCACAGCAGGATGTACGAACATGTGTACAGTGGTACCTTGGGTTACATATGCTTCAGGTTACAGACTCCCCTAACCCAGAAATAGTGCTTCAGGTTAAGAACTTTGCTTCAGGATAAGAACAGAAATCGGGCTCTGGCGGCGCAGCAGCAGCGGGAAGCCCCATTAGCTAAAGTGGTGCTTCAGGTTAAGAACAGTTTCAGGTTAAGAACGGACCTCCGGAACGAATTAAGTACTTAACCCGAGGTACCACTGTATTAACTATCCTACTGCACAAAGGTAAATTCCCAATGCCTAGTTGTCCTAGGGTTCTTGATGGGTATAAACAAGCCTGGAAGGTAGGATATTTTGTCCTATTAATTTAATGTGACACTCAAATTACTCAGAAGAAAAGTTTCTCCCTGGCATGTTTGTGGCAGTGTCACTGTCAACTGGTACAGAAACCTGTTGGGGTGGAGAACTACCTTGAAGCCTCTGAGTTCTCAGGAAATGATGGCATGCTCCACTGGGAGCGAGCAGAAGGGCGAGCCACAAACTAATTCACCCAGGGGCAGAACAAAGCAACTCACCTGAAGCTTTGAGCACATCTAGCGAGCAAATACATCTGTGGTGTTTCCTCCCTGCTTCCATTACCTACACAGTTTAGAAAAGGAAATGTGTGGGCTGCAAAAATTCCCAAGTGCTTCCCTTACGGTCCCTGAAGCCGGTGATGTCCACCCAGAAGAGATTCATCTGCGCTAAATGAGATCTTGCCAGTTAGCTTACTAGTAGGACACATGCTTAGCATGCAGAAAGTTCCCGGTTTAAGCCCTGGCATCTCCATGTTGGACTGGGAACAGCTCCATTCTGAAACCCTACCAGTCAGTGTAGACAATACTGAGCTACAAAGACCTATGATCTGATTTGGAAGGCAGGTTCTTGTGGGTTATATCCAGCTAAGTTCTGCTCAGTGTAGACCCAATGAACTTAGCAGACTCAAGTTAGTCACATGCATTGATTTTATAGGGCCTGCTCTAGACCCATGAGTCTATGATGCTTCCCCAGCACAAAATACATCTTCAACTACGGAGGAGGAAGTTGTTCTTTTGGCTATCTCTCTCTCTCTCTCTCTCTCTCTCTCTCTCTCTGTGTGTGTGTGTGTGTGCTAGCTGTGGGTCTAGCAAGGAGATGGTGTTTTCTCCAGTGCTTCTTTTGAAGATCGTAGGGTGAATTGCCCCCGTTTCAATCACAGCCATCTCTAGAGGCCAGCTTGCTTTACCTACAGTACATGGAGGTGGAGACACGTTTGGGTGGCAGCTGTAATCTCCAAAGGTGTGTGTGGAATGTGCACATTTGGCCGCTTATTATCTAGTGATTTCCTGCTACATCAGCAGCTCCTCTGGGTGGAGCACCCTTGGGCTGTTTGTAGCAGCTGGAGCTTTGCTGTGAGGGAGGGCAGGGCCCAAATCCCAGCAGGGTTCAGCTGATACAAGTGGAACCACCCACTAGCTGGTATGTCAAGGGGGATAGTGAGGATTACATTAAGGACACAAACCGCCCTGCTGCTATGTGCCTAATCAGTATCACTACAAATAGCCAACAGTTGGCTACAGGACTTAGGACCTGCCTCAAAAAAATCTGGTTTGGGGAGAAAAAGATACTCCAGTATAATTAGGCTTGTTGAATACAAAGAATTTGGATTCTTGAGAATCTCAATGCTAAACTGAAATTCCGAAAGCTATGTGGCTAGTCCTCATGGCTGTGAACCGAAGACTTGAAATTAAGCCAGCAGTGTATTGGTAAAGGCTGCAAGAGGTGGGACTTCTGTGCCTGGCATGGTGGCTTGTCCTTTTCGCTTTCCCATGCAGCCCTCCTGCCCTGTTTTTCTGTTCTTGCGACCAAATCTCCCTTAAAAAGTAATTGAAGCTCCTGAATATAGGGTCATACTTACAAAAGTATGGGGTTTCTTTGTAATTATTTTCATTTTCATTTCTAAATGGAAAAAAAGCAATTAACAATAAAGAGAAAGAAAAAAACTGAAGCAAGATAGGAAAAGGAACGGAAGGAAGGAGATGAGAAGAGAGGAGGGAATGGTAGTAATCCAGAAAACAACATTATAATTCCAGACAATTATCTTTATTTTCAGGTAGCGTAGGGTTCGGGTATATTTTGTTAACTTTTGATTACTAATTAGCAAGTTGTTGTTGGGTTTTTTTTAGCAGCATACATTTTATTGGTTTTATTTCAGTACAGAATTTTGAGGTTTCTTGGAACAAAAAGGGGACTTCCTATATTAGGATTCCTACAGGCCAATGTCCAAAAGTTACCCCTCTTTTGACTGCAGACTACTTAGTCCAGGAATTTCCCCCCCACAGCTAGGAATGTAAGGAGGCAGGGCTTTCCATTGCATCTTGTCTTCTTCACAGCCAGCGCTGTTTCTGTTTCACCAAAACCTACCTTGTCCATCTAGCTAACTGCTATTCTGCTATGACCAAAACAAATGTAATTATTTCAATGGAGGGGAAATGTCAAAAAAACAAACAAACAATGCATAAATCATAGTTATTATTTACAGACTAAAAAAAACAATAGAGAATGCCACTCACATTCCATCCTGACCCTGGACAAACATGCAAATTATGGCAATTTCTGCTCCCATTTCCGATGGAATTCTCTAACATCCCTAAATACAGCTGACTGTATAAAGCTGCCCTAAGGGTCTACTCTGCAATTTAAAATCCTCTCCCAGGGGCCAGCAAAGGTTTGCTTCCCATTAGGCAAAGTGAAGCAGCTGCTTTGGGTTGCAGCTGCCAGGAGACTGAGAAGAGTGCCAAGATTTTGGAGACAGAGTTGTGAGTGTCACGCGGCCTTCCCTGTGTCTCCTGAACCTGCCTTCCTCAGGCCCAATGGAAGATGTTGTCCCGTCATCAGTATTGTAGTAAGATTTGACTGCCAGCCTGCTTGCCTTTTGTATATAGAAAGAGGAGTGCCGTATTGTCCTTCTCCTCAGGCAGGAAAATATCTCAGCCATCCCTGTTCAGGGCATTTCCAGAACAGCAAAGCTAGAATTAGAGTTAATGGCTATTTGTTAGGTTAGGTTTATTGAACCGATGAATAATTTCCCACAACAAAAAGGTCCTGAAGCAATTTACAAGACGACTAAAATATAGCAATAAAAATACATAAGCATAATTAAAAACAGAGTAAGAACACTCGGTCTTTGGTGCTGGGAAAACAAAAGGATATTTCCCTGGCGCCAAAATGGCCACAAAGTTAGCACCAGGCAGGCCTTCCTGGGGAGAACATTCCACAGACAACAGAAACTACTACAGCAGAGGTGGGGAACCTCTTTGGCCTGGTGGGCCAAATCTTTTAACTTCTCCCACCCCACAGGCCAAAGTTGGCAGGAGCGCAGGACCAGCACCTGTCAATATCTGATTTCTTATCAGTGTCAGGTGATTAATAGGAGGTAAATCCCACCCGTCTGTCAAAATTGCCCAGTGAATGTGGGGGGATATAGTGACCAAGCGGGACTGAGCTCCCCATGCAACAGCTTTTGGATCCAGTCAGAGGATCCAACCATGTCTAAGATAATCACCAGAGGCCCAGCTCTGAGTCCTCCACCCCATTCTAAGGTGAGCTAGGTAGTTACCAGAGACAGGGCTTTCCTGGTGGTGGCACCCCAGGTTTGGCACTTTCTTCCATTATCTTTTACCTTGTGCCAAAGTTTGTTTTTTGATTGACTTTTAATGGCTTTTAGTAGTTTGAAAGGCTCATGTTGTTGTTCATAAACATGCTATAATATGCCGCCTTCAGAATTTGAGCTGAAGGGCAGTTTATAAATATTTTAATTAATAGCATAAAAACAATTTGTGGATAACTAGTTTCCATTTTTTGTTTGATCGATGGACAAGATCAGTCTAAGTTAGACAAGTATAAGGCAAAATATTTATTATAGTTGGAAATTTTGATTCAGTGATTTTGGCTCAGTGTTTATTCCTATTGATTCTACATCTGGGATTTATGGGAGAGGCAGTTAATGCTGGTATCTATTCTTGCATTCTGTGTTTATGTTTGCGTTGTTTTGATAAAGACTGCAAAACTCATACTTTTTAAACAGGCATTTCCATTCAGCATATAACATCAGTCTAGTCACCTATGGTTCATAAAAATTGCCTCCAGGTAATCATGCTGGAAAGCTGTAGAACTGCTGGGCTTTCTCCCCTTTTAAGCCAAAGGTTAATAACACTGACAAATTCAGGGATGAAGGCTAGTAAAATATTATACAAGCTACTTACTGCTGTGGATCTTTTTGCAAAGCTGCAGGCAACCCAAACATATATAATCTTGTTCAACTGTTGCATATACAGGGTTTCTGTCCCACCCCTCTTTCATAGTCTCGGTCTTTTCACAGTTTCTTTTTCCATCCTGCAGACCCAGGCACTCAGTTATTCGGAGCCAGATTTGTGGAGGAATGGCCTACTGCGCAAGTTTGGGAACCTCACTTGGCACAAGCGACAGAGTAGCCATTTTGAACTCTCTCAGCACCCTGGGCACCTGGCAAGTGATCCTTGGTCTATGGGGCGGCTTCAGAGACCAGCTGTTGGCAGTGACATGGATATGAGGAGCAGGGCTGATTTTTATCCTGCTGAAAATCAATCTGAAAAGCAGGAGAGACCTGAGCCTTCATCTAGGCTAAGTGAAACACACTCTCTAGGGACCAGCCCAGAACCCTCCGCATCCTTTGATTCTTTGCTTTGTTGGGGAGATGGAAGCTCTTGGGAAGGGTCTTTCTCCATCAGTAATTCTTCTCTGTGCTGCCCAGCAGCTCCCGAAATGAAAGGAGAAGCCCTCAAGCTCCCATCAGTCCAGGAAGAAAACAGCAAGGCCCCCAAGTCTGCCTCAGAGTGGACTGAAAGTGTATTTGAAGGGTATTTGACCATGGGGACGTCCCACCCTGTTGTTACAGAACAGATGGAGAACCTGAGCTTCAGCAGTGGCCTTGGAGAGTCCGTCTCTGAGCACGTCGGTGGTGCAGAGGATGCTAAGACGGCCACAGCAAGCCCACCTGTTGATCAGCCTCTGAAGGTAGCAGATTCTGCCTCGGCCATTAAAATCAGCCTGGGCCAGAATGCCCCAAAGATCCGCTATGAGATAATGATTACAATGACCAAGGAGGTGGAGAGGGCTGAAGCAGAACCCACATTCAGTTGTGGTGAAAGAAGCCTGCCGTGTCACCCGTCTGGGGAGGAAACACTTTCTCTGGGGGTTGCTGAGTTAGAGAAAAGAAAGGAGCGACGTCACCAGGAACCAGCCAGACCAGCTAGCCAGCTGTCAGCGAGTGAGGAATTCCAAAACTGCAGAGGGCTGCATGGGGTGGGAACCTGTAAGGTGTGCGGGCCAATACTGACTCTTGCCACTGGGAGCCCAGCAGCGCTGCAGTGGGGATCGGAGACCAGCCCAGGAGTGGGTGAGGTAGACCAGAGTGAAACTGATCGACTGCACTCGGAGGATGGTGTGCTGGCAAAAGAGACAAACATCGTAGCAGTAGGATCCCCAGCCAACAGGTACGTGGGGGAACAGGTTTGGGAAGCCTCGCACTACAGCAGGTGTGCCAGCCAGCCCTGAGCTGCTGAGAATAGATTGAGAGACATGTCTTGGCAGAGAGAAAGGGAGCCAGAGTGTCTGTTCTTTCCCCTGCATGCTTTGCTCTGCAGCAATGTGAGTGGGAAGTTTTGTGTTTGAGAGAGAGAGTGGAGTCTTTGGCGCACACTGCATGGGGGCAGGAACTGAGGGGGGTCAAAGAAAGGCGCTGTTAACAGCTTCTCTTGTTTGATGGTCCAGACAGCAAAGTTCAGGGTCATGGAGAGGAATGAGCAGGATTCAAGGCTTGGATCCTCCCTGACCTCCGTGCTTGGGCTTCCACCGTCATCTGACTGAAGGCTAGAGTAATGCCGTCATCCAGGGGATTTCTGTACCACACAACTGAAGGGGGAAAGAAAAAGAATTGTGTTTAAAATGGTGAGGAAGGCTTCCTCTTTCAAAGGTTTTCATTAACAGGGAAGTTCAATGCAGCTGTGTGGCACAGTTCCACACACATTTACTCAGAAGTAACTCCCACTGAGTTCATTGAGGCTTGCTCTCTTGTAACTGTTTAGGATTTTAGTCACTGGGGCAAGTTTGAAGCAACAGGTCTGCAAATGAAAGGTATGCTACTTCTTGTGAGGCTGTTTTTTTCCTGGAAATTGTTACTATTAAATTTTCTATTCTGTCGTTCCTCTCAAAGAAGCCCAGTTACATTAAATTGGGAATGTAAATGAAAAAAGACAGGCTTTCTGTGTATTAAGTTATCATTTAAGGAATAAAAATTAATTATTTCACACTTCCTGAAGTAGCTTGGCAAGGCACCCACAATGAGAAGTTGGCTTCACAATATGTGAATTTATTTAACTTTAGGTTGTAATCCTATCCACCTGCCACCCTGGAAGGAAGCCCCATTGAAATGTATGGTACTTGTTCTGAGAAGACATATTCTGTATAGGATTGCTCTGTTAATCACTTAAAACGTAAATACTTAAATCAGTTCAGTGTCTGTCCTGACTCTAGTCAGATTCACAAAAGCAATTATTTTGTTATAGTCTTTCACCATCTTTATTGCTTCCTCTGCCTACAAAGTAACTGGAAAGTAAAGCATGGTGAAAAGCGCAGATATATTCTCCTTTTTCAGGAGAACATGGCCCTGCTCTTTAAAAGAGTTTTATCCATTAGCAAGCATTTGTCATACACCCGGCAGGAGATGTGAACAGCATGAATGGGGAAACTTGTATTTCTGAATAACCTTTACAGGAGCACTAAAGATAATCAGGTAATTTACAGCAATATAAAATACAGTGCAATATTAAAATCAGTTAAAACTGAATATTTCCTTAGGTGCCCTTGGGTCTTTGCTTTTAGAGAAAGATGAGCAAGAAATATAGTCTGAAATAAGGACCCCTTTCTCACATGACAAACAGCTAATAAAGTCAGGGTCACCTGAATACAGACTGAGATGTAGCAATCATTTGAAAAGAGTGGGTGGGTGGGTGGTGTAGGTCATTTCCCCAGCTTACTCAACCAGAAGTCAGTTAAGGAGGAGACCCTGGACAAGGTGTCTTCTGGTGCCTTCTCCCAATGCTACCCTACTGATCACCTGATAGGGGCATAGGAAGCTGCCTATCCCACCTGCACAAGAGCAACATTCAGGAGCTGACCCTAAAGGCTACTGTTGCAGCTGCTTAGAATCATAGAGTTGGAAGAGACCACAAGGGCCATCGAGTCCAACCCCCTGCCAAGCAGCTTAGAATCACTGCCTTTGCTTGGAACCTGGGGTGCCTTGAATACATGCATAGATGACAACCAGAAAGCATGCCCTAGATTTTGCTAGCATGATTAACATCACTGTGGGATGATGTTTGTTCGCCCATTCCAGGTCACTGTGTTTGTTTACAGTGGCTAGGCCACTTCAAGTGAACTATATTATATATTAATTTTAAAACGTGTCACACATGTTATAATTTAAGTAACACTTCAAAGTTTGCCTTAAACAAACACTTCAAAGTTTATTCTTTACTAGATTTGCATCCTCCAAAAAGCTCAAGCTTCATGGTCGCCCCCCCCCTCCTGTTTTATTGTCTCAGGAACCCTTTGAAGCAGATTAGGCTGAAAGTGACTGGCCAGGAAGGTTGGAAGGAATTGCCAATTTCAGTCCTCTCAGTTTCTTAAATTCAGTTCTCCATATTTCTGCAGCAATTTATGATAGATTTGTCTTTAAATGGTGAACTGAATCAAGATTTCTCCTGCAGGTGAGCTTCATAGTCAAGGGCTCATCCACACTGACCTTTAAAGCACTAGGGCAAAAAATAAAAAGGGCTCAGAAATGGAGTTTTAAAGCGTGGACCTGTGCCTAGAAATGTGACAAAAGGAAGTCTGAATGAGCCCTCGGTGGTGATTTCAGCCTTGGTCTCCTCTGTCTTAGTATGACCCACTATATCCACAGAACAAAATTGCTTTGTTCCCTTTTTTTGGTCATTATGTAGTGTGTGTGTGTGTGTGTGTGTGCGTGTGTGTGCATGCGTGCGCGCGCGTGTGTGTGTGCGCATCATGGAGGTGCCAATAATATCAAATTATCTGATTACTCCCTCCACCCCCACCATCATTACACACAGCAAGGGGAACAACACTGAAATACTACTTATATGCTAACGCACGTATGTTGCCTTGTGCATACACAATATAATGCTGCCTTCCATTCTCTCTGTACTTACGGTGCCTTCTGGTCAGTTCCTTTATTTTGCTTGCATTAGATCACAAGCTGCTTTTTGGACCAAAATGCTCCAAAGCCGTGTGAATGACAATCGGCTCTCAGACTGACAATCTAAGTTCCTAGATCGTGGAAGGACTGCATGCGGATGGTCCCTGGTTCAGGTACTGCTAGGTAAATCACCTGCTTGGTACCTTGGGGAGCCACTGCCAGACAGTGTTGTCATAACTGAGCTCTATGGGCGAATGGGACACCTTGGTGTAAGAGAGCTTTCTATTATTGAATGGGTTTAGCTTTGCAAAAAAAGGGGGCGTAGTCTAAATGGCCCCCGCGCCTCTTTCAACTCAGTGATCCTATGATATATTTAGGATGACAGTTTATACATTGAAAAAGTCCCAGATTGCAACGGATGCCCTTCCTTTTCAGCAGGTCCTTGGCATTCTATTCACTGCTCACACCCAACCCCACTAAATATTAATGCCTGAGCTTTCTCACACATTAGTTAATTGCATATGTAAAAGCAGATTAACATGGGCTTCATTGCATGGCGGAGTAGGGCGTTGTAATATTGCTTGCAGACAGGGACAGAAATAGGTACCAGAGACCACGGAAATGGGATGCAGAAATTCGTGGGCCACGTTTTCTGCTAGCATGCCCCAAGGCCATGGAAGTATTTGCTAAAACGGTGGTTTCCAAACTGTGTCCTGTGGAGTTTGGGGACTCCTCTGAAGCTTATTGGGAGCTCCACAGCAGACAAGCTTCCTAGGAGGATGCCTTGACTACTACTGTTAACCTTCCCTTACTTACCTCATCCATCCACAGAACAGTGTTGGCTGGGGGTATTCCAGCTTAACACACTCAGTTAATGCAAAACAGTGGCGAGGCTCGAAAGGTCAGGACAAGGGTCTTCTATGAGCTGAGGCCTCATTTGCACTATACATTTAAAGCTGTATCATACCACTTTGGGGAATAGAGGTCTCCTCCCAATGCTCAGCTCCTGTAACAAACTACAGCTCCCGGGATTCTTTGGGGGAAGCCATGACTGTTTAAAGTAGTACAATTACTGCTCTAAATGTCTAGTACTGATGGGGTCTGCATGTAAGGACGAGAACATTTCTCCAGCATCCCCTGCAATGTTCTGAATGTCATGGAAGGCGTTGAGGACATAACAGTCAGGAAGCTAAACAAGAACTTAAGTGCCTCTGTCCAATGAGAGTAGGTCAGACACAGGAAATGCCTGACTCCTCCCGGATGAAACTAATAAGTCTGGTGCCTTATTTATTATAACTGACCTGTATCACAACATTATCCATACACTTGGATAGTTTGTGAATAGCCCATTATAGTGTGTGCCTATTCAGAGGTTCCTCAGCTTCAGCTAATGAATTCAGGGGTAACTGAAGGTAATAATAATAATAATTAAAGCCACAGTGCTAGAGATGGATGATATTATTTCTCCCTACTGTTTCCATATCACCTATTGATTTTTCCACTTCCCTAGCACTTCAGTATCCGCAAATCTGTAATCAGCCTGATTTTGAAACATGGTTGGGCAACTTGTCTGATGCCAAAGGCCATATTAAATAGGAGACAGCAACCAGAAGTCTGTTGGCTCTATAGCATATTTTGTTTGTGCGTAATTGGCACTGACTTCATTTGGCAGGTGCCAAACTCTCAATGGTCATGTTTTTCCCCCTCTCACCACCTCCCAGCCAGCTCACAGGGCCAAGAGCTTCCATATTTCTAGCCCCCAATCTTCAGAATCATAGTATAACCTTTTTGTAAGAAAAGATTAGGGCATAAATAAGATCTAGAACTAAGCAAGTGGGGAACATTCGTTCTCCAGACACTAACTATTCAGAACCTTGGGTGTTTAACACCCTTGGGAGTTAAACCTTAAGGACTAGGAACCTACTTCATTTAAACAAAAAACAAAAAACCAATAGCTTAGTATATATTAGTGCTTTAATTGTTCCAGTTCTTATGTCCCTCATTCCATCTTTTAGACTATTGATACAAATGGGTTCTGCAACAAAATGTTGCAGTGTGGACTGCTCCTGTTCAGCATTCCAACCAGCCAGATATGCCCTTTTCCAGGATATGGCATTCATTCTCCCCTCTCCCCAATTATCCACACATAACCATCACCATAGTCAGTCAGTATTCTGTGTCCACTGAGCATGTTCAGTTCTCACCGGGGCTTTCTGATAGAATCCTCCCTCCCATGTTGTTTAAATGGTTGTGGTTTTCTGGTACTTCTGCTAATCTCAGGGCTCCCCTGAGCCTCCAGATGACCCCCCCTCCTGTGTGTATGTGGGGGGGTGGGGGTGCCATTTTGGCTACATATGCAACGACATCTAAATATCAGAAATGGAAGGTATGATGTAACAGGGACAAAGCAAACATCCAAAAGGATAGCATTGATATTGTTCGACCAAACAAGCCAGTCAAATTTTCTCCTGCAAGTACAAAGGCTGTGGGTCACAGATACCACCATGCTGGCAATTACCGCTTCCTGAGACCCTGGAGAGCTGGACAGATGGACCAATGGACTGACTTAGCTTAAATTGTTCACACATTCCTATGGGCTGTGTTAACACATTCAACAGAATGAAGTGGCAGACTTTGAGATGATAGTATTCTGGAGGATTAGAGGTCACATGTCCCCCACATAAACCGCTCACCTCATGTAATAAGCTAGCATTTCAGGGGGAAAGCTGACAGTCCCTGCATCTCATTCCTTAACGCTTGCAATTCCTCCACCATTGGAGGCAGTATGCCTCTGAATACAGTACCAGTTGCTGGAAACTGCAGGAGGAGAAAGCACTATTGCACTCAGGTCCTGCTTTCAGGCTTTCCATTATCTGTTTGGCTATTGTGAGAAGAGCATGCCGGACTAAATGAGCCACTGGCCTGACGCAGTAAGATCTCTTTTTTTGTTCTTGCATTCTTAATTAAACGGTGAATGATTTTAAAGCAATGTTGGTTGAGCCTCCCACAGTCAGGTGATGAAGAACAGAAGACTGCTCATTAAGAAGCTGGTTTTGTCCCATGGTTTTACCTGTGGAAATGCTTTTCCATGGCTACATTATATTTCTGTTATTATCATGTGGTTGAGCATAAGCTTTCGGTGTTGTGGGTAACTGCTGAGCCACATTACATACCAATGAAGAGTGAGACATGGCAGTGGGACACCACAAGTGTTGAACCTACTTTCTTTTTGTTATTCAGAGCCACTCCAGTTTTAATGGGACAAAATGTCCTTGGGTACAGGAGCATAGGAAGCTGCCTTATGAGTCAGGCCGTTGGTCCATCTAGTTCAGTTCTGTCTACATAGACTGGCAGTGACTCTCCAGAGGTTCAGAGAGAAGTCTTTTCCCAGTCCTACCTGGAGATGCTGGGGACTGAAACTTCTGTATGCAAAGCAGGTGATCTACTGCTGAGCTACAGCCCTTTTGCTGCCTGTGGCAAACGACAAGATGGCAGCCATGTGTAGAAGCCAGCTGGACGGGCAATTGAATCTTACTTCAGCACTGGCCATGTTCTCCACTACTCAGCATCTTAGGGAATGAATGAAAGGCTTGTGGCGCACTCTGATATCTTTGGAATTTCCTTCCTCGTGAGGCTAGACTGGCTCCCTCCGTGCCATTCTGCCAGGAGGTGAAGATTGTTTTATTCTGGCAGGCCTTTCGGAACTGGCTGCTTTTAAGGAAAGGGCTTTTAAATAGTGCTGTGCTCTTTTTACTATCTCTGTTTTAACATATATACCTTGTTTTAATTCCATTGTAGTTCAATTACTGTTTAACTATTATCTTAGCATTTCTATTTTATCTGTGTTTGTTTTAATTTTTGTAAGCTGCCTTGAGTCCTGGTTCCGGAGGGAAAGTTGGAATATAATATAATATAATATAATATAATATAATATAATAATCTCCAACAGAGGAGAATGGCCAAAGGGCTCAGGATGAATGGCTTGGGGGCTGTCACTGCTGCCCATTAAGTTCATGGCTATTAAGTTCTGAAGGCAGACCTGCATGGGGAAGTTTTTAATGTTTAATTATTTTTTGTATATGAGGGAAGCCATCCAGAGTGGCTGGGGCAACCCATTCAGATGAGTGGGGTACAAATAAAAAAAAATATTATTAATTATTATGGTGGTTAGCGCAGCAGAGTGGTGGGCTTCCTCACCCCCATTTCCTTTTAAAGTGTAAAGAGAAGCAAAGCTCTTGAGAGGCTCTTTTGTTTTTTCCAGAACCAATGTGGTAAATTATGAGGGAAACAAAATGGCAACCATCAACTAAATTGCTGCTACCCAATGTTCAGTCCTCGGGGGCAGGGGAGTAAATGCAGGCAGGTGTTGACGCAGTGGGTCTGAAGAAGCCCATTGCTGATGCTAGGAAAAAGGAAAGAGCAAATAACTCCAGGTACTTGAAGTAAGTTTTATTACAGGCCCAATGTGTTTCGGAACAAACCTGAGTCTTGATAGTATTCCACATGCTGGATGAAAATTGCTGGGGGGGAAATGCCCCGAAGAAGAATTTGTCCCGAACACATCTGGAATAAATTGGACCTGGAATAAATCCTATTTCAAGCTCCTGGATGTTTTTCCTCCCCCCAACCCTGCCAGTGGTGCTGTTCTGCTTTTTCAGTTGGTTAACATGTTGATGCTGGCCTGAAGTTTATACTATTTCTATTGTTAATCGGAAGCGAGAGCTGGACCATAAAGAAGGCTGATCGCCGAAGAATTGATGCTTTTAAATTATGGTGCTGGAGGAGACTCTTGAGAGTCCCATGGACTGCAAGAAGATCAAACCTATCCATTCTGAAGGAAATCAGCCCTGAGTGCTCACTGGAAGGACAGATCCTGAAGCTGAGGCTCCAATACTTTGGCCACCTCATGAGAAGAGAAGACTCCCTGGAAAAGACCCTGATGCTGGGAAAGATGGAGGGCACAAGAAGAAGGGGACGACAGAGGACGAGATGGTTGGGCAGTGTTCTCGAAGATAAAACATGAGTTTGACCAAACCGCAGGAGGCAGTGGAAGACAGGAGTGCCTGGCGTGCTCTGGTCCATGGGGTCATGAAAAGTCGGACATGACTAAACGACTAAATAACAACAACATTGTTAATTATTGGAATGGAAATGGAAATTACATTTCTGCTAGAGGAGAAGCAGCTGGGGGAGGCTGTGTGGCTTCTGATTGTTATATGTACTCTGTTTGTTATATGTATAAACAGAGGCCCTCAGCAAAACCCCTTTGGCTGAGCAGGTCAATCCAGTCAAAGGTTGATGGATCTAGGCTAGGGCAGGGCCTCCAGGGACCCAGCATCCTGGTCTGACCACTTCTTCAGGGTATCATTCCCTGCCTTGCCCAGCTGGAGCGGCATGAAAGTCCTGGAGCAGAAGGAGGGCATATGTAACATTGGGTTGCTCCAGGCAGCTTGTTCATTGACCATTCATCCTGATTTGCTTGCACAAAGCTTACATGGAGGTTAGACAATGCCTGGCCTGTACTGAGCATTCATCCTCAGTGCTGTTGTGCCCGAGTGCTGTTGCCGTGGCTCAAGCTGAGAGAATGCTTTCCTGCCTGCTTCTTTTTCACTGCAATATATCACCACACATTTATTACACTCGCAGAGAGAATTCCAAGGTAAACACACATCTACTGTAGAATCTCACACAGGGCAAATTACTAGCCGTTGCACTGGTCAGTAAAGATCACAGCATGCTTTCAGTTTAGGACCATATACTTTTGGAGAAGGAAGATTCATTCTTTTCTCTTTATAATAGGGCTGAGGAACACACCGTGGATTTCAAATGGCCATCCAGATTATTACAGGGAGGCTGCAAGCACCAGCATTTATGGCCCAGATATTCAGGATAAAATCGTGGGAATTGTAGCTTTAATTAAAAGAGCAAAGCCATCCTTTCACCCTCAGGGGTACATGCAAGCATAACTGGAGTGCATACCTTAAAAACTAAGAACATAAATGAAAAGAACAAAGTGCTGTTGTTTTTTAATCATCCATTTGTAATCTAATCAGATTATTTGTGGTATCTGATTTTTGAACATTTGAGTTGTACTGGCAACAGGTGTCTGGAGAAGAATAGTTGGTTTTCAGTGACTGTGGAGTTAGTCACAAAGAATTATTTATAAATTACACATCTGTAGCCTGCCTTTCTTCCAAAGAGCTCGGGGAAATGTATGTGGTTCTTCCCTACCATCACATCCTCACAACCGTCCTATTAGGTTAGACTGAGAGAAGGTTCCTAGAATCGTAGAATTGTGCAGTTGGAAGGGACCATGAGGGTCATCTAGTCCAACCCTCTGCAATGCAGGCATATTTTGCCCAATCTGGGGCTTGAACCCACAACCTTGAGATTAAGAGTCTCATGCTCTACCACTGAGCTGTCCTCTTCATGAAGGTGTAGTCAAATCTGAGAACATTTGTCATAGTTACTTCTTTCCCTCCTTATAATAACTACTTCAATGTTACCATCAATCATTTTTTGTTTTTGTTGCTGAAGCAAAAATGTTTTATGTTGTGGGCAGGCATACTAAGTGGATAGTGACATTATATAGTTTAGTCACTAGATGGCACTGGACTCGGCTGCTAGCTTTGTGGAGTCAGGTCTTGCTCTTTTGTTCATGTTGCAGAGGGGCAATAAAGTTTTTGTTTGGGTTCCCGACAGGTCTGTCCTCAAGGTCTTCCATGACACATACTATGTACTAACGATCCCTCATTGTATAGAACCAGTGAGCCCATAAGAGCATATCCTGTGGAAAAATCACATGTGGTCGGAAACATTAGTGGGGGAATGATGTCTCCCACCCTTCCTAAGTGGAACCTCCGACAGTGAACCATGTAGCTGCCTCAATACGTCTGTTCCTTCTGAACAGACATGAACAGACATGTTCTGAAAGCGGGGAAGGCAGATACATGTAGGCCCTGAACCACTACCCCAAAAGTACCCCACAGTGCACCTGTATCCACAAGTGCCCTCTCTCAATATGTTTGCATGCAGAATGTAGAGGATCGCACAGGCATGCTCCCTCAGCAGGCTAATAACATCTGCAGGGGTAAATAGTCCTAGGCTGCAGTATTTATCCCATGCAATCCCTAGGATCCTTTGATATGGAAAGACAGCTTATAAATTAAAAACAAATAAGTTGTAATAAACTCTTGGTTCTTGCTGCAGCCTAGTGCCTGTTGAGTGAAACTCATTAGTGATTTCTTGTTATACATACATTTATGCAGCTTCGTCCATGTATATATATAAGCTTTGAAGAGTTTCGTAAGCAGAAATGACAGATTTCTGCCTTGAATGAGCTTCCCATCTACATGTTGCCAGTGAGAAGATGGCAGAGGAAGGAGAAGGGGTGTATGTTCGTCTTGTATTTTAAGTTGAGGTTTGGGCTTAAATATGTTCCCATAAGGAAACAAAAAGCAGGAAAAAATGTTTTGAAATCAGCCTGCAGGTGCTGTTCAGTCAAGTAGTCGCCCAAACGCTTTGAAAGTGTCAACTTTGCAACTGGAAAGCGACAAAGATGTTGTGGCACCTTAAATGCTAATAAATCCATGCTGGCACAAGCCTTTGTGAACAAGGATCTAATTCTTGATGCATGAAGTGCTGTCCTCAACTGGCAGGCAATTTGTCATTTGTAACTCAGGCAAGGCACTTTATGCCTCCTTGCCTTCTGCCAAAGCACTTGGGGAATAATTAAGTAGACTTATTAAGGCACTCATTACTCTGTTGCAAGTTGAATTTCGACATGCTATGCAGTGCACACTCGGTTGATGATCAGGTACTAGACACTCTGGTTGGCTGTGTTAGGTGTGTGCACAATTCTTGCAGCTGTCAAAAAATGATATTTTTGGTTCTGTTCAAGGTATTAGTTTATCTACATCAAGCTGTTCTTGAGATTACGGCAATCTGACATTAAAACTGTGTACTCTGCATTATTATTCTAACTGGCCTCAGTATACCAAAAAAGGGTGACACACACACACAGTGACCAGATGCAAAGGAAGGAAGGAATTCTGTACATTGATAGCCAGAGTGCAATAGAGGTTAGAGTGTTGGACTAGGATCAGAGAGCCCCGAGTTCAAATCCCTAGTCAACCATGAAGCTTCCTAAGGGAGCTTGGGCCTATCACTAGCTTTCAACATAAACTACTTCCCAGGATAACTGGGGGGGGGGGAGCAGAAGGGTTTTATATAAGCATTAAAATGAAATTTTACATCACATTGGAAATCTAATACACTGGGCAACACTCTCCATCCTCTCTCACCTAGAAATGTTCTTTTTGTGTCCCCTGTCATGGTTTTGCTTTTTTCTGGAGCTGCCAGAAGAATCTTTTTCTTTTCATGCTTAGAGAACAAGAGAGAGTTAAACATACGGGAGTACAACCAGCGAAAAAAGTAGGCGATCGTATGTGCTTTCAAAATTCTCCCACATACATTTTCTTTCCAAACTTTTGTTGAGCTATATAAGGAGTGTGCTGCTCTACTAACTCACCATCTGAACACCACTCTCCCTGATACTGGTGGTTTCTGCCAAAGCCACAATTTTAATATGAGTCGCTTTCATTTTATTTCTCACCTTCATGCCAGGAGCAAGGTACTTGTCAGCAAAACCACCAAAGACTTAAGCACAAGAAAACAATGCAGACACCAAACTGGGGTAGCCAACCTGGTTCCCTCCAGATGTTGCTGGACTACAACTCCCATCACTCCTGACCATTGATTACACTGGCTGGTGCTGATGGGAGTTGGGGTCCAACAACAGCTGGAGGACCACAGCTTCCTCATATTTATTAAAATTGCTCACCTCTCTGAACAACCTTGCATTAGTCATATATGGGCTAAAAAAAGACAGAGATCTAATCTTTGTCAAGCTTTTCTTCCTGGTTGCCTCAAATCCTCATATATTGTTGGACTTACAACACCCCCAATCCCTGGCTATTGGCAAAGCCATCTGGGGATGATTGGAGTTGAAATCCGAAAAATACTTGAGGACGCAAAGTTGAAGAACACTGATCTCGACTGCCCATTAAAACTCTCTTAATTTCCTCCCACTCCCACCCAGCAAATAGGCCAGGTTCTTGAGGCCATATTACTCATTGCACTTTTCAGACAAGCAGCAATAGGATGATTTGGGGTGTTAAAAAGATAAATAGCAGGCACAGGGGACCAATCTTTATTGGAACACTTGCAGGGGAAGGAGTGTAAACACAGCCACAGCCTTTCCCAGACTGCAGAGTATCTGTTGGGTGGGGAGTGTTAAAAGTACCCCCCTATTCAACGCTCCATTTGTGTGTGGGGGGGCTACACCTACTTTTGACTCTTTTAAAAACAATTCACTAGGGTTGTTGAACTTTTTTTGCAAAACCTCAAAAAAAAAAAAGACATTTCTGAACTATTTTTTAAAGGAAAATCAGCAAAACCAACGTCAACATGGCTTGCCATACGTCTGGATTTTCCCAGACATTTTTTTCCCCCAGTTTACCGGACCTATAGCAACCCTAAATTCACAAAACTGCTAACTGTCTGGCTTGGCCCTTCGACCTGACTTTCCTCAAGGCTGATACAGAAATAAGACTTAGTGCGCCACATTCTGATTCATAGGACGTGAAATTGGAAGCCATCAGATGAAATTGCACTATCACTTCTTGGGTCATCTTTGTGATGGTGACACAAATTAGTACCATCTAATTAGCATGCAACTGGTTGTCTTTGCATAAGTGAAATCTCTCTCTCTCTCTCTCTCTCTCTCTCTCTCTCACACACACACACACACACACACACACCCTCTGTTTTGGGCTGCTTCCCAGGAATGATTTGCTGCTGCTGGACCAAAGAGTCCTTATTTACCAAGCATCACCGAATAAACTCAAATGTAACCATAGCTATGTAAATCTGATACAGATACACATTCAGATAAGGTATGTCCCATAAAAGGCTCCTTCATTTCCAAGGAGCAGTGATACTGGGCAGGGTATTCTTACTGGTTTTAAAATTTGTTATTAATCTACAGGCCGATCAAGACTTGCCCACAAAATCCACATTTCATGTAGTCAGTTTGTCCCCTGGCAGTGGCAGTCCATGTTGTATATTTGAATGTGATTTTAATGCAGAGCTTCCACATCCATACTCCCCGTTTCCCTCTATTTGCTGTTTCCAGCAACCGCCCCTCTTTATAAGCTACTCCACATCAAAAACACCTGCATTAAATATTTTTTAAAAATGGACAAAGGCATTCACAGAAAGCTGGCTGGAGTGCTTTTAAACTGGAGCAGATGTCTTTTTTGGGTTTTCCGAGGATAAGGAAACTCTCAAATTATTGGGAAGAAAGTGTGGGACAGCAGTTGTTTCCTGTGAACGTTGTATGCAGAAGGGAGAATTAAAGGATGCACAAGGGGCAAATGCTCCACATTAAGCTGAGGGGTGGTTGGACCCAAAGTCATCTGGTTTAGAAACTCTGGGGCAAGTTAGCATTTTACAGATTAGCTTTTAAAAATCTGATTAGTTTTTGCAGAGTGAGAAGACCTTCATATTTACCCTGCTTTCACTATGCTTGTTGAGTGATCAAAAAGGTGCTAAACACCCACACACCAGGATTATGGAAATAAGTGGGGCAAGGCCATTATCACATCATTCCCAAATTGCACAGGCACCCATAGATCAAGCAGGAATTACTCAGCAACTCCCACAGAGATGAACTAATCTCAATCCTTTCCCAAAGTTACTGCAGAGTGCTGACACAGGGCTTCTAGGGTGCTGAGCCTGGGCGCAGCAAAATGCACTTGATGGGGAACATCATGAAGCTTTAGACGGTGGGATCCACACATATACAAATGTATACGTGTCACTTCAACTCTGTGCTATAGTAACTTCTCCCCTGAACATTGCACAGGGTTAAAATGTGCTGCACTGCCCCCAGGCTTGGGTGTGCCACACTGGGGCCTCTAGGTGTCCTGTTTATTGTGCATGCAAGATTATTCATGCTCATGATGGTATATCAGGGCAGTTATACACAATGCAGCTTTTAGTACTGTTTGCCTGCAAAAGGTCTGGGACAGTCATACTTCTTCGTTTCTGGTCAGTGCATGTCCCATAGCTTCCTCCTGAAATCCTGTAACCTTCTTTACCACAAATGCTCCTTCCGAGTTATTGTTTATCCTGCTTTCGTTGCACTATAGTGCACCAGACTTTGATAATGCAACTACACTGAGGAAACATTGCAGTGCAACTAATCAAGCACAATAATATGTGTGCATGGTCCAGTATGAGTCCACCACTAAGGCAGCATTATTACATCAATGACATGTTGCAGAAACCTTGATCATTGAGAGTCTGCTCTAAATCAGGGATGGGGAGACTTGTGAGACCCATTTTGCTTTGTACCAGACCTTGAATATCTACTATCCAGAGACAGGTGCAAAGGCATTCTGTTGGAATTAAAGAACTGGGTGCCTCTGAGCACAATCTGAGCCAAGGAATTTGTTTTCAGTACCAGAACTGTTCACAGGCCTTTCACACAACAGTCCACCCCTGCTTAGCTTCCGTCATTTCATCAGCTTCATTTAGGCAGAGAAAAGTTATATTGTCGTTGCTCGTGTTAAACAATCAGGAGTAGTTAAAAACCCTTGCTGATCCTCTAGAGATCCGGCAGCAGCTCTTGATCTTTCTCCTGCCTATCTCCTGCTCTGCAATGTTGAAGCATAGAGGATTCCAATCTTTCTGGCAACCTGAGATCTGGGGCGGCGAGGAGTGTTCCCTCTTTTGACAGACTCATTCAGAACTTGGGAAGGTGCTCTTATTGTGCTTCAGCCTAGAAATTTGGCAAGACTGAATGCTTTTCATTTTCTGTCCCGTAACAAGAAACCTTGAGAATCAACAATTGACATTCATTTGATTCAAAGCCAGATGCCAAACCTGCACAAAAAACCCTCACGATTGTTGCTTCCCCACCCTGTTGCTAATGAAACGCCCAAAATATAACAGAATATTATAAATTGTAAATCAGGGGGTGGAGAACCTTAGGCCCTTGAGACTTTCCCTAGGTCACAACTCCTTTCGAGTCACACCCCCTACTGGTTTCGCTACATGCCTTCCTTGTATGTTTTTGCCAGGTTGGACTGTGCCCCTGAACTCTGAGTGGATGCGTGCCTGGATGGAGAAAAGAGAGGGGTGTGTGTGTGTAGAAACGAACCTATCATAGAAAGGTCAATTTACATTCATTGCCCCACTTTTGCCTCTGGTGCTGCCCCCTACTGGCATATTGCCCTCGGAAGATTGCCCAGAAGGAAATACAGCCCTTGGTCTGAAAAAGGTTCCCCATCTCTAATGTAAGTAGTCATAGGAAAGAGAGAGGATTAGGTCTGGTTCTTCTTTTATGTACTTTCTTTGGGTACTTCATTTACTACTGTAGCTACTCAGGCAGTGACTGAATATTGGGCTTTGTCAGTAGTGCCCCCCAAACTTTGCAATGTCCTTCCCAGCTACAAATGCTTAGGACCTGTTCTCATACTTACTTGCCTTTAAATTCACAATATAGTTGTTTTTAGCTTGAGTGTTTTATTGAGAACTCTTCTTCTTCTGTTCCAAGCTCCAGCTGTGCTACACTTTTCAAGCTGCATCAGAACATATTAAAAAAGTCATTGCTTCCCCCAAAGAATCCTGGGAACTGTAGTTTGTTAAAGTTGCTGAGAGTTGTTAGGAGACCCCAATTCCCCTCACAGAACTATAATTCCCAGGGTTCCCTGGGAAAAGAGATTGATTGTTAAATCACCCTAGGTATTGTAATTTTAATTGCAAAGCCATGACTTTAAAATTGACTCATACTGCTTCAAGTGTGTACTGTAAATGGGGCCATTGCATTTCTTGTTTTGTTTGATTGTTTACTGCCTCGTGGGGTATTATTATTACTGGTATTATTTATTAAGTTTCTATACCGCCCTTCACCTGAGGATCATAGGGAAGGTCACAATATAAAAACACAAACTGCATACCATATTAACAAACAAAAACAATACCTCCCACAGTTTTAAAGGCCACAAATTGTTTAATTAGCCAAAGACTGGGATAGATACTGAGGTGTGTGTATGGGGGGCAGCAGTAGCAGCCCCGCTGGCCATACCTATCGGTTGGAGTTGTACATGCCACCGGTCACAGCCAGCATGGGCAATAGTCAGGGATGATGAGAACTGACAAGGAAGCCTGACTTCAGACCATCTAATCTACTGGGTCACAACCAACCTTCTGAGTATATCAAAACTTCAAGAAGGATGGGTGTTAGGCATGAACCTTTAGTTGGACTTAGTCGTGTATGTGATGTTAGGGGAGGGGTAGTACCTTCTTCTGGGGTAGTCGTAACCACCTTTGGTCCCCACCCTGCACTCTACTCTCACCTGTGGCTTCTAGAAGCTGCCAGCATGGGACAGTGGACACATCTCAGCAGACTGAGTGGATGAGACCAATGGTGGGTCCAACGGTCAAGAAGGCAGCTTATGCACGTGCTTTAGATAGAAGTGAGGGGCAGATGAGGCTCGCCGACCTGGAAAGGTAGCCCATCTAGGAGAAGGAAAACTGATCCTAAAACTGCCTTGCAGGAAATCGTTAAGAAAATAAAAGGCTAAGGAGTTAACCCTACACAAATCCGGAAGGGAGTCCCTAAGACAGTTGGATGGCGCCAACTGGTGCCAAACGAATTGCTTTCCTTTCCTTTGGACCATATCAGTGAGGCCGAGAGTGGGGTCTTGTCATCTTGTGCACCATGGAAAGTGTCTTCGGTGCTGCTAACGCAGCGGTTTTAGTTCACTCCCGGAGGCGCACTCCATTGTCTCTTGAGACAGACGGATGCCAACAACAGTTGGTCTTAATAAAGGCATTACCCAACTCTTCCTTATGCATGCATGTCTATGTCTTTGGGTGTGTGTCTACTATGTTACGTTACTCCTTGCATTTTTGCAGTGGTGCACTTAAGTAATTTAGACTAGCCTTCTCCAACCTGGTGCCCTCCAGATGTTTTTGGACTACAACTCCCATCAGCCTCAAGCAGTAAGGACTAATGTGAGTTGTGGTCCAAAATACCTGGAGTGCACCAGGTTGCAGTCTGTTTTAGACTCTGACTACATCTCTCCCCCACTCCTGCTGCCCTTTAGATGTGTTTGGGGTCGCTCCTGCTCATTCTGCCCCAAAGTCCTGCTCTGATGGCACCACTGTGCCTTTGAGCTTGTGGAGAAGAGCCAGCTAAGATGGGTGAATGCTTAAAAATAATCTGACAAATTACCTATGTGTTGGCCTCATATAATATCTTGCTTTTTTATTTCAACCAGTCCGTATCTCAGAGCAGGAGAGGAAGTTTCCTTCCTGTTTCCATGGAATTATGTTTGGAACGCTGTTGGTGGCTTGGCAGGGTGAAAGCACAAACCTGACTCACCCTGGAGATTAATGCCTTGTCAGACTAAGCAGGTCAGGACACATTGAATTTCTCAACCCCTGTCTGCTTCTCTGCTGTAGAAAGGAAAGGCTGAGTTGACTTGGCTCAGATGGCATTTACAAGCACTGGTCAGCAATTCAGGTTAGGAATAGAGCAACAGGTTTGCCACTTAGGTGTGCCTCCTTTTTTGCTTTCTGGGCAGGGATCCCAGGCCTTCAGCAGCTGCATGATAGGTAAGAATAAAACAGGTGTATTTCCTGCTAGGGCAAAAAGGTGGCTATCCTATCATTACATAATTTTAAAAAGAGAGGGGAGGGAGGAAGAGAGAGAGGGACAGGTGGTTCATCCCTGCCCTTTTAAATGTGCACGGTTTTTATTAAAACTTTGGGACCTGAAGGACACCAGAGGGGAACATTGCCTGCATACTACCACCCTACTCTGGCCAAAAGAGGGAACTACATGCAAAAACAACAATGAGCTTAATAACAAATACTAAATATATATATTTTTATCAAAGATAAAAAAACTAATCTAAACACAAACACAAACCAAAAGGGGGGGGGGAGGAAAAAGGAAAAAGAACTTCTGATTCTTCTTCTGTCAGCTACAATATAGAAAATTATTCAATACATCCAAGGTAACATCCAACAATTCCACTTTCTACAAACCAATATTTTCTTTAATCCTCAAACCTAGATATTATAAATTCAATTTCTTTTTCACGCAAAAAGTCTATAAGGGGTTTCCAATCTTTAGTAAATATTGACAATGATTTTTCTCTGATTAAACACATTAATTTTGCCATCTCAGTGAAGTCCAGTAATTTTAGCAACCATTCTTCCATGGTAGGTAAGGATCTTTCCATCTTTGTGCATATAAAAGTCTCGCCACTGTGATCATGTATTGAAATAATGATCCATAGTCTTTTTCTAATTGTATATCCATTATTCCTAGCAGGAAAAGTTCTGGCTTCAATTGAGTATAAAACTTTAAAATCTTCTGCATCAATGTATTTATTTGTAGCCAATATTTCTCGGATTTTCTACAAGTCCACCAAGCATGATAAAATGTCCCTTCACATTTTTTCACACTTCCAGCAAACATTTAGGACACCTTTATACATTTTAAATAATTTCGCTGGAGTTAGATACCAGTGAGAAATTTTATTTTTACAGTATTTTTAAAAAAATATTTAAATCAACACAGTGCAAATTTTAGCCCCGAGTCTCATGGCAGCTTAAAAGACAAAATAATTATCACTGCATAAGCTTTTGTGGACTACAGTTACTTCAATAAATGTATGAAGGGTTATCCTGACTTGCTGGTATATACATGGTTGGGGAGTAGAGAGAATATTATATAGAGGGATTCCTTTTTTTAAAAAAGTTATATTTGTTAATTGGCTTACCAATGTCAGGATGTCTATGTTATCAACAACTTTTTGGGGTGAATGGCCACTGTTAATAATGGAATTATCATAATCTGTACTTTTCTGCATTTCATTTTCTTCTGACCTGACTGTTTACAATCCTCTAACCTTCAATCTGCAGCTCAGGATAACACTTCATGCATCTAGTGAAGTGCCGCCGAATTTTCTGGGGCCAATATATAGTATATGGATCAGGCCCTCTGCTGTACTTGCAAAAGAATACATAATTTTGCATTAAAGTTGTATACCCTTGGTCATATGCAAATTTATGCCTTCTCTGGGGGTAGAGGACCCAAAAATAAATCACATCACAAACAGGTAGACAGACAAACAGACTGTGAATAGTTGAAGCTTTCCCCATCACTGGATTTCCACACTAGAAAAACTAACCTGTTTGATTTCTGCCTGCCACACAGCACTGCTCTCCCCCAGGGCCAACCATGCAAAGAACTCAAATTAAGAGCAAAAGCAAAAAAACAAAAAATTGGGCACCTTAATTTTTTTTAAGTGAATACCTGTGACTAAGGCAATGAGACACTAGAATTAAAAAAAAACAACCCCACAAAGGAAGGCAAGCACCTCCCCACCCTTCATGCTTGATTTATTGCTGCATTCCACTCCTGCCACTTTAAAGCAAAAGACAAACACAAACCTGTTTGCCAACCTTGGTAAACAGCAACTAAACTACTCGAAGTGTGTGCAGTTTCGCATTTTAAAACCACTTTTCTCATCATTGGTCCCTTTTCAAAATTGTTTGGTCAGGTGAGATTTATGCTGCAGCACTGGCTCTGTATGAGGTCAGAATTCCCCAAATGCCAGGTTGCTATACATTTATGTGGGATATAATGAAGGTGTCCCTGTTCCAGTTGATTTTAGGAATAACACAACCAAAATGATTAACAAAGCAGGGGGGCGCTGTATTCTAGGTGAAGCATTTGAACTGATACCACTCCTTAAAATATTTGACCCCTAGTTGTCCTAGCTGAATTTCATGCTTTGAGACTAACAAGGTTAGCAGCCAAGTCTTGGTTGCACCTTGCAAGTCATTACATCTTTATTTGTGTAAGTTCTTATAATGACCAGCTTGAACGAACAGGTGAGGTGGGTGGGCAAGTGGTGGCTGGTTTCTCAGTCAGGCCAGTGCAGTAGTAAGTCCTGCTACTCCAGGGGTGGCGAACCTTCTTGATCTGAGGGCCGCATTTCCTTCTGCACACTCTTCTGGGGGCCACATGCCAGTAGTATTTGTCTTTTGGTTAAAGTAAGCAGGGCAACAAATGCAACATTTATCTTTGCATACTGTCCAACATTTGGAGACCCCAAACCAGGACGTGCTTCTTCCGGGACGTGTGCCCAGGTGAGTCACATGACCCGTGCCGTGCTTTCTTTGGGGCAAGAGTGCAGTGCAACAGCGAGCAAGAGTGTGATACCCAAAATGGCCGCTGCGATCTCACACAAAAAAACAGGATGCCTCGGTTTTTTGCACAAACCTGTATATTCTCCAACTAGACAGGCAAGAGGCATTCTCAGAATTCAAGGACACCTTCCAACCAGGCAAAATCGTGTGCTGTATGTAATGGGGTAACCACCCACACACTTCCGCTGCGCTTTCTGCTTGTGTTGTGGCACCTTCGGTAAAACTACTTCTTACTGTTTGTAGCAGAGTTTTTCCCCGGAGGCAGAGGACAAGAACAGGAGTCACACTCAGATTCTTCAGTCAAGAGATTTTTTATTGCTTGACTGGTTGCACAAGCATTTCTGTTACAAGCTATTTACAGTCCTTCTTTATCTATCCACCATGGTATAATCTCAGTGTGTGTGTGTGTGTGTGTGTGTGTGTGTGCTTTCCTCGTGAGGAAATTGCAGCCTGCAACTTCCTCCCTTTATTTGCACCTCCAGCTGACACCAATCAAGCCTAGAGTGCCACTCCTACACACTAAAGACAGTGGTGGCCAAACTCAGCCCTCCATAACAGTATGAATCAAAGCCAGTGAGGGGCATGGCCTGGGGAGAGTTCCCAGGGCCAGACGGAGAAGCCTGGAGGACCATATCTGCCCATCTCTGCTGCTCCATTTCTCCCTCTGGTGCAGCTGGGTGGAATGGCTGATACTAGATGACAGTTGAGAGAAGGAAAGAGACGAAAGGCAGCAAAAGGTGTGACTCCCACTGTCCCACCTCTCCCTTTTATCTGGTCCCACGTTGATTCTGGTTGTGCAGCTACTGCTTCTTTTCAGCAGTGGTTTGTGTTTCCAGTATTTCAATTGTTTAATTTTTTTAAATGGCATGCACTTCTTTTTATGGCTTACGTCGCTCTGGATACTTTCTTAGAAAAGTGACTCATAAATAGTTTACATAAAATAAGAATGCATATGTAAACACACCCACCCACCCCCGGTGATGGCAAGATGGGCAGGGTGTGTGTGCGCGCAGGATGACTTGCAGAGTCCTCTCCCGTGGCCTGTGGTGGAGAGGAGGGCTGCTGGTGGGAGGGCACTCATCCACAGCAAAATCTTCAGCAGCAGGAGGTAAGCTTCTGTTGGCAACACTGCCACCGGCAGTAGGCAATAGAGAGCTCTGAAATGGGGGCTCTTTGAAGTGGAATGCAGGATGCCGGTGGTTTGGCTTCTCTCTACTGGATCCAAAGCCCCACAGATCCCTTGAGAGGCCTGATCATCAGGCCCCTCGGCTGTGTGAGCTTAGAGCTGGTGCAACAAAAGGAACTGCCAGCCCACCTCCTTCCACTCTGACCAGGATGAGTACCAAGGTTTGGTGTGTGGCAATCAATCTGCTGCTTTGTTGCTCTCCATCCAGGCTTTGGATTGCTCTGTAATTATTATTTTTTTAACTGGCATTTGTGATTTGAGGAAATTGTGCCATTCCATTATGGTTCAGATCTGTTCAAAAATCCATATCGTCACCTGTACAATCGTATTTCAATCAAATGCTAGCACGTGCTACTGTGCTTGCTTATAATTAATAGGCCCTGGCTTTGGTTCAGTCAGTGCCTTTGATCATAAACTACTAGTTGTCTTTCAAGCCATTCAGAAGATTCCCATAGCCCCTGGATTGGTTCTAATCCACCGTTTTGCAATCACTGGGCTGGATGACCTTTTAAACAGACCATCCCAGACCAAGTATGTGATGATTCTGCGTTTCTGGAGAATGAGTGTAGATAATTGGGGCCCTTGTAAAGGAACACAGGTTTGTCGAAATAGTCATTTAAAAAGTAGTAAGTTTTCAAGGGGGAGGAGTATAATAGAATAGAAACACGAAGGGATTTTTACATTGGCTCAGAGTGGGGAAACTTTGCCAACCCAAGGGCCACCTTCCTTTCTGAGGGCCACATGCCAGTGTGGGGTGGGGACAGGGCCAAAAGTGGGTGAGACAACAAATGTAAATTTTATCTTTGTACAGTAGGCTGGTCTCTGCACACGCGCACCCCTGTTTATCACCCATCCAGTCATGGAAGAGGCATTATCAGAATTCAAGGACACATTCCAGCTGGGCAAAAATACTAAAGAAGGGTGCAAAGCCGGAGTGTGGAGATTTGTGGCCTGGGGAGAGGGTGGATGGCTTCAGGAGATCCCCAAGGACTAAAGAGAGAGATGGGGGGGGGATTGAATTTGGCTACTGGGTCTGTGTTTCCCCACCCCTGCTGCAAAGAGTTTAATGAGTCTCTTGCCTCCTCTTGGCCTGACCATTTCTTTTGTCCTTTCTGTGCCCTGTCTCTAGCTTTTCTGAGTCAAGAGGACTCTCCGTGGCATCTGAAAGCAAAGGACCTCATCCTACAGGACCATTTGACATTGGAAGAGGCCTCCTTTGCACTCAGTACAGAATGGAGGAGGTCGCTGGTGGGTCTCGCTCTGCTCAGAGCAGGACAGGGGGATCCACTGCAACTGCCTCGCTCAGAAGGAAGACAACACCTTCTGATCTACTGAAGGAAGAGACCAAACCTTCCTTTGGCAAAGTCTCAGCTGTAACACAGATGCTGGAGAGAGGAAGTACCAGAACCAGAGGCAACAGCCCCTCCAGAGTGTCCGTGTTGCTCGAGGCCTGGGAGAAAGGGCTTGTAGGCACGGGCACCATTGGCCCATCTTCCTCAACAGGCATCAGGGACTCCCGTTCCCCCGTACCCACCAGGCGCAGCTTTTCATCCAAAGATGCTCCCCACCCACTTCTCTCAGAAAATACCAGGAGTTCTCTTTCTCCCACAAATGCCAGGCAGCCCATTTCTCCAGCAGGTAGCAGGCGACCCCTTCTTCCAGCTGATGCCAGGCGGCCCCTTTCCCCAGCAGATAGCCAGCGGCCCCTTTTTCTAGCAGAGACCAGGAGGTCCCGATCTCCAGCACATACCAGGCTGTCTTCCTCACCAGCAGAGACCAGGAACTCCTTCTCTTCAGCAGAGACCAGGCGATCCCGATCTCCAGCACATACCAGGAGGTCATCTTCACCAGCAGAGACCAGGAACTCCTTCTCCTCACCAGAGACCAGGTGGTTCCAATCTCCAGCAGATGTAAAGGAGTCACCATCTCTGGCAGACACCAGGAACTCCTTCTCTTCAGCAGAGACCAGGCGATCCCGATCTCCAGCACATACCAGGAGGTCTTCTTCACCAGCAGAGACCAGGAACTCCTTCTCCTCACCAGAGACCAGGTGGTCCCAATCTCCAGCAGATGTAAAGGAGTCACCACCTCTGGCAGACACCAGGAACTCCTTCTCTTCAGCAGAGACCAGGCGATCCCGATCTCCAGCACATACCAGGAGGTCTTCTTCACCAGCAGAGACCAGGAACTCCTTCTCCTCACCAGAGACCAGGTGGTCCCAATCTCCAGCAGATGTAAAGGAGTCACCATCTCTGGCAGACACCAGGAACTCCTTCTCTTCAGCAGAGACCAGGCGGTCCCGATCTCCAGCACATACCAGGAGGTCTTCTTCACCAGCAGAGATGAGGAACTCCATCTCCTCACCAGAGACCTGGCGGTCCCATTCTCCAGCAGATATAAAGCAATCTCCAACAGATACCAGGAACCCCTTATCCTCACCAGAGACCAGGCAGTCCCAGTCTCCAGCACATACCAGGCAGTCTTCTTCACCAGCAGAGACTAGACGGTCCCATTCTCCAGTAGATATAAGGCGGACTCCATCTCCTGCAGATACCAGACACTCCTTCCTCCCATCAGAGACCAGGCGGTCCCGTTCTCCAGCACATAGCAGGCGGTCTCCTTCCCCGGCAGATGCCTTGTTGTCCTTCTCAGAGAACAGGCGGTCCCATTCTCCAGCAGATTTAAGGCGTTCTCCTTCTCTAGCAGATACCAGGCTTGCTTTCTCCCCATCACAGACCAGGCGGTCCCGTTCTCCAGCAGATATAAGGTTTTCTTCACCAGCAGAGACCAGGCGTTCCCTTTCGCCTGCAAATAGCAGGACATCTTGCCTCATGACAGATACCCAGGGCTCAGCAAGTTCCCAGCCTTTGCCTCCTCCAGTAGAGAGCCGCTACTCATCTACTGCGGCAGATGACCATCGCTCCTCTTCCACAGCAGATACACAGTGTTCATCTTCTTTACCAGTCGACAGATACTCATATTCTGTGGCAGATATTAGACGCTTATATTCCTCAGCCGACACCAAGTGTCCGTCTTCCCCAGCAAACACCAAGCACCCAGTTTCTTCGGCAGAAACCAAGCACTCAACTTCTCTGGCAGATGCCAGACACCTGTCTTCCTCAGCAGACACCAAGCAGACATTGTGTTCAGCAGAAAACAAGCTCCCAACCTCCCCAGTAGATGGCAAACACACACCTTCCCCGTCAGACGCCAAGTGCCTATCTTCCTCAGCAGAACCCAAGCACCCATTTTCTTCTGCAGAAAGCAAGCGCTCCTCTTCCCCAGCAGGTTCTAGAAGTTTCTCTCCCACATCAGATGGGAAGCGCTCCTGCTCTCCCAGCCCACGGAAAGATTTTACAGCTCACGGTCCTGTGTTTGCTCAGGTGTACACCCCAGCTTCAAAGCCAAAGAGCCTGTCAGGAACAGAGACACAAGATGCTAATAGCACCATAGTAGCTGGATCCCAGGCAGGAAACCACTGCGGTAGTGCTACTGACACCCCTCTGGCAACTAGATTTCAGAGAGAGAGCCTCATATCAAGCACAGATGGCTCTCAGGAGGAACCTCTCCCTGTTATTCCTATCAGCACTGGGGCAATGGAATCCCAGGGGGAAAGCCATGCGCCAAATGGTGCTAGCTCCAGTATAATCACCAGATCCCTGACAGAAAGTGCCCAGCCCAGTGCCATAATACTTAGATCCCAAACAGAAAACTACCAGTCACAAGTTGCCAACACTACTTCTTTGGGTGGATCCCTGGGGGAAAGTTACACGCCCAGCACCACAAGCACTAAACCTCCCAGTGGGCCCTGTGTGCTAAGTCCCTTGCCTCGTGTTGTAAGCTCCAGCACTGTAGCCAAATCTCAAACCCAGTGGTATGGCCCCAATGGCAACAGCATGGTCGTCTTTAGGTCTGAACGACAAGTCATCGTACCCCAAGCTGGAACCACCACTGTCTACAGAGCAGGGCAAGAAATTATCATGTCCAGCTCTGGGACAGGGAGTGCAAGCAAAGCCCTGCAAGGAAAGTCCCTCGTGCCAAGCTCTATCAGCTCCCTGCCACCAAAAGAAAACTTGCAGTCCCAGAGTGACCTCCTTGATGACAAGTCCCCACAGGGGAGCCCTGCATCCCTTCCAGATGATGTTTGCAACTGCTCCATAGCAGGTTCCGAGCAAGAAAGCTGCATGACTCAATCCAGAAGTGCCGGTGTGAATGACGCCCAAAGGCAAAGGTGTATGCTTCTGCCAAACCCTGCATTCACATCAAATAGAGATGCTACCACACTCAGGGAGGGAGTTGCTCCTTTGAGCACATCCGAGAGAGACTGCAGCCCGCACGCCAAACCTGCATTCCAGAGGCACAGCAACTTGTTTACATCAAGCAGGTCTGAAAGGGAACAAAGCATGCCTGATCCAGATGGCCCTGTAACAAATGGGTCAGAACAGGAGAACAACCTATCAAGAGCAAAGAAGGCCAACACATCTGCATCCCAAGGACTTCGTTGCTCATTGGATGCTGCAGAAGAAACCAATATGCTCAGAACCTCTGCTGAATCCCAGGAATCTGTGACAAGGGAACAAAAATCTACCATCTGGAATGAGCTAAAGGAAGAACAAGGTTATCCCAGAAAAGATTCCCCTGTGTTTGCACTGGAACCAGCCATTCCCCCTACCAAAACGAACTCCTCCCATGAACCTCCAAGCCAGGAAGCAGGACACAGCAGCAGGACAGCAGAAGAGGAACCTGAAGAAGCTGTGGACATGGAGCTTTTTGTAGACACCCTCCGTAATATGGAGCCCCCTGAACTCCACAAGCCCCTGAAGCTCCTCCCGAGGCCTCCACGTCCTTCCACGTTTGCAAAGCACACATCCCTTCCACCTATCGATGAGGACCACGTCGCTCCCAAGTCAAAGCTTCCTCTCCCAGCAGCAATAGGTGAGCTTTTCGCTCTTACTGAGGAGAGGAACTCAGAGGGAGAAAAAGAAATGGAGGAGGAAGATGAGATGGAGGAAATAGAGAACCCATATCTTACCAAGGATGAAAAGTCATGGGAGAACAGCCAGGCCAGAGAGTCGTACCCTTGGGAAAACAAGACGTTCAAGACTGAGGAGGAGATTGGCTCTTTCCTGGGGAAGTTGCAGGAAGGGGCTGCAGACGCCAAGGCCAAAGCCATCGCTCCTAAAGCTATCGCCAACCAGAGCAACTTAATCAGAGCAAACATCCTCAAAGGGCTTACTCTTTTGTCTGGCTTCTCAGACAAGAAACCTGTGGAAGATAAGCCTTATTCTCGCTTGGACAACAGTCTCCTCTACAGCAGGTTCATCTCCCCAGAGAAATCTCAACAAAAAGTCCTGGAAAAACGGAAAGAAGGAAGAGATTTGCCCACACTCCTGGCTCCGGCTGCCCAAAAAGTCAACAGGGAATGCCAGACATCTCCAAATGAGCTTCTGCTGAAGGCACCTGAAAATCTGAGTTCTGAATCACCGCCATCTGCGCTGCAAGCTGAGCCTGCCTTTGGGGTGCCAGGTGCAGACAATAGCTCCCAGCAGGTTACTCTTCTGTCCATAGAAACAAACTCTCTTCCCCAGTCAAAAGCTCAGGTAAGTCAGTCTGCGCTGTGCAGTGAAGGGTTCCTTCCATCCTTGTTTTGCTGGCAACAGCTGCAATAATGTCACAAAGAGATTTTGTTGTTTTAGGGCATTCAGGAAATGTGGACTATTTGGGGCCCGCGTGGGTGTGTAACAAAAGCAGGGTGCTGTAGCACAATTCATGCCAATGGGTTCTGTTCCTAGAATCTCCACCTTTGACCTGAAGTGGAACTGGTGGTACAACATCCAGTTGATGCTGAGAGGGTTGACAAAACCTTCATTCATAAGGATAATGATTACAGGGCCAAAACCACCAAGGTCTTGACTTAACTGTACAGTTTTTAGTCAAGTCACTGGGTGTTTGCACCTGGATGAAGGGCAGAAGAGCTTAAGCTTCATTATGTTGTTGTTGATCTTCCCTAATGGCTGCTACAGAGTCAGTGATGCTCATTAAAGAAATTGAAGGGAAGCAGAGGGGTCCATTTAGGACAGGGATGAAGGCTGCATAGTTGACAGATCACAATGTTCAAGCTTTTGAGACCTGGGACCCACCTTTAATTACAACTTGCAATGTGGAGCCCATTATCTTATAGGTCCAATCTTTCCCCCACCTCTCCCTCTCTCCTCTGTCGTTCTCTTGTCCTTCTTTTTATAATTAATGGATTAAAATGCTTATTTTAGTAATCATTTTAAAAATGTTGGTTTAAACACTTAATAAATAAAAACAAAACATACTTATTTTACAACAAAGGGAAAGGGACTGCTGATAATCATATTATTATTCCAAAATAGTTTAAACCATTTCCAGTCTTGCTCAAACTTTGGTTGCTTCCATAGGGATGGGTAAATCTGTCGGTTTCAGTTTCTCATTTTTCCTAACTACAGTTCTGTGCATTTCCACATTGGTTTGCCAATTTAAGGAAAAGTTCTCATGCAAATTCATAAGCATTTTAGTGCAAATTTCTCCTAATGCACAGGTCTGTAAACATTTTTGCACAATATGTACATTTTTCAAAGCAATGTCCCCTAATACAATGCATTTTTATATGTTTCTTTCACTAATATAATGCATTTTCTATGCTGTTGTCACTCAATATATGCATTTTTATGCACACTTTCACCAGTATATGCATTTTTTTACACATTACTTGGCTGTAGAATTGCATTGAAAATTTTGGAAAAGTGTAAATTTCAAAGGATGGTTGTGTTTCATCTGTAGATTCATGACTGTAGATGCGCATTTAAATGTGGATCGAATCAGATTTTCCCCATGTCCCTTACTTTCCCCATGTCCCTTACTTGTTAAGCCTCCATTAAGATTTGTTTGCACAACTTTTGTGGAGAGGTTGGACATCATAAACAATTTACTGAGTGTTCATTATGATTTGCTAGTAGGAAGGTTGGGCAATGTCCTCTCAAACAATTGTTATCCCACACTTTCCGCAGCATTCAACCATCACTTTCTTTATCTCAAAAAGTCCTGTTTGTGGGGGGTCATCTCTAGTTGATGTGGAAATGTGGAGAACTGAATTTAAGACTGGAAAAATGAAGAACTGAAATTGGCACATTCGCCCATCCCTAGTCTGACCCAAATCAACAATTCCCACTAGTGCATTGGGGGGGGGGCTTCTTCCCCCATGCCCCCTTCCAAATCAGCTCCGCAGGGTCAGGCAAACTCCCTGAACAGCACACAGGGGGGAGAGAAGGAAGGTCACTCTGTTTGGCAAACATAAATGCTTATGCTGACCAAAGAATCACCTTAGTATGATGCTGAATTCCCCCCAGAGGGGCTTTTTGTGTATATGTGTGTGTGTTATCCACAAACAAGCAATATCTAACTTACGCTAAATAAATAAATAAATAAATAAATAAATAAATAAATAAATAAATCTCATATGAGATAGGGAAGGATTATTATCTCCATGTTGCTGATGGAGTGGGTGGGAGCTTTCTTTCCCTTCCAATGCAAATAGTGGTTTTGGAGTAACTAGATGTTTCTGAAACGTAACCTTTTTGCCCCATTTCTTCATGTAATTTTCCATTCATGTTTAAATTGCAGCAAGAGGAAAAGAAGCTTCCGACGAAGATTAATGTGCGACCTGGAAAGGTATGGAGGGTGAAAGGGGGTGGGGCTGTTGTTGCCAAATGTCTGGGCAAGGGGCTGATATGCTTGCAGAGAGAAAGTTAAGGGCTGGGTGTTATTGCATTGGTGCTAATCTCAATTTCTGCTTTTCTCACCAGATCATTCTGTACTCTGAGGCAGGCTTTGGGGGTCAGAAGAGAGAAATATGGGGTGATATCACTGATGCCACATCTTGGGAGCTCTCCCACACCATCTCCATCCGAGTGATCCGTGGAGGGTAAGTAAGCCTCTGAGTGATTTGCTTTGGGTTGTGTTGCAGGGAAGGGCCGTGTGTGCTGTGCATATAGAGAAGGGATGGGGAACCTGTGTGGCCCAACAGATGTCGTTGGACTCCCAACTCCCATCACCCCCAGGTTTTAGGGCCAACGGTGAAGGGGATGATGGGATTTGTAGTCCAACAATGTCTGGGGGACCCCAGGTCCCCATCCCTACTGTACAGGCAGAAAACACAGCACCACGTAGAAGTGAAATCAGAAGCAGATTAAGACGTTTCTCTTAATGCTTAGTCAAAATATGCTCTCCATCCATTGGTCCTATTCTTGCCCTCTGACATCTTAAATGGTCAAGGGGCATAATTTCCAGGCAGCGTTCATTTATTATTTTATTTTATATATTAAATATTAAATATTTAACTTGCCCTTCCTCCCAAAAGAGCCCAGGGCAGCCATCAACAAGAGATAAAACAATAAAGAACATTAAGCACATCTTTAAAACACCTTAAAAACAATTCTAATGCAGATGCGGACTGTGAAGGTTCACAACTTAAAAGGCTTCTTGAGAACCGAAGCAGAGCCAGCCCTCAAAATTTGCACATATCCAAATTTTGTGAAGAGGCGTTTGCAAAACATACAAAGTACACATAAAAATTATCACATTAGTGAAAACAGCATACAAAAATGCATTTAAGAGACATTGCTTGCAAAAATGTGTACATTAGTCAAAACTACAAACAAAAATGTTTATATTCAGAGAAATTTGCACTTAAATGTTCAAGTACTTTCCTTGGGGATTGTAAAAATAAATAAATTGCAAACTGCGGTGGAAATGTGAAGAACTGAAATTAAAATTGGAAAAATGAGAGACTGAGAGAACTGAAATAGACAGATCCGTCCCTACTCACAACTCTACTTGGAACTAACCCAATGTCATGTACTTGCCAGCTGGGTAATGTACGAGAAGCCACGGTTCCATGGGCGGAAGTGTGTGTTGGCAGAAGGGGATGTGGAGATCACCAACCCTTGGAGAATGTTCCACAAAGAAGGGGCAGCAGCTGAGAATGCTCCATTCCATATCGGCTCACTCAAGAGGGTTGTGCGGGTAAGCAGGACTCCTTTCCATTTGTGAGTAACGTCTTTCTACTTCTTGTGGAAGCCAGTTGTTTGGAAATGCAGGTCTCATACCAGCCTTCCTCAACCTTGAGCTCCCAGATTTTGTTGGACTACAACTCCCATCATACTTGGCCATTGTTCATGTTGTGTGGGAATATCATGTGGGGAAGGCTGCTCTGTACATTGTGAGCGATGGATGGATGGAAGGGAGGGAGGAAAACACAAGAATGGGGCAGGGAGCAAGATTGCAGTATGCCTATAAACTGCGGGCAGAGGCAGATTTTGGGAAGCACAACCAGGTCAGTGGCACTGGGGACCTTCTTCTCGACAATTTTGGTGGTTTGTTTCCTAAATAAAGCTGAACAACTTTGCGGGTGTCAGGAATTTTACTTTTTGAAATACGGCAACCCTTTTTCACTGAATGTGGGCTTATTTGAGTGGTTAGTGATCACATTTGGATGTAACACTAAACCATGGGTTAGCATTACATGAATGGGCTACTCTTCCCAGAGCTTGCATTCTCCTCTCCCTCCCACATTACTGAAAGGAGAAGCCTAGAAGCTTTTTCTTCCAGTTTTAGCAATTGTGACCAATTGGGGTGTTTGAGAAGGCAGTGGCGCATCCTCCCAGCGGTAGCAGCAATGCATTCATCAGGATAGGAATGGGGCAAGGTGACACCAGTGAGGTTGGGGGCTGCTGCATCGAGTGGCATTGATTGCATTGGTCCTTACTTGTGTGCTCTTGGGCATTGGACTTCAGCCATTATGTTTGCAACCCTAATGTCAGCACAGGCCTTTGGAACTCTTCCAAGTAAGATATCTCTGTCCCCTGGCAGTGTAGTAATTGGACTTTGAAGTACATTTTTGGATGCTGGAAATCAGTTTGGCGAGAAAACAAAGAGTTCTGTAGGTTTTTTGCCCCCCTTTCACAGGCCAATCCTCTCTGTTTCAGGATTACAGGATTCCTGAGATCAGTTTGTTTTCTGAGGAGAATGGAGAAGGCAGAAAACAGAAGTTCACAGATTCTGCAGAGGACACACGAATTCACAACGAGCCATTGCAGGCAGCTTCTATAATTGTGCACTCTGGCCTGTAAGTGACAGCTTTTAAATACTTTGAGCATTCATGATGTGAGAAGTGATCTAGAACTAGGGATGGTTTGGATTTTAATGTAAACTTACTTAATTTGCAATCAAATACAGAAATGGGTACGCTAGTGGAAAGTGTGCACAAGAATGCGTATATGCACACAAAATGCATTATATTATGGGAAATAGTTGTGTGTGCATATGTATGTGTTTCCTCATTTTTTAACACAGCACAGGTATTTGTTGGTCCCGGAAGGTAGATAGACCAATAATCTGATTTTTTTGCACAGGATCACAGCCTGGGGGATCATTGTGCAAAGGCTAAATTGTGATCAGGATGCACTTTGGCCTGGCTTGCATGTAATGCAAACAATGGTTTGTTTGTTTGTTTGTTTGTTTGTACAAACACACTCCAGCCAGCCAACTATGGTTCATTTGTGGCCATCAAACCAGAAACTATGGTTTGAGATTGGCTTATAAATTTCAGTTTGTGTTATTCTCGGTTTCTCATGACACTGAACCCACAATTCTAGTTTAATCCTAGTTTGTTTCAGCACCTCACACAACTCTGGCAACAGAGGTGCAAGTCAACAGCACTTAGAAAAAAAACCAGTATTAGATTAAGCAAGCCATGGTTACTTTGCTCATCTGCAAACCACAGCTAAAGCAAACCATTGCTTTGTGATACATGTGAACATTGCTATACAGTGGTGCCTCGCAAGACGAAATTAATTCGTTCCGTGAATTTTTTCGTCTAGCGAATTTTTCGTCTTGCGAAGCACGGTTTCCCATAGGAATGCATTGAAAATCAATTAATGCGTTCCTATGGTCAAAAAAAGTCCAAACAAAGCCAAATTTGGTACAACAAGAGTTTATTAAGTGCTCTTTAAAGTCACACATACTGTAAAGAGCATTTCAAAATTCAAACCCAGAATTTTTTTAAAAAAACAGCAGAGTTGCCCAATGGTCACAGAAAATCATAAAAATGCAGAAAAAAAACCACAAGCTTCCAGATTCTTGCAAACCCCTCCCCAACTGTTCCCCCAGCCACCCAGCACACAGAAATTCAAATCCAGAATTTTTTTTAAAAACAGCAGAGTGGCCCAATGGTCACAGAAAATCATAAAAATGTAGAAAAAAAACCCACAAGCTTCCAGATTCTTGCAAACCCCTCCCCAACACCAAGTCCTTGAATTCCAAACACCCCAACCCAAAATCCAAACCCCCCAAAAAAAGTTTTAAAAGCTTAACTTACCAAATGGCTGCAAAATAAGTTTTGGAAAAGCTTCAAAAATCACCAAAGTCTTTAAAAACCTCAAAAAAGGCTACTATGTACACTGCGTTCTATGAGTTGCTCCTGGAAGTCAAGTCGCAACTGTATTAACGGTGTTAAGAAAAAGGAAACAAACTTGCAAGACGGTTTCGTCTTGCGAAGCAAGCCCATAGGGAAATTCGTCTTGCGAAGCAGCTCAAAAAGCGGAAAACCCTTTCGTCTAGCGAGTTTTCCGTCTTGCGAGGCATTCGTCTTGCGGGGCACCACTGTATATTTATTGAGAAGTGGAACTACGGCAAAGCAGTTTGGGTCATATGTTTCTTTCATACTACAATCTTCTTCCTAAACTTGGTGGGGTTTTTTGCCCATGTTTGGGGTTACAAGTTGGCTGTACGCAGCAATGATTAGCTTGTGGCAATGCATCTCTGAATATCAGTCCCTGGGAAACAACAGTGGATGAGTGTTGTGGCGCAGGCTTCCCAGAAGCATCTGTCTGGGCACTGAGAACAGAATGGTGGACTAGATGAACCTTTGGTCTGAACCAACAGGGCTCATCTTATGATCTTATCATGAACCTGCCTCCCTAGGATCAGTTTTTCACCTCTATTGCTGATCAACTGCATTTGTCGAAACCACTGAAAAGCTGTGGGGGGAGCTAAACTTGTTCAGCAGGAGAAAAAACAGCACTAAGTCCTCTTTTTAAAGTACACACCCTGAGTTGATTTCAGCTCAGCCCAACCTGAAAAGCACCTCTGGCATAGGTCCATTTAATTATTTTTTTTATAAACATATTTGTTATGTGCAAATCCTCTCATGACTCAGTGGTAGTTAAAGGTTCATGGCTTCATTTGCATAACTTTTCAGCTAGCAAGTGTGTGTTCAGCCTTTCTTTTGTACACATATTTGTAGCAATTTGTAAATCCACACTTGACCTAATGGGAGGGATGTGCAATAGCTTGCAACACTGAGCTTGGGGTTAGATTTGATAGATGTATTTTAGTCAAGTGACAAGTGGGACCTGCCTTCCTAGTGCTAGAGGTCTGAGTTTGGGGGCAGGCTCTCAGCTTGGAACCTGAATATTTTATTTATTAAATTCAAATTATTTAACATGATTCATATACCGCTTAAGCATCAAAGGCAGTCTGCATAAAATATACATTAAAATTACAAATAAAATATAAATACAAATCAGATGCTAGAAAGAAGTTAGGCTAAAAACAATCCAAATAAAAATCAGCATTATGAAGCATTTATATTATCTCTTTATGTCATAAAATGCGTATACCACAAAGCGGTTTACAAAAAAAAAAAGATACAACAATAAAATTATCACTAAGAAAAATGAACAACAATGTTTTAAGGCTTTCAAAAATTTAAAATAACAATAGGCTAAAACAGATTAAAATACGCATCAACTTTCTAAACATCTGAGTAGGCTTGTCTAAACAAATGTTTTTTAGCATTATGAAATAAAACTACAGTTTGCATAATATATATATTAAAAGTAGGGATAAAACCAGATATTTAAAACAAGTTAGGCTTTAAAAAGCAAAATAAAATCAACGGTTTTAAAATATACATTAAAAAGTAAAATTATGTATTAAAATACAATTCAAATTTACATGGCTCCCTTAAACAAAAAGTTTTTAGCAGGTGCTGAAAACAATACAGTGAAGGCACCTGCCTAAAAATCGCTGCAAAGGAAGTTCCAAATTATTGGTGCTGACACACTGAAGCGTCAGTTCAGAACAAACATTATGTGGTTTTGCTGGTATTTCTATTTAACTGGGTGAGGCTTGAGAAGAGGGAAGTGGGAAGTGTGTCCTTCCTTTCCACTCTGCTGGAGCTTCCCTGTATACAGGGAGGGCAGCTTTCAAAACCCCCACCACCACCCCTAATCCCCACCCCCACGATATGTACTGTTAACTGTTAGGGGCTTAAGAAGGTCAGTTCCCTCCTATTCTCCACCTCATCCTGGAATATAGAAAAAGTCTCAGAAGCACAGAAGTCCCTGCCTTCAGCTGCTGGAGACAGAGCTAGGGGCTTAATATTGGTCTGAGTATTGAGTGGACTGGACTCTTCAGACCAGGATGATACATAAGACCAAACTCCTGCTTTTTGTATCTCACCTGGCTGCATCATGGTAAACTGTAAACTATGGTTTACCAAGCACAAGCAAAATGGCACCTGTTTCGCTCCTTCCAGCTCCCTTCTCCTGGTGTTGGGAGGAGACAAACCATGTCCCCTGGCTTAGCATTATGTCGAAACCTGGGATTGTGGTCTGCTCCCTCGCAGTGAACTACATTTTGTAGCCAAGGCTTGTTCTTCACTCATTGAATATGGCTTGTTGGAGCAAAACCATGATCCCTGGTTGGGATGCCAAGCTAAGGGATTCTGATGTGTTTCCTCCCAGCATATGCTTTATGGTTTACCATGATGTTCGAACATGACTGCTGTCTTTCCAATCACAGGTTATGCATTCCTCTCCTTCCAGGGCTGCCACTAGGATGTGCTTTTCAGTTCATTGGGCACATGACACTACAAAGTTTCAGCAGTCATTCATGGTTCTCTCTATGCTCCACAGGTGGCTTGTGTACTCAAAACCCTTCTTTGACGATGATCCTTATGTCTTAGAACCTGGTGGGTATCCCAGTTTGCGAGCCTGGGGAGCCAAGGACCCCTCAATCTGCTCCATGCATCCAATTAAGATGGTAAGTGTTGTTTGGCAGCATCTTCCTCCTGTTTTCAACCTTAAGGTCAAGGTAAAGGGACCCCTGACCATTAGGCCCAGTTGCAGACAACTCTGGGGTTGCGGCGCTCATCTCACTTTATTGGCCGAGGGAACTGGCATACAGCTTCCGGGTCATGTGGCCAGCATGACTAAGCCGCTTCTGGCAAACCAGAGCAGCGCATGGAAACACCGTTTACCTTCCTGTGAAGCAGTACCTATTTATCTACTTGCACTTTGACACGCTTTCGAACTGCTAGGTTGGCAGGAGCAGGGACCGAGCAACGGGAGCTCACCCCGTTGCAGGGATTCGAACCGGCAACTTTCCGATCGGCAAGCCCTAGGCTCAGTGGTTTAGACCACAGCGCCACCCTTGTCCCTTAGCTGGGCCTAAACTGGGATCATTATAAGTGATGGACAGCTTATAAATCTAAATCATAAATATATGTTGGGATATGAGTGTCCAAGCTCTCCATTTGCTTGTGGTTTCCTGTTTAGACTTTAGAAGGCAGGCTTCAGCTGCATGGAGACAGCAAATATTTTTTTGAAAGAATGACATTTTATATTTGAAAAGCCCCGCTATGTCAGATCTAACACACATCTAGTCCACCATCCTGTTCTCGCGATGGCAGAGTTGTCCATGAAAAGGAAGACGGAGTGGACAGATCCACTCACAGAATTCTCACTCTGGCTTTTTCTTGTTTTAGGGCTGTCCTGTCGTGGAAAAGCCTGGCGAGCCCAAGGTAAGAGGGGGAAATAATTGCTGCTGAATTTGATCCTAGGGCAAAAATACTTCCCAGCAGAAAAGGGGGCTAGAGGACTTAAGCTAGCTCTAGCATTGCACATTTCAGCAAGAGGCATCAGCAAATCTTTGTTTGGAATAAGCTAAAGTCTTTATTAATTTATATCCACTGTACTGAGTGGAAAAAGTCATTAGACAGTTAATCTACCTAGGGAAAGAAAGCTTAAGTGGTCTTCCTGAGTTGTGAGTTCAGTTTCTCTTTTCTTGTTTCACCTTTCCTCCTTCCTTCTGCCATTACTTGTAATGCCTGATGAAACTGAGTAAAATATGCCGTTTAAAGTTTGCAGACGTGTCTGTCGTCCTTGACAAAAACACATTCTACAATAGGCATTTCACATTTTGGAGCTCAGAAAACTGAAATGTTACACATAGAATAAAATGCAGAAAATATACCAATGCATAGCTTTTGCAGAAACATGTCCAACAGGCATCCTTTACTTTGGGCTGTTGGGGGTGGAGCTTATAGATTTTAAAGGAATAACTAGCAAGTGGCTACAGCCTACAGTGAAATGTAGATGAATAGAGTGGCATGCAAAAGGAAGGGGGAGAGAAAGCAGTGCTTATGGACTTGGGAACTCTTCCATACTGGGGCTTTTTCAGACTTGAGCTGAATGTTGTTGAACATACCACAGCAGCCACAAAAACTAGGAATTTGCTCTTTTTAAAAAAGAAATCCTAGACATTCAAGGAGTCCAGATTGTAAGCTTTCCTCAAAAGTGAGTTGCTCCAGGCCCTCATTATTTTGGTTGCTCTTTTCTTTAAAAGCAAGAAAGGTTCAAAAGTTTGTGAAAAACACCAGAAGGAGGAGGTGTCCACCATTTTACTCTTATTGTTCTCCATGTTTCATTCTCTCTTTCTCCCTCTTCCTCTGCAGGCTCTAATCTATGAGAGGCCACATTTTCTGGGTCATAGCTGGGAAGTAAGCAGAGACATTTACAACCTGAAGAAGCCAGAAAACAACCAGGACTCCAAGATGTCTACTGCAGGCTCTCTGAAAATCCTGGGAGGCTGGTGAGCATATGGAAGAATGAATAAGTGTTGTAGGGCAAAGGAGCCATCTAGGCAGCAATAGTTGTCAGCTGACTCCTACATGCCAATTCCTGATCACCCAGGTCTAGGAAGCCCTTGACACAGAACTGGCCAATTAGTCTGAGCATGAGCAACATTCACTGTCTGTTCTGGAAATTGACCTCAACCCAGCCACTTCTCCCTTGGAGCTTGCTCCATCCTCAACCTTGCCTTGTTTAGCCCACCTGCTTTCCTCAACTCCTGGCATCCAAGAGCATTCTGGGCACTGTAGTTTGCTAAGCGTTGCTGTGAATTGTAACTCTCTGAGGGGTACACTACAGTGCCCAGAATTCTTTGAGGGAAAGAATGTGTTTCAAACGTGCTTTAAAGGCAGAGTGTGTTCACAACCATGGCTCTAACAGCTGATCCCACACCTTCTGCCCACCCCAATATAAACAGTACTGCTTGTGGCTGTCATTTCCCTGCCCTTCACCCTAAGGTCCTAGTGCGGGTTATGACAATTAAAATACAATGTATGTCTTTAACGTTTGCACCTGGCACCTTCACTACCCACCTTTCTGCGAATGTTGAAGACTCATTACACTGGCTTTTGACATCTGAGATGGAAAGGAAGCTCCACAATGTAGGGGCTGCCACAGAGAATGCCCTCTCCTGGGCCACCATTGCCCCCAAGCCTCTGAGGGCAGTGGGACAACTAAAAGAGCCCATGAATTATGGGGATGGGGGAGAGGAGAGATGGTTGTACACCTGGAAGGAAAGGGAGAGTAATTTGTCTTTTGTGCTACATGCACGCTCTCTCATTGTCGGATTGTTTCACCTTGCTAGCTGGATTGGTTATGAGAAGGAAGGTTTCCGTGGGCACCAGTACCTGCTGGAAGAAGGAGAGTACAATGACTGGACACAGTGGGGAGGCTACAATGAAGAACTGGTGTCACTTCGCCTAATTCGGACGGTGAGAAAATCTGTCTGCTTAACAGGGCGATGGATGGGAGATTTATTGCCACGAGGGAAGAAAAATTTCCTGGCTTAAAACCTATGCCAAGTTCCTAAAATAAGAAGTGACTAAGTTCAGCTGTATCAGGGAGAAACAGAACTAGTTCAGAAGTATTATTTGTTTTATTTCTTTTAACTTTCCCTTGACTTCAGTGTTCCGGCTAATGCTTATGTAACCAAACCAGCACTACCCACACACAAGGCAGGTATTAGCAGACTTGGGGGCACCTTCAAAGTTTGCAGAAGGACAAAAAAATATTTAGGAAAAGAGCTTGAGGGAGATACAGCCTCCAAAACTGCTGGCTAAGAACTGAGTGCGCTTTGTGGCCATGGAATAGTGACTGTATCAGGGACAGGCAATGGAAACTACTGAAAATGCAATTATAGGTCTTGTTTGTCCAGTGTGAGAGCAGGATGCAGGCTGTAGTTTCCCAATTATTTATTACGAAAGTGAGGACAACGCCCCCTTGAAATCTAAAGAAATCATCCTAGTGTACATTGCACATGATTATTTCACGTGTGTCCTCACTGAGGAAAGGAGCACTGGGGGTATCCCATGTATTATTATATTTTATTATTATCAACTGCTGCTATTATAGTAATTTTCCTTATTGTTCATTTGTAGTTTCATTGCTGCTATTTTTTGAATTGTCAACCACTTGAGTATGGTTTCTGTAGAAAGACAGAACAAATTTGTTGTTGATGATGCTTTTGCCCCCCTTCTCCAGCGGTTCCCAGGGCATGTTACAACAATTTAGAATTCAGAATTAAAAGCAATTAAAACAGTAGCTGTAAGCGTGTTACATGTTTTTAAATTAGTTATTTTTTCTCCATGCCACAGTGTTTCCGAATGCAGCTTTAATTAGCAATTTCCTGTCAACAGGCTGTTTACTAACTCATTCCCTTTTCACAGCCTGAGCAATTGCTTTTCTGGTTGTTGTCATTGTTGTTATTAAACAATTAACAAAAAACAAAATAATACCTACACAACATCCACAACAATCCCTAAACCTTCTGCTATCACTTACAGTGTGTTCACATTACTGACTTAGAGTGCTGTAAAGCTGTTTCATCCCTGGTGTATTTCACAGCTCTTCCCCTCCCCCACACTGTAGCCTTTCACATCAGCATAGTTTCATTAGTGTCAGATTCATTTCTGTTTGTGTACACACCAAGGGTCATTGACGGGGGGGTGGGGATGTTTGCACCATACATAAAGATGCTCACAACCTGGCTAGAAACAAATTGGGAATGGCTTAAATACGCCATTTGGTGTGAAGCTGATTCGAGAAACAATGCATCAAACAGTAGTATTTACTGCATATACATTTTGGATATCATGTGAATATGGATTAAAAACTCAGTACTAGAAACGTAGTAAACAAGAATGCAAAGACAGTCTTGCTCCTCCCCTCAATCCATCCCCACTGCCTTTCCTCCTTTTTTATAACTCAGGTCTGTAGGATATGAAACGAGGCTCATTTTTCTTGAAAATCCATCAGCAAGGAGATGGGTTGTTGCTGCTGGCTGTGCTGATACATTTTATTTTTCTTCACTCGGTAGGACTTCTTGGACCCAGCCCTTGTGCTGTTTGAGGCCATGGACTTTGAAGACGGGCCCAGTGTTGAACTCAGTGAAGCACTGCCAGATGTTGAGCTGGCCAGCTACGGGACCACGACACAATCCATCCATGTCCTCAGTGGAGTGTGAGTATCATTGTGTTCTCTGGTTTCTCAACCCCATATGTGGAGAGGCCACATCAGGGCTTCACTGAAAGTGGGGTGAAGCATGAGGCACATGATCCCTGCGACAACATAAACCTTCACAAGCTTCTGCACTGTGGTTTGATTCTGTATAGGGAAGTTTTTTTTAATCGTTTCATGTTTTATTATGTTTTTATATATGTTGGAAGCTGCCCAGAGTGGCTGGGGTGACCCAGTCAGATGGGCGGGGTACAAATAATGAAATTGTTGTTGTTGTTTTACAAGCTTGTAAATGAAATAACTTTGTGTGGTTACATTTGTTGTTTGCACTGTTTAATGAAAATAATAAAAATTACAAAGGAGGGGGAGAAAGGAACAGTAACATAAGACCTCCTTTGTTTGAGCCATATAAGAGGTCTCTGAGAAGTACATGAGCTTTTTGAGATGATCAAAACTATTCCTCAGTCTGGATACTAAAAAGCAAGTGAAAGGATAGGTGTTAGGGAAAGCCCAAATCTGTGTACATGCTCTACCTTCAAAGCACATTCTTTCCCTCAGAGAATTCTGGGCACTGTAGTTTGCTAAGTGTTGTAGGGAATTGTAACTCTGTGAGGGGTAAACTACAGAGCCCAGAATTCTTTGAGTGGTAGAATATGTTTCAAATGCAGGCAGAGTACATACATATCCAAAATCTGCTGTTTGAAACAGTTTGATAGGGAATGGAGGAGGTAGTATCCAGACTTTACGAGGATGAGTGGTGATTATTACAACACGGTTGCACCAAAGGCTAGAGGGAGAAAGAAGCAGAGCAGTGTTTATGCTCATTAAGAACTGTAGGTCGAAATGTCACATAATAGATGTGTCAGCAAAACATACACATTGGGCTGCGAGTGCTCTGGGTGACAGATCGTGAATATGGAGGTTTGGATAATCCATTTCCATTTTTATGGCCAGGTGGGTAGCCTATGAAGATAAGAATTTCTCAGGGGAGCAGTATATCCTGGAGAAAGGAGTGTACCGCAACTGTGAAGACTGGGGTGCAAGCAGCTGCCAGATCTCCTCGGTGCAACCTATCCTACAGGTGAGAATAAAGAACTCTGCATTCATGTGTCCCCAGTTCAGAAACCATGTTCCCAATCCCACCTGTCTCCAAGAAAGAACTTTGCGTATCCTTCCGTTTTGTGTTTCCAAATAGGTTTTTGTGCAAGGCCAGATTAAGATGTTTGGGGGCAATTCTCAGAACAGGGCCTGCCTCTCCTCAAAAGCAACACATGAAATTTACCACCACAAAATAGGTCTTGTCTTAACGACTAACAACTTTATTATAGCATAAGCTTTTGTTGATTGCAGAAAATAATAATCCTCTAAACCTTGGGAGTTTCACAACTCTCAGCAAAATACAAACATTTTGCCAACCCTGTTAAACAAAAAGAAAATATTCAGAATATGGGCTCTTGAAACCCATTATTGGTTTTGCTCGCTGCCTACCTTGGGTCAGTCACCAGCTCCCAGCCTCACCCACCTCAACATGGCTGTTGTGAAGATATAGAAGGAAGTTAGGATGGCTGCAAATGGGAACTTAGTGCTTATATCAGAAGATGATGGACTTCATTGGAGGTTTTTAAACAGAGGTTAGATGGCCACCTGCCAGGGATTCTTAAACTGTGGTTCCTTTGTTGTAGGGAGTTGGACTAGATGACCCTTGGTGTACCTTCCAACTCTACAATTTTTTATTCTCAGATCATAGACATGAAAATTTGATTTGTTTAACCAGAGGGATGCATTTTTCTGGATCCTCCCCTCTTGGATTGAATAAATGATCTGAAGGACCATCCAGTCAAGCACAGAATTCTTATCTTTCTAGGCTTGCCTAAAGATTATATTGTGTACCACATCTTTTTCTTCTCTCTCTGTTCTAGGTTGGGGAACACAGTCTACACTTCATTTCTCAGGTGAGCAGGTAGACTTCAGAAGCAAAGCATGAGGGTGGTTCTTATGCCCATCACACTGTTGTTACATGGGTACTACCAGACGGGCTGTTGATTCACACAAAATTTGGTTATCCCATACTTCCTAAAAAATTTACCAGTCTGTTGTGACTTCTACCAAAGAATCCTGGGAACCGTAGTTCAGTGAGGGTGCAAATAATTTTCAGTTAAAATATTTTTCTATCCCCCCCCTTCCAGAACTACAGCTCCCAGTGTTTCTTTGGGGAGAAGAAATGACTGTCAGGAAACACAATTACATTGGCAGGATATAGATATTTCCTTCTGCCCCAGGTCTGATACCTCCATGTTCATTATTTCCTCAGTTTGTTCATATCTGGCATTTTCTTGACTCCCCAGATTCAACTCTTCTCAGATCCAGACTTCTTGGGGAATTACGTCTCTTTCAAGGAAGACCAAGCCTCACTTCCAGAGAATTTCATCCCACGCTCCTGCAGGGTCAATGGAGGCAGGTAAAGTGATACTTCCTCAGTACAGTAGCTGAATGTAAATGGTATGATGTGAAGAACTCATCATGTTGGCTCTAAGGATTTAGGGCAGGGACTGCCAGCATGATGCCCTCTCCAGATGTTGCTGGACCAGTAGGAGTGGGGAGCCTTTGGCCCTCCAGATGTTGCTGAACTACAGCTCCCATCAGCCCCAGCACGCCTAGCCAATAGCCGGGGATGATGGGAATGTATGTTCAGCAACATCTGGAGGGCCAGACTTCCCCCATACCTGGTCTACAGCTCCCTTCTTCCTTGACTATTGGCCATGCTGGCTGGAGCTATTGGGAGTTGAAGTCTGGAAGGTTTCATGTTGGCTACTGAGGCTATCCTTGATTCTTTGTTCACCTGAACAAATAATGCTAGGCATGAAAGGTTATGCTGGAGCAACTGTCTTACTTTTGGATTTTGAAACACCTGAGTGGAGAAAGATTTCGAACCAGATCTACAGCCCTGAGCATGAAATTACTGCCATTTGAGCGATGGGGTCAATCACGTCTCTGTCTTGTTTCAGCTGGATTCTCTATGACTGCCCCCAGTTTGATGGAGAGCAACACATTCTCTCTGAAGGCGAGTATCCAACACTGACCTCCATGGGCTGCCTCTTCACCACGTCCATCCGCTCGCTGAAGAAAGTCCCCATTGTAAGTTGGAAACATCTTCTTGGCTCTAATACTGGTTGGCAGTAGGTAAATGACAGGCAAAAGAAAGTGCTCCTTTCGCACAATGCATAGTTAACTTATGGAACTCTCTGCCGCAAGATATGGAAATTGTACCCTAAATTAAATGGTGGTTAGAAAGGATTAGATATACAAGAATTTAGATAGGACAGTGCATTTCCACACTAGGGCCCAATGCATTGCTAAAGAAGTTTGGATGCAGCAGCTGCAAGATACCGACGTCTCTGGGTTGTTATGGTATCAATTTAGCAATCAAACAAAAGATATTAGAACAGGCAACAAGAAACCTGACCTCATTTGAAACACTGATGCAAAATCTGAAGAAAAAGTTAGGTTTCACAAATTTAGTATATACAGTACTGCTAGATATGGTATCCTTCTGGAGTGGCTGTCCAAGTTAGGAGTGTATGGCACTACTCCTTCTTGGATGGTCGTTTCCAGAAGGTGATACTTGGGGAGTGCTCCTTGGCACCATGGAGCCTTCAATGTGGAGTTCCTCAGGCTTCAATTTTATCCCTTATATGTTGTTTAATATCTACATGAAACCACTGTGGGGGATCATCTAGAGTTTACATTATCAGCAATATGCTGATGGTTAGTCATTATTTGAGGCATCTTTCTTTTGACCAACCAAAGTGAGTTCCTCGTCAAAACTTGAGAGTTTCACAAGGCCTGAATGCTCAGAGACCTGCCACCCCAACCTTAAGGTTTCCATGTGTTTTGCCTTCTTCTTGTTCCTCAAGCCCAGTTTCATCCCTTCCCTTCAACTCTGTTTTCCTTCTTTTTCTTAGTTCTTCTCAGAGCCCTCCATCTTCCTACATGGACTGGAGTGTTTCGAAGGGAAGGAGATCGAGCTGAACAGTGAAGTGCGCAGCCTTCAGGCTGAGGGATTCAACAACCATGTCCTCTCTGTGCGGGTAAAGGGTGGAATGTAAGTAAAGGATGACCCTGCTATCACACATAAGGAGCTGGGCCATTGTTAGAGCTAGGTAGGGATGGACAAACCCATTCCACATGGGGCAGAACTGAGTGTGCACCTTCCTGTTTCTCTGCTGATTTTAAAGCTGCATTACCCCAAAGTCCTCCAGCCAGCCACAGCCTGGAGGACTGGAGACTTCTTGCCATCACACACTAGGAATAGAGTAGAGGAACCATTTCCCCTGGGAGTTACGGGACTTGATGTTCCATCACTCTCAGAGGGAGTTGTATAGCAAAAGCATCGCTGCCGCTGGGGAATTAAATGATTTGTGGTGGGGTGCAAATTAAATGAAGAATTTTATCTGCATTGATTTGGATGAGAAAGTAGATGGCTTGCCTTCTGACACATTTTAATTCTAAATTTACACCTATTGCTTGTGCAAATTTTGCATCTATGGGTTTGCGTCCCAAAGTCTTTCAAATGTCTAGCAACAACTGGAGGTGTCTAGGAGACAGTATGTGGCCATCATGAACACTAGCCAGGTCTGTAGTGTCAGCAGCAAGCAGGTCCCATGCTCCTGTTTTTGATTAACATTTCCCAATTGATGAAGGGCCAAAGTGATCTGTGCTGCTAATGCTTTTTCTCCCATTGTTTGTTGCTCTGCCAATTCCCTCATACAGTTGGGTGCTGTGTGAACACAGCGACTTCCGAGGCCGCCAGTGGCTCCTGGACTGTATGGAGATCACCAACTGGCTGACATACAGTGGACTTCAGCACATCGGCTCCCTTTACCCCATCCGGCAGGTGAGTGCCCAGTGCTCTGGTCTACTGGGGAGGGGTTATAGGCAAAGGATTACTGGTTAAGGAGCAGTTTAAAAGCAGTTTAACCAGATGTATGTGGCACATTTACCCTATCTCTCTGTCCCTTCCCAAGCTGCTTAAATGTTCGAGTGGGCCATTATAAATCTAGGGAGCAGGTGATGTCAGAATGCTGGCAATTCCACCATGCCTGCTGCCCACTGAGGCATACATGTAGGGTGGATATGATTTAAATCAAATTGATTTAAATCATGATTTAAATCGCTAGTCAGTAAGACTTGATTTAAATCATTTTTTTACAGAAATGTTCAACCTTGATGGCATCCTCTTAATATTTACAACCTAATGAAGGTTTTATTTTTGGAATAATAAATTTTCATAGTTTTTACAGTTATATCAAAAATTACTGGTTTGGTTATACTATCAGAAATACTTAGACAGATGATAATGAAATTATTATTTATATTTGGACAACTTTTCTGCTGTACTTTATTGGAAGGAGAAAAATAATAATTTCCTTAATAACAATTTAAACAATTTATTTAACTAAAACAATAACTTTATAGCATATGCATCCATGTTTGTTAACCAATGTGGTTAAATGATTAAAAAAAAACCTTAGACATGAAAAACTTTAAACAAATCCTTATTTTCTGATGAATAGCCTTTGGACTATAATTTAACTTAAATAGAAAACTACCTTTAGAAAGATTTTTTCCTCCAAAAGCATTTTATTTTAAAAATCCGATTTAAATTTTAAAAAATCTTATTTAAATTAAAAAATCTGATTTTTTAATTATTATTTTTTTAAAAAATGATTTTTATCCACCCTGCATACATGCATGACTCTGAGAATGGACACAGTGGTCAGATTGCTCCATAGCATGGAACTTGCTGAGCAGCTTAGATGAATGCACAGTGATTGTTTTTTCTGTCTGCCTCTCCCCTCCCTCTCCCCAGAGACGCATCTACTTCCAAATAAAAAATGAAGAGTTGAAGTCCTTCCTGTCTGTCCCAGATGACGTTGAAGACATGAAAGCTGGGCGAGTTCTGGTCTCAGAGCTCAATGGCAAGAGCAGCTCCATCTGGTACTATGAAGAGGGGCTTATGAAGAACCAGGTGAGGGCTTCTTTCTCTTCCTCTTGTGTGGTTTACAGGGACAGAAGCAGCTGGGGTGCATGGATAATCCAGGCCTGCTTCAAGAAGACCCCATACAATACCCTCATGTTTAAATAGTTCCGCTCCTTCTATTGTCCACATAGCATTTGGGTAAGCCAGGCAAAACTAATGTCACCTAAAAGGGTATATGCTGGGCTGGTATAGAAGAAAAGTCTGTATTTAGGTGCCATGGCTCAGTGATAGTGCTCATGTCTTGTATACAGAAAGTCCCAGGTTCAATCCCAAGTATCTCCAGATAACAGGATATTGGGTATCAGGTAATGAGAAAGATCTCAAAAGGCCACTGCCGGTCAGAGTAGGCAGTACTGGGCAGGATAGACCAATGGCTTGACTCAGTAAAAGTCAACTTCAGCTTCAGATGTTCACTGTCTGTATGCAACGCGCTTTCATACAACACTGAATTGGCCTCTCTTGACTTTCAGGTTGCACCCAACATGAGCCTGCAGGTGATTGGTCCAGCTGCAAAGGGATCCAAGGTGGTGTTGTGGTCTGAGAGCCGACTGCCCCGGCAGACCTGGCAAATCGATTCTTTTGGGAGAATCTGCAGCCAGATGTTTGAAAACAAGGTCCTGGATGTGAAAGGTAAGGCATTGGCTGTTGTTGTTGTTGTTGTTAAGATTCAGATTTAGGCTCATGAGGGAGTTCTTGAGGCCAGGAAGCAAGTAATTTGGCTGTAGAAGGGATGAAATATAGCTAGAAATGCTTCAGTTTCATTTTCCTTTCACCTTTTTCCCACGTCACCCACCATTCCTGGAAATTCCTGTTCAATCTTTCCGCACCACTATTTAATCTTAACATGTGTATAGCACCCTCAAACATCAAAAGCACTTCTCATGCATTATCTTTTCTAGATGTAATGCTTACAATCCAGTTCCTTCAGCCTAACCTAATGGAACTCGCTTTCTGTTCTCTGAGCTTATATCAAGGTGAAGATCTGGTGATAAAAGTCACTTGGAATGTTTATGCACAGCATACTCTGGCCTAGCCCAGCAACAGTGAAGGGGAGATCTATACATCGCCTATCCATCTATCTATCATCTATCACAATTATTCATATCCTTCTTTTCAGGATACAAATCCTTCTTAGGGCAGTGCACAAACAACTTCGATTGGGTGAAATGCCTTTCTGAGGAATTGTGCTCATTTTCTTCTTCCTTTTCTCCATGTAGGAGGCCGAACCTATGACCGGGACCATGCCATCCTCTGGGATTGTTCGGAGGAAAGGCCTACACAGATTTGGGATGTCCGGGTGCTTTGAAGAAAGCGGGAATTGGAGAGCCATGCCATGTGCAGAACTAGAATTCAGCCTGCAAGTCACAGACGTTTGTCCTTTTGTGACCAAGCTGCATCTTTGGGGATTAGCTGCTGAAATGGATAAGTGACTGGGTGCTGCATTTGGTTAGTAGTTGCAATCCTTTCCCCACAGACTGCAGCCCAGAAAGAGGAAAATGTTTCTGTGAAGCACAGAGATTGGTCTCCTCAAGGAACTCTGTAGAGGGAAGGAGGCAAAAGCTGGTTCTTTTCCAACACCTTGGAGTTGAGCCCAGCAAGATGGAGATTATTGGCGAGTTCTGATACACCGATCATTCATGAATGGACAAGGTCAAGCAGCTCACCTGTATGAGCACAGGAAGGCAAGCTGCCAAAGTCTCACAGGTGTCCCCAGCCCCGCTGGTTTAGGCTTATATATGAATATCTAAAACAAACACACACATACAGCATGAATGAGCCTTTTGTCCTTGCATGCAGCCCATTCCCTTTCCCCTGTGCTCTTCTTCTTAAGGGGATGGGCTACCTTGTAAACTCTATTTATGTACCTGTGTATGATACAATGCCTTTTATAAATCCATCTCTCTGGCTGGTGTGCTGACTCCGTTATTTGCCACTAGGACATGTTCATGGGGACACTGGCTACAACCACAGGCATAACATGTAGGGATCTTGCCCACAAGTGTTTTGGGTGGTGGAGAGAAATGCCTGTAACAACAACAACATTTCGCCAGCTGGAATCATAAACAATAGAAAAGCAGGAATAGTATCACACAAATGTGGCTGCAAAGCCCGTATTATAAGGAACTGGTGAACATTAGGTTCTTGCAAGTCTACAAAGCTGTGCTGTTTTCACTATCTGCATTTTAATAGAGCTGTTTTTATATTGTTTTAATTCTATTATAGTTTAATTACTTTTAAGCCTTTTTTTGCCAAAGCTGTGGAGCTTTTTGGGCAAACTCAAAAAAAGAAGCTTTTTAAAAGCAATTTCTGCCTGGACAATGCTCCTAATTTATCTGTGTTGTTTTAATTTTTGTAAGCTGCCTTGAATCCCAGTTTGTGAAAAAGGCAGGATATTAATTATGCTGCTGCTGCTGCTGCTGCTGCTGCTGCTGCTGCTGCTGCTGGCACAGTGCAGGAATGGCTGGCCTGTGGCCTTCCATATGTTGTTGTATTACAGATTACACTTCCCACCACCCCTTACAACTGATCATGTTCACTGGGGCTGATGGGCATTAGAAGCAACAGCATCTGGAGAGCCACAGGGTAAACACCCCTGCTATAGTTTGTCAGGCATCAACCTCAACCTATGCTATTCTCAAGCTTCTCTGCACTGCTGGTGGATTATTATTATTTATTAATTTTCTGTACCACCCACCAGAGGTTTACATGGTGATTTACAATATAAAAACACAAAATACATAACATAGCAACAAACAAAAACAATAGCCCTCACACAATTTAAAAGGCCATAAATTGTTTCATTAGTCAAAGGCCTGGGAGAAGAGGAATGTTTTTGCCTGGCACGTAAAGATATGTAATGAAGGCACCATGTGAACCTCCCTGGGGAAAGCACCCCATAAGTGGGGAGCCACTGCAGAAAAGGCCTGTTCTTTTGTTGCCTCTCAGAGGAGGCACATGATGAAGAGCCTCAGAAGAGGATCACAAGGTCCAAGTCGGTTCATATGGGGAGAAGCAGTCCTTGATGTGTGAGGTTCCTCTGCACTGCACAAATTCTGCTCCTAAAGGAATCCATGCTTGAGTCCTTTGGGATCTGCTTCCGTACCCAGAGCTACATGAATCAGTAGTCTGACTCACTATTAGGTAAACCCCCATATTTATTCATCACTGACACATGTTGCCTTGATGGTTGTTAAACCAGGACCAGCTTCTTCCATGTGCTGGTTCTCAGAACCCTTGCCTCACTTTTCATAGCCCCAGCTTTGGGGGGTATGGGAAAGACATCTATTTGCAGTGAGGCATTGCAAGTAGATAAATAGGTACGGCTTTATAGCGGGAAGGTAAACGGCGTTTCCGTGTGCTGCGCTGGTGCTGGCTCGCCAGAGCAGCTTCGTCACGCTGGCCACGTGACCCGGAAGTGTCTCCGGACAGCGCTGGCCCCCGGCCTCTTAAGTGAGATGGGCGCACAACCCTAGAGTCGGACACGACTGGCCCGTACGGGCAGGGGTACCTTTACCTTTACCTTTACCTTTATTGTTGCTGCTATTTCTCATTTCTACCACTAGAGGGTTCTGTTTGCTTCAACAGCGCATAGCACATGAGTTCTTCCTCAGTCTTTTTGTGTGAAGGAGCAGGGTTTTGTCAGGAAGCCATTTTGCATGTAGATATCAAATAAAGGTGCTTACACTTTTCACTAGATGTACATCCCACAAAACTCAGCAGAAGCAGAGCTAGCAGTGGTTCCTTGCATGGATGTACACATTTTGAAAATAAATGCATGCATCTTCCTCCTCTCTTTATGGGATTCGTTTGTGGCACATACTAAATCTTTTAACAGGCAGTTGCCAAAAGTATGATGCAGTCGTGCATTAGGAGTTTAGAAAGATCAATTATTTAACCAATGTGCAGCTGGAGGGCATAGTGGAAATAGCAGAGGCTTGGCATAACAAATTGTCCCTCCTGGAAGTTTTGTTTTTATGTGTGAAGCTAGCCCATTTTCTTGGATGCAGGCAAGGGCCATTGATTTGTCTAGCCTTCTTTGGAATATTTTTGCATGTGCTTATTTCTGGTTGGGGCTTCTCCACGGGTTTCAACCGTTGCTTCAGTTCCCAGTCAAGAAAGGAAGGCAAAGGAGCAAGTCCCTTCCCACTACTCAGGTAGGGGAAGAAAGCCCAGAATGTAGGGGGTGTGGCCTCTTTGGCAGACGGTCAGGACTGAACTTGAGCCACAACGAAGTGTGACTGCGCCCCGGAGCCTGTTATGCCCAACAGGGGTCAAGTGCAGAACATATGAAATATTGATGTGTTTCCAGTGCCTTGGGAAGGTCAAATCTCCTATATCATTAGGAACAGTTTGGGATGTGGAATAGAACCTTTCTCCCTCCTGGACTGTGTTGTCCCTCCCAGGAAGGGAACTCAGCCAATGAAGAGCATGCTTCCTGATGAGTGGCATAGCCCAGAAGTTAGTTTGCTAAAGAGAATGTGAAAGAGGGTCTTGTGTTACCTTGACTGCTAATAGGGAAACTGGTTCCCCCGCAGCATAGCTTTTATGCAAAGCTTTGCCTGGAAGTGTCACAGGTATCTTTGGACAAGATATTTGATTTGGTCGGCATTCAAGGCCAAATCTTATCAAATTTGCACTTTCTGAAACAAAGATGCGAACCTGTTCAGAAAGATGTTGACTTACCTCGGTTACAACAGGAAACCCACACTTATCTGCGTGCGATCTAAGACTGCAGACTGTGGCTTTCACATGTTTAGAAGGGAAATGAAACATTGGTGTCTGAGCAAGGTGGTTGGGATATATGAGTATCCTGTTTTAAGCAGAAAAATAAAAGATTTTGTTCAGGTGTAACAAAGCAATTGTTAGCTTTGCCTTGGGGGGGAGGGGGAATGCCCTTTTACAGTTTTTCAGCTAAATGCAAAATTACTGTTGTAGCATTTTGCTCAAAGGGGCAGAAACATTAATTTGAGACAGCAGATGCTAAAAGGGAACCCTAATGCCCAGGCCTCATTGCCCTAATACACTACATCAGCTAGCATGATGCTCTACCAATGTTTTGGACGACAACTCCCATCAGGCAAAAGACCTGGCCTGCTTTTTGTGACTAGGGATGTGAACTTTTGAACCAATCTCTCGAAACAGCAATTTAATCTGCACCATCTAGCAGGTTATCATATTTAGCTCCGTTTGCCAATGACATTTTTTAAAAAGCTTCAACTTTTAGCATTTGTATATTAGGTAAAGGTAAAGCTAATTTGTATATTAAGCCTCTGTTGAACAGGAGCCAGCTACTCTAAGCCCCACCCCAAAGTAAAACCCCTCGGCCCCTGCCATTTGGGAACCTATTTGTTCTGCTTCAACCTGATCTGCGGAAATCAGTTCTGTTTTTGTTTTTCATGGCATGGAGTTGATTGCCTACTGATACCTTGTAAGCCAAGCTACGGCTGAAGGTCAGAAAAAACAATCCCTCTCACATACGAGAATGTAAGAAGAGCCAGCTGAATGAGGCCAACGGCCCCAGAATCCTGTTCTCACAGTGGCCAACCAGATGCCTGTGGGAAACCTGCAAGCAGAATCCAAGTACAATAGCGCTCTCTCCTGTGGCTTCCTGCAACTGGCATTCAGAAACATCATTGCTTCCAGTGAGTAGCCATCATGGCTAGTGATAGTCTTGTCCTGAGGAAAATAGTGTTCATGTGCATGCACACACACAACTGCTATTTGCATTGGGAAGCCTCCTTTGGCGAACCAGAGCAGCACACGGAAACGCCGTTTACCTTCCCGCTGGAGCGGTACCTATTTATCTACTTGCACTTTGATGTGCTTTCGAACTGCTAGGTTGGCAGGAGCAGGCACCAAGCAACAGGAGCTCACCCCGTTGCGGGCATTCGAACTGCCAACCTTCTGATCGGCAAGTCCTAGACTCTGTGGTTTAACCCACAGCACCACCCGCATCCCCCCTATATTTTGGAAAATTACTTGCCTATGCATGTGGACGCCTCTTAAGATATTGTAACCAAATTTTGCTCATTGGCACCTGAGGTCAAGGAGCAGGTTTTTGTCTATGTTTGGATACAATTGGTCGCCATGTTTTTAATCAAGATGGTGGACTGAGCCTTTCCAAACTGCATTGATTTTAATCACTGATTTCAAACCAGCATTGATTTTTTTGGTTTCTTAGAATTCCTGAGCAATGCCAGGAATGAGGTTGCTAATGAATAATAACAGTGACCTCATTTTTAATAGTAGATCCCATGTTTCCCACTACAAGAGGAAGGAGTCAGCAAACATACTTGAGCAGAGAGCAGAAGCAGTGTTTTTATAAGCACAAAAGGGGGGGGGGCTAAAAGTGTGGGGTGGAAAGCAGACCTTTAAACACCTCAGTGAGGACTGAGCATACTCACTCAGTGAGCAAGAAGTGCTGACTCACCGCTTTTTTGGTGTGGAATGGGGAGGAAAACCAGAATGAAAAGGGAATGGAATGGGATATTCTATAATGGGACATGGCTGGCTGGCTGGCTGGCTACAGCCCTGCACAGGAACACTCTAGACTACAACAAAGGCAGGCTTTCCAGCCAAGAAGCTTTTATTTCATTCACCCACCCTGCGTGGGGGGTTACAGAAAACAAAGGCAGAACATTTGCAAACACTGCTTTTTATCTTGCATGGTTTATCTTCTTGGACCATCTTCAGCCAACTTCTTGAGGTTTGCCACTTCAAAGGGTTGACATTCCACACCTGAATTTGCTGCTAATCAAGAGGTGACCTCCTGAAGACCAGGAAGCGACCTCAAATGATTCCTGAAGTTGGGTGGGTGGGTGGGATGCTTCACACAGGATAGCATGGCATTAACTGAAAGGCTTATAGAAACAAGAGGTGGGTGGTCATCTTCTGGGACTTTGGATGACAGATTTAGGATGCCCTTGAAGGTGGCAGACTAGGAGGCAGATCTGAGCCACAATGCCTCAGGACAGTCTCCTGACAGAAATAAACAGGAGCCTTGCAGTGCTTATGCACAACTCCTGTTTCTTCCTGGAGGGCCTGACCGAGCAAACATCCCAGTGGATTTGTGCCTCTTGTTAATTAGTGCACATGAGTAGGTGACACTTGGGTTGCCTATCTGAGGGAACCAATATGTCTTTGTGAAGATGCATTCTAGACCTGCGTGCATTGCCTGCTGCGAAGACCATCTGAGCATGAGCCCACACATCTGGATCAAGTTCAAGAAGTCCTTCTGGTTTGCCTCTCATTCTGCAGATAAAGCAGCCATTGTGGTGAAGATGAAGCCAAAAGCCTTTGGACCATGAATATTGCCACATGGCCCAAAATTGTGGGTTGGTTGTAGCTGGAGCATAGGTGCTGGCTGGATCATTGGTGGAGGGAAGGTTTCCCTAAAGGCAGAAAAGAGATGAATTTGCCCTCCAAGGAATACCCTCATAGGAGTGACTCTCCAGGCTCAGTATACTCGGAGGAGATGAATCACAACCATCAGGAGTGGTAGCAGAAAGCAAGCTGGGCCATTGAGGGACATGGCTCTGGAGACTGGTGTAGAAGCAGGAGTCATGTTTTTGGGAGTGTCTGCTGCGTCCTGAAGAGCAAATGAGAAGAGTATATGATATGGGGTCAGAGAAGTTCTCAACAAAACTGAAGGTCTGCAGGGTACTTTGTTACGTTAGTTGACACAGTTGATACCTTACCAACATAGGAAGACTCATTATACCAAGTCAGGCCCAATGATCCATCTTGCTCAGTATGGTCTACACAGCCTAGCAGCAGCTCTCCGGGGTTTCAGGCAGGGGACATTTCCAGCCCTACCTGAAGATACCAGGGACTGAACTTGTGATCTTCTGCATGCAAATCAGCTGCTCTACTACGGAGCTACACCCCTTTCCTTCAAACAAAGCTCTCTTCCGCCTTGCATGAGAAAACTGCTCTCCCTGCATTCACATGCATCTTGACATACTTTTGTTCTTTTCTGGACCAAATAGAGGAAGTGCTGTTTACTCACATTGAAGGGATCACAAACTTTTGAACTTTGCTTTTGACATTAAGCTAGTGCAACAGCCCTTACACTGGCAGTCAGAGAACGCTGAATCTGGGCCAATGGGTTGTTTCCAATGCTAACCCATTTAAATGACTGAACATGACTAAGTTAGGGTACATTACTTTCAATGGGAAAACTCTGCGCAAAACTTACTTGGATACAGCCTAATGGTCTTCCCAGATTGGGTCTATTTAGATCGGGGATGGGAAACCTGATGCCCTTCAGATGTTGTTAGACTCTTACACCCATCACCAGGCTCGCCACTTGTAGAATGTTCTCCCCAGGGAGGCTCGCCGGGCACCATCATTACATAACTTTAGGCGCCAGGCCAAGGCATGTCTGTTTCGCCAGGCCTTTGGCTCTTAACTATCTGTGGCCTCCTTGAGTGGGTAAAATGTTTCAATCCTGCCTTTTAAAAACAGGATTGCCTTTGGGCATTTTCCTTGTTTCTATTCTGTGCTGGTTTTAATGTATGTGTTTATAGATAGGGACGCGGGTGGCGCTGTGGGTTAAACCACAGAGCCTAGGACTTGCCAATCAGAAGGTCGGCGGTTCGAATCCCCGTGACGGGGTGAGCTCCCGTTCTCAGTCCCTGCTCCTGCCAACCTAGCAGTTCGAAAGCACATCAAAGTGCAAGTAGATAAATAGGTACCACTCCAGCGGGAAAGTAAACGGCGTTTCCGTGCCTGCTCTGGTTCACCAGAAGCGGCTTAGTCATGCTGGCCACATGATCTGGAAGCTGTCTGCAGACAAACGCCGGCTCCCTCGGCCTATAGAGCGAGATGAGCGCCGCAACCCCAGAGTTGGTCACGACTGGACCTAATGGTCAGGGGTCCCTTTACCTTTACCTGTAGCTTGTTTATAGATTACAAGTCCCTTTGCATTACCTTGGTCAAAAAGGGGACCAACAGATTTCATAATTAGAAGAACAACAACAACTCAGATGTGACACCAGTGTTATGTCAAGTACAGTCGTACCTTGGTTTTCAAACAGCTTAGTTCTCGAACGTTTTGGCTCCCGAACGCTGCAAACCCGAAAGTGACTGTTCCAGTTTGGGAACTATTTTTGGAAGCCGAACGTCCGACGGGGCTTCCGTGGCTTCCGCTTGGCTGCAGGAGATTCCTGCAGCTAATCAGAAGCCGCGCTTTGGTTTCCGAATGTTTTGGAAGTCGAATGGACTTCTGGAACGGATTCCGTTCAACTTCCAGGGTATGACTGTACTTCAAAATGTAGACAGACATCCCAAAACAGACCCGGAGACAAAGGCTGGTGAAGCAACAGAGGTACATTTCCCACCTATGTGCAGTAGCTTGTGGCTACACCCCCACACCCCCTCTCTGTCCTTCATCCAGAGAAAAAGACATTTTTCAGAGTTCAAGAATACATTCAGGCAGTGGGGGAGCAGAGCCTGTAAAGGATGAGGCCTTGGTAGACTCCACAGGAAGTCCAAGGGCCTCATTTTGTTCTCAGTCCTGAGGTACCTTACTTCTGTTTTAGATACACAATGAGAAAGATACCACAGTAGCATGGTGCCACAGAAGTTTGCTGCATATGTAATGTTCCCACCCTCATAAAAGGTTATTTTTCACTGCTATCTAATCGGCACCTATTTCCCAGGAAGTTTTACAACTGACTGACTGCCTCTCCCCAGCCGGCCCCCAGCAGCTGATGTTCTGGGCCTTGAGATTGGCAGGCAAGCAGTAAAGAATGACAGGCCCTGCTCAAGGCAGTGCCAGCACTTGAAACCTGTTTCCTGTTATTCTAGCAGAGAAGGAAACTCAGGCAACGTTCTGAGAACTGCAGCGGTGGCAAGGAGACCGCACCCCAAATACCAGGGAAATCAGATCTGGCGAGTACATCAGCCTTCTGCAACCTGGTGCCCTCCAGATGATCAGGACTATAATTCACATCAGCTCCAGTCTGCACTGGTTATACCCTGGGAATAAAGTCCACTGGACTCAGTGGGACTCCACTATATATTTAAAGCAGCAGCATGCAACTTAAAACAGTCATGGCTTCCCCCTAATAATCCAAGGAACTGTGGTTTGTTAAAAGTGCTGAGAGTTGTTCCCTCTACAATTCCCAGAGTTCCCTGGGAAGAGGGGTTGTTAAACCCCTCAGGGAACTGTAGTTCTGTGAGGGGAATAGGCGTCTCCTACCAACTCATAGTACCCTTCACAAACTACAATATTTTTTCAAAAGACTGAAAAAAGTAATAAAAGTGTGGAACAAAGATGGCTGTGTATAAAAAGCTTGCTGAAATAAAACAGTGTCCATGTCTGTCTGAAAGCAAGCCAAGGAGCACCTAGGCCTCCCATGGGGACAATGGCCACATTCGCCCCATATTTTTAAAGTGCTCTTATACCACTTTAAACAGTTATAGCTGTTAGAGTTGAACAGGCAGATATCCTAGAGATATCTGTTGCTATTTTCATGCATGCATGTTTTTTGCACCATGATTGTCCTTAAAAAGCTAGCCTGCATCTTGTTCCCCACGCACTTAACCCATTTTTATTATTTCCAGGGTGGAAACCCATAAACAAACATTTGTTGCCAATGACCCATTTGTGATCTCTTAAGGAGCTTCCTAGGCAGGAAATTAGAGAAAGTTGGTTATGTGAGTTAAGAGAAGAAAAGTGTTGTGTGTGATAAATTGCATCTATCAGAATGGTTGTGGTTTTAAAGCAGCAATCTGGTACTCACCCATGTTTATAATCCTCAGTTGGTCATCACCCATAAACCACAAGAGGTGAGTTTGAAGGTTTTGACAAGCGTTGACTTTTCCAGTTTAGATTTTTAAAATGTCAGATAAACAGCAGCTTGCTTTATCAGCCCTCACAAGGGGCAGTAGTGGAAAACTGCTGTTTAATCCTTTGAATGTACCTTGTGGTCAGAAGCAGTGTCCGGGCAGAAAGCGGCAAAATGTCCGGGACATTTTAAACTGGCCAGTGTGCTTGTGCCATTAAGAACAGATTGATAATGCTTTGTCTCAGAGATGGGGAGGCCGTGGCTCACCGGATGCTGATAGACTCAAATTCCCATCAGCCCCAACCAGCATATCCAATGGTCAGGGATGATGGGTGTTGTAATCTAGAAAATCTCTGAAGGACCACAAAGTCCCCCACCTGTTTTATCTCCCAAAAGGCATATTTTTACACATGAGCTTTTTGTTAAAGGTGTAAAAGTAGGCTATGTGGGATGGGTTGGACAGCTTCCCCTTGGTCAGATGGTAATCTTCACAGATATGTCTGCTTCTTTACACATATTTTTGTAAGGATCAAAGAAACTTATCTCCCTTTGAATTCACCAGGGGTTATTTGTAAGGAGACCTGCACATTTATGTTTATGTGCCATGTTAAAAGTCCAATCCAAACAAATACACAGGACTCACCTCCAAAAAGGAGGGGGAGTTTACATTGGACTACAAATTTCTGACATTTTGAACCACTTAATTTCTCCCCCATCCCTACCAGTTCACATTTAGAGTCAAACCTATCTAATTTTCACTTTCCATAACAATACACAAACAAAAACACAACCACCCCTTGAAATTCACACTTCTCTGTATTTTGCAATGCAGTTCTCCAGTCAAGTAGTGTATACAAATATGCATATGCTGTAACAACATTTACACAAATGTGTATACTATTGAAAATAACTCACCAAAATGCATTATATTAGGGGAAATCGCTTTGCAAAAAGGGGCATGTTAGGCAAAATATATTAGGAGAAATGTGCACTAAAATGCTAACGAACTTGCATTAACTTCTTTTTTAATTGTAAATGTGGAGAAGTGAAGTTAAGCTTGGGAAAATGAACAACTGAGAGAAACCAAAATTAGCAGAGTTCGATCTACAGAAACCAGCAGAGTCTAAGGGTACTTAACACTGGCTGGAGCATGCCTTTGCAAAATAAAAATTCCAAGCTTTATATCCATGGTCCTACTCTAGAATTGCCTCCTACATCCAATGTACGCAATGTCTGCATTCCCCATGTGAACTCACTTGGGACAGGAGTAAGCACTTTTGAACTCCGTGCAGGACATACATCCAAGGAAATATGCACAGGATTGGGCTTTGCATTTCAGAAACAGGTGGTATTAAATATGTTCAATTCCTATGTATGAATGCCACCTCCACTCCCCCAAACTGCAGCCACTACATAAACACAGCCTTCTTTCAGTATCTGAAATCAGGGTTTTGAAGCAACTGAAGATTCTCATTTCAATTGTCACATCCAATAAGACCACTCCTTACCTCAGTGGCAACAGCCAGAGTCAGATTCATCAGTAGCACAATACCAAGGATCAGGATGGCCTTCATGGTGAAGCTGTCTCAGAGCTCTGATGGATGGAACTTTTTGCAAGGGGAGCTGCCTTCTCTGAGACAAGACGCTCAAGAGGTTTCACACTGTAGATGGAAAAGAGGCAGGAGGAGTCCACCAATCACAAACTCCTCTGCTTGCTGCTTTCTACATGGCTCTCTAACATTAGCCGGTGATGTGTGTGTGCGTTTGCGTGTGTTCTTTATAATACATTTACGGGGGGGCCTCCAAAACTTCCTGTAAGACACTAGAATTCTGCTAGCCTAAATGGAATATAATAACAGCAACTCAGTGCTCTGAATTCCAGCAAATGGATAAAAAAGTCTCTGCTGCGCAAGAGGGCTACTCCTTTGATAGTAGATTTTAGTTTTATTTGTAGCCTGTCCTAGTGGGAGGGCTCCAGCTGTTCAACAACAATATGGGTCCCTTTCTTCGGAGAGCTCTATGTACTGCTGCTAATTCTGGAGCTTTTGTCTCTCATATCTACAGCACTTAAGTTCTGAGCTTTGCCATCATGCTTCTTGTTTTGTACAAAGTCTACAAGTACAATTGTACTTTGCCATCAGCCAACATATATACTGGTAACTACATCGTGTTTTATTTAGCAAGGTTGTTGTGTAGGTGTCTGAATGCTCCCTTTTCTATTGGGTTTGTTGTGGTATCAGGATGGTTATACACAATTCTGCTTTCAATTCTTGTTCTGCTTGCAAAAATTTCTGGGTGGCCATACTGCTTCTTTTCTAATCAGCACATGTCCCGAAACTCCATGTTGCAATCCTGTAACAGTTTACACCACAAATGTTCCAGTTTATCTTTTTGACCCACATTTGTTGTGGCAATAATGCAAGGAGTGATAAGAAGTGAGGTCTACAAGAAGATACTGCAGTGTGGAGTGCTCCTCTTCAGGCAGCAGCGGATGACATGGTGAGGCTGAGATATCTTACCTTACCTCCTGATGAGTCAGTCGCTGCTGCTCACTGGGGGTTGGGGAGCAAGGAAGTGGAGAAGTCAGTGCAGTGCAAACACACCAGCAGAGCCATTTAGGTGGTCCTCCTAATGTACTTGCACTACCTTCCCAACTGCTTCACTTCTCTCCTTCCCTGTAAGCAACAGTAATGCACCTGCAGGGAAGTCAGGTAAGTGTCACTGGCCCACTATGCCATTCACTACTATGTTCAGTGTTCCAGCCAGTTGCATCCTCTTCCAGGATATTCCATTCCACCCCTCTCCCCAAGTTTTCTGTTCTGTTCTGCTCTCCCTCTGCCCCTTCCACTCAACAGTAAGTCGGCATTCCCTGGCCATTCACTGAGCATGCTCATTCCTCTTTGGGCTATTTTTAGTTGCCTATCCTTAGGGCAGAGCTTTCCAAACTGTGTCATGACACGTTAGCGTGTTGGTTGCAGTGTGTAGGTGTGCTACGCAAACGCTCCCCATGCTCAGCGTTAGGGTTTCCCCCACCCAGACTGCTGCATGTCTGCAAAAGCTCGAGAGTTCCCCAAGCATGCTGATACCTCTCTTGTGGGTGGTGGCATTTTAGGTGGAATTCATCATGCTAAAACCATTGGTCCATCAACACAAGCATTTCTGCTTGCTAGATGGAACAAGCTCCCTTCTCTTGCCCTATGAGCTATTCTGGAAGTTCTCCCAATCTTCTAGAGTGTATCTGGGGGAACTGGAAGGAGCACAGGGGGAAAGGGAGGTAGGAAAGGCCTGTTGTGCTAGCAGGAGTTATTGGCTGACTCCTGCTAGTGCACCAAGTTCCCTGAATCCAACCCTTTGGCCAGGGCCATTTTTAGATGAAGAGAAGCCCTAGGCTACTCGTGAGGCCCCTCCCAATCCCCCACCCCAGTGGCGTAGCGTGGGGGGTGCAGGGGGGGCCGGCCGCACCGGGCGCAACATCTGGGGGGCGCGCTCTCGCACTCACAGTGCTCTGCCCCTACCTGGCTCACTCACTCTCCACGGGTTAGGGGGCGCAAATTACTTGCCTTGCCCCGGGTGCTGACAACCCACGCTACGCCACTGCCCCACCCTCATGACTATGGAAATGGAAGAGTGCTATAAACAAAACTGAGTGAAGCCAAGGATAATGATGGGTACAGTGGTGCCTCGCAAGACGAAATTAATCCGTTCCGCGAGAGTCTTCGTCTAGCGGTTTTTTCGTCTTGCGAAGCAAGCCCATTGACGGATTAGCGCTATTAGCGCTATTAGCGGTTTAGCGGCTATTAAAGGCATAAAGGCTTAGGGGATTAGCTGCTAAAAGGCTATTAAAGGCTATTAAAGGCTTAGCAGATTAGATAAAGGGGGGGGAAAGCGAAATAAAAATCTCTAGACTCGCAAGGTATTTTCGTCTTGCGAAGCAAGCCCATAGGGGAATTCGTCCTGCGAAGCAACTTCAAAACGGAAAACCCTTTCGTCTAGCGGTTTTTCCGTCTTGCGAGGCATTCGTCTTGCGGGGCACCACTGTATTTAAAATTCTGCAACTCACAATTTCTCCTCTAAAGGACATCAGAAAACTTCATCAAAATTTGTTTAAGTTTGTCACTTCCAATGTACAGAATGCTCAGTGTGGACAACCTCTTGAGACATTGTGGCCCTTAATTCATTTTTAATTCTTTTGAGTCTTGAAAAACTCCTCTCTCCCGAGCAGTTAGTGACCATAAAGCTAAGAAATAGCCACAAAATTGCTTCCATGTTAAGAAAGGCCATCTGAATTTGATAAAGGTCTATATGAGAGAGTGCTCTGCTGTAAGCCTATGGCTTTGTCTCACATACAGGTGAAAGTGCAAAAGTTCATCAATAAGTTTCAGGTCAATATCTTCTGGGTATGCTTCCATCAAGAGTTCAACACCCTGCTGAATTTCTTGCTTAGATGCTATCAGAATAGCAAGGATGGGAAAACAATTGTGCAACATCACTGTACACAGTACTTCTTTTTAAATTGGCTTCAAGTGCATCTCATATAGAAATAAAGGATTTATCCTAAACTTATCTCTTGAAGAAAGTGCATCTAAGGCATCAGGTGCACTTCTGTCATTTCTTTGCCGTTTCCTCACTGTTTCCTTGTTTTGTAGTTAACATTTGGCAAGGTGGCTTTTGCTTGTTTCTCAAGCTCATCAAAATATTCTCTAATTTTCCTTTAAAAATCCAGAACTGTACAAACTTGCACAAGAACTCAGTTACAGGTCTGATTTCTGAAGGGCTTTGCTGACCTTGTGAAAATGACCTAGCACACAGATTTATATCTCTAAGATTCTGCAGACTTTGGCTGTGAACTAGGGCCCCACAAAAATATTTCAAGTTGGGCCCCAGAGTTTCATATTGGGCCCCACTGGCTGGCTCTGAGTCTCATAGTTGCTGGGTCCGAGTTGCCCTGCCTTCACATGAAGTCTTGGGTTTGCAATTTTAGGAGAGGGGAGGCCTCATAGATTTAGAGGCCCTAGGCTTCAGCCTACTTAGCACTGCCTTCGGCTACATATGGAACAACACTCAAGATGATTGAGCTTGCTGTTAGTACACATGATGCAGGGGTATTAGGAAGGAGGAGCACCTTAATGTCACTCGTTTTGGACAGGATTAGATATGGAGCTCAGAGTTGCATTATCCATTTCAGTGATGAGGAAGTGGTGGCCCTCAAATGTTCCTCATTCCTGGTAGCACTCAAAAGACAACAGAGTCAGTGCTAGGCAACCCTGCTTGGGGATGACACTCTATAAATGGATCTTTGCTGCTGACAGACAAATATATTGAAACAGCTCAGTTCTGATGAAGATGCAATTTGGCACAGGGTGGTGGCAGATGAGTTTATTTTTAATATGTTTTTAGTGCAATTTAAATTTACAAATATCCACTCCATTAAAGTTCTTAATATAGGTTAATAGCAGCCAATGCTGCTTGAGAATTGTAAGAAACCAAAAAAATCTGTGCAGGTTTGAAAATGGTGGTTAAAATCTGCAATATAACACACAACCTTGCATAGAACTAATTATCTTAACATGCAGGCAAGCTAGTCTGGGATGAGACACTCCTTAAAGTATTTTTATGACACATTCTTACACAAGACAAATGTCTACATAACAAACATCAAACTGACCCTACTTTTTGTCTGAATAATGCTGGAGGGACTGTGTGCATAGAAGTCTCTATATTTTCAACATTCAAGTTGTGAGTGCCATTGCAAATGTAGTCAAAATGACACCATCCGCATGCAAAAGAGGGAAGTATCAGCAAGCTTTGGGGAACCCCAAAGTTTGCAGAAGTAAAATGAATAAGGAGGGAAGCCCTTTAGAAGTGGGTGTGCATGTGGGAAGCAAATTGGGGAAATGTAGTGGTAGAAATGGAACATCCTGAAATAGGGCATGGCTGCTGGCATCATAAGAAAAGCCAGTTGGATCACACCAATTGGCCCATCTAGTCCAGCATCCTGTTCTCACGGTGGCCAACCAGATGCCAGTGGGAATCCCACAAGCAGGGCCTAGGCACAAGGACATGCACCCCTCCTGCTGTTTCCAGCCATTGGTATTCAGAAGCATACAGCCTCCAAACATAGCGTATCTAGTAGCCACTGGTAGCTGTTACCTCCATGAATTTGTCTAAGCCACCTTTGAAGCTATTCAAATTACGGGCCATCATTGCCTCCTGTGGAAGTAGGGTTGCCATACATCTGGAATTTCCCGGACATATCCGGAATACTGCAGTTGCAAGCAGTGTCTGGGAGGGAACTGGTTAAAGAATTGCCCGGGAAAATCCAGATGTATGACAGCCCATGTCGGCAGTGTCATTTTTGCCGATTTCCCTCAGAAATGGCTCAAAAACGTCCAAAAACCCAGCAACTTTGCAAAACAACAACAAAACCTCAATAACTTTTCTGTCCAAATTTTCATTTTTTGAAATCTGGGAATGCCATGGTTTAGCTATGTGCTGTAAGAATATGTACTTTCTTTCACCTGTCTGCAATCTTCCAACATTCCTCTTCCTTGGCCACAAGTTATAATGTTCTGAGAGAAGTAGAACAACTTTTCTCTAGCCACTTTCTCCATGCCATGACACCTCTCTCCTGTCCCCTCTTACTCGCCTTTTGTCTAAACTAAAAAGCCCCCAACGCCACAAGCTTCCCTCACAGGGGGACTTCCTGAAGACCTGAACATGTTGCTGTCTGCCCTACTTTTATGCAGCCTGAAATCCTATGCTCACTTGCCCGGAAGTAAACCCCACCGAACACAAGGGGGGGCTTATTTCTGAGTAAACATGCATATAGCATTGCGCCGCCAATTTGAAGGGCAAAGAAAGAAAGAAAGAAAGAAAGAAAGAAAGAAAGAAAGAACTGGTCCAGGAGCGCTGAATCCTGGGAATTGTAGTCTCCTGGCTCTCCCTCCAGGCTCTGGCTTGGAGTCGTTACCTAGGCAACCGAATGTAAACAAGATGGCGCCGCCGGCCTGAAGCCTCAAGATGGGCGGGTGAGTCCCTTAAACTGTGAAGATCAGGCAAACTGTTAAAACGGGTCGGGAGGCTGCTTTTCATCCTCACAGGCGCGGCTCCTACCTAATTCACCCAGGAACCCGCGTTAAGTCTCTTGCAGCAAAAACAATGCAAATCTTCGTGGCACTTTAAAGACAAATTATGCCAGCCCACGTATTTTACTCAGAAGTAAGCCCCATGGGATTCAGTAGGAATTTCTTCTAGGTAAGTGGGTAAAGGATAGCAGCCCCCACAATCCTGTGTACATGCTTGCTCAACATCCTTGCCCCACTTAAATTTAATGAGGTTTTCTTCTCTGGTAAGTGTGCAATCCTTTGGCTGCCACCCCAATCCTCCTTACTAGGGAGTAAGAGTGAGACTTACTGCTGAGTAAACATATACTGTATATAGGTTTGTGCTATTAAACTGTAATCCCATGTGCATGAAGCGGGGAGCTTGTGGTGCTCCCAATGTCCTTGGGCTTCACCTGCCATCGGCCCCAGCCTTAGGATCCAAATCCCATTGAAATCAGTAGGCTATACTGCTGAATGAACAGGGTTTTGCTGTGGAAGATTCATATGTCAGAAGCTTTCATGGGCTTCCTTCAGCCTTCTTCATCAAATGCAATCTTTCTCAGTGGGCAGATATGAATGGGGCACTGTTCTTGTATATTTTTGCACTCTGCAGACCCACAGATAAGCATAAGAAGAGTTCCTCTGGGTGAGACTAACAGCCCATCTAGTCCAGCTTTCTGCTCACACAGGATGTCTTTACACAAGCAGGACATTAGTGCAACAGCACTTGCCAACTTAGATTCCCAGTTTCCCAGAAACTGGGATTTAGAGGCACACCACCTCTTAATACTGGAGTTGCTATATAGCCATCATGATTAGTAGCCACTGATAGTCTCATCCTCCATGAGTTTGTCTGATGCCCTTTTAAAGTCATCCAAGTTGGCAGCCAACTGTGGGAATTAATTCCACAGGTACAACTTTAACTATGTGTTGTGTGAAGAAGTACTTCCTTTTTGTCTTCTAGAATTTAACTTCATTGAGAAACCCCTGATTCTCGTATACTAGAGAGGGAGAAAACCTCTATCCACATTCTTCACACCATGCATGATTTTATATATTTCTACCATATCACCCTTTTTCTTAACTAAAAAGCACCAAACATTGTAACCTTCCCTCGTAGGGGAGTTTATCCAGTCCTTTGATCATTTTAGCTGTCCTTTTGTACACCTTTTTCTACTCTGCAATACCCTTACAGTTTTCTTTGTGATTCCTTTTCTAATGATCTACCACTTACATTGCAGGTCTGGCTTTACTGTACAATATCTCCTCCTCTCCACTGCCCCGTATCTGTGTGTATGGTATGATATGCCACCTGTGGATAACACTTCATGCACCTAACAAAATTACCCCAAGTCCACAAAATGTTACGCTCTGTGTTCCTTTGCATCTGGCCACATAATATTTGGTTCTTTCTCCCCATATATTTTTCCAGTGCTGCCCCTCCATTGTTATTTTGGCACATTGGTGCACGGCCCTTTCCTCAAGGAGCTCAGGCTGGAATACATCTAAAAAAATTCTCATTTTGTGCTCACAAAAACATGAGATAGAAACAGATGCAGCCATTTTTGTAGCTGACTTGAGTGCTCTGTGGGCTGTCAGGCAGATTCAGATGGTAGCTCTCTAGATCGTATCTCAGTTTGGTACTAAATCTTACAGTCAGGAGTGCGAAAAGTTTCTCTGGCAAAAGATGGTAATTTTGTAGTTTAGACAGTCCTTGAGCTGGTCTTGCAATTGTCTAGTCAGTCATGTGAATGGATAGAGTGTCAGCCTAGGTTGACCCCTCACTGCATCCAATGTGTTTGGACTTTGAGTTTAGAGATGCTGTAGGAGTGTATCACATCTTCAAAAATTAGCAATGTGCAGAGATGTGTGCATCATATAGATAAGCCACATAGGCAATTCTGAGTTGCATATGTATGCCACAAATTGTAACGCATTTCTATCTCTCTCCCTCCCCTCCTCCTTAGAATTTAAAACTGTAAATTCGTGGTAAACCATGACGTCTCCTCTTTCCTCTTTGGGGAAGATTCGCAGGATGCCACTCCAGTTGCAGACACCAGGGTAAGTGAGGGTTCATTCATACAACCACCTGGACATGTAGGAGCCACAGAGAAAACCAGGGCCTGTTAGTTTTATAACAGAGAATCCAGCTTTCAGGTTCATTCTAGCATTGTATGTACCTCACACCAGAATTTGAAACTAGGAACGGTCTATGTGTTTACAGTGTAGTTATCTAGGGACTTTATGGCCTCTACTCACATCACATTCTTGAAGTCACTCTTTTCATTATGTGTGCTCGTATCAGAAAGCCAAAGGGCTGTGGCATGACTTCCCAACTGTAGTGTAAAATTGCAAGCATGTTCTTCATCAGTTATGTTTGAAGTATACATTTACATGGATAATCATTGATTTCTTGCCTGTTTTATGAGTGACAACTCCTGATTTCTTCTGGATTTCAGAAAAAGGACAGCACCTTTCAAAGAGAGCATTCAGAATGGTGAGTGGTAAGATCCTTGTCATTGCTTTGTTTACCCTGTTCCAAATAATTATGTATATAGCAGTGTATGATCTTTCTAATTTCTCATCAGTTCCTACATAAACCTGTGGATTACTCTTTCCCCTTTATTGGCAAAGAATTAGGCTGAGAGTGTATGAAACCTAAGGCTACCCAAGAGTCAATGGCAGAGTTGGAAATTCAACTGTGCTCCAGTCAACTGGCTGTTTGTGAGATGGGGGTGCCTGTTGTCTTTACAATCCTTGCCTCATTTGGCTGTGGTAACTAATGAGGCTCAGGGCCTCCCCCTCACCCCCAACAGTTAAAAAAATTGTCTATGTTTTAAATATATCATTAGTGATATATGAGCATTTTTACTAATCCTGAAAAAAATCTAGTAAGCTGCAGTTTCTGGGTGCTACTAATTAAAGTGGAATAATTCTAGAGAGCTCTGGATAGGTTCCTCAGGGGAAGTAGAAGATGTAGTTAGTCTTGACAGGATCTTAACGAAGGATCTTACATTGGAAGTCCACCAGCTTAGGTTGATCTAGAGTTTGGCTCACTTTTTTTTTTTACAGCTTACTTTACTTCTTGTCAATTAGCCTTCTCAATGGAAATTGGTACAGTTGGCAAGTCTAGCTACTTTGTCTCCTCAAGGCAACAGACATTTCTGCTTACACACACATACACATGCGTGCACCCACCCACACAGCAGAGGAAGTCCTTTTTGTGCTCCTCATAATGATTTGATCATTTTTGTTCACAGAGGATGAAGCAGCAATGATGGATGAAATCCTGGGGCCCAGAGCTCAGATTCCAATCAGCAGGCCTTCATGCTCCGATGGAACTGCAGAAAAACCAACGACATTGGGTATGAGTGGAAGGGTTGGAGATGAGATTGGTTTTGGGTAATGCCAAGGGCTAACATTAGCCATGCAAATTCAAGGTCTGGGATGGTAAAGGCCGCAGCACTTTCCGCTATTTCCTGTTTTTCTGTTTCCGTAGCTAACTCAGACATTGTGTGCTCTATGTTCTCGTTACAAGGGCTGTTTGTCTTTTGTGGTTCCTCATGTATAGATCACATTGGGTAACTGGGACAGAATTTGAACTCATGACAATCTCAGCTCTGAGTCTCTATTACTTCTAGCACTAAGGATAGTGGAAATACATTTGAAAATGTCCAAACTCAGAGAACTCTTGTTAGTAAACATGCTGGGATAATAAACCATGCTTTAAACCTGGCTTCTCCAAACTAACCATAATTTAAACTAGGGGTGGATAACCTGTGACCCTCCAGACGTTTCTGCACTATAGGTCTCATCATCTTTTGCCATGGTGGCTGGGACTGATGGGAGTTGGAATCCAGCAAGTTCTGGAAAGCCACAGGTTCCCCATCCCAAACTAATAATAGTTTTGCAGTTTGTACATAATGGGGAACTCTGGTAAGTTTGAAATTAAAAGCAGAAGCTTTAATCTCACCCTGCATTGTTTAGCATTAAATCTGACAAGATCCAGTGTTTTTCTTTTCAAGGTTGAAAGCCTTGTTGTTCGTTTTGTGAAGTCACACAGGTTCTACAGGAGTTTATTTTAGTATTTTTAAAAAACCTGCAGAACTTGATTTTGACCAGAGGCAACAGTGGGGCAAAACAAAGATAAGTACATGTTGTAGGAAGCAAAACCTCCCTCCTACCCGTTTGCAGTTCTCTTAAAACCCATTGTCTGCCTGTAGCGTAAGTTTAGAAAGAACCATGCATACTGAGAAAGTGTATGCAAAATCTCAGCACAAATGACATTGATTTGTGTGATGTAGTTTGATTGTAGCAGGTGGGTTCCCTTCATTTAGAACAGAGATGGGGAACCTTTCTCAGCCTGAGGGCCACATTCCTGTCTCAGCAGCCTTCCAGGGGCCACATGTCAGTGGTGGCTGGGAACAGAGACAAAAAAGGGGAAAGCAATGAACACAAAGTTTCCCTTTATACAGCAGGCTAGTTTCTACACACACCTCTCTGTAGCCTCCATTCAGGCCTCATCAGAGTTGAAGGGCACATTCCAGCTCGACAAAAACATTCAAGGAGAGTAGGGCTGCTGAGGGGTGTGGTTCAGAGAGAGTCTCAAGGGCCATTTAACCCTTGGGCCTCAGGTTCTCTACCCTTGATCTAAAAATGGAATTGATTTGCATAGAGTATGGACAGCATTGCTGATGAAGATGTTTTTGCTCCCACGCTAAGCCAAGTGACCCACACTAACGTTGCCTCTGAGATTAAAGGATTTAGGTCCTTTAAGGAGAATCAAATTCTGGGACCTCACACATGTCTGTCCAATAAGCAACGCTCTTCTTTGCCAGCATCAACACACTTTGCCACATGCCAGTGAAGCCACATGTACAGAGTTTTCTCTGTACACCAAATTCTGCGCACAATTTCTGCTTCTTTTCTTAACCAGGCCCTGAAAAACATTTCCTTTTATTTTTAGTTAATTAGGTGACTAATGAACAGATAGAAACCCAAATGTTCATGCAGCACATTTAAAAATAAAAAAACCACGCAGCCCACCAGAAGGATGGGGGACGGGACGGGGACTGATGCCTGAGTCAGCAGTGGAACAGCCAGCCTGCACATCTCTTACTTAAGTTGAAAAGCCAGGAAAACAAGATTTTCTCTGTAGATGGGGGATAAATAAATAAATAAATAGGGGTTTTCAAAAGAATTAAGATTGTACAGCTGGGCAATGCAGGATCTGTGTCAAGACAAATGAAATTCTGTACCCTGTATAAGTTATGGAAACAGAACTTTTGCATAACTTATTTTATTTTGCATATTTTTCCTGCACTTTTAAAAACAAAGTTGCATGTTTTTATTCTGGTTTCACTTGTCACAGGGATTGGCAAGGAGCTTTTCAGGGCACTAGGTCTGCATCTCCAGCCACCAGAATTATTATCTAACCACCTCTCACTTCAACATGCCTTGCTCACCTCTACACTTTCAACTATATCTTTGCAACCACAAGGTCTAGAAACTTAAAAAAAAAACAAAAAACCAAAAGCTGAGACTCTCAGGAAACTGAATTCTAGGTCAAATACCTGTACATTCTGTGCTTTCTCTTCATTTCTTAAGAATCAAGGCATACAGTGGTACCTCGGGTTACATATGCTTCAGGTTACATACGCTTCAAGTTACAGACTCTGCTAACCCAGAAATAGTTCCTCGTGTTAAGAACTTTAACCTGAAGCACCACTTTAGCTAATGGGGCCTCCTGCTGCTGCCGCACCACCAGAGCACGATTTCTGTTCTCATCCTGAAGCAAAGTACTTAACCCAAGGTACTATTTCTGGGTTAGCTGAGTATGTAACCTGAAGCGTATGTAACCTGAGGTACCACTGTAATTAAAAGCATCAATAGAACACCAGTGAATATTGGCTGGTCCAAAAAGAAATTCATATTGTGAAGGCTTGTATAAGCAGTGGTTTTTCAGAAGACATCTCGGGGAAGGCAGAGATGGCTCCTGCCGAAGCTCTACTGGCAGGGAGTTCCACAGGGGAGGGCCTGCCACATTAAATGCTTGGCCCCTAGTGATGGCCAACTGAATCACAGGGGAACCACCAGAAGTGCCCAGTCAGAGGACCTCAGTGCTCAAGGGGCAGTCTAAGTTATCGGATGGTCCTCATGGTACTTTGGACCCAAGTTGCTTGAGGCTTTGTGAATTAACGCAAGTACAGTGGTACCTCGGGTTACATACGCTTCAGGTTACATACACTTCAGGTTACAGACTCCGCTAACCCAGAAATAGTGCTCCGGCGGCGCGGCAGCAGCAGGAGGCCCCATTAGCTAAAATGGTGCTTCAGGTTAAGAACAGTTTCAGGTTAAGAACGGACCTCCGGAACGAATTAAGTACTTAACCCGAGGTACCACTGTATATGTGAGTCGCATCTAGCTCCAGTTGTATCCATTCCTTCTTCTCTTTCCTTTTTTGCTCTTTTGGGGTAACTAGAAGGAGGAAGGGAGGAGTGAAAGACTAAGTTTATGCCATGGTGAGGAACATTGTTCCCTGGCTTCCTGTATGTTTTGATCCTTCTGAGTACAACATAGAAAATCTAGGGTGATTGGCAATAGCCATATTCCCATCTTAGGGAGAGAGTTCATGTACAGATGTGTGAGTTTGTGCAGAGAATCTGTGAAAAATAGAGTTTACCACCTACCACTAAAATGTCAGCCTATGTCTGGGATCCAACATAGCTGCACCTCCGCAGTCTTCCCCCACTGGTGACCCAGATACTAGTCCTCTGTTGTTTCCGCCAAGGATTTGGGCAGAGAGCCGACACAGACAACATACCAAGCAGTCTGGCTCTGTGCTCCATTTCCAAGGAGCACAACATGCCATTGTCGGGTTGGCATCTCGATAGAACATTTGACACCAAATTGTTCTCACGATCTGTTGACTTTGTGCCTTTAGGGTCTGCTCCCAACGATATGGAGCTGATGGCCTCCATGATGCAGAAGATTGCTTCCTTGGAACAGAGCATCAAGAGCCAAGCACGGGCAATATACCACAAGGTGAAAATGCCAGGCTTCAAAGGAACTGCGTTAGGGTGGCAACAGTTCAAACTGTTGATCTCAGAATCATGCTAAGATTTTATTTATTAGATTTTTTTTTATTCAAGTGTTTATTACTTAATTATTTTTTCTAAATTGCATAAATCAATCTGGGTGGGTGGGTGTCTCACAACATGGTATGCAAAAAAATAAATAAATGAATGATAAAATTACAATCATTTATGCTATGTATAGGCTGCCTTGTAACAGAGTGCACTGTGAGTGGCTAAAACAGCAACTTTTTAAAAAGCCATATGGGAATAAGAATGCAATGCCTCAAGTAAAAACACACCAGATAAGGACAAAACTATACATTTTATAAAAAAAATCAGAAGAATAGAGAAAAACAATATTGAAAGAAACATAGCGTAATTTTAAAAGCCTTAAAAAATGTAATGCCCTTGCCTAGTGTAAAGAAAAGAAAATTAGCAGAGCAATCCAAACCTACAATCTTCTGCTTTTGTCGCTGCTGCACTGCTGAAAATGCAGACAGGCACTGGCTGTTGCAGGGAGTATCCTTGCTGGCGGTCAAGAATCTTTGCTGATCCAGCTACCAGCAATGTTCCCAATTTAGACCCCTCTGGTACACCATCCTGGAGCTGTTGCAGGGCAGGGGAGGAGGATGAAGCTGCCCTCCATCTCCCACCCAGGACAGCATGAGTGGAGGGGCTTCAGGTATGGCAGTGGCTCCAACCGTTCTGCTTACAGAGGAGAGAGTTAGAATTACTCCAAAGAGTACAGCTTACCTGAGGAGGACATTCCACAGCCAGAGAGCCACGATGGAGAAGGCTCATTCACTCCTAGCCACTATCAGTAAACTCACAGCGGGAGGAAAGATGGACAGATCAGTCTGTTTCTGATCATGTGTGTTGAGTCATAGCACTATTTTATTTATTTATTCATTCATTCATTCATTCATTCATTCATTCATACCTTGCCTTTTCCCCTAATGGGACTTTAAAGAGTCTTGGCTTCCCCCCACCAGAGAATCCTAGAAAATATAATTTGTTAAGGGTGCTGAGTTGTTATTCCCCTTGCAGAGCTACAATTCCAGAGTTCCTGGGAAGAGGGATTGATGGTTAAACTACTAGGGAGATCTCTCTGCAACACAGAAGGGGGCACCCTGCAGATACCACCATATCTGAAGGCCTGCTTCATAACATGAAGGAATCTTGCCTTTATTGTGGCAGCACCTACTCTTTGGAACCCCATGCTCCTACATATCAGACCCGGGTTGACTCTAATGTATTTTTAGCGTCTGTTGAAGACTTTCCTCTTTGAGCAAGCTTCCAGAGTGGAATCTTATCCCAGTCAACATCTGTATTGACTTTGAATTTGGTTTCCTATATATGCAATTGTTCTGCTTGTATTGATGCAATTATTTTGTATATGTTTTTATTCTGTTGTGAATTTGCTTTGAGATGCTTCATAGGAAGCAGTTCATATATGACATGGAATTAATAGTGACTGGTATTAAGTTTTGCCTTTTATATTTGGATCTGCAGGATAAGAAGATTGAGGAGCTTGAGGAGCAGATAAAAATCCTTAAGAAAGGAAAAGGTAACATTGTGGCACATGTCTCAATGCTTCTTCTTTTTCACTTCAACTAGAGGCAGGTGCCAGGTTTTGCTAGACTTGAGGGATGTGTAGCTGAAGTCCAGCCTCCAGGCCACAGCAGGGTGTGTATGAGCATGTGGAGAGAGCAGCTTTCGAGGCCTCACCATAATGCAGGTCATGTTTTAAGCTCTAAGGCACCAGTAAGTCCAGAACTGGCCAGGTCACCATATGGAATTGCCTATTGGAAGGAAGTGTGTTCGAAGGTAGAACACTAACCTTCTCTTCCATTCTGAGTCAGAACATTAATTTATAACAGAGACTTGGACTATTGCTGCTCTTTGTGCAGTTTAATATTAATCAAAATGAGGAACCCCTACATATCTTTGGGTGTTTTTTTCTCCACAAGCTGAATCTTCTTGGGTGAGCAGAGCAGAGGAACTGGAAGTGATATGCCTTAAGTTGCAGCATCAGGTCTGGGAAATGGAGGTAAGATTAATGGGAGAGAGAGATTATTATTATTTCTCTATGAATCTGAGCTTAATTTCTATTCATTCTATGGGTGGCTACTGGGTTGGACATGAACAAGAGCCTTTGAACAAACTAACCTCTCAGAGTCCTTGGTACCAGACAGAAATGGGAGGGAGGGGAATCTCTCTTTTGCCTTTTTTTTTTTTACTCCTTGTCTTAAGACAATGAGAAGCGGGGGAAGCAAGATCTCTAAGTTCTGGTTGGCCTCAGGTCTTCCAAATCCCCTGGGTTTGAATACGAGTTGGGCTCTGAGGAACTTTCACATCATCCTTATTTAAAATTGATTTAATTGGGTTGCAGCCTTAAATAAAAGTTCATTTTGGGAAAGTAGCAATTTTATTTTTCCTTCGCTATTTTTCTATTCTCACCATTGGTTAGGCTGTCCTCCTTCATGTCTAAATTGTCCCCATTTCCCCCTATGCAGCTGTTTCTGAATGACTATGGATTGATCTGGGTTGGAGAAGGGACAGACTCTTTGGGAGAAGTGCAGGCACAAAGTGATGAAAGGAGTGAGCTGTCAAAGCATTACTGGAAACCAGGTTTGCCGGGACAAAAGACTGCCCTGTTTTAGATACCTTAAGACAACAGAGCATATTTTACTTCCATTTAGACTGTAAGCTCCTTGGCGTAGAGACCAGTCTTTTCGTTTACAGAACTCAATAATATGCTATGTACATTGATGGCATTGTATACATCATAAATTATCCCCATTGTCATTCATTTAATAACCTTACAAATCAGCATTACCAAGATTCTCATAGCAAATAATGCAAACTTGTCAGGCACAAGTGGTTTTGGAAAAAAAGTTTCCAATTTATTAATTTTAATTAAACTGTTTTAGTCGTACCATAAGCCAGTTTCTGAAAGCTTTTGCCTTGAAAAGCAGGGTATAAATGGAGAAAAACTCCTAATAACTATCCTGAACCTTGAGGTATCATGTACCCTGCTTTGCAACTACTCCACACCTAGAGCACAAAATCCATATTTGTCCCTATGGGTTGTACACAGTGTATGACTAAGTAACTTGTTACTTTAGCACAAGGATTTATGCTTGTGCAACAGAACTACTCCCTCTCCTTTCTGTTTGTATTCCCCAAATTTGTTCTTGGGGGTTTCCCCAACCCTCCAGAGCAGATTTGGGAAGGGCACAGGGCATGTCCAGGAGGAGGAGAGGGTGGAAAGTTCAGTTGAACAAGCCTAAGTCCTTGCACTAACAGAGCAAGTGCATTGGATACCACCCTATGTAATCCAACTCTAATTGTAGAAATATTGTCCTATTGACAATATTCCTCCATTAATTTGTCATGGAAACTGCTTTTCTTGATGCTGGAAAAGATTTTGCAGTTAAAATGCAGTGTTGAGAGTTTCTCTTCCCCTTAGTCATTTCTCCTCCTTTTGTCATAGGTGAATCCATCGTTTCAGAAACCAATTTTGATTTAATTTTTGCAAACCTGAAAGATTTAAATGCTTTGGCTGGGGAAGGCATGTCCCAAATCGAGCACACGGCAGGGGGTGCTAGGCTGAAGCAGCTGGACTCAATCCCCCTCACCTTCTATCAAAATGGGATTGTCATGTTCAAAGGGCCTTTCCGGTCATATGAAGAACCTTCCACGCAGGTATGAATCAATACTTAAAGAAATTTAATCACCGACTGGCTGGCTGGCTGGAAGGCAGGTGTAGCCATAGTAATGGCTACATGATGACAAAGCAGACATTCTTGTGTGCCTTTCCTGATAGCACAAAATCCCCACTTTCTGCCCAGAAATAAGTTATAGCATTTATGACTCCTTCCAATTTCTTGTAAGAAGCCTGATAAGACGACAAGATTATATACAGTTATGCATAATTAGGGTGGTCAAGGTTCAGTGGAATTGCACTCATTCACTTTGGACGGGTGCAATCTTCTCTGAAGGCTAGTGCTCAGAGCTTTGACTGGTTCTGCTAGTTTCTAGCAGAAGCTGGCTGTGCATAGTGCTGATTGGCCGACATCATGAAAGCACATCTCCCACTTTCTGCAGCAATTTTTCTTGTCTAAAAATGATTGACTTGTAATAATAGTAATAATTTGGCACAAGCATAGACCAAATTGATGCATTTGCGAGGTTCTTGACCTTTTTAAAAAACGAAAGCCTGCCTGAGGCAGGGGTGAGGGGGAAACGAGAATAACCATAACTGGATTCAGATGCAATACCTATGTAATGTGACAGACTTTGGACTTTAACATTTCACCCTGTGCAATGCCAAAATTTGGCACCTCCTGCCTCTTGCCATCCATTATTTACCATTGTTGCAGCACCCCCTGTGGTGCCGTCTCGGCTTGGCGCCCAATGTGGGCGAACTTGTTGTGCTCCCCTAAATTCGCCTCTGATGTGAGGTGGGGATGATGACAGCCAAGCTCTTCTTGCAGTAGAAAAAAATATATGCTGCCTTATGCTTGCACATACATCTGTATGCACCACAGTTTTCAGGAGCTCAGGTGGATGGTACAGTGGTAGGCTACGAAAGTTTGCTTTCTCTCAGGCTCCAGCTTATTGGCTAAATGGGGAATCTGATCACCTAAATCCTAACAAACCAGAATCAGTGACTTCTACAAAACCATAATCTGGGTAAACATGGGATAGGCAATCTCAGGCCCAAGGGCCAAATGCTGTCTTCCAGGCTTCCCTATCTGGCTGTCAGAACTCTCCCAGACCACACACTCTGTCCCTAGGCCACACTGCTCACTGGCCCTTCTTCGCCCCCCCCAAGTGTTTTTGCTGTGCTGGAATGTGTGCATGAACTCCAATGCCTGGATGGAGAATAGAGAGGGCTTTGGGAGTGTGTGTTGAAATTGGTCTCCTGTACAAATGATGAAATTTACATTGCATGCCCCGCCTACTTTTGCCTCTGGCCCCACCCAGCACTGACATGTGGCCCTCAGAAGATTGCCCAGAAGGGAATGCGGCTGTCAAGCTGAAAAGGTTCTCCACCCCTGGAACTGACCAGTAAATCATGAAGAATTAGGGGCCGGGGCAGGAAAAGTATAACAGGGAAGAGATGAAAGAGAATGAAGGTATTGAACCTTGCAGGGTAGGGACATGGTGAAGGAAGCAAATAAAGATTCAGAGCTGCAGCAAAGCCCAATTCCCTTTCCACTGCAGAGGGCAGAGGAAAGGACTGCCAGGACGAGTATTTCATAGTGATCTTGAAATAAGAGGAACTATTTAGCATCTGTCCATGAAGAGACAAGAGATGAAAATTCAGTCCCTCCCAAGGGAATTGTGCTATTAGGCTGGAGTGGGCAGGAAGTATACTGTGGCCCGTTGGCCCACTTCCAGTGGGTCACTTAGTACCAGCTGGATGCTGAGATTCTTGCAAATAATGTTGGGCTAGATGGATTTTGGCTGGATCTTGAACAGTATCTTATGTTCTTAAGTGGGAGTGCATAGTCAGGGTCACTGAACACAGATCTGGAGCATGCACTCTTGCTTTATAAATTTAAAATGTGCCATTGAACCACGAGGCATCTCGTTTTTTAAAAAAGAAAAGACTACAGAATCCAGGAGTCATCCTGCCCTGATCTAAGGCACTCCTTCAGAAACACAGTATGTGCCTCCTTGAAAGAAAGCTACCAAGGCTCTTCAGGCCCACGTTAGCAGCATTTCTATGTGCTGTTTGAATATATTCACAAATCACATAGAAAGATGGGTTGGGTGAGTAAAAGGGAAATGAGGGGGGTGAGTGCAGTACCCTCTCCTGCCTGCGGTCTGCACTTGCCACAACCCCTTTCTCTGGGTTTTTTACTTGAAAATTGTATCCCCCATCCCTCTCTGTGTATGCGATTGGCACAGTTTCAACCTGAAGGAAGTGCCCCCATCATGCTTACTGTGGCCATCTTTCTAGAAATGAGTTACAAGTTAAGGAGGAAGTAACGGAAAGCAAGAATGAGCACAGGGCTGTTCTGCTTCTGACTTTGAAACCATTCCAGCTTCCGTCCTCAAGCACAAAGTCCCACCTGCTGCCTCTGCAACTGTCTGAAAGTTGTCCTATATAACTCACACATGGGACCTTTCTGTTTGCAGCCATTGCAGCTCCCTACGCATAATGAGCAAGCTGCTGGACTCTTCACCACATGTAAATCCTTCAATTTTGAACGTCCTTCTTCAACCCCCACAGAGATGGTTTGCAGCAGCAAGCAGGTTGCCAGGCTTTCCTCCCAGTGAATGAGTCAACTATTGGCTGGACATTTTTAAAAAGCAGTACTGTGTATTTTTGAGCACTCGGTTTTGTAACTGCCCAGTCTCTACAATTTTTTACCAGGAGAAACCTGTGGTGAAAAGGGTGCAGGTTCTTTCCTAGCAGATGCCTGAACAAAGCTTGACTTTCCTTAAAAAAAAAAAAGTTGATAGTTCTTATGGTTGAAGAGAAACTTTAAGCTTAAGTCTCAGTCCCTGTGAAGGGAAGACATGGGGTCTAGTGACTAAACTCTCACACCCTCTTTTGGGAGAGTGTACTTATTTTTAAGAGACTTCAGGCTGTACTCCAGTTTACACAACCTTCAGACTTGCACTGTGTAGGACTGAGTCACAGATCCACATGTAGGGTACCCAAGCAGTGTCTCATCTGCAACCTGACCAGGCCAGACTGCTTAGCTTCCACAAGGTAACTGGGCCATGTGCCTTCAGATCATACCCTAGTACCGAGCTTGGTCTATCTGCAAGTGTTTTCACTTTACAAAGATCTGAATGGTATAGGTGAGCTATGTGGAAGCCAGGGAGGTCTGTAAGCAGAGTGCTGGATGCGGGCCTGGCTTCAAATCTGACTTTTCATAATAGGCTCATTGTATGGTCTTGGGCAGATCTCAGTGGCTTCCATGCTGCATCTGTAAACATGGGGATAACAACAATTAACTTTTGTGGTGGTGGTGGTGATAAATGAAATAAGGAAGATGAGCTGAGTAAACCGAAAACTAATTTGCTCTTCAAAATTATCTTCAAAATTATTTTCTGAGCATTATGAGGTAAAATCTTTCCTAGCTGTTCTCTGAATATTTGATATCAATATTCAGAGATATTAGATATCTGGCAAGGACATGCAGTGAGATTCAGATCTTGTGTTTGACACCTGCTAGAAAGGAAAGCTGTCTGGAAATACCTCCAGATCTAAGGATGGGTACACACAATATGAAATAGAAGGCTGCCCGCCTCCCCAAATGGCAGCCCTGTATTGAGTTCCCTCTGACCACCCCCCCATAACCTTTGCTGTATCCTGGTATCATTATTCTCAGCATTAACCAACCCCAGTTGATGGTGTGAGGGTAGGGAAATATGCCCAGCTTTGTGGTTGTACCCCAAGGAGGAGGAAGTGAAACCCGACAGTGTTATGACCCAGACTGCCAGCAGCACCCTGAACACTGACTTGGAGAGAGTAGACAGCTGAACCAGGAAGCATTGATTGGGGCCCTGACGTAATCTGCCATCAAGGCCCTTCTAAGTCAGGCGTGCCCAAATCTGAAATGTTTGAGCCACTGACTCCCAGTGGCTGCAGCTCCAAAGCCAGACACCAGCAACCTAGTCTCAAATGTGCCTCCAAGCCTGCTCACCACAACAGGCAGAGGTAACAGAGTGTCAGGCTCCAAACAGAGGACTGTCTCTTTAAAGCCTATCAACCTCTTGACCAAAATGTGCTGGGTCATCTTGAGGTGGAGAATGAAATCAAGGAGGCATCCAGAGCAAAGGGCTGGTGGGACCTGGTTTGTGCCTATACTCAGGACCAGGGGCTATAGCTCAGTTAGCACCAGCAGTCCTTGGAGCAAGTGGTCTACCCCCTAAGACTTGTCCAAGGTTCTGAAGGCTGTGGCTCTGATCTGCCTGTCAGTCCCCTGCTCTTGCTACCTGCTACAGACCACTGCCAGAATTGCTGCCACCAGATGCTGCTGTGGGCTCATGCTCACCAGGACTGGGCACTCAGAGCTGCCTCCCAAAGTTGTAGTCTGCTTCTTCCTTATTGTGGGTTTCTCTTCCCTGAACTGTTTTGAATTTGAGCTACAATTTCTCTTTCATATTGAATATTTTGCAGTCAGAATTGGATTGGTGAAATGGAGGTTGTTGGCACATTTACGTTTTTTTATGTGCATTTTTTGTTTCACCTCCAGCTCTGGTAAGAGAGTATTCTGTAAATTGAAATAAATGAGAGGTATTCCTTTATCTGGACTGCTTATTGTGGTTGTTCAGTCACCAGACAGCCCTGGGGGCCTCTCCTGTGGTTCCTGCGGGTGCTATTGCACCCTTAACCCTGCCCTCCTCCTCCCTTAGCACCTGCCAAAGCCTCTGTTCCTCCCAGTGTTTATTTTTACTTCAAAATTTTATTTTATTTTATTTCAAGCTTTTTTGGCATGTTCTTTTATGGCTGTTTGGTTGGTTCCTTTTTCCATTTTTCTCTTGATTCATTTTAATTCTGAGGGGGCTGTAGGTTTTTTTAGTTGTTTCAGTGTTCTGAGCATCACCAATTGTTCATCTGTGAAATTTGTATTTTGTGGTTCTCGTGATAGTGTCTTAAACTGGTCCCCAGGCCCAAAAAATGTTCAGGGGTACTACCACCCTCAGTATAGAGAAAAATCTGACATGTGGGCCCTGCTTGTGGTTTCAGCAACTCCTACGAGATATCATGGACGGTTACTTCCCTTCTGAGCTGCAGAAGCGTTACCCAGATGGTATCCCATTTCAGGTATGCCTCCCCCTGCTCTCCTACAGCTTCCTGTTTATTGAGTTCTTCATTTGCAGAAGTTTCATTTGCTTATCAAAAATGTGGTCTGAAGTTAGAGCAGCTCCATTGTTTAAGCAGAACTGAGAACCTCTTTTTACTCTAAGCAGTTATAATGGTTTTTCCTCTTTCAGGAACCGATTGTTCTATATATGAGGAACTAAGTGCTTTTTGCTTAAAAAACTGGAACACTTATCAGTTCTTAAAAATGGAGATTCCCTCCTTTAAAAAAAAATATTTTCTGCGATCATCATTGGTTGTTCTGTGTGCAGTAATAGATTATCACTGACTGTGTGGATGAACATTCTCTGGAGAAAATGAATCTGTGCTTCATTTTGAGACCCAAGAAAGGAAGAGGAGTGGGAGAAGAGAGCTCTCAGGCAAATGGGAAGAATAATAGGACATGATCTCTGAGAAAAGGGCAGACCAAAAAGCCAGAAAATGTTAGACAAGAGGTGGGGAACCTGTGGATCCCCAGATGTTATTGGACTCCAGCTCCCATCAGCCCCAGCAAGCATGATCAATGGTCAGGGATGATGAAAAGCATACAGGTGCAAGTTACCACAAATTAAGAAATATGTTATCTTCTGCAAAATGACAGTTCCTGAAAGTGGCTATCATATTTGGTAGGCTTGTCCCCAAGTTGTGTTTGCTTTATGGAAAGTTGAAACTGTCATAATAAATGATCTCCTGTTGTGCAGAAATTCTTCTTTTAGATTATGCCCAATATAAGGCAAGTAAAGAATAAGAGATTAACTTGCTATAAACAGCCAAGTTTGAAAAAGCATGTGACTGGAACGTTGCTGCTTCATCTATTGAGAATTGATTAGAAGAGGATTAAATATATCGCTTGTGGTAAAACCTAACTGATTAGGGGGCCATACTAAGCTCCCTGAAGAGTCATTGGATGTTGTGGACCTCCCTCTCTGACTACAGAGAGGGAGGCCTGCGAGTAGAGAAGGTCTGCCATTGGAGACCTTCTTGGGGGAGCCATGGAAACCACACTAGGTAAAAGGTAAAGGATCCCTGGACGATTAAGTCCAGTCAAAGGTGACTATGGGGTTGCAGCGCTCATCTTGCTTTCAGGCTGAAAGAGCCGGCGTTTGTCTACAGACAGCTTTCTGGGTCATGTGGCCAGCAGGACTAAACTGCTTCTGGCAAAACGGGACACCAGGACGGAAACCAGAGTTCACAGAAACGCTGTTTACCTTCCTGCCGCAGCGGTACCTATTTGTCTACTTGCACTGGTGTGCTTTCAAACTGCTAGGTTGGCAGGAGCTGGGACAGAGCAATGGGAGCTCACCCCCATCTGTGGGGATTCAAACCGCCAACCTTCTGATTGGCAAGCCCAAGAGGCTCAGTGGTTTAGACCACAGCGCCACCTGTGTCCCACTCTATTAATGTTCTGATGCAACTGAGGAAAGGGTGTGTGTTGGAGGCAGATTGTGGGAGGCCCTAGATTCACAGGATACAAGGCCTTTTGTTCCCTGAACATGCCCTTGATTAGGAAGTAATACCACACTCTTGAAGCTGGTGTAGTTCTTTCTTTTCCATTGAAACCAGTTGCAGCAGGAATGGGGGGGGGGGGAGAAAAAGTAAACAGAGAGAGGGGGACTGCCACCCATCCTTTGACTAGGCCAGTGCTAGCCCAGGGGTGTTAATAAAGTGGTGCCATAGTCTCTTCTCCCACCCCTACCACCTTCCATGGGATTGCTGTGCCCTTCTGTTTTAGAGAAAGAAGGGAAATGAGGAAGTCATTTATCAATAAACTATTTTTAACTTTCTAGAGTAGTGTATTCGGGTGGAACTACTGATACAGCATTGCTCTGATCCTTGTCAGCAGAAGTGATTTATTAAGATGGTGTGTTTGCTTTGTTTGAAGGCAACTGGAGCAGTTTCTTCCAAACAGGTGGGAGGAAAGTGTATTGCTTTCTTGCCCATTATTCGTAAATAGGTGGAGGAAACTGTGTTTCTTTGTTCTCATTATTCATAGATGAGTGGAAAATGTTTTACATAAAAGAGAAAAGAACAAGAACAAGGAAATGTGGTCTGGGGTTTCTGAAAAAAGCCCCTGTGAGACAGCAGAAGGGAAGCACCTGCTCCCTTTCCTTTTGCAGGTGAAGTGTGGGGAGCGCCAGAACTGAACAGTCAGTTAGACTCAAGCAGGGAAGAGTGCACAAGCCGCAGGGTCCAAAAGTTAGCTGGGGCAGAGGATCCTCTCTAGAGGATCATACAGTTAGAGATCCAGAACATGTGACAGCTGGGCCTCTTTGGCTTCATATACCTTTCTGGTTTCCCATTTGCTCTCACCTTCTAGTTTCTGAGAGATAGTTATAGAATCAAGTAGTGATGTATTTTTGTTCGGTACTATGCTGTGTTGCCAGAGGGATTGTCCGCGTGTCATGGGAGAAAATTCACAGCACAAAGGAAAGTAATGCATTATGTAGCAGGATAACCAGAAGCCTTTCTCCCACCATGCTTATTTTCAGAGCACATGCAGAGTGTTTTTTCTATATGTGTGTGTTTCTTTCTTTTTCTAGGATAATGTTTCACATATGCAACCCACTTCTTCCCATAGCCCAGATTGAGCAGTCTGGAAATGAGCTGCCACTTGATTTTGTGGATTGCATAAACTGGCCCTGAGTTTGCTTCTGGATTTTAAGTGGTGGCTCTTGGATTAGATTCATGTAGCTTTTCTGATAGAAGGAAAGAACAAGGGGTAGGACCCTCTTTTCTTTTATACAGCAGCTGGTCTGGTAGAGGCAGTGGCACATCTTGGATCATTGAGACTCCTCACACAAACACATTGGTTTACGATGGCTGCAGAAAAGGCCTTGCTTGTGGTGGCTCCCAGCCGAGGGTTGTATCCAACCTAAGTTTTACTCAGAGTAGTCTCTTGAAATTACTGGACAGTGCTTAGCCATCCCAGTCTACTCATGAGTAGGACTAGATTTGAATACAACCCTGAATGTTTTGCTTTGAGTGAACCTTTTTTGACCCACCTCTCTCCAAGTGTGGTTTATTGAGTTTTGATCAAGCATTACCAGCTTGATAGGCAGTGCCACTGTGGCAACTGTCCTGCTGATCAGGCTGAGGCATCCCTGCTGACTGATCATTTGTTTTGCAGTTTCTGCACAAGGAAATGATGACTTCTCTTCCATCCTCCATTTGTCACTGCTGCCAACATTTACTAACACTTCCTTGCCTAACACTGAACTCTGGAGTTTGGGGTTAGGTAGGGCATTGAATAGCAATACGGGTCTCTTCCACAGGTCACCGACAAGAGAGACACCGTATTTCAGGAGAGGAAGCTGCAGCACAAAAGTTTTCCAGGCCAGGGCCATGTCATTGGCCTTGCCAGACCAAGTGGATTAAAGGAGACAAATGAGATACCAGGTGAGATGGTGGTTAATGGTGAGTGTAGGAAGGACCCTAACTCAGCAGCAGTATTTGCCTGGCATGCAGAAGGTCTCAGGTTCAATCCCCAGCTTCTCTAGGTAGAGCTGGGAACGGTTCCCTCTCTGCTGCATAGCTGCTGCCAGAATAGACTTTACTGATGGACCAGTGGTCTGGCTCACTATAAGGCAGTCTCCTATGTTCTTGTTCTTATTTGTTTGGTTTCCTTTAATCTCTCTCTTTGTGTGTGTGTGTGTGTGTGTGTGTGTGTTTGTGTGTGTCGTTCAGTGTTTTAAAATTCTGGTCCTCAACTCATCTCCTTATTTACTTACAACCACTCAGTTAATTATGGCTCCATTTCTTGTATGACGAAACTTTTGACATTGCATTGTGTTGAATGACATTTTGTGTTATATGCTGCTTGTGCTGGAAAGGACCTTTTGTTTTCCCCCACCAGTCAAACATCTTGACAAGAAGCGCTTCAGAAGGCTTTTTGGAAAGAAGTCAATTACTAAAAATGAATGAATGAAAAAAACAATGTATATACTACTACTAACAACGACGATAGTGTAACATGCTGCACTGGGGGGACGGGACAAAGAGTGGTTTCCAAAGTGGCTTACATCAGTAAAAGGTACAATTCAGAGCTGATGGCAGGCACTGTAAGTAAAACAAAACAAGACGCAGGCCCAACCCTCAGGCTCCCAAATGAAAATGACAAAGAAAGGAGAGCGGAATAGAGGACAAAGACAGAGGAAGAAGAGCCTGTCTGCCAATGCCAGAAAGGAGGGATGAGCTGTGAAACAGGCTTATATGGACTGTAAACCAGACTGATCTTCCCTTGCTGGCTTTCTTACCTGATTAGAAGTAGCACTTTGGCAGAGATGGGCTGTGCTTTGGTCAGTTGTCGGTCGGTCTCAGGGCAAATGGCTTGGAGCTCTTTCTTTTAGTGGCTTTTAGAGAGAGTAATTGTCTCTCACTTCTGCAGCCACTGGATGACACGATCTTAGTGCAAAGTTCCAGTGTTATGCCTAGGGCTCTTTCTTTGCCTATCTACTAAAGCAGGCATGTCCAAAGTCCATTTTCAGGGCCTAATCCAGCCCCCTGAATGGTTCAATCCAGCCCCCATGGCAGTTTCTTTCTTGGGGTAAAATTCAAAAAAAAGGCTCCACAACCTCAACCCTAAAAAAAACACACCTCAACACACGTCCACTTCATCAAATCTGACCCTCTTTGAAAAAAGTTTGGGCACCCCTGTACTAAAGCATTTACTCCCACAATCCTCTGTTATGGCAGGTCCTAAGCTCACCATGGAACAGTTTTTGAATAAGCTTCCAAAGTCACGGATTCAAGATGGGCAAGTGATCGATATCCGAGGAGAAATTAAAAAAACCCTCCAGGTAGGATGGAACTCCTTCTCCAGCCTGCATGTAATGGAGTTTGAGTCTGGGGTTCCTTCTTCTGGTCAGCACTTCTGCTAATAGCCAATACTTTGCAGCAGCATGGGCTTAGGTACCATATCCCTACCTAGAATCCTTCTCCCTACCAGAATTTAATTTCGTGACCAGGATGTGCCAAAAGAATATAGGATGCACATGTGGAATAGCTGCCCTTTTAGGGTCTCCTTCCTTGTCCACCTAAAGCCCAACACAAATGATACACAATGATAATCTTTCCCCTTCTGTCTTCATTTTGGGGAAAGCACATATCTAATCCTAAGTATCAGAAGGACAGGAAATTGGGGTTCATATCTTCTCACTTCCCCAAAGGCTATATATTATTGGCATTCAAATAGTGCCATCAAGCTAGTGTGGTGTAGTGGTTTCAGCCCATGGGCAGCTTCCCCAGACTCTGAGCTTGGAGTCTGAGCTGAGTTTGGAAGTTTTAATTAATAGCCAAGGACCCAGGACCAAACCCTTCAATTCTAAACAGTACAACAAAAGACAACTTTGCTTCATCACTCTGTTTGGATGTGCTGAGATGAGCAGGGCAGCTGATTCTGTTTACATTTCTCAGGACAGTCAGATTTTGACACAGATTTCCTTCTTTGGTTCCAGGGCTCAGGTGGAAAAAGCCACGAAGTGATTGTGGTGGAGACCCCTAGTATTGCAGCAATGAAGAAGAGGTAAAAAAGAAAAGGCAATTTCCCCTCTTCACATTAATGGCTGTGGCATCATGCAGTCTCCTCAAGCTGTAGTGCAGGAGGGGGAACCTGCGGTGCTTCAGATGTTGCTAGACTACAACTCCCATCCTCCGTGACAACTGGCCATGCTGGTTGGGGCTGATGTGAGTGGAGTCCAGCAGCATCTGGAGGACCACTATAGCACTTTCTTTCACACTGATGCCCTTTATTCAGAGCTGCATTGAGAAGTATGTGATTTGGGTTCTCATAATTCACCTTTGACAGGGGACAGACAAGTCCCTTATTCACCTGATTCATTGAGGGTTTAAGACCCATCAGCTACCTTCACCTGGTTTAGCTGGCCAGTTGAAGCCATTTCCTGGGGTGTGGCCACTGTCAGCTTCTAGGGGCCACAGGTGAGAACTGAGTACACCAAAAGCGGTCAAACTGCTGCACAAACTGTCCCCCACCAGAGATACTGCTCCTTCCTTAATACCCCATATGGGTCGAACAAGTTTCTGCATGTGCTGTTGAGGGAAATGAGGGGCAGATGGGGCTCGTCAACCTGGAAAGGTTTCCCCACCCTCTTCAAAGAAAGCATTGTCCCTTCTCTAACCAGCTTTTCTGATCTTCAGGTTGGAAGGGAATGAAAAAAAGAAGGCCTCCAACCCCAATGTTGCAACTCTTCGGATAAAGTCAGAGAATGGGGAGAAGACCTATATCATCAAGATGCCATTCACCGAGACCATCGGAGACCTGCGCCAGCATCTTGCCCAGAGCAGGTAGTAACAGGGATCATTCTAGCAGATAATCTTTTGTAGAAGGTTCTGAACCTTAAACTCCTGATTCTGCAACTAACATCAGCAACTAAAGTCTGTACTCACTATAAACAAATAGGGGGAAAGTGTGTGTTTTTGCTTAATGTTGCCAATTTATTCAGATTGATCTCCCACCTAGAATCTGGGAGGACCAGGCTTCTGCAATGCAACATGGGGAGTAAATGTTTGGGGGCGAAGGGCAAATAATAAACACTTTCGGGGTTATGACTGACTTTCAGGTTATTGGGGAGGGACAAGGTAGGAAAGATCCCATGGCTTTGGGGGAGTTGATCTATCACATCATACAGGCATCTAGGTTCCTGACTCACCTTCCAGTTAATTTTTCACCATTGTGTATCTTACTCCTCACTATCTGTCCTTATTTCCTTCTGGTTTTGACCTCTGCTGAGTTGTCTGGTTTCTACCACAACTCCATAGTGGAGTTTGTACAGAAAATAAATACAAGTGCCTGTGATATCACATGTCAGCCTCTTCCACTTTGGCATTGCTCTCGTATTTTTGGTTGGGGTCATGATACCATCAAAGCAGGTAGGGCTACTGCCAAGGGATAGTAGTAGTGAGGATCCTGGAAAATCTTGCCATAGGCACTGTTCATTCCATGCCCAATATATGTGGCTGAACCCACAGAGATTGTTATGACCACAGGAAACAGGGTAAGCTGCATAGCTCAGATGTAGAGATACAAGGGATCATGCAAAGAATATGCATTCTTGAATGTAAGGAGCCTCTCTAGAGAATAAATTGAAGTATGGTGTTCTGCTGTCTTTTCCTTAGAGAATCTTCCAATGACATTATTGTCTAGGTCCTGCAGTGACATAGCATAGTTTCTGAAATGCAGACTCTTGGCTTGATGCCTTCCAAAGCCAAAGCAACAAAGATGCCGATAAATTTAAAACAATTACTCAATATGTGTATTCAAATTTTTAAAATTTTGCATTAAACAAATTATTTGCATTTGAATGTCAAATTCCAAATCAGCTCACTTACAAGCACTATTCTGCTCATTTCCTAGGGGAGAAGAAATGGAACCTTATGAGATCATCAGCACTTTTCCTTATCGAGTGTATAACAACAACTTCATGACGCTGGAGGAGTGTGGGCTGGTCCCCAATGCCTCACTTCGGCTGCAGAAAAGGGCCCCGTCAACCAAATCACAAGGGCAATAAGTGTAATGGTTTACAGTGGATGATTCATCAGGCTTGGCTGCCACTCAGCTAGGGAGTAGTGTGCCTTCTTCAGGAGAGCCTGTGCAAAAATGACATCCTCTAGTCAGAAACAGGGAAGGACTGACCTTTCCACTTACCCAAGCTCCAACCTTTGTGGCTATTCTCAGCACTTCAGTCAAAGGAGAAAGCCGGGGTTGGGGTGTAGTTGGAATACTGGGCATAGACCCTCCCTTTGTTACCCAGCTTGAGTGGGGCTTAGCCCCAGGTCTAGGTTATCATCAGCCTCAAATGGATGAAGAGACTCTGGCCCTTGTAAAGCTCTCATCAGAAACGCTAGACCCTCGCTCCAAGAAAGAGCAGACGGTTGGGCTACTAGTGCTAGCATGAAGTTTCCCTTTTCTAAGCTGCTGCATCACCAAATGAGCGCCGAGTCCCAGACCATGCACTGCTGCACACTATGTGCTTGATAGCACCCACCCTGTTCCTGTAGCCTACAAGGGCCTCACAAATAGGATTTACCAACTATTTGGTGGAGTTAGGGGCACCTGTGATGCAAGCCTGTTAATTCATCTAATGCAGGTGTGCAGAAACTTCAGCCCTCCAGATGTTACTGAACTATAATTCCCATCATCCCCGGCCACTTACCGAGGCTGATAGGAGTTATGGTTCAGCAACATCAGAAAGGCCCATGGTTCTCCACTAGTTCTAATGGGAAAGGGAGATGAACATTTTTTGCCTTTCCTGAAGCTGAAAAGGATCTGCGCACCCAAACATTGAACTTTGTGTGGCCACAAAGGCAACTCAGCCACATATAAGCTTCTCCTCCCCTGTGCAAGAGGTTAAACAGGGAGTCCCAACTTCAGCCAGCCCATACACTGTAATGCCCCAAAGCTTAGTGAGAAGTGCCTCTCTCCCCCCCTCCCCCATAGCGTGGATGCAGTGCCAGAGCAGCCCATCCCTTGTCTCTGGCAGGAGTGGGGAGTCTTTGTCCCCATGGATATTGCTGAACTACAACTCCCACCAGCCCCAGTAAGTCTAGCCAGTGGTCAGGGATTATGGGAGTTGTAGTTCAGCAAATGCTGGAAGGACTACGTTCCCCACACATACACTCTGGCTACCGCCAAACATGGATGTCCTGCAGTTAAAAACAAGCCAGTGTGTGGGAGAAATTACCTTTAGCAGGTCTCTTTTGAGGCCACAACAAAACACAGTTAATTTCTCTTCCTCCGGCGAGTTATATGCAAAGCTGACCACCTTAACAGCAACCCACCTTGTTCAATACAATGCCCCTTGTTATTGTTTTCTTGTTTGCCCAAGGCTTGCAATATTAGGTAGCGAGTTCTCCCACCCCCTGACTGATCTTTGTAGTTGTTCAGTAAAGAGGGCCTTGACAGCCATGTTTCAGGGTGTCATTCCCTACTCCTTCTGGGATGGAATTTGCATGTTTCAATGATCAGTCCATGTCAAAACCTCCCTTCCTCCAGAAAATTAGCTGGCCAAAGAGAAGGGTTTTAAAATAATTATTAAGCCACAATTCTGCTAAAAAGTGGTGTACTGAATGGGCTCAGCTTTTTTTTTTTTTTTTGACAAGGAGGAAGGACTCAAGCATATCAAATTCCTCTTCTTCCCCACCTTCTTAATTGTGCCGAAGTTATGAAGTTGTACTGTTCTGTGAAGACACCAGATGCTTTTTCTGACCTGTTAAATTGGTTCTTAGTGCTTACTAATCCATGACTGCCTTATCTACTTAATTGTTACTGGTTGCATGCCACAAGGAGAGATGTCCAAAGTTTGGGTGATCTGCACCTTTTCAACAGGAACACCAATGCATCTGGCCTTCCCTTTGCATAACACAGCACCTCTAACCCCTAAAATCACCAGTGCACAGGAGGTCCACAAATCTCAGCCATTTGTGCTTATTGTAAAACTCTGCCTCTTCTGATTTGAAGCTTTGTCCTGAGTCTCCACAGCCTAGCACCAATACAGAAACAAGACCTCAATCTCCCCTCCTTGGTGCCGAACTGGGAGATGAGGACTACTTTCCTGCCAGACTTAGGCCCATCTGCACTATATATTTAAAGCTGTATCCTGCCACTTTATACAGCAATGGCTTCCCCTAAAGAATCCTGGGAACTGCAGTTTGCTAAGGGTGCTGAGAGTTACTAGGAGGCTGCTATTCCCCTCACAAGGCTAGCTTCCAGAGTTCCTTCCCTCTGGAGAGGGATCAATTGTTAAACCACTCTTGAGTACTGAGCACTGAATGCTGAATGATTGATGGGGAAGAATAAAAAACATAAAGCCTGGGGAAAGTGGGAACAGAAAGGCATATCCTGGAAGAGAGCATGCTGGCTGGTTGGCACCCTGAGCATAAGGAACACACACTGCAACATTTTGTTGCAGTTCCCATTTGCAGTCTCAAATTAAGAAGAGCTCAAATGAGTAAGCTGACATTTTACACCGGCTTACTGCCTTCCTCTGTGGGAGGTGAGGGGAACTCCACTTAAAGAAGTAGTGCATGATGAGTTAAGGGCCTCTTCTTGGTGATCGCTATGAAGTGCATTTTTCCCTACTAGCACCTTCTGCATGGCATTGTTTTCACTGGCAGGTAATCCCACACAATGAATGAATCAATCTTGCCATTGAATAGACAAATCGCAACCAAGCCTCCTTCCTAGAGACAACCTGACTGTAACTAGAAACAATTCAGTGATGTCACATCTCCCATCGTACATCCACAGCAAAACAATCCTGGGTTCAGTGCACAAGTCTTTACAATTTACGCTTTTGTAATACATCAACTTCAGTTATTGAGGAAGGGCGCAAGGATACTATTTTAGAAATTTATGGGTATTTGATGCAACTGTGCTCAAACCGTCCCAATATAGCCTACAAGGCTCTGCCACCTGTCCAACGCTTGGTCCAGGAACAAATCGTTTTCTGCTGAGGTATAGTAAATGTGATCAACCCAGCTATTAGGAGAGCTGGAAAATGGATTTCTGAATCAATAATCAGGATGGTACTCCACTTTTATCTTCCAGTTAAAGATACACACAAAGCCACAGTTGAGGTTTTTAGCAACATTTAATAGCATCTCAAATGAGATGGCCATTTTTACAAATTTTGCTTTTAGCAAGGAAAAAAACCTGAAAATGCACTTGGTCCATATTTGCAAAAAGCCAGTTTTTTTTTAAAAAAAAGAAAAAGTGTGAAACAGCTGATGCAAGAACAGACCTAGCATTCTATATACATCCCATATGAGTTGGGGTGGGAACACACTAATGGAATACAAGATCTGCTCTCACCATCCTCTTGGAAACCGCTTTTCCTAGGAGAGTCTGAGCTGTACTGAAGTAATTTTTAAGACACACGTACAACCCTACCCCATCTCTCTGTCAGAAAATGAAATTTCAGCGCATCATCTTGTGCAGTACTTTTGCATTGGTATATAACAAAGTAATATTAATTATAGCAGATGGCTGCTGCTCTCATTTCCTGGGTAGGAATGAAAGAGGAAGTGTGGAAGCCAGCATTTGCAACTGGTTATAAGACAAGAGGCAACGCCTCCCCTTGTTCTTTTCTCAAGGGCAGGCTCGGCACAAGGGGTGGGGGGAGGAGGTTTGGGGAAAGCTCTGCTTTCCGATGTCCTTGACTGGTAGATTTCTCATCCACAGAGGCACGAGGAGCAAGGCCCAGCAGCATTCAAAGGAATGTGCAAAGTGTTTTTCTTTTTGACCATGCTGAGAGGGAAGCAGGCAATGAAAGGGAGCTGGAGAGGTGTCTGGTCACACAGGGCCAGGCTAGGGCTGACAAGGACATAGGAGGTTGGGTAGTGATCCATTTGGAATGCAAAGTCCAGGTTCGGGGTAGGGCAGAGGGGCAAGGGGCAAGGAACAAAGCATGCTCAGGCTAGCTTGAGGAACTCCTGCAGGGTCTTCTGTTCCACTGCTTCCACAAACAGTTCGTAGTCCTGCCGGATGGGAGAAGCAAGAAACAAAACTCAAATACAGAGTCAATAATAAGGCAATATGTAATAGAAAGCTAGAAGCCTCTGAGGCCCCATCTGCACTATAAAGAAGTCTCATGCCACTATGAATAGTCATGGCTTCCCCCAAAGAATCCTGGAAGCTGTAGTTGGTTAAGGATGCTGAGAATTGTTAGACCACCTATTTCCCCAGAGCTACAATTCCCAGAGTTCCCTGGGAGGAAGGGATTGATGCTTAAACCACTCTGGGAATTGTGGCCTCAGAGGGGAATGGGGGTCTCCTAACAACACTCTGCACCCTTAACAAATTACAGTTCCCAAAATTCTTGGGGGGAAGCCATCATACCTGTCTAAAGTGGTATGATACTGCGTTAAATGTATAGTGCAGTTGTTGAGCTTCTTGCTACTAGGGCAAGAAGCTCAACAGAACTCTTTTCTCATCAAGGCACAGGAACATGATACAGAAAGCCTTTGAACAGAGTACTCAACAAAAGTCAAGAGAGTTGTATGAGAAATCCTGCACCAACCACCGAAGAAGCCTCTGTGCTCCCAAATTTAGCTTGCTCCATTCTGCAACCTGCTCACACACTCAAGAGGCTCATCAGAAGCAGAAAGAGTAGGGACCACAGTTAACCAGAGGCTCATTATTAAAATTTTGTTTCAGAAAAAGTGGTTGCCGTAAACAATGGTCATCACCTCCTGTCTGTAAAGACAGGCAGAGTTTAGAACAGATGAAGTGACCCAGAGACTAAGCGAGCACTGGTGTGCGGTCAGGAACAAGGGTTGCGGAGGGAGGATAACCACAGAATCAAGCACCTTGGCTTCAGAGTTTTCAAAAAACCGTCCAACAGAAAGCAACTCTCTTTCAAATCTCTCTCACCCCCCAGTCCTAAAGCATAAAAGTCGTTCAGAACTTGGCCCAAGTACCACACTGGAAATCTGTCCCCAGACAGAGAGGATGAAGCTTATTTAATGATGTATATGACACAATCCCTATGGGTGGCTCTTGGCTGAAAAGCCCCTTTTCACCAAACAAGGCTTCCTATTAGCTGGGTGTTACAAAGGGAGCTTTCACAAGTGACACAGGAAATGACTTCTGATCTGGAATCTGTCACTTCTGGGTGTTATTAACATGGCAGGGAATTATAGCCTTGGGATGGAACAACACAGGCTGATAGATGGTCCTCTGGCACCTCCAATGAAGGAGAGCCAAGCACTGTTGGCAGCAGTCTAGTTTCCATTTATAGAGGCTCCCCATACCTTGAGGATGGAGAACATGTGACCAGGATAGGGCTGACAAGGACTTAGGAGGTTGGAAAATGATCCATTTGGAATGCAAATACAGCTATCATCACCCCTGGCCACTGAGTAGGCTGGCTGGAGCTGATGGGAACTTGGGTTCAGTAACCTCTGGAGGGCCACAGCTTCCCTGTCATATCAGGGAATCCTCGAGGTGGGGAGGAGAGAAAGGATCCTTATGATCCCAAGATCTATTCCAGACAGGGAGGGCACAGTTAGTAGTCCACTGACATATCTACCTAGAAGAGGCTCAAGAACAAAGTTTTGTTTTAATATTAAAAAACACAGTTTAGCCTAGCTCTGATTCAAAAGGGGCCCTGTTGGTCAACTAGATGGCTACAGGATGGCTACAAATAGACCCAAGTGCAACAGCAACTCTTTCCATTTGTAATTCCCAGCAGCTGGTCTTCAGAGGCACATTGCCTCTGATTCACTTTTATTTCCTAACTTAACCCGCTGCTCGCCACACATTCCGAAGCACTTTGCAACAAGCAGCTGATGACAAAAGGAGGGCATGAACCTTTGCTTGCTCCTAAGATGTCAGATGGCAACGGCATGTCACCTCAAAAGAGCAGCACCCCAGGGATGTCATAATAGCAAATGCCATTTTAAGTACACAAATGTCCACAAATAGCCAGGGTAGGCTTTTCACCCAAGGGACATTCAAAAAAGCCCATTTGGGGGGAAGGAGCCCAAAAGCTCAAATGTTGGTCAACTTGCAAATCTCTAAAATAATACGTCACTGCGCATATACTACATTTGTAATTTTTGCAGTGAACATTTACTACAATGAGTTGAAAAAAAGCATGAGGCTCACATATAACCCAACTCGCACCTGAGCATTATACATGCATTACCCACAAATCTAATTAGGTCCATTCAGGCATATGGGGCATCACCCCATCAACCCCAGCCTGCCCTCAGCCAGCCCTACCTACCTGCCTGCCGCATTCTTACTTACAACCAGACATGGGGTGGGGGCTCTGCCTGTCACTGGTCTCTAGCCCCACCTAGTGTTAGTCTCCCTGCCTTCCATCCTACCAGCCACTAGAGCCTGCTAGGGCATAACCATGGACAGACTACAATAGGGCTAGAATGACAAAGCAGGCCTTGCCTTTAAAAGCTGTAAATGCAACTCATTCATAGGGCCATAAAGAACCTTGTACATAAACCAGGGTAGGCATTCATTAAGCCACGTTTGTGTGTGTTTGTGTGTACGTGTGATCTTTTCAGATTGAGGGCCAGAAGAAAAAATGGGCAGGGCAACAAGAAGTTTACACATATAGCTCAGTGTCAGAGCATTGGTCTTGCATGCAGAAGGTCCCAGGTTCAATCCCCAGTAAAGTAGGGAAAGTCCCAAGGACCGGGGTGTGTGTGTGTGTGAGGCCTGGAGGGCTGCATTTGGCCCCTGACTTAAGCAACAGACCTACTCTTTTAAGGCACACAGGCCTACTCACACATGTATATGCACACATAGGTCTGGTCTGCATTCAAGGCTTCAAACTAAAGGCCTCTTGAAGGCCATTAAATATATGAATGGTCTTACAGGTTTCAGATCTATAGTTATATATCAGAATTTGTCCGGGGGGTGGCACACCAGTCACGCCTCTTGTGAACAGCCAACTCATCTCTTCACTACTAGCCTTGACCAGGGAGTGAAATAATTTTTTCTGCACCAACCACTCACCCCACAGTAATGGTCCCCATTGAAAATCTGGGGAGGGATGGCTTTTGGGTTGCCCGATTTGGCCCTCATTTCGTCCCGCAGGGCGTTATCCTGGGAGATATCCACCAGGGTGTATTTGATGTTCTTTCCATCCAAGATCCTGGTCACTTCGCTCTGCTGAGATTTGATCTGCAGAACACACAAAGGGGGAGGGGGGGTGAGAGGGAGATTAATCACCCTGTTCTGGGATTTGATACACAGGGAAGGTCACACATGGGAACACAGCCTGCTCATATTGCTCAATGCAAAACAAAGAGCCAGAGGCAGAGATTGCGAGACCAGCCATGCTTTGTGAGGGAGGAGGTTCCACTTCTCTCCAAATACAGACCAAGCCCAGTAGGTACAAATGCCAGCGCTGGCAGGATTCTAGACATCGAGGAGAGGGCAGGGCTGCTTCAGAAATGCGGGGGGAGGGAGCTGCTGCTTCAGACTGCATCTGGAAGGGAGGATCCACCTCTAGAAAAAAACTGGTCCCCTCCAGATGTTCTCGACTACAACTCCCATCAGCCTGGCGTTGTGTTGTTCAAGGAAGACACTGGGCTGCGGAAGGCTGCGGGGAGAAATCCTCTTTCAAATGGGAAGGGAGATCTGGACCTCCCATTCTGGTTCGTTCCGCCATCAGAGAACTGGAGGGGCTCCCAGTTTGGATTCCCCTCCGGTTTCTCATAGATCACCCGCGGGGTTTGGGGGAGAAAACAAGATGACTGTAGCATCTGGATAGAGAAAGAATCCCCTATGAAAGAGAAGCCCGTCTAGAAGGGAGGGGGCAAGAAACGGGGGGCTCAAGTCAAGCGGGAGGACGTGGGGGTTGAAAAGGCAGCCAGCTGCATGGGGGCGGGGAAGGGAGAGGGAGCAAGAAAGGGGAGCGCACGCTGCAGAGGGATGGCGGAAAAGCTCCGCCTCGGAGTGCCAGGAGGGCGGGGGAGAAGCCAGCCGCTCGGCGAGGCAGCTCACCTTCCCTGGCGCGCCACTCACCTCTCTGGAGCCTGTCACCGAGGTGCTGTAGACCGTGAGGCTGGCCATGATGCTGGGCTTTGTCGCCGCTCCCTCTCTTCTTTGGCTGCTGGGTGGGTGCCTGGAAGGAAGCGGAGGAAAGGGGTGGAGAAGGAATCCGCTTCCTTCCCAGCCCCGCCCAGCATGTGATCGCGGAGGCCAATGGGGTCTACAGCCGCGGGCATGCGGGGCGGATAGTCTGCGATCCGGCCGCCAGGCGATGCTTTGGAGGCGGGTCGCTCGTTGTCCCCATGCATTGGATTGGGACTCGGTTTCCTTCAGGAGGCGCGGAGCCTCAGCCCAAAGGCTCTCAGGAGGAGTGTGTGTCTCTGTAGATCTTTCACGATCCACTTGCAGTTGGTCCGGGAAGTCTTAACTTGGAAGGAAGCCCCTTCGCGCGCAGACTTGCTCTCGAGGAAAGAACGCGCAGCCTGAGGTTTACCACCATCGACCGTGCATAGTTGGACAGCAGAAAGTTGAAAATACCAACCATTACTTTCCATTAAAGTATAGTTTATGGTCCATGAACTACGTTGTATCGGTCCTTTATCAGTAAGGAAACAACGTTTAATTGGTTTAAAAAGCTCGACTTAAAAAGCTTCCCCAGTTAATCAAGGATGAACTCTACAAGCAGGGATAAAAGTGCTCATAAAAATTCCAGCTGGCAAACACCATCGTGGAAAGAGACACTCCCTGCTTTCAGAAAGAGAACGCCTTTTATGATGCATAAAATATGGCAGCAAGTTTGCCTCGGAATTCATACACATATTAGTATTTACTCAGCTAATAATTTGTTTTCTCTGTAATACTACCCCTGCATACATAACAACTCTAGCACTGCCAGCATGTACATTTCTGTACACCCACACCCGATATGTGGGTTTGCTTGAGCAACAAAATAACACCTGAAGTTATTTCATTGTGTTAGCATTACCTAGACCAGCAAGCGTGGCCACCAGGCAGGGATGATGGAAGGTGTACTTTCAGTAACACCTGGAGGGCCAAAGGTTCCTCACAGAGAAAACGGTATGAATACAATAAATTAGTGCCAAATTGGATTAGTCTATTACTCATGAAATGGGAGGGTAGCAAGCCAGGGTGAAGGCGATGTGTGGCAGAGGTAAAACTCAAAGCAGTCCAGGATAAAGGCACTTTTTTAAAAAGCAGAAACTCCACTTTATTTTGTAACCAAAATACTAAGTACCAAGTAGCCTGGCAAAGTAAGCTTTCTTTAGGTACAAAATCAAAATCTGTGACTCAGATATTTTAAAATTATAACCAAGATTTTTCTTTCCGGTAAACCTGTTGTATAATAATAATAATGTTTTCTTCCTTTGGTATTTTGCAGTGAGTTTGCCATGACAACAAAGCAACTATCCCTTCACTGGCTGGAGTCACACAACTCCCACTTCATTAGGAAATAGCTTTGGCAGGGGTAGCAGTTGCCAGTGGGCAGAATGTCATGTAAATGCCACATTTCCATTAACTGTCAGAAATTCAGCACTTTCATTATTTTCTGTTGGTTAAGGCTCTTTGGTGTAGCAGCCTAGCATCAAGAAAACTATATTCTTGTCCCAATACACAACTTTGGATGTTCCAGCCTTTCATGCTGATAACAGATTCAACCTGGTACAGTAATACCTCCGCGAACGTCTGCCTCGTCCAACGTCCACTTTGGCGAACGTCTGCAGGAAACGCAGAAGTACCAGAACGGGTTACTTCCAGGTTTGCCACTCGCGCATGTGCAAAAACGCAGACGCGGCGCTTTGCCTTGTGTCCTTTTCAGCTAGCGGCTGGGGCTCCGGAATGGATCCTGGTAGCAAAACAAGGTATGACTGTACTTGATCAATCCATTCACTAACCTAAAGCTGTATTTTAAATCCATTTTTTCAGCAGGCTTAAAATGATTCCTCCTGGAAAGAAGTTATAGCCGCAATAAACTATGAACAAAATATTCAATTTCTACATCATCTGTTCTCAACAACAAACAGATCTTGGCGTTTGAGATGGGTCATGTGTGCCCATCTTTCTGCAGGTTCAATACACCCTTTTCAATCTACCCTTTTCACACTGAAGCCTAGATAGATGGTTACCAAGTTCCTCACTTTCTACTTCACAATGCTCTCTCCTCCTCTCTCATATACATCTTTATTACTAGTTTACTCAGTTCTTTATGAATGATTTAATTCACCTCAGATGGATTCAGAGATATGTAACCCACCACTTTAGATGAGATAGGAACTTTAAGAATGCATACATAGAAAGGGACTGCTGGTGGGATGTTAGTCAGCCAATTGCATGTTGAGGCAGATTTTTAAAAAGTATGCTTGCAGTTATATCCAGGGAGGTAGGGAGAACAGCAGCTAGAGGCAACAAATGCTCTTTGTTAAGTTTGCAGTTAACTGCTTGTTAAGTTGGCAATTCCATGTGTATTCATAAACCTTAGAACAAGTACATGCATTGCACCAAGAGCATAACACATCTGGGCTACATGACTGAACCTTCTTCCATATTATAAAGTTCCCATCTGTGTAAAGAAAGAGGCATAGGTTTCTTGCCAAGATCTTAAATGTTCTAATTGGAGGTGTGACGTTTTATTTTGAAACATGAGGGGCATTCAAAAACTCTTCCTCTACCTACATTCCATAACTTGTACAGATCAGTTTAGTCATAATAACTAACCAGTGAATGATCTCAATATTTTTGCTCAAGTCAGATCCACATGATAGATGGAAAGAATCCAAATGCTGCAATACAGCCACACACCTATAAGAATGCAGCTGATCTCAGACAGTTTATTTCTAGGAATTAAGGCACACGAGTATGAAAATCCACACTTTGGAATATATAGTAAGTATGTGCGTAAAGAACAGAGACATACAAAAACAGTTTAAAAGGTGCATTTGAATGGGAACATTTTAACCCATTAAAACAGGCACTGTGAAAGGCCATTTTACTGATGTAGGTTATAGCCCCCCTGCCCCAGTTAGACATTTGTAGAACTAATAAAGGCTTTTAAGACCAGACTCCTTGGTAGCAGCTGTACTTATAAGGCTTTTGAGGGTAAATGCATCAAGGCTTTTTAGAACTCCCAACATTGTACTCCTGCTTCTTTGGGGGTCCTTTCTAAACCAGAATAGTTCAGAGTACTGAAGAATTTCAGAACATCTTTATCCATACCAATTTAAATGTTTCTACACATACGCTGACATAGTGGCTCCTCAGTCCTGTGCATGTCCACAATTGCACTAATATTTTTTTGCGTAAGCTGCAGTACACAGTAGCCAGAGTGATTCCTATGACTATGGTATCTAGAAAAAGTGCTGCTGCAAAAATCACAGAAATGATTGTCAGCTGTAACCATGTACTACTCTATTCACATACTTCCTCATGAAATTGCAGGCTACAAGCTGAAGAGAGGGTGCATTTACTGGCATGTGATTGCAAGCATGAACTAGCCCTGGAACTGCAATTATGTCACTGCTGAGAACTCACAGTTGGAAGGACCAGCTATTTGGTAGCCTGCCCAAAATCTTAACCAATTGCAAATAAAAAGGAAGTGTGTGCCAAACACAGACATTTTCTTCAAAGAACCTTCCTGGCAAGAGAAACACTTTGATTTCTTGGTGCAGGAAACACGCTCCACTTGGCATCAAATAGGAAGTATAATATATTGAAGGAGCTTTGGAAAATCCCACCCTATAGCAGCTTTCATGGATGTGGAATCTTAAGTCCTTGGGTCCCATCATTTTGCCTTCATTGCGTGATACAGTTATCCCCCATATCCTGTGCATATCTGTCAGAAATAGCAGTCCGTAAATCTTCAATCTCTTTGCGCAATTGTTTTACATCCTCCAGCTTCTTCGCTATCATGCCCGGTTTCTGTAAGTCATCCTTTTCTTTAACTGAACAGTGCACAGCTGTGATATTGGAGAACAAAGTTATAGATGAGTGAGGTAATATTCAGGGATTGCAGATATCCCATTTAAGGCTAGAAACAGATTTATTCCCCCCCCCCCCACTTTTAAAGCACATTCTAGCTCTCACTATTATTAATACACATTTGGGTATGTCTCCAAATGGTTAAGAAAGTATACTGAGAAGTGTTGAATGTCATTGGTCTAGTGATTCTGAAACGGTATTTCAAGTGAAGCAAACATAACTGAATAATTTTGATGACAGCAAAACAATTTACAAGATATCCTCAGCATAAAACCCCAAGCTGCCAAAATGGGGGCACCACGACACTCTTTTCCTACAGACTTTCCTACAGACTTTTCCTAGTGCCCCCAATACTCTCCATAACCTTTGTCATTAGGAGGCAAGGGTGGAGGAAGTGACCTACCCTCTCCTGCATTTCGTTTTTCAGTTCCCTAGGCTTTTCAAGGCTTCAAGCAGCACCCAAGCAGCTAAAGAGGGGGGGCTCAGGAGAGAAATTAGGGTGCTGGAGTCAGGAGGGAGAGAGGAATGCCAGGCAGAGCATGTGGGTGCACGCACCACATGTAAAATGGATCCTCTTGAAATGGCATAACGTTTTTTCAGTTCCTCACAGATCATATGTCCATTTAATGAGTCATAAGATTCATGGATCCAGTGTTTTCCAGCACTGACATGGTGCAAACTCATGAATCTAAGGCTTATGGATCATCATTTTTTTTCCAGAGATTCCCTTAAAGTCACCATTGTGTGTAATGATTAAAATCTGTGATTTGTATTCATATTTTAGCAGTGTTGGCAAGCGGCTGGATGTAATTTTTACTGAACAGGCTACCAATGTAAGCTTTATTTTGAATTGCTTTTTGAGAGCTCTGTGTAAAATCAGGCAAATCCATGAGGCTGTATCAGTTCTACTGGATCTCAGTTTTACATAGACCTCACGAAAAAGCAAGGAATTTGTGTGTGCTCCTCTGTCCATTGTGGGAGCAGAATGACCCAGGGGATTGAGGAGAGACATGGCTATGACCACAGACCTATCTCAAAACGCCAAATATGCCCACAGACCTAGAAAGCGTTGGCAACCCTTGTCCTATCAACAGGCAACCAATAAAACAGGAGAAGCGTTACATCTTCAGAATCCCAAAGAAAGAATATTCCTCTACTACTAGCTGCTGAAAAAAACTCAGTTTTACTTACTGCAAATCCCCAACAATAAAGACAAGTTGGGATCCTTTCCTTGAGCCCTTTGCGTTACAACGCTATAGACAGACTGCAGGTCCTGCAGGCAGCTGGCTAGCTCTCTATGCAGCTCTTGAATAAGGTGGGCTGTTTCATCAGACAGTAGCTGACCCGGCTCAATCTGCCGGAGGTGCTCCTGAAGAGTCAGATTTTTTTCCATCAGTTCCTGGTTCTGTACAGAAAGCTAAAAGGAATGGGGAAGAGAAGCTGGAGCATTAAAGAAGATCTCTATCACCCCCTAGTGTGAGACTGCAATTCTGCAGTATGTCTTCTATGCTGGAAACCTTCAGATTGGCGGCAGCACCCACTTTCTAATGGCGTTATAAAATATCAGAGGTCACTGTGTGATCTCAATTCTAACCATAATTACTGGGGAGGTGGGAATAAAAGAGATACTAGATCCTGAGCTACTTGATACTATGCTGTTGTAACCAAAAGCCACTGCAAGCTACAAATTGCTGTACAGCCCCAGGAGTACCAAAAACACCAAACACTATTTCTATATGGGTATAACAAACCAAAGGGAAGGAGGATTCAAATAAGGCTACAAATCTGAGAAGTAAAACAGACTTACTAGGCAGTCAAGGTGCTCTAAAGCAAAAAGGGAGGGAGCGAGGGACTAGGAATGGAGATCCTACTATATAGTTGTTTGGCTGGTTAATCTGTTTAACAAATGCCAATATTTAAAAGGGAGACTACCTCTTTCACTGCTATGCGCAGTTGTTGCATTACATTCTCCTGCCTCAGTGCTTCCACTTTGAGAGCTTGACCTGTGTCTTCCTCCTGAGCAATCCGATTCTCTAGATCCTGGAATACAAGAACAAACAAATTCTGATTATCCTGTTGATGATTTGGATACATGAACCATATATCCAATCCTTCAATTTGAACTCACCTTTACTTCTGAAGATAACCGATTCATCTTCTTCTTCTGATTATCCACAATCTGAAAAAGATGAAAACTTTTAGTCTCTTAGCAAAATAATAAAAATTGAATGATTATTGTTTTAACAAATGCATTTATGAGCACTGCACTACTGTGTAGGACCCCATATTTGCAATTAGAGAGATTACATTCTGATCTTACTCTCAACCCCAAATTGTTTGTGGACTGTTCAGAAGAGATTATTTGTCCTGAAATATAACTCTTCACAGCAATACACCACTAATTCAGGATCACACTTGCAGGAAGCACTAGATTGTTGAGCTTAAGATCTTCATGATTTAAACTCTTCCCTCTTCAGATGCTTATCTGTAACCGTGATTCCTCACGTGGTCATCTGTGCAGTCACATACGAGTTCTGCGCTGGGGTCAGGCAATATATCAATATATTGTCTTATATCGATATAAAGAGCAAATTGTGATAACCATTTGTTTTAAAAAATTATCTGACAATATATCGTGAATCGTATGTGTGCTTGTGTGCAATAGTCAAAAAGCACAACAATGCAAAACTCAGGAAGCCAATGCTTCTTCCTGTCCTGTGCAGCCATTGCTATTGCTAATTCTGCCTCAGATGCTCTTCTGTGCTTCCTGTAGTAGCAAGCTGACGCAAAAATTGCTTTTTGAGAAATCGTGTGTGAACTGCAGGTAACCCTCTGCCTTAGCTCTCTGTCTCCCGTCCGCCTCCTCAGCGGCAGGCAAAAATCATCCTTGGAGATATTGTGTGTGCGAGCAAGCGAGCATGCAGCCTAACGTCGCCTGACTGCTCTGTCTCCTGAGCAGGTGGAGCTCAACAGCCTGCAAGCAGGAACTTCCTTAGAGACGCCAGTCTCTTGCTGAAAGGCAGGCACCAGGCTGGTAGGTGGCTTAGGCAGAAGCATGGCTTCTGGAATCTGGAGCCCCTTTCCTCCTTCTGTTCTCACATAAAAATATAAACTGGGGTAATAGTAAAAAAGAAAAAGAAAAGCTTTCTAAACTAGACAATACAAATTTTGATGGGAAGCTTGCTCCCAACCCTCACAGTGCATATCCTGGAGACATGGCTCCTGCCTTCCTGCTCAGTTCCTAACACACTGTTGCAGGGACTATACAAGAAGTACTCAAGTGACAGCAGGTCCTAATGGCATCTGCAGTGAGGAAGAAGGGTGCAAGCACACAATGACGCCTCAGTGAATGACAATCCAAGCTGTTTTGTTATTCTTTGTTATCTCTGTGCAGTTTCACAAATAGGAGAATAGCAAGGTTGCTTACCTAGAGGTAGGGGTGTGATGTTAATCACTGAGCTTGGCACAACCTATCTAAAAGAGATGTCTATCTTAGCAGATACAGAACCCATATGTGGGACTGCACAAAGAATATGATCCAATTGCCAGAGAATATGAGATCCACAATAACCACCAATTCCCCACTGGGAGTAGGTTACCTTCCTAAGGAGATCACATTCATTTTGCAGGGAAACTTTTTCTTGTTTCTCTTTCTCCAACTCCTGGGCAGTGTCGTCTGTTGCTGAATTCTTCCCACGCTGCATTTTATCTTGTAAACTAAGAAACAAGATACCAATGCTAAATGGAATGACCTCAACAAGTTCACCCTTTGAAGATGGATTTCATAATACTCAATCTGAACTACGGCCACCCCATATTGATCCCATGATCCCATATTGACCAAGTAGAAAGCCTACTCTACTCCAAAAGCATGCATTTTAAGTAACAAAATTTTAAATTTTAAATTTTAAAGACATTCTTAAGTCATAGTCACATTTGTGTTAAGGAGACATTATAGGGAAGTTCCACCACAAGCACTATACAATATAAGACTTTGAGACCACACCAAATAACATTCTCTTATTTCGTTCTGTTTCTTCACTCACAGTTCCCAAGAGCATTACCTGCGCACGGTAGAAAGCAGTTCCATTTCTTTGTGTTTCTGCATTTCTAGGTGCAGCTCCTTCTCTCTACAATTGGCACGAACATCTGCAAGCTCTTTCTCAAGAGTGGTCACTGATTCCTGCAAAGCTGTAGTTGCCTGCTGAGATTCTTTTAACTAAAAAAGTAGAGAGAGAGAGAGCACACTTCAGAACCAACAGAATTCTTTCCTAGCAGTTTTTCTTTCATGCAAAGCATATGTCTCCTACATCTTCTTCCAAGAAATTTGAATAGATCAGAATATTTCACTTCCTGAAAACAGATTGCCATTCCAGCCAGCCATGCACACTCAGTTAGATGCAAAGACCTGGCACAAGTGCAGCTGTATCCAGGAGATACCAATATACCTGATGGTGGAGTTTCTTATGATCTTCCAACATTGGAAGGTCAGCAACGTAACGCTCCAGAGTCTCAATTCTCTGCTGTTTCTCACGGTTCTGTTCAAATTCTTTTTGGCACTTCTTTTTCAGGTGCTCAATATGTTTATCTCTTGCCTTTACCTGCACAAACAAAGAACAAAAGTAGGGGCTTTCTTAGAGGACTGTTTTTCACTCATTGAGTGAGTGCATGTATCAGCTTTGAGGGGCAAACACTATTTTAACCTACAAGCAACAAATAAAATATACATTAGAGGCTTCATTCAAGCAGAGTACTTCAAGACAGAATGGGCCATCACACAGAGCAGGCTAATCTCACTCCAGGCTACACAAAAGCAGCAACATGATGTCAGGGGGTAAGTTGTGTCAGCTAAGTAAAAAAAATGTTCTCTTTAAGACATGCTGATGAAGAATGCAACACATTTTACATGCAGAGCACAGTTAAAGCTTCATTATTAAAAAACCGTAGGATTTGGGTGCTCAGAGAAACCCAGTCCAGTACTGGTGCTACTGTTTTGGAAAAATCTGGATGTGCTCAGCTTTCTGCCCATTGCATTTCACTATTTAGAATCTTCAACGCTGATGTGGGGTTTTGGTGGAGAGGAATTCTGATGCCCCAGAGAGCAAAATTGTTTAACATGTTTATTTTATTTTATTTTTATTTAGTAAATAAACTTTGAATTTGCTAAGCTTGCCTATTAAATGTATTGCAATTAAAGGTAAAGGTACCCCTGACCATTAGGTCCAGTCGTGGCTGACTCTGGGGTTGCGGCGCTCATCTCGCTTTATCGGCCGAGGGAGCCGGCGTACAGCTTCCGGGTCATATAGCCAGCATGACTAAGCCACTTCTGGCGAACCAGAGCAGTGCACGGAAACGCCGTTTACTTTCCCGCTGGAGCGGTACCTATTTATCTACTTGAACTTTGACGTGCTTTCGAACTGCTAGGTTGGCAGGAGTATTGCAATTAGCATCCATTCATTGTTACTAATGAAACAGAATTATTTCTAACTCACATTACTGATCTTCAGCACAGAAACCAATTTCCAAAAGCAATGCTACATGATGCAAGATCAGGAAGCAAGAACTCTTTCAAGACTCCAGGTTTAGATGCCAGAAGAGCCAAGTACTAGGTTTTTTTGCTCAAGAGTCAATCCTTCAATATAAACTTATGTGCAAGAAGCTGTTGTACTCTTGCCTTAACCCCAAAATGCATGAGGGGGAGGATTCTGTATACCAACATTCCTTGCATATTTTGTGATAGTTTATTCTTACTACCTGCAGTGTCCATAATCCGAAGCAAAACACTCTGCATATACCATGTGCCCATGTACTGTTTTCCTTTTGTAACCAAGTATCTTAGTGGAAACAGGGAGACACCTGTTGTATTAATAGAGACAGCTCACCCTTTCATCTTGTTTCTTCAGCTCCACTGTATGCTTCTGTATAGTCTCCTTATGGGCCTCCTGGATCTGTTTTACACTTGCTTCTAAAGCAGCCAGTTTCCTCTCCAATTCAATCTTTTCCTTAGTAAGAGATTCTGTTTTTTCAGTAAACTGAGCTCGTAAGAATATGTTCTCCCGCTGCATTTCCTGCAAAAGAGTTAAAGAGGATCATACTAGCTTCCAAGCATTCTCAAAATCCACACCAAATATTGCACCCCCAGAAAAGCAGCAATTGCAAAAAAAAGAAAAGAAAAGAAAAGAAAAAAGACCAATGGTATGGTGGATACTGTCAGATCCAGAGCTTCAGAAGATCCTGCAATGGTAGATTACTAGTATGGCATTTCCCTAATCCAACCTTCTTCACTCAAGCATTATTTCTGTAGCTCTTACTTCAGAAAAATGAAGGAAATAGAATCTTCAAGCCACACCGATGTTTGTCTTCTGGTTTGTTTATATTTTTTGTTTCGGTTGATGTTTTTCTTTTCTTTTTTCATTGGTGTGTTTTGTTCATTTTTCTTTTTCTTTTTTTTTGTTGTTGTTTGGCATAGAAAACTAATAAAAAGAATTTTTTTTAAAAAAAAGCCACACCAGCCATGAATTGATGGTACTTACCTGCATTCTGAGCAGATACAAGTCCCCATAAGCAGCAGGATGGCTCAGGAGGGCATTGTGGACTTGCAGCTCACTTTCTCGTACTTTCTGCTCCAGCTGTGAAATGTGTTGCCTTTGCCTTCAAAAAAGGAATAACCCCAACACACATATTTACATTTGCAAAGTCAGGTATTAAGAAAACAAGAAGTTTTATTCAGTAGGATGGACTTTATACAAGTTTTTAAATGGCATTTACCAATGCCTGCTTATAATCTAAAGACAGGAAGCAAAGGTGGGGGAGGGAGAGTAATGGAAAGGGAAAAGGTAACTGGGGATGAGGCTACCTTCCATTGTCATCCCTCAATTTAAACAATAAATATGTGTTGTCTGAAAGTGAGACAAAACATGAGCCCAGGTTTGAATATAACACTAAACCAAGTCACAGCTTAGTGTGACAACTTAAATGCCAGAACCCCCATGTTTGCTCATTCATGCTAAACCATAGTATGGCTTAGTGTTACATGTTAATTACATGCTAACTGAGCGACAGTCTCAAGACTTGATAGTTGGAAATCTAAAAGATTATTTCCATTTCCTACCTGTCAATGAGGATTTCTTTCTCCCTGAGCAGGTTCTCATTTGAATTTACAATACCAACCCACTGGGCTGGATCAACAGTGTGCAGTGAAGTACTGCTCCCCAAGGGATGGTAGCAAGGAGCTTTGTTTTGCAGCTGGAATCATGAGGGTCAGACAGAAATAAGGCATTAGGTTCAGTTCAGACACAACTTTTAAGAGGCTATTTGCTTCCATGGTTTCTGTGTTGAAGAAACCATAGAGGACTCATCTGACACCCAGCTATTCCAGACCCACATCAAAACACTATGAAAAAAATAGCTCCATAAAGAATTGCACTCAATAATTTTAGATCACTCTGTGTGTTACAGAGAAATGATACACTGGACCAACCATGAAAGTTCCCTTTCTGCAGGGAATGGAAGGGATTTGCTCTAAGTCACTAAACAAAGATGGTTTCATCTCACTAGAAGAGTGTGGATTTTATGACAAAGTTTTCAAAAAGGCAAAATGAATCACAGTCATTTTGCTAACTGTTACTTGTCTGCAATTTTTTCCATACACAGTAAAAAAGAACTCATGATATATAGTAACAACATTTGGAAAAACAAGGCTGGAATATGCACTTTGGAGAATCCCTAAACTCCTTAAAACCCAGATACAACAAATGCAGGACTTCTCCCTATGCATACCCATGAGCTGCCCATTTTTTCAGGAACTTCTCCTTGAAAAATGGCACAGTGCCACCTCTCCCTGTAAACTAAAGCACCACATAGACAATACTAATGATTATCAATTCCACCCTCATTAATTGTTAGTCAATGAAGCATATTACCTTGTACTCTTTCACCAGACAAATCCATACAACAGCATTAGTCACTGACAACTGTATATTTTATTTCTATTAAACCACTATCATAGAGATTAAAGCAGAAAACAATTTAGAGGAGAAAGACTCACACTTAAATAGAAAGTGGAAACATATATATTTCAGAAAAATAAACATGCAATGGAATAACTCTGTTTATATGCAACTGTGAATAAGGGCTAAAAGTGCTATTCAACTTTAAACTCTTGTTGTGTCCACACACTCTCTTAAACTAAAGCAGATTGTTTCAAAAAGACCTTCTACCTGAATCTGCTCCAATTGCAGGCGAACACGGTCCAAGTGCTGATTCCAGGCACTAAGCGCACAATTCTCATGCTGATGTAGTGTGCAAGTTTCCTGCTTCCACAGCTGAGACTGAGCAGCTGTTGGGCTGGGGTACATAGTAGCAGGATTAAGCCCCAAGGGTACCTGCTTTTCACAGACTCTGTTGGTTTCTGTTGCTGGTTTAACATCTAGCAGCACTTTGCATGGATCTTTTTCTAGGCCAGTAACAGCAGTATCTGAATTACACATTTGAAGCTGGGACCAAGGACCAGCAGACTGCTTATCCAGAAGAGGAGATTGGTTAAACGTGAGTTCAGCAGCCAATCTAATGGGTTTCTGAGCACATTCCACACTTGTTTGGTCAGGAGCAAGGAAAGAGGATTGGTTACAGCCATTTTCCATTGAAGTTTGATAAAGATGAACAGGGTTCCTGTGAAACACCTGGGAGTGCCTCAGAGTATCAGGATCATGGTTGGACATCAGCCCTCCTGTGCTACTTGAAGAGACTGGCAGAGAGGAAGTCAGGGTGGTCCGAAGCACGCTTGATTCACCCACTGAACAAGAAGACCTATCTAGCATGGAAGGCATGACATGAGCTGTAGGGATGGCCACTTGGGTTTTGATGGGCTGAAATGAAGAACCGTCACTGGAACTGCAGAATGCTGGGAAAAGAAAAACAACTGGTAGATTAGGCTCAAAACATTACACTTTAGAGAAGTGTAGCTTATCTGTACACTACGCAGCTAGGCACCTCAAACATTGCAGCAGAGCTTCTACAGTATATGATAAAAAGGAAAAGCCATTTTCTTATAAACAATAACTATATTTCCTAGCTTATTTGCATCAGCCTCTGGACACAATTCAAATGTGAATATGCAAACAGACTAACTTTCATTTGATCAAATGAGATCTTAAAAGAAAAGTGGAACTTTTTAGCTGCTCATAAAAAACATATTGAAGTGTGGCTTTATAAAATGCTAACACTTACTCAGGACCGAGGAGCTGAGCTCTTGATTACATTCCCAACCAACAGCACTGCAATTCTCATTTGCTGCCGGACATGTCAAGTGAAGTTGGCAACTACCCTAAAGCAGCAGTAGATTGGAACACCTCCTAGAAAAGTGAAGCAATTGCTGCCCTGTTTGGCATTAGCTTCCCCCCAAAATAAGCTTTGATTCTCCCCAACAGCTGTACAGAATAAGGCTGTACGAATGCTGAAAATACTGACGCAGAAGTACCAGATCTGACTAGATGGAAGTGTGAAGTTATTCTTAGCAACTCTCAGGTTTCAATACAGGAAAAACAACAGCAGTTCAACCAAACAGCAAGGCACCATATTGACAAACAATATTTATTCCTCTCCATATTCTTGGGTACCTTTGCATGAATTTAAGTCAGCAAAAATACAATTTAAAAGTTTGTCTCTCTGGGCTACAGCTTCTTTCCTGTTGATCTCATATTGCCACATGTTTGCAATACCCAAATGCTGATATGAAGGGGAATGCAGGGCCCTAGTTTGATTATCACAGGATTGATGCTATGCATGGCATGGTTAAGCATCTACTGACAAGATGCCAATATGAAGTATGTCAGAAGAATTGGTCAGCTGATAACTCCTCCAAGAACTGAAATTTGATTATGCAAGAGCTAGACACATTTCAAAAACAGGAGGGCAACACAATGTTGTTTAGTATTTATTAAGCCAATCATATGAAGATGTGAAGACTGTCTACTAATCAGAATATTGGCACTAGGAAACAAGTTTTATTAAGAATAGAACAGAGCATGACTCTGCATGTATGAGATCCTGCATTAGATTTCTAGCATTTCTTATTTGCAGAATGCAGAAGTGCTGGGAAAAGTTATTTAAGACGCCCTGGAAAACTAAAGGCACACATGCTGTCTCTTAAATTAGGGGCATCTGGACGTGCCCAGAGAATATTTGCATAGGAAAATTCACATCTCAGCTAACCCACTCACCTTGGTGGCCTACTTCGCACATGGCATTTACCCATCAAGAGTGTAGAATGGTGCTGGAAGGCAATGCACATATGCAGGCTATGCAACATCTCCATAAGAACTCCTTATGAGAGATGAAAAGAGGGAAGTAGACTAGGGGCACAGCCACAGATGTGGATGACAGGGAAAGAGACGGCACCCACAGCAGCCAGGAAAAGATGGAGCAAGTCATATCCTTTCTCCCACCAGAACTGCTTCTCCCAGGCACCTCATGAACAAGTGCTTGCTCTCCTTCCCGGGACACTGGTTAACAAGTCTTTAGTTCAGTGCCAGCAATTTGGATCTTGAAGTGATGAGGCAAGTGCTTACTTCCTTACCAAGGGAGTCTGAGTGCCTGAAGTTTGTAGGATGCAGTTACAGCTGGACACTCTGAAATGTATTTAGGGTGTAGTCTACCTTCTAAACCAACTTCATACAGTGCAAAAAAAGAAATGGACACTGCATATGTGACAGGGTACCAACAAATTACTTTTCAATTGCTGCGTATATAAACAGCAAAACAGATGTTTCATTAACATCACACATAGCATGCACTAAGCAAATGCCTTCCCCCACATCCCATACTAATGTATATCTGTGTAGGGAAAGTTTTATATGCAAAGTTGCCCACTGCTAAGATAAGCTAAAGGGCATATCAAGTTTCCTTATACGGTACACAGTCACATCATGGATAATTTTTCTACAATCAGAAGTCCCCAAAGCCATTAGCTCTGTAACCTTTGAAATTTCCTAAAATGGAAACAAATTTCAGTTCAAAGGAACTTAAAAGACCATGTGCAGCAAGAAGCTGATCTGTTTCCTGGTTGACATAAAGTCTCAGAAAAGGGAGATAAAAAGTCAACCAGACTGTGGACACCTATTTATTTATTTTCAAAATCCGTATCCATTCTTCAGCTAATATACTCAGAGCAGCAAAAAACAACTTATTAAAATAGAATAAAATAATATATTGATAAAACAGAGAGTGGAGGCAAAACCAGCAATTAATATCAGCCAGTTTATAGCCTGCAAGTCCTGGACAACAGAGAACACATGCCACCAGAAAAAAAACAAATTTGGTGCCAGGATAATTATCTAGGAAAAGTTCTTCAAATGCAGGTTATCACCAGCTGCCTAGCCTCTCATGGTAGGAGTAGTACTCAGAGAAATTAACATTAAATACTCTGGAAATTAACATTAAATATCAGACAGCCATGTGTAGGAGAAAGCAATCCTTCAATGAGTCAGATCACACATATTTAGGGTTTTACAGGCAACAGCCAGCACTTTGAATTATGTTCAGAAAACAAGCTACTAGCAAGTGGAGTAGTTTTAAAAATGGCAACATCTGATCCTTGCAGCCAATCCAAGGCAGTTTGTGAACAGTCTTCAAGTGAGTCCCACATACAACACACTGCAGTAGTCCAATAGTAAGGACTGAACTTCAGTTTATTGGTCCTCATTCAGTTCATTACCAATCCTAAATACAGATTCAATTCTGCCACTGTCTCATCTGAAAAAGTGTGCAATAATATGAGAAGGAACAGTAACCCGGAATGTAAAGGCTTTGTATTGGAACTTAAAAATGGAAACTTACCATCAGTTCTGTTCGAGGAGGAGGTCTCAGTTAGAGTGTCCCCAAAGGCAGCCATGCTTGGAACTATGACCAAAGTTATCTATCTGGAATTTTAGATAAATATCAAATTTACAAGACTGTATCTAGCCAATCACTCTTCTAATCTTACATAAAGCTTTATATCTATAGACAGATCTCCAGAGCATATTCTCATTCTCTTGTGTATGGTATAAAGATATCACTACAGTATGTGTACAAGGTATACAGACAAACAGGCAGGCTCTGAAAAAAAAATCAACGGTAGTATGCTATGAAGAGAGAAAGGGTGTAAGATCAGGCTTAATTCTTGTATGTTGAGTTAGTCACACTGCCTCCCCTACTTCACCCTTCTAAGGTATTATGTACTGTATATATATATTTTTTGCTGTAAGTCACTTGCAGACCTTCAGGTGACAAGTGACTAAGTCTAATAAATGAATGAAGACATAACACAATCCTTTTAGTTTGGATTTAATGGCTAGAATACACACCTAATGGCTTTTACATTCATTCCCAACAATATTCAACAGCGGCAAGAGTTCAACAGTTCTCTGTGGGGCATATTCATGCAAAATCTGGAACAATGCCTTTGAGCCACTCTCATACAACTTATTTTATGTGTGATATATAGAAGATCATCCATATTTTTGCCAAAACATGTTTTATTTACACATTTTAAAAGCACATGTATAATACTTTTATCCTGTTCCCTGACCTGGGAAGTGAAAAACAAAACAAAACCTTTACATTACCAATGCTGTGCATGTTTATTTGAAAGTCCTGTTAAATTTCATAGGACCTAATCCCAAATGTGTGAATAGGATTACAGCCATTGTGCATATTAAGAAGGTAGCAGTCATGTAGCACACTTAAATTGCCTGTCACCTAATGCATCTGCCAAAATTAACTTCTGGGTTTGCCAAAATAAAGAATGCCACATTTCTTTTTATCTCTGCTCTTTACCTGAGCAGGAACTTGTGGTTTCATTTGAAGTGTGTGGGAAAGAACAGGTTTACAGGCTAGGCATTGTTTTTTTTCAAAGAAATGGGGGCAGCAGCCATTTTTTCCTTCTCCATCCCAAAACCCCAAGTGTGTAAGCCAGTATCTCAGCATCTGTGAGGGACTCATCTTGTAATCTCCAATTTAGACATTAACTACAAGCAGATCTTATAGTGAACATCCAGGGTAGTTTTTCTGATGTGTTGCTTATTATTTTTCCTCAGCTAACCACCCCCTATTTTGTGTAACATCCTGCCCAATCAAGATTTCTATAGATCTCAAAAGCTTTCCATTTTTGTGGCATTTTGGTTGGACACAATAAAGGCATTACCCAACTGCAGCCTCTAAATATATATTGCTTCTAATTGCGGCTGCAATTCTACATGTTTGGAACCTACCTGGAAATAAGTCCTACTGCACTCAGCTGGACTCACGTCTTCAGTGCAAATACCAAGAAATGCACCTTATGGCATAGGTTCCCTGTACCGTGGTCTGTGGCCCAGCAGTGGCCTACAAGCTTCGTTCATGTAGTCCATGGCATGTCCACATTAAATATTCATTTCGATTTTCAATTGTATTTTTATTGCTTCTATTTCTTGCATTAAATTACAATTTGAGTTCTATGGAATGCAAATTGCAACACAATAAAATACAATATAAAACAAAAGAATGAATAAAAATACAACTAAAAAGCATTCGGCATCTAGCAGAGCACATTGCAATTACTACAATGGGCAGAAGAATCATTAAATGGTCTATCCATTTTGATGGAGTTCACTTTCAAGTAAGCCTGGTTTTGAGTTTCTAGCCCATGACTTATTTAGAATCCTCTCAATCCGCATCATGTGTACCTGAAGAGCATCTTTCCTTCAAAGAGCCACCAAAGGGAGGGGGAATCCAGCAATGGTGTTTTAGGGGGGAGTTATGAGTGTATTTTAAGGCTAAATAGTGCCTATCTGAGGGCACAGAAGGACACCCATCTCCTCACTACCTTTCCCTCCACCCCGGTTTCGGGTAAAGCCGTGGTTGTTTATACCGAAGAATATAGAGTATTCCAGGGTTTCTGAGCGGCGAATTAAATGGGGTCAGGGCTCAACCCACAAAGAGGAAAGTTATTTATTATTATTATTTTACCTCTAGCGTACAAATGACGGGTCCGCGAACAAAGGTCCCTTTGAGCGAGTGCTGAGGTAAAACACATCCGTTCACAACTCGGATAAGAGCAGACGACGACGAAGTCTCCCCAGACAACTCCGGGAAAGCGGAGCCTTAGACCTCCCGCCGCTCACTGCGCACGCGCAACGACCGTTGCACGCGGGTGAAAAGAAAAAGGCTCACGACGCTCCACCTTCTCCATTGTTGCCACGCCCACTCTCTCGTAGAGTGACCGTTGAAGGCTCGCGCCTTCGGCCGCGGGGCGGCGCCGCGCCTCTTTTCTCTGCCAGTTGGCAAGGGAGGAGTTTCCCTTTCCCTTCCCCTTCCCATTGGTTCACAGCCTCCGAATGCAATTGGCCGGCGAGCACCCAATGAATGTTTTTTCCGGACTCAAGTCCCCTCTCCCCGAATATTCAATTTCTCGTAAGAAAAAAATTGTTCCTTCTCGAGAACCGTAGTGAGGGCAGAGGTAGTGGAGGAGAGGGCGGAAATACCTGAAGCCTCATTCCATCAAACCGGGTTTCCATCATCAGTTGTACTGTACAACCAGCAACTTTTAATTCATCCCTAAATTTGTCCATTACAGCTATTCACGGCAGGTCTTTGTAACCTGACAGCAGAAGTCTAACCATGTCTATTCAGAAGTAAGCCCTATTGAATTCAATGGCACTTACTCCCAGGTAAATAGGAAGAGTCCCAACAGGAAGAGTTCTTGTTTCAGCTGACTACTAACTTTCAAAATCCTCTTTATCAATTTGTGTATTTGTATCAAGTATTTTTTAGCTTTTTGAACAAACACCAAGCATGATAAAGTGTCCCTTCGTGTTCTTGACATTTTCAACAAATATTTGGATCATTTTTATACATTCTAAATAATTTCTCAGGAGTTAAATACCAATGGTACATAATTTTGTAAAAATTCTATTTTAGAACATAGCACAGTATGTATTTTAACTCTTTTGCCTATACATATATGTTCCCACTGTTCCATCTGTATAACCAACACTTTTTGCTCATTTAATCCTGCATTATTTAACTAGTTCTTCTTAGATTTCAAATTTCAACAAACGTTTAAACATTTTTTATATAACATGTTCACCATCCTTACACAATTGCTTCTCAGAATCCATCTTGCTTTGTTCCATACCTCAAGTCTTTCCCCCCAACTTAAGTCTCTCTGCTGATTGTAAGTGAGAAAAACCACTGAAAATTTTAACCTTCCACTGTTAATTGTTCCCTTGTTTTAATTTTACAATCTCCTTGATTCCACCGTGGGTTAGGTTATAAATGTAAGCATAATCATTCAAGATTAATTGTTGTGCATGCTGCTGGTGTGTTGCTTATTAATGATTAAAGGCCTTCATTATGACTGGCCATGAATAGGGTCCAGAAATAGAAGAATCATTAATATGTAACTCAACGGAGTTGGTTTGTCACATTTGTGCTATGACGCTTGCCCTCTAGGAAGTAAGCTCCTTTCCCAGTTGTTTGTAATTGTGCTTTGAAAGAGATGAAGCTGATGTGGCTACTAAAATTATCTAAGCAACAGTTTGGATTATGATGCTAGACCAAAATTAGGGAGAAAAGCAAGTCTGGTTTAAGCTCTCATATAGGAAGGACGGACATTTTAAGTGGATTATGGCAACCGGCACCATGGTGCTAGGACTGGTGGTTGCACCCATGGGATGGGTTCTGATGCTGGCAGCTACAGTAACACCAGAATGGCGGGAGTTCCCCAAAAGACCTGGTTTCCCTCAAGATGTCTCCTTCAGTGATGGCCTTTGGGAGAGCTGTATGGAGATGACCAGCATACAAGACAAGGTATGCCAACCGGTTCCAGAGGAGATGGCTATCTCCTGGCCTGTTCAGATGGTGAGGGCCCTGACTATCATCTCTCTGCTTGGTGGCTTCCTGAGTTATGTTCTTACCCATGTGGGGACACGCTGGTGGTCTGAACATCCAAACTACTGCCTTACAGGAGGCTCTGGGCTCCTGCTCCTGCTCTCTGGAGTCTTATACCTCTATGCAGCATCCTATATGGCATACAGAGTCCTATCTAACATTGCAAACACAGAGACCCCAGATATGGACAAATTCCATCTTGGAACATGTGTCTATCTAGGTTGGAGTGGAGGAGCAGCCAAGACCTTTGCTGGGATGTGCCTGGCTACAAGTTTCCAAAGGAATCATGACAACAGCTTAAGGACTCTACCTATGCCCTACTACGTGGATTATTAAGGAACTGAATTCGGTCTTTCAGGATAATTGGTGGAACAAAATGGGTTGGTGGGTCTTTTAATCCAACCTTTATATGTGGTAGCATGCACTCTTTAAAAATATTTGTAGGATGTGGCTCAGTGGTGACTTGCAGATTGAAGATACAAAAGCTTATCAGGTAATGTGCGTTGTGCTTCATGACAGGAAGACTGGGAGATGAACCTGTCAAGGCTGAAGTGGGCAGGTCAACAGGTAGGGTGTAATGGATTTAAGAATATAATGTATCTGCACATTTCAACCATAATTAGAAGGGGGGGTTATACTGAGATAGGGCTGGAACATGAGGATTAAGACAGCAATCCCATTTACTAGGGAGTAAATCCAATTGAATTCAACTCTAATCTAGACTAGACATTAGATTATACAGTGGTACCTCTGAATTACCTACTTAATTTGTTCCGGAGGTCCATACTTAACCTGAAACTGTTCTTAACCTGAAGCACCACTTTAGCTAATGGGGCCTCCTGCTGCCGCTGCGCCGCCGGAGCACGATTTCTGTTCTTATCCTGAAGCAAAGTTCTTAACCTGAAGCACTATTTCTGGGTTAGCGGAGTCTGTAACCTGAAGCGTATGTAACCTGAAGCGTATGTAACCCGAGGTACCACTGTACTGAAATGCTGATGCTGCAAGGATTCATTGATGAACAGTACTCATCATATCCTTATCCTGGATGGGGTAGCATTCTCCTGGAAGGAACAGGTCTGCCACTCGTGGGTGCTGCTGGATCCAGCACTGTCACTGAAAGCTCAGGTAGCAACCATGACTAGGAGTGACTCTTTCCAGCTCAGCTGGTTTGCTAACTATGGTCCCTCTCAAACAGAAATGTCTTGTCCACCATATTCCATGCAGTGGTGAACCTAAGGCTGGACTACTGCAATGTGTTTTACATGGGGCAGCAACTGAAGACAATTTAGAAACGTCAACCTATCCAACATGCAAAAAGCACCCCCCAAAATAGTACTGCCTTTAGAACTCGCATAACCCCTGTTTTAAAACAGCTGCAGTGGTTGCCAGTTTGTTTCCTGGCTCAGTTCAAGGTGCTCACTTTAGTGTTTTAAAGCCCTAAATGATTTAGGTCCCAAATATCTGAAAAACTACATACCTAGGGACTCCTCCCCACAGAAGTGAGTCTGGCATGCTCATTCTACAGCTTTCCTTGCATGCTGAAGATTCATACCTCTTTATCCTGGTCTTTGTTTAATGAGACTCACTTCTTTGATTGGATCTATACTGCTCTGCTTTGTTCATTAAAACAATACTGTGTTTTACTTATTTTTATGTAATTGTAATGCTTTTATTTCTTTTGATAGTTATTTTATAATATATTAGTTTAACAGACTTCCCAGGGAGCTCCGTAGGAGTCAGCCTGCAATTCCAAGGATTCTTTGGGGGAAGTCAAGTGCTTTAAATGTGCATTGAATGTTCTTTAAAGATGTATGGATCTCCCCTTTATCTTGCATGTATCTTGATCAAATACTTTACCCTTTTAAATTTTGGCTTTTTGATTTCCCTGAGGATTTAGATTTATGGAGCATTCCTATTTTGACAAAGTCTTACTGCTAAGAGGAAGCATTAATAGACTGTGGGATTCTTTTTGAGATTCTGTGTTTATTTTGGAAATAAAGTGGTTTTAAGCTTTACTATGGTCAGTAATTTAACACTGCCACTCCCTCTCTTCCTGCCTCCACCCATCAATGAATAACTAGGAAGGAATGTTTGTGATAGAATCCTGCACTGCAATGCCAAGAGTTCCGTCTTCAGGATACTTGTTCCTCCAGCGTTGTATTGGTGCCTCAGTTTAGATAATAGTGAAGGTATGCAGAGCTTTGGAGCAAACAAAACAAAACCCATCCACTTCTTGGAAAGAACTGCAGGAAATGAGAAGTTAGAAACAAATATTTATCATTCAGCACTTACAGGGTTTTGTTTTTTTTTAAAGTATTCTGCAAGTTTTTTGATCTTGCAACAAATCCCTATTAAATATTTTATTATTTTTGAAGCTGAAGTTACTTTTTTGTTTAAAAGAATGCAGTGACTTACAAAAAGATCACCAAAGGACTTTAAACAACCAACACAAAAAGGGCATATTAAATTATACAAGCTCATGGCAAAAAATATACATAATTCCAGCAGCAACATAAATAATTAGGAGGAAACTCCTTGAACAGATAGGTAACCACTGTTCCTGGTCTTATCTATGGTAAACCAGGTTGCCCAAAGTTTTAAAAGGGGCAGGTGGGGTTGGAACCCAGATACCCTGGAACAACACGGGGAACGATGATTCTGTGAATCTCCAGCCCAACGAGCAAGTCATATGTGACCAAGTATAGGGCCAGGGCGTAGCTAGCCGCTTCGGCACCAGGAGCGGTGGGGGTGGGGCGAGCTGCCCACGGATGCGCCACGCGGGGGTGCCGTGGCAATTTGCATATGAGGGCGCCGCAATGGCGGATGCAAGCCCCATGCTGCCATTTCGGGCAGCGCGGGGCCCCAGGCCACAGCGTCGCTCCCAGGAGAGACCCGTGGATTGGGCGCGCTGCAGGCCAGGCCCTGTGGTAAGTGCCGACTCCCACGGTGTGCCATTTTGTCAGCCCCCTCAAGGATGACACCTGGGGCATGCCGCACCCCCTGCACCTCCCTTTCTACGCCCCTGTATAGGGCAGCTAAAGCTGTGGCTATAAAGGAAAAAGCAGGGGCCTTAAAATGTGCTCCTGATTGGATAGTGGGGTTTGCTGTCAGCACCAATCAGCCGATTTCCCACAATGCCTACAGTGACTGTGCAACAGGGACATTGCGGGGTATTAAAAGGGCATGTACTGCCAGACACTATCTATGCATCATTACAGCCTCATCATTACAGCTGCTTCTGCTAAATAAGCTTACATGGGCCCACTGAAAATGGAAATCTATTTGGATGGCTATAATTAACACAAATATGCTGGAAGCTGATATAAATACAAGATAAAAAGGGTGTATTCGAATTGCAGGAGATGATACTTCTCCAAAAGTGTTCTTTTTAAAAAGGATAAGCATTGTCCTAAAAAAAAATACTTGATTTATTATAGCTCAACGTACACTTCATTGTTTTGGGACTGGACAATTTGAAAGCCATCATTTTGAAGATATATGCAAAGTAACATGTTTGATAGGCTTGAATCTATATATTGTCAGAGCATTTTTTGCAGTTTAATAGTACACGTAGCCAGTATTATTTATTCTTGCATATGCTTATCCCACCCAAGCTAGTTCCTGATGCAAACCACCGGTCATTTAAAATTGAAAACCACACATTGCTAGGATGCCTTTTTAGTTATTAAAATTACACATAAGAGTTTCAACTTGAAACATGTCAGTGAAATTGCTGCTTTCTGAATAACTTTTTCAAGGGAAACAAAGCTACGGAAAGCAACTTTAAAATCTTGCTTTTTCAGCTTTTTTCAAGATGTTGGTCCACAGACAGCAGTTAGTGTCCTGCTCCCTTGGATCAGGCTTCTCTTTTGCACTGTCAGAAACATGTGTCTGTCTTCTTTAAAAAAAATAAACCCAGATGAAATCAAAATGCCCGCCATGACAACAAACAATCTTCCTAATCTCTCAGTTCAGCAAGAAGTTCTTCTTTGTCATTCATATTCTTTCTCTCTAGGGTGAGAGGACCATCTGAGTTTGTTTATGGGAACAGGGAGGAAGGTAATATCCACAGAGCACATATCCTGCTGACAAAATAGTTTATGGAGGAGCAGCAGCAGCAGCAACAGCGTCCTCTGGGTTGAAGTCTGACACATAGTCTGTTCTTGCGCCATCCTCTTGGCTCACCCTCTTGGCCCACCAGGCCTGGATTTCCTGGTACAACTCCTGATGTTGTTCTTTCCATGCTCTGAATTTCTCAGAGGTCAGTTCAGAGTCATCCAGAAGAATATCGAGTAGCTGAAGTTCAGCTGTTTTTGCCTGAGGGAGGAAGGAAGGTCCCATCTTTAATGCTGATGCACTGTTCTTTTAAAATTTATGTTTAAGCCTATGAAGCCCAGAATTGCAAGGATTTTAAAACTTAGGAAACTGCCAGCCTGTTGCATTTCCATGCTGGTTGTGGTATCTATCGCAGGTGTGGGGAACCTTTGGCCCTCTATATCTTGCTGAACTATAACTCCCATCAGCCCCAGCAAGCATGACCAATGGCCAGGGGTGGTGGGAGTTGTAGTTCTGCAACATCTTGAGAGCTATAGGTTCCCCACACCTGATTTCTAGCCCACCCCTCACTTTCCATGCTACACCTCCTCTCCCCAGGTCATTCCCCCTCTCTGACCTTGTTTGGCACATTCCTTGAGTGTTTCTGCCTATGCAGAACATGTTCTTGAACTCTGATCATGCTTCCTGCCTGTTGCCCAGAAGGGAATGCAGCCCTCAGGTTGAAAGATGTTCCCCTCCCCAGTGTAAAGTGATGCTCCACCTACCTTGAGTGTGCTTTGGAGGGTCCGAACAAGATGAACCTTCTCGTTGATCTCCGGGTTCTTGTTGCGCTTGACAAAGGACTTCCGGTAATATTCGCGGGTGAACACCTGCTGTTTCCCAATGAGAGACACTCCGCCTTGCTTCAGACACTTGATCAAAGACTCCAGTTCTTCCCCTGAAGGATCTTCATGAGGCAGAAGGTTGAAAACCATAAGCAAAAGTGTTCTAGAACTCTGCTGCCCTAGAGGGCAGGGCTAGTACAAGAGGAACAGCCTTTCACAGAGAAGAATAATGAACTGTGTTGCTAAGGCTGCATTTTCTTCTTCTTACATAAACTTGGAAGGGGGAGGCAACGTGAAACTCACCTGTGGGAGAGGGCGATGCTGGGCTGTGGTCTGCATTTTGTCTTGGGAGGGGACTACCCAGAGGACTCCTGCTTGGGGATTCGTTATTCCCTACGGCTCCTGTTAGCAGCTGATCTTTTTCCAGTTCCCTCCGCTTTGGCTGAAAGAAAGTAAGATTTTATTATAGCGTGCAAGAAATGGAGTCAGGAAGAACTAAATTCATTATCTCTGGGCTTGCCTACCCTTCAGCTTGTCCCATATCTAGAAAACATGAGTTTGAGTGGTTTTCCGCTTGAACTTCACTTTCTGCTCATGAGTCTGAGCGGTTTTCTGCTTGAACTTCACTTTCTGCTCGCGGGTCTGAGTGGTTTTGCCCTGCTCCTATCCCAGGGAAAACCGACTCTTTAGTGCTAAATCAGAGCCACCATCAATCCAGAGAAAACCCAAATTGCTGTTTGCTCCAATTGAGTGCTAAAGAGCAGTTTTCCCCAGGGGGAAAGCAGTGGGACAAGAAGAAAGGTGGATAAGCCCATTTTGGCATTCTTATGCCACGCTTCAGCCCCAAAGGCTCCCTGAGCTGCTTGCAAATATCGGTGAGAAGACAGCCCCTTCCCTAAGGCTCACAATTTAAGAGACATGAAACTGGAGGGGAAAAGGATGGGGAGGGAAGATTAGCACTAATTTTTACATGAATACATCATGCATTGAACAAGAGGAATGAAAAAATGTGGAGAATCCCCAATTGCGTTTGATGTGAAAAGGGGATTCCCCACAGCAACATTTCAATTGCACCATCAATATAGCATTATCACAACCTTTTGGCAGGCACTGAGTGTGTGAGTCCATTCCCACTTACCCCCATAGCTCAGATAAATGGGAATGGGCTTGCAATTTCAGGGAACCTCTTTTGGGTCACACATCTTTACTATGGGGTGCATAGTAAAGATGATCCTTCCATAAGATACTTACCAGATCAAAGCTATGCCTAGGAGAGTCATCCTCAGGGTCCTCTGCTTCTGTTTCACTGTAGCAATCTGTTCAAAGGGGAATTTTTTCAAAGAAAATTCTCAATGTCCAATCACATTCCATTACATGAAATTCACCATGAAATTCAGTCCCAGCAAGAGACATATTTTCTCTACCTTTCTGTAGGGGGCAATTAAAGAGAATGTGGTACTGTTCTTTCTCACTGTCAAAACACATAAGTTTGTGTCTCTGAAAATCCCAAGACAGAAATGGAGAAAGCTGCCTTATTCAGAGGACTAGTTTGCACATAACACAAAGCCAAACTATGGCTTCGTGTGAACGCATGAGTTCCTGCTGCACTCCTCCCCTCAGTCTTGCTGCTGCTGCGCTCCTATGAATTGTGCCATGGTTTAGCTCAGTGTGGCGTCCCAAACCAATCTTGTGGGTTGCCTCCTCCAGGAAAATCATGAGCTGTAAACCCAAGAACAAACCTTGGTTGCAGCTTGTGGTTTGCCTGGAACAAGTCAAACCGTATGCCTGCTGAACTATGGCTTAAGCTCACAGGAGCAGGATCTGAGGAGGAGCAAAGTGGCCGTGATCTCTCTGAGACCCATGATTTGGCTTAGCGTGACACAGAAATGAACCAAGTGCTGGACCGTTTGGTGAAGTAGCTCAGCACTCCCTACAACACTGACTCTTGTCTGCCAAAACCAAATGGAACATCTCTGGACCTGAATTTAGGAATCAAGATGGATTTAGGAATCACAGGCAATAGAGTCCCTTCAGTTTACAGAGAGAGAATATGCTGAATAGGTTTTGTTTATGAAGTGGATGCCCTTTTACAGATAACCTTTCTATCAGAAATGGATAGCAACTGTGGAAACGGCACTCTCCTGCCTCTGGAATTCTCACATCCCGGGATGCTTGCCAGGCACCTAATTTAATGCATTTTAGGCACTCTTAGTAGAATAATAGAATCATGGGAGGTACCCCAAGGATCATCTAGTCCAGCCCCCTGCAATGCAGGAATAGATCTGATACTGCTGTTTCAAGGATGCATTTTAGTGATTTTTGTAAATTACAAAGTTGAGACATAAACATTTTGAATCGAGTATTGAGAGCCCACCTTCTTGCCTATGTGGAACAGATTTATGGACTGGAGTGTATTTCATCATAGAAGTTATCAAACGGCTGACCCACCTGGGAAGAGAAACAGTCTATTTTGAGATTTACCCAGATGCTCAAGACAATTTTCCTTACTGCGGTATATGAAATCACTAAAAACAAATATCTACTTGAATATGATCTTTTTATTAGCAGTATTAACGCTGCTTTGCCTCTCAACTCCCCTTGATGACTTCATTCCGCAAAGTGTATTTGGGTATTTGCTGGAGAGCCACAGACTCAGGAATTTGTCAGCTTGAAGCAGCTGATAACAGATACGCCCTAGATTTCTTCACAGTTTTTGTTTTTCTGTGCAAACCCTGGCTGGAATTTGACTAGGGTCATCTTTCTCGGTTTATGGCCCTCCACAATAAGGTTGCAGTGAGGCCTTTAGGGAAATCAAGCAACATCTGTCAAGGATTGCAACACTACTCAAGACAACTTTGCATGGGATGCATCAGTCTCCAAAGTTGCTTCTAGGGTGGAACCTGAGATTGCTCAGGCCATTTGGCTACTTACATGCTCAGGTCAGCCAGGGTCTCTGCTGCAAAGATAAAGGGCTTGTATTTCTCATGGGTAAGCTGGAAGACACTGCAGAAAAAGAGAAAAGGTGGCTGTGGTGGAATTCCCCATGATTCTTTGCAAGGCCCGCCCATACCCAACTACAAATCTGCATGGTTACAGTTGTGTGTCAAGGCTTGAAAATGGTTGCAGTGGGCAACTTCACTCTCCCAACCTCTTTGGCTCAGGATATGCTGAGATAGATCATTCGACTCTAGGCACATGAAAGATTGATAGAATTATGGTCCAAGAACTTGAATAAAATGACTGATGAACTGAACAATATGACGGACTAGCGGGACCTGCAACAGAGCTCTGCAGCGGGTGCCATTCAGCCAAGCTCTCTTCCAGGATATTCCTTTTCCGCATCAGTCAGTCAGCATTCCATGCCCACTAAGCATGCTCAGTCCTCACTAAGCTGCTTTGCATATTCCTCCCATTTATCCTGGCTCTCCTTCCCTTAGACCTGGAACTGGACTCTTCACTATGTCCATTTTGAAAGCTTTATTGTGGAAATCAATACAGCGTCCTAGAGTCAAATGATCTATCTCAGCATATCCTGAGCCAAAGAGGTTGGGAGAGTGAAGTTGCCCACTGCAACCATTTTCAAGGCTCTACAGGCTACAAACAGGTGAAACGCAGAGGAGTAGAACAAGTCATGGCTAGGGGTAGGTAAGACATTGATCCAACACTTGACATGCGCCTGGCATCCTCCTTTTGAAGGGGGGCCCTTCAATTCATGCAGTTTGCACCTAGAGCCTTGGGATTGGGCAAACCAATGTTATTCCTCCACATAGGCTGGATTTGTGAGGTTTGTTTGCTCTGGTGCTGACACTGCCACATCCTTGGGAGTCAGGAGTGGAGTTGGAGCCAGATTGATATCAGACTTTTCCCCAAACACCACCCTGGGAAGCCTCCCTGCTGACAGGTGGAGGTGCTGGAAGCGGCTCCTCATTGGACGATGTCAGGCTTGGGGACTCTGTGTTATGGGAGCTGAACTCTCCTCTGACAGCCCTCCTTGGGATCCAAACCTCCTCCTCCTCCCAACCAGATCAGACACCTGAGGTCCCTGTTTCACATTCCACAATATACCACTGATGTTTTTATTGTTAAACTGCTCAAGGATGTTTTACAGGAAGCAATTAGTAGGTGAAGTAAACAAAAACAGTAAGCATCTTACACTGTTGCTAGTTGAAACCCCACGCTGGGGTGATTCTCAGAGGGTAGTTGGTCCTAGCCATTCTTTCTCCCTACTTAATGGATGCATTTCCCTTTCATTTATGAGCAGGGCTGTAGCTCAGTGATAAGAGCATCTGCCTTGCATGCAGAAGGTTCCCAGGTTCAATCCCCAGCATCTCCAAGAAGGGCTGGAAAAGATTTCCTGCCTGAAACCCCAGAGGGCTGCTGCCAGTCAGTGAATTATTGGATTTATGATGTGCACATCCCTCTAGGGAACCCAGGGTGGTGTAGACAATACTGTGTTAGATGGATCAGAAGCCTGACCCTGTAGAAGTCAGCTTCCCCTGTTTGTTCAATGTTCAAGATGTCTCCAGAGCCACCCATCAGGCTCACTGCACATACTCACTATTTCTTCTTCTGTTCCTTTTTGCTTTCCAGTCTGTATGCTGACACATTGATGAAACCCACAGCCTTCTCATCCTGGGGTAAGAGAAGGGAAAGCACCAATTAAAACAGAGCAGCACTTCACAACCTGATTGGCTCCACTTGCTGCTACTCATATATAAAGTGGCAGCCCAGGAATGCTGAACAGGTTTCTACTACAGTTGCCAACAGAAAGCAAGGGAAAGCTGTAGGAACCGCAGGCTGCTCCTAACCTTCCATGGGCAAGCTATAAAGCAAAGAAGGGGAGCTTGCAGACCGCCAGATGTTGCAGGACCACAGCTCCCAACATCCATGATCGAGATGCAGCCAGCTCTCATGGGCATGGTCTTCAACTTGCATTGAAACTGGCCAGTTGCAACCTGGATGCAACTAGCAATAGCAGAGAACGAATCATTTTGTGTTTTTTATCATGTAATTTTATGTTGTGAACTGTTCTGGAGATACATTGATAAGCTGCGGGAAAATGTGCTCCAAACTGCTCCACTCAGGATTGCAGACAATTTGTTTTGGTGGTTGGTGGATCAGTTGTCACTTCCTGCTACTCCCCTTTGCATGCCCCCCATATAGCATAGTTGCCCATCTCCATAGCATAGTTGCCCATCTCTGTAGAATCAGAGTGTCGTAATACATTGTATCTTGAATGTTGTATAGGACACTCTCTGCTCTGTTAAGAAGAAAGGGAGGCAGGCAAAAACAACATTGGGGCCAGCTCCAGAGTCAGACTGCTCCCTCCCCTGACCAATTTTATGTTGCAGAAAGGCGGTGTTAAAAAGTATTAAATAAATAAGAAGGAAAAATTGTATTTTTTCTTTGGAGCTCTCAGATTTGCACAAAACCAGAAAACCACAGATATGTGTGCTGGGAATTTACACTTGCCTGACTGTGTGCTTTTGCGCACTTCCTAGGCGGTGGGGGGGGGGAGTGTATGTGCCGCATAAGCACTTAATTGGAATAAAGGAGTCAAGAAATTAGAAGGCAGGGACAAACACAAAAGCGAACATCTACTGATATGAACAAAAAAGACAGAAGTTGCTCCTCATATACAAGTTCAAATATGTGTGGACTATTCCATTCCAATTCAAATGAGGGGAAAGTAGATTAACAGCTTGAACGTGGACAGATGCTCTGTTGCAGCGACGACAACAATGAACAGGGCTACCCTTTGGTGATCCATGACTCTCTGAAATACTTAGCGACCTACGATGCACTCACGTTGGGGTTGCTGTACCAGTAGAGGGATTGACCCTTCAGCACGAACCAAAACCGCTTCCATTTCTGGGCCATGAAGCCCCCATGGTCTTTCTTCTTAAGGAGCCAGCCATCGCAGTCCACCTGGCCCAGATCCTGGCAGGAGATTCGGCGGCGACTCAGTCGGGTTGCCATTCCTCAACACAAGCGGGGGCGGGTGTGTTATTATGACAAAAAGGAAGGACAGGATGCACAGTGCAATTTACTAAAAAAAATCAGGCTCATAGTATACAGTTTGCGATTTTTCCACCACAAGCACTTTTTAAAAAAACTTTTGCTGACTTAGGGAGGCATTTATAGAAGGGCCAAGAGCAACCCATCCTTCTAGGGATGCAGCTTTGGTCGCCATAGGTTTAAAGCACATTAATACCACTTGAACAGCCAAGGCTCCCCCTAAAGGATCCTTGAAACTGTAGTTTAACTCCCACAGAGCTACAGTTTCCAGCATGATTCTCTGGAGAAAGCCTCAAGCTTTAAATGTATACAGTGTGGGTGTGAGTTTGGTCTACATATCCCATATGACGAGGTAACAGGTATCTGCAAGAAAATGTTGCAGTGTAGAATGCGCCTCTTCAGGGTTCCAGGTGTCACATTCCCTGCCTCAGGGACCCAGGGATGGCATGAGAAGGACTCCGATTCAGACAAACTGAAATCTGTGTGCATGACACTTTACAAAGAACAGGACTGCCAATTTCAAGCACAATCCCATTCCTTTTCATTATTTCCTTGCTTTCCCTTCTCCTGTTGCCTCTAGAATTGTGGCTTCCTCATTACGCCAGACCAGTATTCACCAACCTGGTGCCCTCCAGATGGCAGGTCCCTATCTGCAAGGGACTTGGAGGATGACCCTGTAACCTCACAGCCACTCCAGAATATGCAGCTGTAGAAACTACCACAGGCACACTACCCTTTAAAGATTGCATTCAGCTCTCTCAAGGGGGCAGGAGCCTCTGGAAGGGAAGGCTCTGCTAGTCTTCATAATCCTTCAGATAACTCTGGGACAACATTCCCCATGCGTGGCTGTAAGCAGCTCTGGCAATCAGCTGATCAACCACGAGGGCAAACATGGGTCACCTGGTATCATGCCAAGAGACTGACCACCCACCTGTCAAACTTGGCCCGTGGGGGACATAAAAGTTCCCCCCTCCCTTGTCTGGTGAATAGTGGCATACAAGAAAGAACTGTTCTCCTCCTCCTTCCAACCAGAATATATTTATGGACACGTTACACAGGTTTAGCATAGGCTGAAATGCTTGTAATATTGAAGGATGAATTGATGTTACTGGTACTCACCTTTTTGCTTTCGTCGATATTCAACACTGCCCTGAAAGGATGAGAGGGGGAGAAAAGCAATTTATCAGGATCTGTAAGAATAGCTGAGTGTTCTTGTTGCTGGTGCCAGCCACCCCACATCACAATAAAAAGTGAGTGGGGAAATCACACTACAATTCAGTAGAAACGCAAACTCACAGTTTTACAATTTGTTTAAGACTGGTTTGAGGGGGGCGGGACTCACCAAATAGCAGCATTTGTTAAGATATCATAGGATTGATATGGATTGTGGCTAACATGTCTACGTAGCTTTAAAAACTAGCAGTGAGAGTGCACTGGATGCAGTAAATTGAACATGCCCTTAGACTTCCCAATGATCAACCATCTATCCCACACTTTTTATGCAGTTCCCTGTCACTTTTCTAGCCACAAAGACCTGTTTTGTTTGTAAAGTGAATTTGTTGCACCAGAGCAATAGGGTGCTTTAATCCACTTTAATTGCGGAAACCCAAATTTACAGTATGTGACTGAATCGCTCCTGCAAAATGCTGACAGTCTGGAGACAATGCTGGGATTGCTCCTGCTGAATTAGTTTACATTTTTGTTTCTATTTCATCAGTCATTCAGGGAGGCCTTTTTAGACCTGAAGCCAAAGGGTCTAAATAAAACCTAGAAATAAGCAAAACACAATGCAACTCTCACCTCTTTGGAAGAATCTGCAGATCCCAGCCCTCTGATTCCTCTGACAAACCCATTCTCAGGGGTTGTGGAGTCTTCTGATTCAAGTTCCAAGGTACTGGGTCTGGCAGGGGAAGCAGCATCAGTGGATCTGGATCCTTCAGGATCGACCCTGACAAGGCTCTCACCTTCCAGCACAGGTTCAGCAAATGCACCTGGAAGAACAAGTCAAAAACCCAAACCAAAGCTCATAAGTTAATCAGTCTGGAAAAAGATTTTACACCAGAAGGATTCATTTGTTCATTAGATATTTACGGTAAAAACCCACCTTTCTGCACACTTGTCCTCAACAAGTCAGTTTGCAACAGTTATAAAAACATCAATACCATAACAGCATAGCAGCAAATCATATTCTGAAGTTCTAAACTATGAAAACAACCCCAATCTATGTGGGGCTCCACTGGAGCCTGGTGTTAGTGCAAAATGCTGCAGCATGACTACTGACTGAGAGGAGTGAGATCCTGTCTGCATGTAACATGTTAATTCAGACACTTGACTGGCAATTTGTTACCGGGACAAGTTCATGTTGTTACTATTAGTATATAAAGTCCTTAACAGCTTGGGACCAGCTGACTTGGAAGATCACCTTACCCTATGTATGCCCACATGAGGACTTTGACCAGTGGAACTTGTACAATTGCCACATGATGTTCATTCTGCACTTGAAAAACACCAATCTTTCAGTGTAGTAGTTACTACCCACTGGAACTCCCTGCCCATTGACATTAAGCAGGCATTTTGTTCCTTTCAGTGCCTGCTAAAAACGTTCATTTAGGCAAGCCTATCCTAACATGTAAAGGTGACATGTATTTTAATCTATAATTTTAGTTCATAATGTTTATTTTTAACCACTGATCTTACTCATATTTTGATATTTTTTTCTAAAAAACATTGTCTTTTACTTCTATTTTTATTGACAATTCAATGTATATCTTATATTCTTTGTAAACTGCTAATTTGAAATTAATCACTATATAGTATAAATAAAATATACAGCCTCAGATGCTGATCTCAAAGTTTGGGCAGGTTTGTGTACAGCTGTAAGCCAACCTCCAGAGGCTCAAATCAGCCTTCGTCAAGCTGGCACCCTTCAAGTGCTGGCTGGGGCAGATTTGAGTTAAACCCTTTAGAGTGAAGATTGCTCTAAATGGTTTAGAACCAGGTTAACACCACAGCCTTAAATTAGGCCTGGGAACAAATAGACAATTTAAACGTGAACAGAATAGGCATAATGTGGTCTAAATGACTAACTCCAACAAGCATTCTAGCTGCCACATTCTGCACCAGTTGTCATTTCTTTGTTGTGAGTAGTGTGCACGACAGTAATTTAGCCTGGATGTAAGCAAAGCACACCTGAGACCTCTATGCTCTAGAGAAGGCCACAGGTAATGAGCCAGCCCAAGCTGATAAAAAGCTTCGTTAAAAATGCTCAAATAGTGAGAGGACTGCAGCCCAGTGGCAGAACAGCTGCTCTGCATGCATAAAGTTCCTGGTTTAGTACCTAGATCAGTGTTTCCCAAGCTTGGGTCTCCAGCTGTTTTTGGACTACAACTCCCATCATCCCTAGCTAGCAAGACAGGGATGATGGGAATTGTAGTCTGAAAACAGCTGGAGACCAGAGTATGGGAAACACTGACCTAGATTCTCCAGCAGGGCAGCAAATGTCCCCTGTCCGAAGTCCCACAGTGTCACAGCCAGTCAGTGAGACAATGCTATGCTCTTGCTTCATGTAAGGCAGGGATGGCCAAACTTGGCCACCAGCTGTTTTGGGACTACAACTCCCATCATCCCTAGCTAACAGGACCAGTGGTCAGGGATTATGGGAATTGTAGTCCCAAAACAGCTGGAGGGCCGAGTTTGGCCATCACTGATGTAAGGCATCTTCTTGCCTTCGATCATCCCTGACCGCTGGCTAGGCTGGCTGCGACTGATGGGAGATGGAGTCCAGCATCAGTGTGTCCACCACCAGCAAGCCAATGTCCAATCCTTACCTGCCCCAGAAGGTTCTTCTAGAGAGCCGTCCGAATGCCATGAATTGGTTGCTTCCTGCTCCTCTTCATCAGCAGGGAGACCTAGAAGAAAATCCGGTCTCCCATCCACCTCAGCAGTCATGCTTTTCAAGGAGAAAAGAAAGAAAACAAAACAAACAAACTTGGAGCTCTATCTTTCATAGCAGCTGTGCACTGTTTACCAGAACTTCAGATCCCAGTTGTCTGGCACTTCAGCCACAAGAAGGAGTCCAGCAAATGCCGATTCGGCAGCAAAATATGCTGGGACCCAGACAGCTACAGAGCTGGATGTTTGCCCCTGCCTTCCCCCTTGCCCTTCTTCCCTTAACACCACACCTTGAGAGATCTTGGCTCTCCATCACACACACACACACACACACACACACACACACACACACACAGCTATTCTCCCTAACCACCAGAAATCTAGGACAGGCAGAATCACTAGATTCCAAGGCAATTTGCAGTAGATCAGTAATTGTTTTGTTTTGTTTTACAACCATTTGCTTAAAACAGCAGCAACAAAAAAATACTTTCCCTTCCAAATTAGGTTACTGAAAGGAAGAACATTTGAGGGTGGGGGAACCAGGGGTAGATTCATGGGTGAAAATTAAGATTAGTTCTGGTCCCGAAAAGAAATTCTTGAGCAGTGTGTGTGCTCTGAAGCATTACAATCCTCAATTCTCTCAAGGTTCTAGTAAAATTCAAACAAGAATGGTTATGCCCTGTGCTTTTTTTCCCTGGGGGACACACAGGGTTCTGCATACCCCTAAACATTTTGTGAATCTTTGTCCTTTTGTCCTTTTACTGTATTTATTTCCCCCGATTTAAACTATAAACTGGTGATTTTCTTGAATCAAAATGAGAGTGCTCCTAAATATATTTTTTAAAGAAAAAAAGCACTGGTTATGCCCGAGATAGAATCATAGAACTGTAGAGCTGGAAGGGACCCCAAGGGTCATCTAGTCCAACCCCCTGCAATGCAGGAATCTCAGCTAAAGCATCCATGACAGATGGCCATCAACCTCTGCTTAAAAACCTCCAAGGAAGGAGAGTCCACCACCTTCCGAAGGAGTCTGTTCCACTGTCAAACAGCTCTTCCTGACGTTTAGTCAGAATCTCCTTTCCTGTAACTTGAAGCCATTGGTTCAAGTCCTACCCTCTAGGGCAGGAGAAAACAAGCTTGCTCCATCTTCCATGCAACAGCCCTTAAGATAGCCCTCCCTGCAGCATGAGATCACAAAGGAATTTCCTAAGTACCTCTGCCCCTAGTTCCTGCTGAGCGAGAGGCCAAGAGGATGGAAAATATTTTATTCTTGGGATGTTTAAACTCGGACAGACCTTGGTTTGCGCAACAGGAAGGGGGAAAGGTCACTAATTTATTCAAGAGATACTCCATCTGCGCGTTGAACCAGAGAATGCCCCTCTCTGGGCAAGTTCCAGCACGACCCTTTGCAGTTTCGTTCCCACTGAAAGTATGAGTACAGTGTGACATCACCAGAACTCACTGAGTTGCAGATTTTGTCACAGCTTCTAAGTCAAGTCCACAGAACCCTGGGGGTAATCCAGTGAAGCTGAAGAAGTTGGGAGATTCAGGACAGAGAAAATGAAGGGCATCCTCACAAAAATGTCTATTTATACAGAATTTGCTCCCACGGGATGCAGTGATGACCCACCAACTTAGGGCACTTCTGGAGTGTCGCCATTTTGGGGCGGCATTTGACCACATACTAGCAAATTCGAGATGAGCATTTAAAGCTGACTCATACAGCAAACTTGCTGCCCACCGCCCCATCCCCCGGCACAAAAATTACCACACTTTCTGTGATAGGGAAAACAATCCTTGATGGACCAGACCCACAGTCCACATGTCAATATCTACATAGCACAGTAGTGGGCCCGAAACTCTAAAATCCCCAGAAATGTTTGATTCCTAACCTGGAAGTCGAAGAACCAAAACTAGTCGCAGACTCATCACTGTGCAAGCTCAGGGGTTCCACAACATCAAACAAACCTTCCAGCACCTATGGAATGAACAGACAAAAGTCACCTATCTGTTACAGTCAATGGGACAGTCTACACTGTGCCTTCGGTATATTGTTGAGATGTTGCTTTCGCCTTTTCATTGGGTCGGAAATGACACTCCAGGGGAGTCGTAAAAAAATAAAAATTAAAAAAAAGCCTGACAAGGATGAGCAAAGATTAGTCACAGATTTATTTGGAAATGTGAGATTACTAAGAGACTCTGAAGCACTTGAATTTCCTTTTTGCTCACTTCAGAGTAAGCAACCCATAGCTGTAAAGATAAGGTCTAAGGAGACCACCCCAGCTCTGCTTCATCCAATGCTGAAGACATACCTCTTTACCTGGCCTTTGACACCTGAGGTGAATATTTTTAGGACCCACCTTCTTTCTGTGATTTTAAGTTGTTTTCAACCATTTCTAATATTGTTACCCGCCCTGGGACCTTAGGTTGAAGGGAGGGAAATAAATAACAATAATAACGATAATGATGATAAACAGCAGTAGCTCTAGAAGCTCTCATCAGGACTTATACAGGGAGTAATCAGATAAACACCCCTTACATAGAATCATAGAGTTGGAAGGGACCCTGAGGGTCATCTAGTCCAACCTCTTGCAATGCAAGTATCTCAACTAAATCATATATGACAGGTGGCCACCCATCCTCTGCTTAAAAACTCCAGGGAAGGAGGGAGTGCATAACCTCCTTTCCAGGAGGCTCCTATGCCAAAAAATGGAGGTGGAGTCAGTCCATGATCTGAGAAGCTGCTAGCTGATGTTCAGTGGTTTACCACATGGGGCAGCTTCACAGAGATCTCAGGAGGCCCTCAGGTGCTTGTTCTAGGCTGGAATATGTCCCTGAAAAGGGATAATGCCTCTTGCATGCCTGGGTGCAGGATGGAGGTATATGGAGGTGCAAAAACCTTTGACTTTCCTGTAGAATGAACGCTGCCTACTGTACAATGTAAGAGTCCTGTCCTTTGCTTCACCCATGTTTGCCTCTGGCCTCACCCACCACTGGGAAGCAGCTCCCCAGAGCGGTACCCACAGGGAAATGTGGCCTTTGGGCTGTTCTAGGCCTCGCTTACCTTCTGCTGTAGAGGAGAAGACTCAGGGGAACTAGGAGTCCCTGGGAAAACGAGTGGTATTTTCTTCAGCACCAAAGTCACCTGACTTGATGTTTCAAGAAGCTTTTTCACCAGATTCATCCGGGTCCAGCCCACCTACATGGTTGACAGATTGTCTTGCCTTTAATGATATTTTTTAGCTTCAAAGTGCTTTTCTTTAAATTTCACATTTTTCAACATTATTTTATTTGAAATATTTTTGTATTTATCTATCTACGCTATTATTTGGTGAGCCGATGTAGAAAGGCAGTTTACAAATACTGTAAATAAAAACAACAATTGTCAAATAAATTAAGTTAAACGAGGGCTGCAAAATTCAGGGCTTGGGCACATCTTATTTTAACACCGGTGATGGAACAGCACCAGGCTAGCTTAGTCATATGCCTCATCTGTACTAGACATTTAAAGTGGTATCATACCACTTTAAACAGTCATGACTTCCCTCAAAGAATCCTCACTAAGGGTGCTGAGTTGTTAGGAGACCTCTGCTCCCTCCACAAAGCTACAATTCCCAGAGTTCCCTGGGGAGAGGGCTTGATTGTTAAACCACACACTGTTAAACTTCAGCAGCGAAACATCACGGGCCAATCCTGCTCCAACACATCAGCACCACTCCCCACCCCATATCCACTGCCTCAGGTGGCTGCCTCGCAATTCCTAATAAGGCTGGCCCTATGCAAAAGCCCTGGGATTAAAACACTGACAGAACTGGCAATATTCATAAACCAGTAAAAAAACCCAAAACATTTTAGTGTGCCAGCATACTCTGTCAGTGATCTTAAAGGAATTTCAAAGGGAGTGGGGGGCTCCAGCAGGAAATGGACTTGCAATTCCTGAAGTCTGATCTATTCATTTGGGTCTCAATAGAAATAATAGTTTCCTTTCCCATTCAAAGGTTAGTTAACTCAGCATTGCCAAAGTTGATTGTTTTATCACCTCTCCGGGCTGTTGTAGAGGACCACCCTGCTAATCTTGCACACATTCTAGCTCAAACCGAACTTCCACTATCTGTACTGTTTGCATTTCAGGTCCTTCTCTCCTTTGCTTACTCCACGTGCAACACTAGCCACTCTGCATTCATCCATCTGCAACTGAGGATTACACTTCATACGCCTGCTGAAGGGAACTCTAGCCCCTGAATCCTTGTGCCACGCTAAAATGTATTAGTCTTAAGATGCCAGAAGATCATTTGTTGATTTTGGCAAGCACTAGGCATCTAAGATTTATTTTAAAAATTGTTACTGACGTGTCACACAATTAATTAACTTTCTGTGTACCCTTAGGCTTCCTCACCACCACAATATTTCTGGCTAAAGGCCTGAGCTGCTGCACTCACCAGTTGCTAGCTGCAAATTTACCTATAGGAGGCAACCAATTGCCATTTTTAAGAAGGTGAAGCACGGATAGCCTATTTTGTTCTCTGCAAATTTGTCTGAAACCTGGATGGCTTTGAAAGAGGATTAGACAAATTCATGGGGGATAAAGGCATCAACAGCTACTAGCCATGACTGCTATGCTCTGCCTCCACGACTTTCTATCACTGCTACCAAACCCACATCAAAACAAGACAAGGCAGTCAAGCAGCAGCATCGCAGGAGGAAAATCTGAGCCTGGCATTAATGAAGACCCATCGAATTTGGCTGCGGCCCACCGCAGTAGCCAACTTAGCATCCTAGTTAGTCCTGCCCAAGTAGTCAGCCACAGAGCCAAATAAGGAAGAGGCCCACACTTACCACCACCTGGTTGTTGACTTGCACTATCTCATCCCCCGGAAGGATCCCACTGCTGCAGTGCTCAGCCGGGGACTGGAAGGGAGCAACACGTGCAACAAACAAGGTCAAGATCTCCTTTGCCGGAAGGGAGAAGGAGGCAACCTGGACACTCTCACTCTTCGACAAATCCAAGTAAGCAGCTTTCTTGGACAGTGAAAGTTGAGACTGGGGGAGGGCTGGGGAGTTGCTGCAGAGGGGATTAAGTATTAACTTCAAGCTCTGACCTTTGGGGTAATTCCTGCTCAGCAAGGAGGCAAGGAATGAAGAAACTAGCTGGGCTGAACAGCGTGCGCGCGCACACACACGCCAAGGTTTTGGCCAAGCTTCGGATGACGCAGAGTCACTGTTGGGGGGGGGGGGAGAAAGCAAAGCAGGTGGGCTAAGCCACGTTCTGCCTGGCACAATCTGAGGAAGAAATATGAGCTCCCCCACCTCTAGATGAGTTGCTAGGTTTCCCACACAGGCTCATTTCAAAGACCTGAAGTCACTGTGATGGGACAGGGCAGGGCACTATTTTAGGACCTAAGTTAATGCTCCCTTCTTCCCTATGAGAAAACCCAGAGTGCGTTTCAAGGCGACCTGCTTAAGCATTCATCCTGATTTGTTGCGAGGAGATGAGGTGATGCTGGCTATGAGCATTTATGCCAGTTGGTTCACAGGGAGGACAGATGACGTTGCACCAAAGCAAGTGTTTATCCCAGACTTTCCAGTGCATTTTCCTTAGCATGAAAAGTCTGAGGTTTCAGGGAAGCAAGTTTGTTGCACAAGACCTCCCACAGTCAACTATAATTGTGCATCTTCAATTTGCCAGCATGAAACCGAATCTCTGTGAAATATAGTGACAAGTCTGGGAATGCCCCTAAGACACAAATAACCCCTGTGTCTTCTTTCTGACTCACCTCTGGGGCAGTTCCTGATATGAAATGGAGACAGGTGGGCGAGGACTTAATCTCAATGCCCTGAAGAGGAAAAGATGCAGCAGACATGGTTACTGAGACAGTGGCAGAAGAGATCTTAGCTCAGTAAAAGAGCATTAACTATGCACACAAAAGTTGCCTGGTTCAGTTCCCAGCAATGCCAGGCTGGGCTGGGAAAGACCCGTATCTGAGGCTTTGGAGACCCATAAATATTCACATAGTTATCCCTCCATGGAGTTCGAGGCGGCATACATGGTTTTCCCTCTCCCCATTTTGATCCACACAGCAACCCCTGAAGTAGGCTAGGTTAAAAGACAGTAACTGGCCCAAGGTCACTCAATGAGCTTCATGGCCGAGTAGTGATTTGAACCCTGGTTTCCCAGCCTGACTCAGTATAAGGCATCTTGCTATATCAGCAGAATAAGAGTTGTAGTTCAGCAGCAGAGCACCTGCTTTTGCATGCAGAAGTTTGCAGGTGAAATCCCCAGTATCTCTGGATAAAAGGATCAGTTTGCAGAATAGACAATGATGGGCTTAACTGACTAGACGCCTGTCTTGGGGGGGGGGGCAGATGGCATGAGCCCTGGGGTTTTTGCACTGACACCCAGATCTCCTGTCCTTTCTTCTCTATAATCTTTGTTTTGTTTAAAAACACCCGTTGTTTACAGGGCGGCTAGGTGTGCTTAGAGCACAGTAACAGTGAAGCTCCAGCTGTCTTAATTTGCCCAGAAGCAATTTTATGTCATGGGCTCACTGCTTTTAAGTACCCAACAACATCCCTGCCTGACTCTGTTTAAGACAACTTAAAGGGAGGAGGGAGAAGAGTTCATTCACCCTGCCCGTGATGAAGGTCAACATTCTTTCAATAAAGGACAATTATTCTGGGGGCTTCCAGGTTGCAGGAGAGGGACCTGACATTTTACTTTGCCAACCCAGCTTTGACAGACATACATAAACAGGGAAAGCCATACAGCTCAGGGCCAGAGCACCTGGCTTGCGTGCAAAAGGTTCTTAGTTCAATTCCTGGCATCTCCAGGTAGGGCTGAGAAAGACTCCCTGCCTGACACACTCAAGAGGCGCTGCCAGTCAGTATAGATAAAGCTGAGCAGCGCAAAATGCTGTTTAGCTGCATCATGTTGCTTTGTGGGACTTTCCCATTCCCTCCGGTCGGTAAGTAAGTGCTAGTTGTTGTGATTATTATTTATTATTGATTTCCTGCTCCTCTTTCTTATTTCATGCTGAAGCAGCCAAATATCACACCCGCCTTTATAAGTGCTGGATATGCACTTTATAACTGTGGGTGGGGGCTTTGCACTCAGCTCTTTTGCCTGCGACAGCCTTGCAAAACAAAACAAAACAAAACATAAAATAGCCTGCCAGGCTCACCAGACTGTCCTCTGGACCTGCTGCCACAAGTTCCACTGTCTCCAAGATGGCAGTTCGATGCAGGAGTTCAGCTGGACTGTAATTCAAGATGTGCTCACAGATTCCTGAGATGTGTCTGCCCTGCAAGGCGCAAAGAGGGAAAAACTCATTCTTTTAGAAGAAGCCAGGTGGATTATGAACCTTCTGACAGAGGTAAGAACAAATGCAATTGGAGGCACAGGATCCTCCTATATCTTCCCCTACCCCGATTTTTAAAAAATGCATTTGCTAACCGGGAGGTTACATGCACACCATAAATTTATAGCACATTTACAGCACTTTCATGGTCATGGCTTCGCCCAAGGAATCCTGGGAACTCATTGAGCTACAATTCCCAGGACACTTAACAAACTGCATTTCCCAGGGTTCTTAGTGAGAATCAACATGCTTTAAATGTATGGTGTGGATGTGACCTGGGTCAGGAAGCAAGATGCAGACCAGTTATCCTGCTATTTCCCAAATGCAGCTTACTCCATAGTAAGACTATGCTATTTAGCTAGATTACGCCAAGTGTTCAATTTTGAAAGAAAAATAATTGCTCCCAGTTCACTCTCTCCATACTATTCAGTTTTTTTTAAATATATAAATCAATAGGTTGTTTCAGACTTCCACAATTTGGTGCGCTCTAGATGTTGCTGGACTCCATCAGCTAGCATGGCCGATGGTCATGGATGATGGGAACTGTAGTCCAACAACATCTAGAAGACATCATATCAACTACAGTGGTACCTCAAGTTACAAACGCCTCAGGTTACAAACGCTTCAGGTCACAAACTCCACTAACCTGGAAGAGTTACCTTGAATTGAGAACTTTGCCCCAGGATGAGAACGGAAATCATGTGCCAGTGGTGCAGCAGCAGCAAGAGGCCCCATTAGCGAAAGCACGCCTCTAGTTAAGAACAGTTTCAGGTTAAGAACGGACCTCTGGAACGAATTAAGTTCGTAACTAGAGGTACCACTGTACAGAATGATCTAGTTTAGCTGTTTTATCTGTATCTAGTAAACAAAAGCAAAACTTTGAAATTGTCAAGCTTGGAGTTGGCATGCATTCATCATCCCTAATGAACTTAAGAAATGGGAAATATGCTGTTTTGGAACATTTTCTGCTGTACATCCCTGGTGTGCACAAGTCCAGAACAGAGGCGATAGACACATTTCCCATGCCAGTAAAACATACTTGGCCATCTGAGGGGGCTTGTGTACTTGACAATGTCCAATTTAGAATAAAGGGACCTGAAACCCCCCCCAAAAAAATAGCTGTCAGCCCAAGAATTTAAAGCAAGATTCCACACCAGGCCTCATCTCATAACGCATTCCATCTGCAGATTGCAGTACTTACAATCAGTAAAATCCGGTCCTCCCTCTCAGAGACAGTGCAGTCCTGCAAGTACAAAGAAAACCAAGCTAGACTCTTCAAACTATTCCAGAAACAGGTAAAAACTAGGGTCCTTCCAGATAACCTGTTCACCTGATCATTCATCCTGATTTGTTTGCAGGGAGATTAGACAAGGTTGTTTATTCAATGAGAATCCATTCTTGATTTGTTTATGGGGAGGTTAAATGCTGCTGCATCAAGGCAAGTGTGATCTCACACTTTCCTCTGCATTTACTCATCACTTCGCTTATCATGAAAAGTCTGATCTTTTTGGAGAAGCAGGTTTGTTGCACAAGACCTCTCAATCAACACTAACTGGATAGCTTGAATTCGCCAGTATGTGACTGAAACCCACCCAAAGATAGCAACAGCCTGGAAGCAATTGTTCATTCAGAAACAGCAGGGAGTCTCTCTGAGTGTACCAGTGACCAGGGAAACAAGCTCACCTGCGCAGGTGTAGTACAGATTGCATGTTAATTCCCTCCAATGCCTACCCCTGCCAGTTGCTTCATCCACACTCCTAACTCTGGGTGCCTCCAGGCGGTCCTTATCTTGCAGGCCCATACCAGAAACTTAGGTTTGCACAATTAAAGTGCTTGGCCCCAAAGGACTTTCTGCAGTTAGGGAAGTGATGGGGAAATGCACCAAAATGTGTGGATGAACAAATGATCAACAGGAAGATGTGTAGACAAGCCTGCAAGGAAATCAGGATAATGTCCATTGTCAGATAACTGCCTTGTAAACAAATCAGAAGAACACTCAGTAAAGGCTGGGCATATTCCAACTACCATGCAAGTTTTGTGCAAGCAAATCAAGCTGAATGCTAAGCAAATAGAATATCTGGAGGAGCCATGAGAATGGTGGGTAATGGCTACTAGATCCTAGGTTTGGCTCAGCTTCCTTCTAGGGTCAACAAGGGATGGATATATTTTCCACATGGCGTACCATTGACCATATTCCCTGCAGCATTAAAAACACACACAGAAAAATAAGAACACCATTAATGCATTTCAGGGGGGTTTTTTGGTGTGAAAGAGACTAAAACAGTTTTCCAAAATCTGGTGGCCTCCAGATGTTTTGATATATAACATTCATCAGCCCAGTCCAGCACAACTGTAGTTCAAAATACAATCTAGAGGGCACCAGGTTGAGGAAAGCTGTACTATAGAGGACAGCTCTGTCTTTTCATCTGCTATCCACAACTCAAGGCAAGTCTCATCAAGCTGTGCACACATGGCATCTTAAATGTACACAAGCGTGCATCTGCATGCGTGTGCATTGGAGGCAAGTTGCCCTGAGGGATCTGGCTTTCCGCTATGACAGCCAGAAAGATTGCGCAGTCATCAATCATGTGTGTTCCACTCAATGGTATTCCAGGATCAAGAAAGATCACACTAGGGCATCTTATCTTCAAACACTGACCTTCCCCCAGTTACGTAGGGCATTAGGATCCAAGTCATGCCATGCACACATCTCAGAGGGAGGTACGGTACACATTCCACAAAATGATGTGTTTTTGGATGCAATTATACTGGAGGTAAAATGACTATTTACTGTTCTGCTCACCACATGCTGATCCAATGGATTTTTAAAATATCTCCTTAGATCCCCCCTTAAAAAGAGAGAGAGAAAGTGCACTGGTTAGAGTGTTGGACTAGGACCTGGGAGACCAGAGTTAAAAACCCTAAACAGCCACAAAGCTCATATCCCAGCTTTCCTCCAAGGAGCTCAAAGTGGCACAAACAGTTCTCCCTCTCCTCATCTCATCCTCACCACAACCCTGTAAGGTAGGCCAGACTGAGAGAAAAAGACTGGCCCAAGATAACCCAGTGAGCTTCACTGCTGAGTGAGGAATTTGAACGTGGGTCTCCCAGGTCCTAGTGCAACTCCACTCTAACCACTACACCATACCGGCTCTCATACATGCATCCAGCAAAAGGGCAAAATGGAGACAATGTACGATCAGAGACAGGCGCCAGAATTCAGAGACTGTTCCAGTTAAATAGAGACAGTTTGAAGATACAACAATCCTGCACTGGAGCACAATTAGAAGGAGTCTTGAGATGTCTTTAAAATACAAACATTAAGTTTTAAAGTCTCTGCCCCCTTCTCCAACATGCACCACCCTCAGGCTCCCAGGCTCAAGCCCCAAGTCTCAGGACCAGAGACTCAGATTTCCCAGCAAATACTAATGACAGGAACCCAACTACACAAACAAAACAAATACTTGTGGGAAGTGGGGAAGGGAAAAAAGGAAGAGAGTGAAAAGCAGAGTACTAAGAGACGCTATGAAAGAATATGAAATTTTCAGAATACACACATCTAAGTCCTACCCTACAGGCTGGAGATGGTTTGCAGATCACAGCTGAATGAAGATCAGCTTCTCCCACCACATTCCCAGCTTCCCTTCCCATCTGTCAAAATGAGTTGGGCACATTCTTCTTTCCTGGTCATTTGTATGTTTTTTATCTTAAAAGCACTATAGAACGAACAATACAGGCTGCATGCCCACCATATATTTAAAGCACACCCACTCCATGGATCCTGTGAACTGTAATTTACCCTTCACACAGCTACAATTCCCTTACCAAATTACAGTCCCCAGGATTCTTGGTGTGTGTGTGTGCTTTAAATGTGCTTCAAATGTACAGCCCTAAAAAGATACAAACTGACACACACACACACACACACACACACACACACACCCTTTGCTTCAAAATGCCATAAAATCTCATTCACCTGGTAGGACACCCCTAAATATCAAATGGTTTTAGTAGAGGTAAAATGTTTCCACTTATAATACTACAATGGGAGGGGGGGGGGAAACTCACCTCAAGTTTCTAGCTACGGTACTTCTACTTAGATAAAGAAGCCAAATTCTTTAGTTTCTTCTGCAACATGGCACACCTTGTCAGGCCCCTCCCCTCCGCTCCCAGCTCTTTTAAGAAATCTATAGCATGGAGCTTTTGACAATTTCTTGCTATTACGACCTTCACACTTTCCTTCCTTTCCTTTCCCATGCTCTCGTCTAGAGCTGGCGGGATTTTCCAGTAGGACCATTTGTCATCAAGTCCCTCCAGCTCATTCCACAGATTCCATCGCAGAAGGTCACACAGAGCAGGAACATTTTACAAAGAAGCTACCTACCGCTGTGCCTACCTGTAAAAGCTTCCCTGAAGAGACTTTCTCTCTGTCTCCCCTCAGCGCATATGCTTCCTTTCACTGGGCTACATCCAACTAAAAATGGAGATTCCCCAAACTCAGCTATCCAGCCCTGACCCCGATCCCAAAGCGTGACTCACTGGATTATTTCTACAAAAAACAAGTCGCTCCCTCACCCCCGTCCAGTTTTGTTTACCTCGCTCTTCTCGGTCTCACTCCTCCCACCCATTTCTGGTCAGCTGCCATTTCCCTCAGTTCATTCAAGTTCAGAATAGGGTGTCTCATCCTCTGTCAGCCAACAAAGAGCCACAGAGCTTGGCACCTTACAACCCACAGATGGATGGCCTCTCTGACCCAAACATGGGGGTGATCATCTTTCTGGAGCAGCGTACCTTTAAAGTACACTCAAAACATGTTCTTTTTCTCAAAGAATTCTGGGCCCTGTAGTTTACCCCTCCCAGAGTTAAAATTCCCAGAAACCCTTAACAAACTACAGGGCCCAGAATTCTTTGAGGCAGGGAACGTACTTCGAATGTGCTTTACACACAGCCTTTATTTCCTTTCTGAACAGTTTCCTAGGAAACACCCTAAACTAAGGGATTAACAATAGAAACATCAATCCAATTTCAAATCCAACACAAACACAGACCGGGAGAAGAATCTCCACTTAAAAGGCTTGTTGAAAAAGGAAGGTTTTTTGAAAAACATTGAAATGACAATGGAGACAGCACTTGTCTCATGTGTTGTGGAAGGGAGTTCCGAAGGATTGACCCAGTTCTTACATCATAAAACAAACCTCCTGATGCAATAGTATCTGCAGGAAGCTCATTAAACTTCAGGCCAATTTGCAGACTGTTTCTTAACACAGCTCAGCTATGTACATACAATATATTTAAAGCACCTTCTCTCAAAAAGAATAATGGGAACTGTTGTTTAGCACTATAGAGCTATAGTTTCCAGCACCCTTAAACTACAGTTCTCAACATTCTTTGGGGCAGGTTTTAAATGTATGGTGTTTACACAACCTCAGTTTTGAAATCACACCAAACTGCAGTTAATGAAGTTTCCCTATTGATTATTATTGTTGTTATTCAAACTTACAGCCCACTTTTCCTCATAAGCATAAACTCCAAATGAGTTACATTTTAACACACAAACAAAAACACTTCACACAAAGTCCAAAAAACAAAACAAAACACCATAGTAATTTCTTCCAATTACTATAACAGCAAACAAAAGCAGATCACAGGAACACTTAAAAGATAGCTAGATAGAAAGGAGAAAAGAAAATTCATAGCCATGCATGTTCTGTTTAAAACACCAAAAAGAATAAAGTACAGTATTTCACAATTAGGTTCTTCAACTGGGCAAGACACTCTTTGAACCACATTTGGCACTCAGAATAAGGCCTCAGGCACTGAATGGAGAATACACACCTAAATGAAGGAGGTGCTATAGTGTGGATGCCTGAAATGATAAACCATAGTTCAGTCTGCTACTCCTCCCCTGAAACAGGAATGCCAAACATACCGAAAATGAAATCATAGTTTGATCACCTGTATACCGAGAGGCTCAAATCAGGATATGTGTTCTAACCTATGCTGCACTGTCCAAATGGAGCGAAGGAAATCAATATTAAATTGCCTTTCTGTGTGTTGGTGGGAAAGAATTTGGGACATACGGAGGAAGTCTTACGAACGCTCTCGACAATGTAACTGGATCACAACTCACCATGTCCCAGGGTGAGGCTTCAGTTAAGTATGTGGCCATGGTGTGGGAGCATAAGATCAGCTCAAGAGGCACAAAAATAAAACCAGCTTCAATTTCACCAAACCACATGATAGTCTGGGTGTGTCCTGCATATGGGGAAAGCCTGTGATAAGGTGCATCCCCATCTGTGGTGAGCCGTCAGCAAATCGTCATAGGGTACAGCACATATTTGGGGAAAACATCTGTCCAACCCCTCCTAAAGCATGCTGAATTATGAATTCTTCACATAGTGTTGGAAAGTCCACAACCTCCTGTGGACCAAACTCATTTCAAGTCAAGCATTCAGCTCATGGGAAGCCTGCAAACAGGATCTGAGCACACCAAATCAGCAGGGCTTTTCCTACTTGTGATTCCCAGCAAATGGAATTAGCAGCATAGAGCAGGTGTCAGTTTCTGGAGTCACAGCACAACCTGCATCTATAAAGCCTATGGCCCCCAAAACATGTAAGCCCAGCTTGCTAAGAGTGAGAAAGGACTAGAGAAGACCCAACAGAGCCAGCACACCCAAGTCACTTGCCTTGCCATTGCAGGGCAGCTAATCACCTCTGGATAGTAGTACAAAGATTTATGGCAGTTAAAGACCCACTGGACATTCTGGCCTTCAGAATACTTTCAGCTGGAGGCACAAATAGGCACTTATTCTCCCAGAGAGGGCCAAAGCTAAGCTTCCCAGAAAACACACATTATAGGCATTGTCTTTGAACAACTTACCGCTTTCATAATCTCTGCTAGATCTCCACACAGCCAGATGATGTCTTTGCTGGCTGAAAAATCGTTAAGGTGGGAGAAGAGATACCTGCAAGAAAAGATAAATGAGCCTGCTTCCCACATGCCAATACCTCCTACTTGATACTCGGAGATCCCATTTTAATACCATTTCTGTCTACTCTCCACCTGACTTTGGTATTACAGGTAAGTAATACTGCACTGAAAAGAGAAACACTGCAAGAATAAACAATACTGTGCTAAACAAACCATCAGTCTAATGTGGTATATGGCAGCTTCCTATGTTCTCATAGACAGTCTGAAAAACCGCTGACATCTGGCTCCAATTTGGCTCTCAGAAAAATGGCCTCCTACTTGATTATGCCGAGCTCTGGCATTGGCCCAGCAGCCAGTGGGTGTTTGAAGCTGAACACAGGACCTCCAATTTACCTTGGTACCTTTTCTCTCAGACCAAAGAGATGAAGACACAGGCTCAATGTTTACTCCTTATCTCCCCTCGGGTACAGAACTCTACAAGTGAATCATCATTTAAACACTCCCAAACCCTTTCCATTCAACACACCCATCTCCCTTAAATCTGCATGAAACCTTTCCCCTATCCAGCCCTTTTATATTATTTTCCTAAGTTAATTCAGTGTACAGACTACCTCCTCTCCACTGCCCCAAAGTAGATAACAAGAAGCAGTATCTGTGTGTGGGAAACATTTGGCCTTCTGGATGTTCCCATCATCCACAGCAAGCATACCCAATAGCCAAGAATGATAGAAACTATAGTTCAGCAACATCTGGAGGGCCAAAGGTTCCCACACCTGGTCTACACCAATGGGGTCTGTGACAAAATGCTGCAGCGTGGAAATCTACTGTTCAGGATCCCAGCCACTCCACTCCATTCCATCTCCCAACTTGTTTTCCGTTCTCCCCTAAGAGCCAGTCAGTGTTCCAGGACCACAGAGTATTACTCAGTCCTCATTTGACTGTTTGGGAGATTCATTCACAAACACACAACTTCGCTCTTTTGGATGGGAGGTGCCATTTCCATGACATAAACAGCGCTCACAGCCTGAACATTAGAAATAAAGGGAATGGAGAAGATGATCATGACAATCTTTACCTGTTGAGCCATAAGAAGAGACCCTTTGCAGCGCCAATCAGCTCCACCACACAGCCTAGGAGGTCCGAAGAGGGTTTCTCCATAGTGTATCCATCGTAGGTGTTAACTTTCCTACGGCTCAAGATGAAGGTTTCAATCGTCCTTACAATGCCTTGCAGCTTCTCAGTCAGCACCTGCAGGTTGGTTGTTGCCAGGTCATAGTTCTAGGGAGAGGGAAACAAGCCCAGCTGACCTCACTAATGAAAACAAAGGCTTGTATACAGCTAAGTTTCACTCAAAGTAGGGGGGTCGGATTTGGTTCAGTTCGCATTTAAAGGAGAAATTAAACCAAATTCGCACTTTTCAAAACAAGAACTCAAACACAGCCATGCTTTGAAACTGACACTTCTCTTAACTTTGCAGTGCAGTTTCCCAGCTAAATAATGCTTACCAAAAAAATACATATATCAAGGGGAAACATGCAGAAAAAGGAAGATATCAGTGAAAATAACGTACAAAAATGCATTATATTAGGAGAAACTGCTTGCAAAAATAGGTGGTCACAACTGCATAACTGCACAACTGTGTTTAGTGTTGCATGAAAATGCTGGAGATTTTTTTTATGAAGACACATAAACAGAGAAGATTGATGGAAGAGATCTGTGTGAGAGACAGACTGGAGCAATTGATCAAAAAAGAGAAAATTCATAGTACAAAGGCTAGTCTAAATAATAAAGTTTTCAAAAGAAAGAAGGGAGGGAAGGTTCCCCCCTGAATCTCCATAAGACAGGGCCTGCCGCGCTAAAGGTTTGCTCCCTAGTGGAAGGTTAACTGAATCTCATGGGTGGAACCACCTTAAGGGCCCTGTCATAAGTTGAGGTGGAATATAAGGAATCAGATGGTCCTTAAAGTACTTCAGAGGCCCAAGTTGTTGAGGAATTTGTGACCTGCACTGAGGTTCACAGCCATGTGCTCACCAATACGCAGAGCTGCTCCACAGCTTCCAGAAGCAGCTCCTGATGGCCAACGCGCCTCATGCCCAGATCCTCCAGGTCCCGATACGACAGATGAAGCAGCCCCTTCCCAGTCAGGCCCCACGTCTCAAAGGGATAGTCTTGTAACACCGGATCCAAACCTAAACGCAGGAGAGGAAAGCATTTGATCCTCTTTCTTTCATGAAACTGGCCCAGAAGTTTTGGAAAGAGCCATAGATCAATGGCAGGGCACTTGCTTGGCATGCAAAAGGCCCCAGGCTCAACCTTTGGCATATTCAGTTAGGAGGTGGGTGGGGAACCAATTTTTTTAAAGCCCGGGGATCCTTTTTGGGTAACCATGCAAGGGTCACATGCCAGTGGTAGGCTGAAAAGTGGCAGGAGCAATGAATGTCATTTTTACTTTTGCATAGTAGGTTAGTTTCCAAATACACTCACACAGGCCCCCCCCCGCCCCCCCATCTTCCATCCAGGCATGCAAGAAGCATTATCTGAGTTTTATGACTCTGTTTTCTACAGCTGATAACAAATTTGGCAAGGCTTACAGAATCTCATATTTTAACTTTGAAATCACATGTTTGGGGGAGTCTTGGGAAGGGAGCAGAAGAGAGAAAGACGTAGTCAAACATCATGCGGCCACAAATATTTTTATGGCTTTGGTTTCTTCCCCAAAATCAGAGATGGGGAAGCTGTCCTCCTCAAAATCTAGTGCGACTACAACTCCCATCATCCCTGACTGTTGGCCATGCTTTGGGAGGTGGGGGTGGCCGATAGGAGTTGGAGTCAAACAGCAGATGAATTAGCAGCTGTGATTTTTTTGCCTTTGCTGGTTGTTGCATTTTAAATTGCAATGACCCGCACTGAAATCAGTAGTGAGGAGGAGGAGGAGATTAATTCTTTAAACTAACACTTCTACAAGGCCAAGGTTCCACGTCCCTGCCCTAAATCTAATTACCATATTTTTCGCTCTATAGGACGCAATTTTTCCCCTCCAAAAATGAAGGGGAAATTTGTGTGCATCCTATGGAGCGAATGCAGGCTTTCACTGAAGCCTGGAGAGCGAGAGGGCCGGTGCCCACCTACCCCTCTCGCTCTCCAGGCTTCAGGCAGCTATCTGCAAGCCTCGGAGCACTCCGAAGGCTTGTGGATGGCAGCCTGCAGCCTGAAGCCCGGGGAGCGCAGCGCTAACTGCCGCTGCACTCCCCAGGCTTCAGGCAGCTATCTACAAGCCTTCTGAGCCTGGCAGGAGTTCCCGCTGCGCTCAAGGGTTGTGGATAGCCTGTTCTGGGGGCTGGGGTCAGGGGAAGCCCCCGTCTCCAGCCCCACAGGCTCCTGGACGTGTTCTGGGGGCTGGGGTCAGGGGAAGCTCGGGCTTCCCCCACCCCAGCCCCGCGGCTAAAAACGAAGCCGCTCGCAACCTCTCCCGGCTGGAGAGTTTGCGCATGGCTAAAGAGGAAGCCAAGACAGCCAGCGGGATGGATCCCGCTCGCTGTCTTGGCTTCTTTGCTCTTTGGGGCTGGGGGGGGGGAAATAATTCCCCCCCCCTTTATTTCCCCCCCCCTAAAAACTAGGTGCGCCCTATAGAACGAAAAATACAAATTACAGCTGTTTTATTTTAAATGGTTGTGACCTGTCCTGAGATTATTATTATTATTAACTACCTTTCATTGTAAGATCTCAGGGCAGGATAAGTGAGAAGTGGATAGAATGCTGAACTTCATTTGTGGCAACCCACTCTGCAACCTGCTGGTGATAATAATTTATAATAATAATAATTTATTATTTATACCCCACCCATCTGGCTGAGTTTCCCCAGCCACTCTGGGTGGCTCCCAATCGAGTGTTAAAAACATACAGATAGCCGAGTAATAAATTGATTAACAGTAACTGTTGTGACGTGGGGTTTGTGATTTCAGCTCTCCTGATATAACATGCTGGAGACAGTTCTCTAGTAACACTACTTTATTAAAGCAACAAGACTGACGACTGGGGAGAGGAAAGCTACATTTATAGGGACAGGGAACTAGCAAGAAAGGATACATTTTGGAGGGAACAATATCAGGCAATCACAGTCCTGCCTTTTGGAGGGAACCAATAAGACAGAGGATCCAAATACAGCAGCTTAAATGAACCAATAGTAGCTGTACCCTCTGGAACCAAAAGGCAGTTACTTTACCCTAATGCAAATACAGACAATAATAATACAGATATAAAATCCTTTGACTCAATACACAACACCCCTTCCCCCCTAGTGAGCACAGCAGACGTAATCTCTCAGGTACTGTGGGGGCCTACAACTTCTACTTGATCTCCTGACAACAGGTGTTGCAGGTTCTGAATTGGGTGTTACCTGTGGTAGAGGGGCTGCTCTAGGGGTTTCGTCAGGAACAGATGGAGTCCCCGACATCTCAGGGTCCCCTATCTGTACCTCGTCATCGTGAGGACTAGCAGACCCTGGTTCATTTGTTAAAGCCCCTGGTGATTGCACCTCTGTGCCATTTTCACTCTGGTCTTGCAGCTCTGCGTCGTTAGCCAGGGATGAATTATCTGGCTCCTCCCTGCTGAGCGCCCGGCGCCTCAGCTGATCTATATGTCTCTTCCACACTTGCCCATTTTCCAAGGTCACATAATAGGACACAGGTCCACTAGCCCGGGTGACCACACCAGCCACCCACCGCGAACCTCGTGAATAGCTCCTCACCCAGACCAGATCTTCAGGGGCGAGATACCTTGTTGTGTCAGTCTCAGCCTGGGGGGTTGCTCTTGAATTATGGTTTGGCATTTTATCCGGGTGGACATAATCCAGCACCGTTACCAGTCTCCTACCCAAGAGCAGCTCAGCTGGCGACTTGCCCGTTGCGGTACACGGCGTCGCATGCTGCAAAAATAACATTCGCGCGATGCGAGCTGACCAGTTACCCTCCATTAAGCGCGCAATGGATTCTTTGGCTGTTCTTACCATGCGCTCAGCCTGCCCATTGGAGGATGGGTGAAAGGGCGCGGATGTGACCCCTCTTATGAAGTTATCAGCCAAGAATGCCCTGAATTCTTGGGATACAAAAGCTGCCCCATTATCTGATACAATGGTCTCAGGTAACCCGTGGGTTGCAAACAGCTGCCTCAACACCTTGATGACGGCAGCTGATGCCATGCTAGGGACCATCGCCACTTCTAACCATTTGGAATATGCATCAACGATAACCAAAAAGACCTTTCCTTGGAATGGCCCAGCAAAATCTAAGTGCAGCCGGCTCCAGGGAGATCTGGACTGCTCCCACCAGTGGACTGGTGCTCTGGCCACTTCCGGCCGCACCTCTTGGCATGCCTTGCATGTTCGTACCCATTGTTCTATGTTCTGGTCCATTCCAGGCCACCACACATAACATCGGGCTAGCGACTTCATCCTGACCATTCCCGGGTGTCCCATGTGAAGCGTCTCAAGAACCCTGTTTCTCAGTGGTGCTGGGATGATGACCCTATCTCCCCACAGGAGACAACCCTTATGCATGGACAACTCGTGCTGCCTAGTCGCATAAGGCCTGAATTTGTCTTCATGCGGACCACCTGGCCACCCCTCCCCACCCAAGTGAGCACACGGGAGAGAACAGCATCTTTCCTCGTTTTCTCAGCTATATCAGTAGCCGTTACAGGAGCCCCGGAAGTGTTTCCAGCATCATTATGTGCTCCGCTCGAGCAGGATCCTCAGTGCTCCCGCCAGGAAGGGGCAATCGACTCAGCGCATCCGCGTGGCACAACCGTTTTCCCGGCACATGGGTCAAGGTGTACTGGAACCCGTTCAGGAATATAGACCAACGTAACATTCTGGGGGAGAGAATTTGTGGCGTTTGTTTGTTCGGGTTGAACAACCCTAACAGTGGCTTGTGGTCCGTTTCAATGTAGAAATGGCGACCGTACACATAATCATGGAACTTTTTGATTCCTGCCACAATTGCAAGCGCCTCTTTGTCAATTTGAGCATAGTTGCGCTCCGTGGGCGACAACGTACGGGAATAGAAAGAGATGGGCTTTTCCGACCCATCCGGTTCCCTATGACTTAGCACCGCCCCAGGCCGTATTGAGAGGCATCACATGCCAGGACCAGAGGCTTTGACTCGTCATAATGAGCAAGGACACTCCTGCTACTCAGCATTCCTCGCAAGGAGTCAAAAGCCTTCTGCTGCCCCTGCCCCCATCGCCACACATTCTTTTTCTGCAACAGTCTATGTAATGGTTCAGCTACCGAAGCTTTCTGGGGTAAGAACGAATGATAAAAGTTAATAAGTCCCAGGAATGACTGCAACTCCGTCTTGTTCTGTGGTCGTGGCGCCTCGATGATGGCCTTAATCTTAGCATCTGTGGGGTGGATGCCTGATGCATCAATTTTAAACCCCAAGAAATCCACAGTTGGCACCCCAAAACTGCATTTTTCCTTTTCAGTTGCAACCCCACCTCCTTGAACTTGAGCAACACTGCACGAACACGCGCAACCAGTTCCTGTGGGTCTTTTCCAGCAATCAAAACGTCATCAAAAAATGGCAAGACCCCCGGCAGACCTCTTAACAGGTGTTCCATGAGCCCTTGAAAAATCCCTGGGGCCACACAAACTCCAAATTGTAATCTGTTAACTCTGAACGCCCCTTTATGTGTGACAATAGTCTGTGCTTCCGCTGATTGTGGGGTTACTGGCAGCTGTTGGTAAGCTTGTGCCAGGTCAATTTTGGCGAACACCTTGCCCCCAGCCAGTTTAGCCAACAGATGTGATACGACTGGAATGGGGTATGAGTTTCCCTGAGTGCCTTATTGATAGTACATTTGTAATCTGCACAGATCCTGACTTCCCCATTTGCTTTAAGGGGCGTGACGATTGGAGTCTCCCACTTAGCAGAGTCCACGGGTGAGAGAACTCCCTGCTTGACCAATTTCTCCAGCTCTGCTTCGATCTTGGGTTGCAGTGCAAATGGCACTCGCCTTGGTTTGAGTCGGATTGGGGCCACCCCAGGGTCCAACTCGAAGTCAACTGGGGGCCCTTTATAACAACCCAGTTTTCCATTAAAGAGACCAGCAAATTCTTTGCATAATGCCTCGCTCATCTCAGGGCAGGTTTGGATTGAATTAAGCCCTGATATACTCAGTCCTAGGGCGGAGAACCAGTCAGTGCCCAGGAGACTGGGGCGACTGCCCTTCGCAATCACCAGTTTGAGTACAGCCTGTTTGTCCCGGAACTGTACTCTCACGGCACACATTCCCATAACATGGATGCGGCCCGCTGAGTATAACTGCAAGGTTGCCGGGAAGGGTTCCAGAGGGGGCAACTTACCCCTGGGGAAGAATGTCCTTGCGGTCTGGTCCGACACGATAGTGAATCCAGATCCGGAGTCCACCTCCATGTCGCACTGCTGACCCTCAATCTTCACCTTGACGTGTGCCTTGCCTTGTGCTGGGAACTGCACGACCCTCCCGTTGATCTCCGTAACGTAGTGGCAGTCCTTTAGAAAATGGGTTGCTGCGGGCGGTCTGCGATGCTCCGGTCTAGGTGCTCCTGTCGCTCCCAACGCCGCCGATCTACAGACCCTGGCGATGTGACCTGTCTTCCCGCACGTCCGGCACATAGCATCCCGGAAACAACAACTCTTCCGCTCATGGTTTCCGCCACAACCTGGGCACCTGCCTCGGTGATCTTTGTGCACTGTGCAGGCCTGACTCACTGACTCGACCCCACGGACTGGGCTCTGGCTCGGAGTAGCCTCTAGCTCGTCCATGGCATGCGCAACTTCTATCTGTGGCTTAGGGGCCTTGCGACTGGCATCAAGCTCCTCTCTTTCATAATTCTCCGTGGCGGTGGCCTCTTTCAAGGCTGAAGCAAGGGTAACCTCTTCTTTAGCCACGATGCGTCTTCTGGCCTTCTTGCTGCTCAGACCACCGATAAACCGATCCAGGAGAGTCTCTTCCAGATTTTGGAAGTCGCAGTGCTGAGCGAGCTTCTGCAGTCCAGCCAGAAATGCAGATACAGACTCCCCAGCATGCTGCTGCCTCTTATGAAACTCCATCCGCCGAGCCATCTTGGTCTCAGTAGGCGCCAAGTGGCTTGTCAGGCCGGCAAGAATATCTTTGAGAGATGTCTCACTTAGCTTCACTGGAGCAAGCAATGCCTTGGCCAGCTTGAAGGTCTCAGGCCCACAGTAGCTCAGGAATGTGGCCCTTCTTTTGCTTGCATCGGTGATCCCTTGAGCCTCTGCGAAGAACTCAAAGCGTTCGACGTAGTCTTCCCACGTGTCGGGCTCTGATGGCTGGAAGGGCTCCAATACCCTTGGACTCTCCATTGTCCTGTGGCAGGGTCGTCTTCTCAGCTGGCCAGTGAGTCTTGTTCTTAGCTGCAATCCGGACTCTGAGGCAGGGCTGCGTTTAACCGCTCCTCAGCATTCCGGATCCCATCCTCGTCGCCAGTTGTTGTGACGTGGGGTTTGTGATTTCAGCTCTCCTGATATAACATGCTGGAGACAGTTCTCTAGTAACACTACTTTATTAAAGCAACAAGACTGACGACTGGGGAGAGGAAAGCTACATTTATAGGGACAGGGAACTAGCAAGAAAGGATACATTTTGGAGGGAACAATATCAGGCAATCACAGTCCTGCCTTTTGGAGGGAACCAATAAGACAGAGGATCCAAATACAGCAGCTTAAATGAACCAATAGTAGCTGTACCCTCTGGAACCAAAAGGCAGTTACTTTACCCTAATGCAAATACAGACAATAATAATACAGATATAAAATCCTTTGACTCAATACACAACAGTAACAACATACTGTAAATTCTGTAAACAAACACATCTGGAAGACAAGGCTTCTCTATCCCTGTCCTAAATCTAATTAGAATTTTATTTTTGCAAACAAATGAGGACTTGGCTGATCTCTCTTCCTCTTCCCAGCCACCCCCATAGTTTTCCAGTTCTGTTTCCTTCAGGGCCAGATTTAGGTTTGATGAGGCCTTAAGCTACTGAAGGTAATTGGGCCCTTTATATGTCCAGTTGTCCTTTGTCAACAACAAATTGTCACTGTTTTTTGTGTTGAATATATGCTATATCTTAATTCATGGACCCAATAGGTATCTAAAGCCATTTGGACATAACAAATAGGAGCCTACACAACACAAACCACTGTTGCTGTATGTAGGTTTTACTTTGTTTTTTATCTTATATTTTGGAAATGTACATCCAGTGTGTTTTTTTCATAAACTTTTTTTTTCGGGCCCCCAAGAGAGTGGGAACCTAAGCTACAGTTTGTTCAGCTTATACGTAAATCTGGCACTGGTTTCCTTGCTCTCCCAGGGCTGCAAATTTGGAAAGAGAAGCCAGAAGAGGGCAAAGGAGGAGGAGAAAGCCATGTCCGACAGCTACTTCCAGATCCTTTCCTTACCTCTCCAGTCAACACATGGAAAAATCAGGCATGTTGTGGCAATCACAACACTGTTTGGGGGAGTGGCTTCTCCTCCCACTCCATTGAACACGTAGTAACCGCCCGGCCAGGTAAGAAGGGCCTGCCCTGAGCAGGAATGTGCTTCATTCCTGTGGGCAAAGAGGTCGGCTCTTATTCACTTCTGCCATCTCTGTCATAGTTGCAGTTTTAGCTCAGATTTACACCTCCTGGTTCCTACCAGTTCCTCGAGTATGGGCCAGCCTGGAGTCCCATGAAGGCACAATAGGCGGATACAGCACCCTCCCAGCAACATACAGCTGTCCAATTTAAAAAGATTCCCCCAAAGTTCAGCTCTCCCTCTCACCTCTCATCCAGGCCACCACCATCTTAGTATTCCAGGTGGAGATGGGATCCATGTTCCAAGCCCTGGCTTAGTCCCTTCTGGACACTCCTATTCGAGGAATATGTTTCCGTTCCAGGGAAATCACGGATGAAACTCAAGACGCACCTGCAGGTTCCAGCAGGTAACTCCCAGCTGGGTTTCTGGTTGGTCCGCCCACTTGTCACTCGGCAGTAAAGCCCTCCTTCTCTAAAACGTTGGATTCTCTAAGACAGTTAGTAAATGTTGTTCAGCTGTCCCCCTTTGGGGAATTGGGAAAGGTAGAGGGGGCAGTTCACCCCCGTTCAAAGAAGCTCTCATTCTCCAGTCCTTGGGTGCTGATAACCTTTTGGCTGCTGAGAAGGCACACACTCCCTCCTCATTTTCGAGCGTCTGATTCAACAGGATGCCACACAAACCAGTTTCACCGCCTTGTCTAACTTCCTTAAAGGTACAGTGCATTTATCACTCTGAAGTTTGCCTGGAAAGGTAAACCTGCAGTCTTATACACGCTTATGGGAGAGCAAGTCCACCTAAAATATGCAGGGATATAACTTCTCAGTAAACACACAGTGAAGAAAAGGGCTGCGTAGGGTCTTTCTGCACAAAGAGGTATGCCATTTATCATTTGCACAATTGGCCCAGTTGGCCCTGGCGAGTGATTCATGGTATTGAAAATATTCCTGAACCGCCCTTCATCAGAAGACTTCAGGGCTGGGTGCAAAACTGAAACAATGCACACAACATAAAAAAGCAGAAAATGAAAAACAAAATTCTAAACACATAAAATGGGAGAATATTTTTACTTGTTTACATTTATATCCTGCATTTCCTACAAGGAGTTCAAGGTATGGCTCTCTTCTCCATTTTTATTCTCAAAACAACCCTGTGAGGTAGGCTAGGCTAAAAGACAGTGACTAGTCCAAAGTCACCCAGTGAGTTTCATGGCTGAGTTGGTATTTGAAGCTTGGCCTCACAAGTCCTAACCACTACACTACATTGGGTCTCACAAAAGCTGAAGGAGCAGTTCTGCCTAAAATTCTATCTAAAATTCCTGGTCAAATAGCAAAGATTGTAATGTTGGTGTCAGACAATTTTTTTTTTTAAAAAAATCATTTATTTTCCACATCACCATCAACATTCATATTGTACCCCACTGCTCTCCATTGGCATTTATTTCATCCATTTCTCACATGGAAAAAGGTAAAGGAATAGTGTCTGGCACATCAGTGAACTGGAGACAAAACCTGTGGCTGGTGACCATTAACCATAGACAGTCAAGCCAGCTCCTACCTGCATATCTTCCTGGGAAGGAATACAGGAAGCTGCCTTATACCAAGTCAGATGCTTTTCCAAAGTCAGAATTCAAGTCTAGGGTTTGCATGTTCTCAGGTAATTTCTCTGTGCCTTTACTGCTAAGCAGTAGCACTCAAGTTTGCTAATCCTAACCAGGCAGGCCTGGCTCTACCATTAGGCAAGGTGAGGCAACTGTTCCAGGCAGCAGGTGTGGAGGGGACAGCAGCAGCAGCTCCTGGCTCCTGTTCTTTGGTTATGCTAGAAGAGATAGCCAAGTATAAAACCAGGTGATAAGATACAGCTCTTGAAGGCTTCCCATCCCTGAGCTCAATGCAAACAAAATCCAGAAGTATTCATTGTGTTTGCAAATACTACAGAGCTGAAATTGCAGTGGTGATTTTACATTATGGCATGTTCATCTTAAAATCAGGGTAATCTGAGGATTTTAATCACTTGGATGCAAACTCTTGAAATCTGAAAGTTATGTTACAAAAATAGGTAAAGGTAAAGGTACCTCTGACCATTAGGTCCAGTCGTGGACAACTCTGGGGTTGCGGCGCTCATCTTGCTTTACTGGCTGAGGGAGCCGGCGTTTGTCCGCAGACAGCTTCTGGGTCATGTGGCCAGCATGACTAAGCCGCTTCTGGTGAACCAGAGCAGTGCACGGAAACACTGTTTACCTTCCCATCGGAGCGGTACCTATTTATCTACTTACACTTCATGTGCTTTTGAACTGCTAGGTGGGCAGGAGCAGGGACAGAGCAACGGGAGCTCACCCCCGTCATGGGGATTCTAACTGCCAGCCTTCTGATCGGCAAGCCCTATGCTCTGTGGTTTAGACCACAGCGCCACCCGCACCCCTTGGTTACAAAAATATGTTGCGGCAATAATTTCAGAGCTGCCAATGCCTACAGAGTAGTATTTTAAAATAAGGAAAGAAAGAAACCTGCACATGATCAAATAATGATCTTCAAACTTTTCAGTGCTGGTGTGAAGATGAGCTCTAATCACCGCTAGAGGGAGATAAATTAGCAGACAAAGAATGCCAGAGATCTACTCATCACTGAAGACATCACTGCATGCATAGCTACGTATCTATGCTGTTACATCATGGAATAATTCTTCAGTAATTTCTGTGTCAAAGTTGAGTTGCTGGATTGCTTTCAAGAGGATTAGCAAATTCATGAAGGGTCAAGCTATCAATGGGCAGTAGCCACAACAACTGTTTTCTACCTCCACTGTCAGAAGAGGCACACGCCCCTGAATACCAGGTGCTGGGACTCACAAGTGGGGAGTGTTGCTGTTGCACTCAGCTCCTGCTTGTGAGCTTCCCATCAGCATCTGGTTGGATTTAGGATTCAGGATTAGATGGGTCATTGACCTGATCCAGCAGAGCTCTTCTTATGTTCTTAATTGTTTTCTGCAGGTTATTGCCACTAAAAGCATCAGAGCAGGACCAGTGAAAAGAAAAGTTGGTGACCACATTGCTACATTTTTTTTGCACTATGCCTTAAAACACGTTCAAAGCACATTCTTTCCCTCAAAGAATAATGGGCACATTCCCCCTTAATATGTACATTTTTGTTAACATTGCTTGGAGAACTGCATCGTACAATAAGTGTGAATTTCAAAGGATGGCTGTGTTTTGGTTCTCATGTTGTTTTGAGAAGTGTACAATTTAAATGCAAACTGAATCAATATCCCTTGGAAACAGAATGGTCCTTTTTGAATTATTATAATTTTTTGAATGCAGGTCAAGGCAGAGAATTGTGAACTGGCTGAAGGTGAAGTACCTTTCTCAGAGAATTTTGTATGCTCTATTGGATTCAAAGTGTCTTCTGAGACTCTCTTCAAACTTCTCTTGCAAGGGCTCCAACATCAAACTGCATGAGCAGCATTGCTGTTCATCATACCACCTTGCAGTTCCACTCAGGGGAAATGCAATCCCACAGCTAACACCAGTGTGAAACATAAAAACCAAGTTCTGCAAACAGCGAGAAGTTTCAGGGGGAAGCTGGTTTCCTTTGCCAGGAGGTCGCTGCAATCTTGTCAGCATTCTGCAATATTTGTGTTTATTTACAAATATACAGGTGGAGCACAGCTGAAGATGAAGCTTGCACATTCCAAGAGACAGTCAACAATCCATAGGAGAAGCTGACCTTATACTGACTCAGATCAGTGGTCCATGTAGTTCAGTACTGCCTACACTGACAGGCACGGACTCTCCAGGCTTTGAGGCACAGAGTATTTTCCAGCCCTACCTGGTGATACTAGGATTGAACCTGGGACCACTGAGCTACATCCTTTTCCTGGTGCTCCTTCGTAGCTTCTCTAGGGAACCGCTAGCATCCCCACAGTTCTGAGCCTAAACCTCAGTTCTGTGTCCTTCTCCAAACTGTAGCCTATTGTTCTTTGTTTTCACACCAATTTGTTCTCTTCCTCCTGACTGGCATGGATGGGTATCCGGATGAGTAATCTCTTCTGACAACCGTCTTGCCTTATTAGAGTCCCAAGAAGACAAAGCTCCAGAATCGGCTATCAGCATTCATTTGTCAACTTTCAGGAAGCTGCCCACATATTTGCCTTGGGGCAGCCTACACCGATAGTCCTGTTTGGAAAAATCTGATAGAAACGGCACACACATACACTGTATTTTTCTGGTTTTGACATTTTGCAAACAGCCCTGGAATTTTTCACAAAGAGCAGGAAATCAGGGGAAGGGCACCTATGACCTACCAGGTGTTGTTAGACCACAACTCCCACAATCTCTGGCTGAGGCTGACAGGAATTGGAGTCGAGCAGCATCAGGCAGTGATGGCTAGTGCCTATTAGGGCTGGCAGGGTAGAAGGCAAGGAGACAAACATTAGGTGGAGCCAGAGCCAGTGACAGGCAGAGCCAGCTACTTCTAGTTTTTCCCTTATCCTCTTCTTTGCTGAGTTCTACAAGGACAACACTGCATCTAAGGCAGAGCAAGCAATGGGCACCTTCTAGACTGGTTTTAAGAAGACATACAGGTGGGTGCTGGCTAAGGGCTGACAGGTCAGTGGGGAAGTGCCCCATTTGCCCTGATAGACTAGCGTCCAATCAGTCAAATTTGATGTGGGGCTGGCAGATCTGCAGCCTGTTTTAGGAATCACTTTCAGTGCCCTCTTCTTGTACATTGGTGCATGAAACAAATATTGCCAAGAGACCAGAGGTTGCCTCAGAGCTCTCATCCAAAGACAGTTAAACCCTATTCACTGCTACCCTGGGCTGCTCACTGCCCAGAGAAGTGGGGGTAAATATAACAGAAGGCAGATGTTGCCTCCGTGCTTCCAAGATCATTTCACAGTAATTATCTTTTGCCCCACCTTATTTGGGGAAGATGACCAGGGGCCAGCAGATTAACAGGAAGCAGAGCATCAAGATAATCGCCTGTGATTTATTTCAAGCAACTGTATGGCTCAAAGTAATCTGCAGCTGGTCCATTGATTGGAGCTGGTGGGTTTCCTCTCTGTATGTAGACTGGAGTTGTTTCAAAATATTTCACAGTGTAGGGCCTAGGCATAACTGGCTAAATATTTGATGCTGATGAACTGTCACTCCAAAACTCATGCCACTTGCAATGAATAGGTTCCACAATTGAATCCCCTTACAAAATTCTGCAAATTTTTTTGAAGTTATGGACAGGACAGGAACATTCATCACTTTTTGTCTATGCCTGGCAGTCCCTAGGTTACATTACTGCCTCACATTATATGTAGGGCTGCCTTTAAAGATGGCTCAGAAACTTCGGCTGGTGCAGAATTTGGTAGTCAGGTTACTCACTGGGGCAAGGCATTATGAGCATATTGCACGGATCTTGACCTGACTGCACTGACTTCCAATTAGTTTCCAGACAGACTCTGGTAGTATGATTATGACACCCATATTTCTTACTTTCACAACAATTTCTTTTGGTACAGTTGCTTTTTAATGGATCTTCTCAGCAGGTACCTGTATAAGTGTAGGTTGTTGTTGTTGTTGTTTTGCGCTCCACGGCACGATGTCCTGTGCAGGGGAACTGCCCATACCACCGTAAACCCAGCGCTGTTCAAAGTGCTGGTTTTGACCTACAGTATAAAGCCTTAAACAGCTCAGGACCGCAATACCTGAAGGAGCATCTTGCCATAGGCATTTGATTGGTCACTGTGAGAACAAGATGCTAGACTAGAAGAGCCTTTGGCCTGATTCTGCAAGGCTCTTTTTATGCTTTTATATTCAGTATGCTTATATATTCAGTTAAAAAAAAGTTGGAATGAAAAAAATACATTTCAGAGGACGATGGATGCATCTTTAGGTCACCTCCCCATCTTTACACTCACTGACCTTTCCCACAATGCATCTGCTTTAGGTGGCAACCTTGTGAAAGCACCCTTTGTTGGTAAGGCCTACAGGTACAAAAGCCTGTGTTGTATGGTTATAGCCACATTTTGGAAAGACTTAAAAGATGCAAACTTTGAATACTTGGCATAAGGCGTATTGCCATTATGGAATAGTATTGTAGCTGCACCCGCTGAGACTAGCAAGAGGAACGAAGCACAAATACATCTTTCCTGGAGAATGGCAGAGCTTTATTTAGTTTGGAAAACCAAAGACCAGTTCCAAAGGTTTCTACTCACTTGTAGATCACATAAAGAGCATGTTTTACAGTTGTATACTGTTATAAATCCTGGTGTATATATGGGAATGCTGACTTCCATAATGTACTTTAGGGGGTTCTCCAGGGAAAACTCCATTGGGTTTGTTGGGTTATCTTTGTTTCTCAGACATATATGCACATGATTTTGAAAATAATAAAATTAGAAGAGGAAAGGCCAGCTTTGAAATTTTTGCTGCATCGGAGTGGAACTTGGTTCTCCTTGGATGGTGCGAGCAGCACAAAGCCCTCACAAGTTTTCTTTCCGCAACCAAAGCCGACTCCTCTTCACACGTGGATAGCGTGCGGTCGGCAGAGCAGCAGGCACTGATCTCTTGTGACAGCTGCTCCTGAGGCTGGCTGCGGAAGGGATCGTCATCGGGCAGCAATGGGAGGAGGGCAATATTTAAGCGCTCCCGTAACACACTTGCCCGACTGTACTGCTGGAACGCGGCACACAAGGATCCAGAAGCTGGTGAGTGGTGGGATGAATGCTTATGAATATCACCCTTGCGTCTGAGTAAAAAATGAACAAGATGTGAGCAGGGCAGGCTGAAGAATGGGGAAGATGGTTGGGAGCAATGGGGGAATGTAGGACGATGTTCCACCGTGCACCGCTGTGACCCAGGGAGTTGCCCTGCAGCAGGCGACTGATGTGGCTGAAATGTGAATTGTATTTACTTAACTCTAAAACAGTCCGTGCAGTTAGCCCTTAGCAATGGTGGGCACTCCACAATTCATTGATTGCCAACTGGGCTACCTGTAGACAAGATCTATAGACAGTTCCACAGTTTCAGTGGGTGTTTGCTGCAACCTCCTCCTCTTCCTCTTCTTCCTCCTTCTGTTCTTGGTCACCATGTTCTAACGAGCTCTTTCCCCTTCCTCCCACAGCCTGAATCAACTTAAAATAACTGTACAAAGCTACGAGGGAGGAATCAGAGGGGGGAAAGGTGACAGCAACCTATCCTTTCTCTCACTTGCTCTGGGCTATGATCTTCCGCCTGAAGTGTTTAACCCCAGGGTACTTCCGCCTCCTACAAGTAAGCTCAATACTTCTTACCTTGCGGAGTGTTAGAATATTTTAAAGTCTGTGATCTTGAGCAGAATCAGCTCCAAAGTAGCGTATTCAGTGGTGTGGTTAGGTAATTTTAGACTCTGAATGAATTGTTACCCTGCCCTTTTGACACCTGCGATGTATATTTGCAGGACCCATCCTATTTTTTGTGGTTGCATTTTGTGATTTTAAGTTACAATTATTTTATTAATGTTGTGTTTTAAATTGATGTAACCTGCCCTGGGTCCTTAGGGTGAAGGGTTGGCTAATAATAATAATAATAATAATATGGGGAAACTCTTTAGATCTCAGGTGGAGAACCTGTGGCCTTGCAGCTGTTGCTGGATTACAGTTCCCATCATTTCTGACCATTGGCCATGTTGGTTGGAGTTGATGGGATATGGAGTCCAACAACATTTAGGAGGGCATAGATGGCTAGCAGCCATGGTTTGTCAGTTAATGCTAACCCTGCCCCACACCTGTTCGCACTCTTGGGTCATCTTTTCACCAAGTGCCAAGTGCCAGATTCTATCAAGCCAAGTTCTTGTCGATAAGTGGTTTCACCACTTTCCAGTTCCTAGCAATTTCAAGGTGTGCCGCAACTAAACCTTTGGAGAGCCTTGAGTTTTTCAGTCGATGCATTCACTGAGAACTTGCCATGATCCATCCACTGAGTAGCCAAGGAACACTTAACACCGAAGCTCAGTGGGGGCTTACTTTCACGTAAAGATGCAGTTAGAAGGGTTGCAAGCTCTCCGAGCTAGGTCTTATCTCTGTCTTAACCAGAAATTCATCGATTGCGATGGAACTTGTTTCACAGCAACAGATACGTATCAACAGTGAGGATCATTTTAGTTTTGCAGCTGACAAAAAGTGACCATAGGCTGCTGCCACTTTGAGCTGGGGAACACCTTGTTTAACCTTATCACCTCTGGCTGTTCTGCTTTATTGTACAAAAGCAGCTATCTCCCAGCTTCTTTTCCTTGGGGAACAAAAGAGGTAAGAGCCATAGCTCAGCCACAGAACATTTGTTTTTCAAGCAGAAGGTCCCAGGCTTGATCCCTGGTGTCACCTGGGAAAGATTGTGGTTTGAAATCCACTATGGACAAGGCACAGCTAGGTGGACCAATGGTCTGACTCTGTTTAGGGGAGGGGGCACTAGCTCAGCAGTTGAGTGCATGATTTGCCTGCTGAAGGTCCCAGGTTTGACCCCCAGGTAGGCCTGGGAAAGATCCTGTCTGAAATCCTGGAGAGATGCTGCCAGTTAGTGTAGACAATACTGATCTAGATGGACCAGTGATTTGAAACAGTGTAAGGTGGCTTCCTACATGAGCGTGTGGGGCGGGTGAATGGGGAAGCAGCATTATTCTCCACCCCCATTAAGAAATTGGCCTTCCTTAGCCTAAATCCCACTTGCACATCTTCTGACATCCAGCTTCCATAGATTTTTTTTTAAAAGCCTGAATATTAACTTTGCACTCTTATTAAGTTAATATGAATATTAACTTAACACCTGCACACCTGCCTTCAAACCAGGTTGCCAGTTTAACACTCCAAGCTCACGTGAACAAGAGCTGGCTAGCAACATGCATCTCTTAGATCACACTGCCTGCCGAACAGAGCTGTGTGTTTCTGGGCAGGGGAGGAGAGGGGAGGATGCTGCGTATGGCGGAGCCACGTGAGGAGATGCTGGCTGGTTCATGCAAAGCTCTGCTGTGCTGGAGACTGCACTTAGTTTAACCATACTCTAGGGTACCCAAATGGAATTTTCAGCATCATCAAAAAGGAATAGATCCACTGGCTAATCCTACACTTGGTACCTGTCCCTGGTACACAAGAGACATTTGGGGAACTGCTGAGAATACCTTTTTAAAGCGTTATTAGTACAAATACACACAAAAACTCTCTCACTACCACCATCTCTCTGCCAAACATGCCAGGCAGCTTTCAGATTTCTGCCTCCCTCCGTCAGGTTTCTAGAAATTAAGGTTGCAATCCTGTACTCACTCCCCTAGGAATAAGCCACACTGGGACTTGCTTTCGGATAGACCTATAAAGGATCATGCTGTAAATTTCTGGTTCTTGGCTGTAGTGTGCATGCGCATGAACTCACAATGTGTGTGCAGTCTCCTCCACCACTTACCTGGCTGGCAAGCGTGGCTGATTTGCTTGACCTGCAGGCAAGGTCCATTGCAAAATTAAACACGCAACCCTATTTCTCCCCCGAGTGTCATATAAGGAAACAGCTCTAATCACTTAATTAACACAGAATTGCTCCAGCAGCCTGTGTAATATCAGCTACTTCAAAGTTAATGATGTACAACTAACCAAGATGACAATCCCTGAGGCAAACTCTTCAGCAAAGTTCCCTGTTTGCTAGGATGTCGAGAGAGGGTGTGCCTTAAGTCTAAACTGGTGGTGCACAATGCAGAAGGTATGGTCTAGTTTGCCAAAACACAGTGTAAAAGTAAACAAAGAAAGGCTCGTTCTTGGAAAGGGATTTAGCAATTGTTAGCTACTGGAGCGGTTTCTTCCATCAGATGTCAAGGAAATAAACAACTACTGTACCTGACTTTTAGAAAACATCTGAAGGCAGCCCTGTTTAGGGAAGTTTTTTATGTTTGATATTTTATCGTGTTTTTAATATTCTGTTGGGAGCCACCCAGAGTGGCTGAGGATGCCCAGCCAGATGGGCGGAGTATAAATAATAAATTATTATTATCAATCATTAAAAAAAGGTAGAGGGTTAAAACAAAACCAAAAAGCTGAAAAACCTCTCTCCCGCTGCCTAAAAATGTAATTTGTAATACAGTATCGTATTTTGGTGTTGGGGTATAATTCATAGTACGAAATTGACCAATTTGCACTATACAAATGCTGGGTTTGCTTTTGACATTCTAAGGCAGCGATGGGGAACCCATGGCTCTCAAAATGGTGGCTACATTTCCCATCATCCCTGATCACTGGTCATGCTGAAGGAAGTTGGGAGTCCTGCAGCATTAGAAGAGCCCTGCTAGATGAGACCAAAGGTTCGCCTAGTTCGGTATCCTGTTCTTATGGTGGCCGACCAGATGGGAACAGGAAGCCTGCAAGTAGACATGAGGGCACCGCTTTTGATGCCCAACAACTCTGGAGAGCCACTGCCAGTCAGGATGGGTCAAGTGGCTCTGACTCCACCCTAGTTCTAAAGGTTTACACCTCAACTTTTCCATCCCTACAGATGCAACTGGCCAGTGGACTGGAGTCGGAACCTCAAGACCGGCTGATGAATCACCTGGCTTTACTGCTGGCCATTATGGGATTAAGCCTCTCCTATTACAGCGCCCGGCAAATGAGTGAAGAGACCAAACCAAATCCGGAACCTTGATGCTTGGGCTGCCAAGCAGCAGCTGCATGGGCCAAAGAGGATTCCAGGAACGCACAGAAAAGAAACAAGGTTGGAGAGAGACCCTGGCACGCACTCTGCGGCACAAGCAGCGTCCTTTAGGTATCCTGTGCATGCACCGGCTGGGTGGCTCACATTAGAAAACTCAGCGCCAACTTTCCTTGTTCTTTCACAGATGGTGTGTTGCTAGTGCCCCTTCTGGCCATGCTAGTTTCATTCTCTCCTCCTGGATCCTCCTGGTCAACTCAGCTATTGCCCAACTTGCTTCATTCTAGTTTCAGGGGGCCACTACCAGGGTCGCAGCCCCCTGCCCCAATTTACCCCTGGATCTGATCCTCATTCAAAGCCCAGAAATGGATTTAAACCAGGATGGCCATGCAGGAAGGAAGCTGAAGAGCTAACCTCATTGGTTGGGTCCAATATTGCCTTAGCTTGTCACAGGAAGCTTTCTGCCTGGGCATGTTAAGGTTGCCATCCAGGGGATGCAGCAGGGAATTATTATTATTATTTGACACTGTAAGAGAGTTGGGTCTTTTCTTCACAGGGGGTTAACAGCCACACATGGTGGCAGTTGAGCTGGTGTCACCTACTCACCCATCAGCAGGGGTGATCTTGCAGCCCAAAACCTTCCTGCTAAACACAACGGCCACCCCACTTGTTTTATGAAGCACTTGAAAGACGACATGCATTAAGTGATATAGCCCAACGGAGAAAAGGGGAAATTGCCAGTTTCTAGAGTATCAACAACTCAGCTGCTCGGTTTGTGAAGTCAGAAACCACCCTGTCACAGCAGAGCATGCAGGTCCTCCTCTTAGCATCGTTCTAAGCTGCTAGAGTGACATGCACACTCCTGCCAGTTGCTGCCTTAAAGCAGTTATGGCGAACCTTTTGGACCTCTAGATGCTGCTGAAGTACAACTCCACCAGCCCCAGCAAGCATGACCAATGGCTGTTGTTCAGCAACACCTGGAGGGCCAGATGTTCCCTGCATCTGCCTTACAGCATTGATCTTCAATGCGGTGTTAGGACCCTCATATGGGTACCAGCCTGACTTAAAGGGGCTGGAGCAGTGGTTAAGACAAGGATGGGGAACTTTCAGCTCAGAGGCCAAATGTCTGGCCCTCCGAACTCTCCCCAGGCTACACCCCTCCCTGGCCCTGCTTTACACCCCGGATTGTGTCCTAGAAATCTGATGAAGCCTCTCACTTGTCCGGATGGAAGATGTAGAGGGGTGTGTGCAGATACTGTACAAAAGTTAAAATTTGCATTTGTTGCTCTTCCCACTTCTGCCTCCAGCCCCGTCCACCACCAGCATGTGGCCCTTGGGAGCTTGCCCAGGAGAGAATGTGGCCCATGGGTCAAAAAAGATTCCCCACACTTGTTTTGAGAGAATAGGGAAGAGGGAGAAAGACGACATAGATCTACAGTAAGAAATTAAATATGGATCCTTTGTTACAGATGGAGGTTTAAAGGTGGGTCTTTTATAGACTAAGATTGAAGTCTTACACAATTCCCAAAGAAAAGGGGTTTATTCCTGGAGGGCCAGGCCCACCCCCTCACAGTATGTAGAGGGGCAGGGAGAAAAAGTCGGATGAGCATAATGCACTGCATTAAAAGGCAAGCGAATGTATTACAGACGGTTGAACGAGCGCATTTGCTGTCTGCTCCCTCCCCCTTGACTTGGCCAAAACAGTGCATCATGGGAAAACCAAAAGGAACTGCAGACTGCCCGTTACGTAACAGAATATGTGGCCAGACAGCTGTGTCCTACATCATGCCTTTCCATGAGCAATTAAGGAGAGGGGGATTTTTAAAGGCGCCCCATGGTTTGGGGTTGGGGAGGAGTTTCAAAGGGTGCAAAGGCGAGGCAGGTGAATCTTTCACCTCTGACAGGAAGATAATTGTTGCCTTCTGGAAGCTGCCGTTTACCAGATCAGAGTGGTTTTTGCATTTTGCCCAGTATTGTCTACTTTGACAGGCAGAGGCCCTCCAGAATCTCAGGCAGAGGCCTTTCTCATCACCTGCAATCCGCTGCTCCTTAAGCTAAAGATACCAGGGCTTGAACCCTGCATACAAAGCAGGTACTCTGCCACTCAGCTATGGCCCCCCGCCGTTAAATCTTCAACACCAAAATCTGCCCTTGTTCCTCCCTGGATTAGGCTCTTGCTAAGGCAGCTAGATCTCAAACATCACACTAGCCGATTCATCTGTCTCATACCAACAATGCTAGGAATAAACGTGTTGCACTGTGTACAATAAATCTCTGTTTTAAAGAGTGTTGCCTGTGTCATTCCTGGGAGCAGCTGTTTGCTACATGACCAAAGCCAGTCTTTTCTTAAGCAAGGGTGGGGAAACCCCAGGGGTCAAATGTGAACCTTCAGACCCTCTCTCTGTGCTCCTTGGGACCCTGTGCAGGCCCCTTCCCTCCCAAATCACAACAACAAACAACACAGAGTATCAGAGTTTAGAGACTTGCAACAGATTCCATGATCAGAGCCATAAACAAAGGCTAGAATAGTTCTTGACTCTGTGTCCCTCCTAAATAGCTAAGGGAGAGGCAGTAGTGGCGATTAAAAGCATCCCTCCCTCTTCTTCCAAAAGCCTTTTTGTATAGAGGCTTAATCTCTGCTGATCCACAGCAAATGATGTGCTTGTTTCAGCAGATGTCAACAGCTAAATGCGTTGCAGCGATATGCACAAATGGCTGTGGCAAAGGATTTATTTCTGCTCCTAGGATGCCAACCATTTATAGCAGGGGTTGGAAACCTTTGGCTAGCCAGGTGTTGTTGGGCTCCAGCTCCCATCAGCCCCAGCCAGTGAGGCCAAGGGTTGGGGATGATGGAAATTGTAGTCCAGAAATATTTGGAGGGCAGCATGTTCCCCTCCTGTGATTTCTAGGGTCTAAAAGGGCTAGCAATATATTGATTCAACAGGCATGACAAGACACACAGCGTATACAAGATGTTAGGGCCTGACTCACTCGATCACAGCAGTATTACGTTTAATGATACTTCCATATGGCCTAGAAAGTGGGCATGTAGTATACACCACAGTGTAACCCAAAATGATTCAATTACTTCCATACCACCCAGAAATCTGAAACTGGTACACAGTTCCATGCTTACCTAAATGAGATGTACATTTGCACTATCTCATTCAACCACCTAAATACCAAAAAAGGTTTTTAAAAAAACCACAAATGCATCCAGACCTTGCAACGTAATATTCCTTGTTGTAAGCTAGCAGACCATTTGTAAAGAATTATCAACTGATAATGTTACACAACTACCTATTTAAATGTCCACAGGACCCACACTTCAGAACTCTCTGTCTGTTGATTATCACTGATTTTTACTATGTTTTTAACGTTTCCACTTGTGGTTTTTAAAGAGTTTTTATTGATAATTTTATTGGTTTTTTCCTCTTTTTTGTAAACGACTTTGAGGGTTTCCCCCCCTTACAATCCAGTGGTATATAAATTTTTTTTCCTAACTAACTAACCAACCATCCTGTGGGAGCAAGTCCAAAGGTTTACTATGTGCGGTGTGAATTGCTCCCTTTCATCGAAACAAGCTAAGGTTGTTGGTGTGGGCATCTGTCTGTCTTGAGAGACAACAGAGGGTGCCTGCGGGCGTTAAGTCAAACTTCTGCATTAGCAGCACTGAAGAAGTGACCTCCCTGGGGCACAAGCCTGGACTGTGTGTGTGGAGGTCTTGGGCTGCCCAGATGACAAGACCCCCCTCTCTGCCTCACTGATGTGGTCCAAATGAAAGCAGAGCAATACATTTTGGCACCAGCTTGGCTGCAGGACTTGCTCGAAGCAGGTGTACAAAGCGCCATCCAACTGTCTTAGGGACTCCACTCCAGATTTGTGTAGGGTTGACTCTTTAGCCTTTTCTTCTTCCGAAGATATCCCGCAAGGCAGCGGAGCTTTAGGATCAGAGTTTTCCTTCTCCTGGATGAGCTACCTTCCCAGGTGGATAAGCCCCATCTGCCCAGGGCAGAAGCAACAAAACCAGGCATGCGATGAAGAGGGAAGAGGTGAGGAGGGCACATGCAAGAACATGGCTTGTTCTCTCTTCCACCTGTTCTCCCGCACCAGAATACTACATCCTCTTCTAACTGTCTGACTGCACTCACAATAAGAGACGCTAAAGTATGGCAAGATTTCTCTTAACCCACCAATGCACACTTAATGGATGAATGGAGAGCTCTAAGCCAAGTTAGTTGTTCTGAACATGGAACCCAAAGCAATTGTTCCTCAAGTAAGTCATGCAAACTGAATGGTTTCTGGTGTGGCATCTGCTGCTCTTCTTCTTCCAGGCCCTTGAAAGTCTACTTTAGAGCATTCAATCAAATAAAGCAAAGCACAGGGCCCAGGGTCAGCCCAGCAGCTTGCCAGCTCATTTATTAAAAGGAACTCATTTGGAAGCTGGAGAAAGGTCACATTCAGAGCAGAATGCTAAAAATCCACAGTCACGGCTTACAAACATGAGCCGCTATAAGAGACGCAATTAGTTACATAAGCAGGTCAATAGGACAGTGGGGAGGTCTGCTCATCCGCTCCCAGACCTCCAGATGAACTCCATCTTCTGCCAAAAGGACAGGATAAGAGTGCTGGTTCCGTCACAAAAAATAAAAGCGATGCTTATGTCAACTGAAGCCATTTTATGCCCCAGTTCTACTACCATGAAATAGTTGTGGTTGAAGCCCCATGTCACATGCCCAATCACACACCCCTCCCCACTGTCTCAAGTTATCTACAGAATTTTCAGATGGGATCCACTTCTCTCAGCCAGATTCCTCCATCTCATCCAACGGTTGTGTGTGGACTTCGACTTTCTTAGGAGGTATATACGACCCCATTCCAGCTGCTCTCTCTGCTTCCTCCTGTGTGTACGGCTCCTCACTCAGCTGCTTCAGTCTACAAAGAAAATAAAATCAACTTAAGTCAAATGAGCTTGCAAATTTTGGCGCTCCACCTCCCACCCCGAAGCTGCTTAAACTGATTTACTTAAGTCTTAATAAAGCCAATTTCCACTACTTTTCTCCTTACAGTTGCATCCAGTGCTAGTACTACTCTAAGTAAAAAAAGGTAAAGGACCCCTGACAGTTAAGTCCAGTCACGAACGACTCTGGGGTTGTGGCGCTCATCTCGCTTTAAATGGCTGAGGGAGCCAACGTTTGTCCGCAGACAGTTTTTCCTGGTCGTGTGGCCAGCATGACTAAGCCGCTTCTGGCGAAACTAGAGCAGTGCACGGAAACACTGTTTACCTTCCCACTGGAGCGGTACCTATTTATCTACTTGCACTCTGACGCGCTTTTGAATTGCTAGGTTGGCAGGAGCTGGGACTGAGCAACAGGAGCTCACCCTGTCGTGGGGATTCGAACTGCCGACCTTCCGATCGACAAGCCCTTGACTCAGTGGTTTAGACCACAGCGCCACCCACATCCCCTACTACTCAAAGTAGACCCATTTAAATTCATGGACCTAAGTTAGTCACGTTCATTAATTTTAACTAGCATTGGCTACAGCCCATATTCTACCAACTGCATGGTTAAGAGCCATTTAGATGGCAGCGCTATAAGTCAAGGAGGATCCACTGATGCACCGAGATGGAAACTGTTCCACTGCATTCTTTCCCATTTCAAGAAATGTACTTGTTTAATAAAATTAATTAGCAACATAATGAATACATTGCAAGTCAAACTGGACATCTAGAATGGATACCATATGATATCAAATGTAAAATCAAATCAGTACCGTATTTTTCGTTCCATAGGACGCACTTTTCCCGTCTTAAAAACTAAGTGGAAAAGTCTGTGCGTCCTATGGAGCGAATGCAGGGGGAAGGCAGGCAGGAAAAGCCCGCAAGAGCCACGCACAAGCTTCGCGCGGCTCTTGCGGGCTTTTCCCCAGGAGGGAGAAGGGACTGACGCGGCCAGGGGATGGATCGCGCTCGCTGCCCTGGCTTCCTCTTTAGCCTTGCGCAGCCTCCCGCGGCTGGAGAGGTTGCGCAAAGCTTTTCTAGAGGAGGGAGAAGGGACTGACTGGCATTTACATTTGACTATTACATTTGACTCATATGGTATCCATTCTAGATGTCCAGTTTGACTTGCAATGTCAAACTTTGGGGCTGGGGGGGGGAAATAATATTTTTCCCTTGATTTCCCCCTCTAAAAACTAGGTGCGTCCTGTGGTCTGGTGCGTCCAATAGAGCGAAAAATACGGTATTTTGTCATTGTTGGTTTTTTTCAGGTGACTCTCCCAGGAAACAGACACGCTAAAATGAGTTAACAGTTTTCAGAAGAACAATCCATGAATCCTGGTTTGCACACAACACTAACTCTGGTTCCTTTCCTCTTCTGTGGGTCCTTAAAATATGTATCAATGGCTAAAGGTTAGGGAAGAGAGAAGTACACACAAAAAAAACACTATGTTGTGAAGGTGCCAGACACATCTCTACAAAGAGGAAATCCCATCCCAAACTTCTGAGAGTAGCACAGCTGCCAAGAGGGCCCCCACTGCCATCTTTTCCACTTATTTTATAACAAACATAGATTAACCAGACAGCACCCAGGCAACATACATAAAATTAGTGAAGTGCTTTTCCAAAACGCTGGAAGGTTAAGAGAGCAGGGTGCATAGGCAAGCCTATGTGTCTACAGGTGTTAATTCCCTAGAGAAAAAGGCTATTCTGTATAATATGCTGAATTCATATTACCTCTTTTTGTGAACCTTAGATCTGAAGTGATCCTTCATGCTTTTTAAATCAACGAAGTATCGCCTGTTGAGGGAGAAAAAGGAAAAAAAGTTAAGCTGGTTGATGCCTATTGAAAAACAGAAAGTTCATTCCCAGAAATCATTTTGTTGACCTACATTTATCTGTGCCTATTGCAACGGCACCAAGCAAATATTTGAATGCATGAAAATGGCCATCAGAACTGCAGGCTGAGCTTTCATGTCATTTCACATCACCTCAACCCTCTAAACCAGTGTTCGAAACTCCCATTGTTCTAGGTTCATTTTGCGACGGGGAATTTCATTAGTGCAAGCAGTTTCTGAGCTCTGGACGCAGTACTGCGCCTAGGATTTCAAATTAAAACTGCAGAGTGGAAGGAAAGGAGGACCTTTTTCTGCCTCCCTACTTCCAGCTACTCTCTGAAGACTGGAAGAGAGACCCTTTTATGAATATTAGGAGGGTGAGCAGGGGAAGAACTAGATCTTGTGAAAAATGAACATAATATTTTAGCTGCAGTTCATTCATTTTCAGCTTTGTATTCCTGTTATTAAAAAGCGCACCTAGACATTCAGTTGTTGTGCCCATAACCCAGGTTTAAGGTGCCATTTAGCTCCTAGCTTTCATATTTCAGTTTCTAGCAAAGCTCTAAACTTGTCCACTTTTCTTGGCAATGCAGAAGAAACTGCCCTGATTCTGCCCAGTTAGGAGTGCGGGATCCAGCAACATGTGCTCCCTCCCAGGAACAAATAGCCCCTTGCATTTTAACCAATTAAGGGATACATCAGTTAAGCTCCTAATGCAGGATTCTTCAAACTCAGCCCTCCAGATGTTTTTTGGCCTACAACTCCCATGATCCCTAGCTAGCAGAACCAGTCGTCAGGGATGATGGGAACAGTAGTGTCAAACCATCTGGAGGGCCGAGTCTGAGGAAGCCTACTTTAAACTTTCGTATCTCTGAGCTAAAAAAAGAGCAGGGTCGCGCTCGAAGCGGCTTTCTTTTTTACGCAGGCGCAGTAAGCAAAAACGAAGTCCTAGCGAGACAAACCGAACCCCGGCCCCGCCTTTCCCCTTTACGCACGCGCAATGCAGGCAATAGTGCTGGGCGCTCCCAGGCATGTCAGGGTCCGGCTCTTGGCGCAGCAGCTTGGCCGATTTCTCAGGCAGCATATCCTCGTGGATCTGATCCAGATCCCGGCGCCGCCGCTTCGTCTTCCATTGGCGCGCCAAGGAATGTGCCTTGTGGGAGCCTGTCCGGCGAGACCGGCTAGGGGCCATACTTCGCTCGAGAGGCTCACCAACGAGAGAAAGGAGGGAAGGGAACTTCCGCTTCCGGCGACTGTTCACGACGTCATCACATGCCGACACCCCAAAAAGTATTATAATTTTTTTTTAAGGTAGCGATTTGTAAACATCGCTTATTAATAAAGCAACTGTCTGCGCCTGCTGACATTTATTATTGTGGATACCATAACTGAGCTCCCCTGTGTACTTTCTGTCTTCCCTCCTCCGTCCGGTTTAATGGGGCATAACTTGAATTAATATGTATCTATTTAAATTATTTATACGTATATTCTGCCAGTCCACAACATAAATGAATAAAACATATGTAACATAAGCTCAACAAAACAAGCTGAAACAAAGGAAACACAAGTAGGCTTGGGGTTTTTTTTAATTATTTGTTTAAAATGTGTGATATCCAATGTCATTTCAGTAGGTTCAGCTTTGGATGTCACTCGTTAAATTACTGAAATTCAAATGAACGACAGCAAGACCTAATAAAATAGACTTTTGACAAAGTCTCCCATGATATTCTTGCAGAGAAGCTGGTAAAATGTGGGCTGGACGAGGTAACTGTTATCTTAATAGACATAAGCAGTTGCAAGAGCAGAGCATTTTTTTATTTTAACAAAATGTATATACTGTTTACTAGAACAAAATACCACTGAGTGCTTTAAACATAAGGCTAAGGTTGCCTGCACATGGGATGGTGCCCATAAATGGTTTGAGACACTGAATGACACTGGAACCACTGCCCCTCCTGTCCTTCCAGTGGTTTGCCTGGCTGGTCATGGCCGATGCCCATTGGGGCTGGTGGGACACAAGGCAGGGAGGCGAACAGTGATAGGCCAACTACCAGGAGCAGGCGCTTTTTGGTAGTGCCACCGACTCAATGGAATGTCCTTTAGAGGGAGGCCTTTATGGCCTCAACACTGACTGCATCTGGGTGTTTACCTAAAGGACATTCCATTGAGTCGGTGACCTGGCTTTTGAGGTCAGTCAACCTGCTGACAGTTAACTTTTTTAACATAGAGTTTTCCCTATTTTTAAGTGATTACTGTTTCTATTTATGCTAACAGGGAGGTTAGGAACATAGGAAGTTACCTTACATTGAATCAAACCCATTGGTCCTTCTAGTTCAGTATTGTCTACATTGCCCACTGCCTGGCAGCTTCTCTCTGGGGTTTCAGATGGAAATTCCCAGTCCTAACCTGGAGATGCCAGGGATTGAAGCTGGGACCACCATCATGCAAGACAGATGCTCCACCACTGAGCTATGGCCTTTCCCCTAAAGGCTAGCTTGTTTATTTTTAATTCTGTTCTGTTGTTGCGTGTAATTTTCCAGCAGTTCATGTTTATTGCTCTAATGATTCTGCTATTAGCCACTTGGCCACTTGTTTATAAAATAAAGCAGCATCTAAATGTTAAAAAGCAATCAATATAAATATAGTCTTGGCCTGCAGATTTCCTGGCATGACTATGATTCTGGATCCACAGCTCTCCCTTGAAAACAAAACATCCATCCTAATTCTTTGTCGTTCCTTGGAAGTGCACTTTAAGTCTCGGAGATGAAAATGAGTGGAATGTAATTCCATAGGGAGATCATGTTGCAGCTCACCACTGATTAATGGCCAGTCACTGCAAAGGATGACCCTTTGACCTGTGTAACTGTTGTTTCTGGTGTTCAGCTAATCCTTCGTGAAGGAAATCTAAACCCCAAGACCTGGCCATCAAAAGATCTCGTACCACTCTTTGCAAGCAAAGGGCGATAACCCCAGTGTCCTGGCCAGGTTTCCGTGTGGGTCATTAGATTCGGCTGACCTAAATTTCCCCTGCAGTTTGAATTGGATACGGTGTTCTTTGTTTCCTGTCGTACAACCATTCCTATATATTATTGCCTAACCGAAATAGCAGATTTATGGTGTCCCTCGAAAGGGCTTCAGAATGCCAGTGGCACAAAAGGTGATGTATGTGTGCAAAATTATGAGCAATGTTTCACACTTGGATGGAAGAAGCTTAAAAATCCTTGGGGATGAAGTCTGGACTAGAGATGTAGTAAGAATTGGTCTTGGAGCAATTCCATAGCAAGGTCCCACTGATGGTGCTGGGACATTGAGGAATCAGCATTCCATAGTTTCTTTTGGGCTTCCCCAGTAGTGAAGTTAAACAAATGCTGTTTATTGATTTGCTTGCTAATTCATTCTCCTGTTTGACAACAGCAGTTCTCAGAAAATGGCATATTTGTAACTACAATCTATAGATGAAACACAGAGTAAAAAGTAGCTAATGTCTATGTAGAATTACTGCAGTCAATTCCTTGAGAATTCATTCTGACACTAATGAAGTCCTGTTGATGTGAACACCTAGGTGCAGAAAGAACTGTGAAACACATCGAAAAAACAGCAGCGTCACTGTGCTCAGAGGCAGTAATGTGAACACACCCTAAATCCATCCTGGATTGGTTCCCCACCCCAAAAATTAACTAGGGAAGATGTTGCAGTGTGAGAGACATGTGATAAAGTTTGAGCGGGGCTGCGTAGGAGGGAAATGTAATGCACCTCCCCATGGGTTAAGCAGGGATAGCCAATGTGGTGCCCTCCAGATGGTCCTGAGCCCAGGCATTTAGCACTCACAGACCTATAACAATAGAGTGTCTGGGGCAAACCAGCTAGATGGGGAGGGGATAAATAAAAAAATTATTAAAAATTATTAATATAATACCGCCACAACAGTAAAACTAAATAAAGCAACAATTAACATTTCACATAGATATATTTTGTGTATAACTTTAACTAGTGGTGGTAACTATTAGTTTTGTGGTGAAAATTTTCTTACTTTTTCTACCACATCTGTATTTTCTTTGAACAGAACTTGCTTGGTACAGGAAGCTGCATAGTGGCTATTGAATAGCTTATCTATAAATTTTCCCCAACTGTGTTGCAAATTATTTTTTAAAGAAATTAACAGTTCACTTTACACCTCGGAATTTAAGTGAGCATAACGCTCGCCAGTAGGTCAATTTAAAATACCCAAAGTATCGTCAAAGCTAATGACTTTTGTGCCTAGCAAATCCCCCCTCAATCTTTTATACCTCAACTGTGAAGGTCAGAAAGCCCCCCTCCTCCCCTTGATTTCTTTTGGAAACAGCCATCCCATGATGGCAAGAAGTTAGTCAGGTCCATTAATTTCAATGGGGCAACTCTGAGTAACACTAATATGGATACGACCTATAGTGTCCACCTGGCCTCTACCTGCCAAGGGAGCATCAACCTTTCTGGATAAGCCCATCCACACTGCCACTGGGCCACAGCTCAGTGGTGGTAGAGAATCTGCTTTGCAAACAGAAGGTCCTAGGTTCAGTCTCTGGGAATGTCCCCTGTCTGAAACCCTGATGAGTCATTGTTAGACAATGCTGAGCTAGGTGGATCAATGGTCTGACTTAGTATATGGCAGCTCCCTATGTTTCTATGTAGGTACTTTGCTGAGAAGGGACGTGGGTGGCGAAGGGACGCGGGTGGCGCTGTGGGTTAAACCACAGAGCCTAGGACTTGCCGATCAGAAGGTTGTGGTTCGAATCCCCGTGACGGGGTGAGCTCCCGTTGCTCGGTCCCTGCTCCTGCCAACCTAGCAGTTCAAAAGCACATCAAAGTGCAAGTAGATAAATAGGTACCACTCCGGCGGGAAGGTAAACAGCGTTTCCGTGCACTGCTCTGGTTCGCCAGAAGCGGCTTAGTCATGCTGGCCACATGACATGAAGCTGTACGCCGGCTCCCTCGGCCAATAAAGCAAGATGAGTGCCGCAACCCCAGAGTCGGCCACGACTGGACCTAATGGTCAGGGGTTCCTTTACCTTTACTATGTTGAGAGTTCCCTTAAGCCCAGAGTCAACCCTGGATGAAGAACCTTTGTTCAAGTATGGGCTTGTTTTGAGTTTATGAACAGCATTGTGTCTCCAGTTCTAATACACAGGATGTGATTTGTAGGCACAAATCTGACCCCTGCCATATTTTTTCCCTCCTGTCCTGAATTAAGCACTCACACAGCAACAGTGGTTTCACTTTGAGTGATCCTTGAAGGACGAGAACTCTGTGGGTCACCACACTGCCCTGAGCACTACTGTTCCCAGCGCAACTCAACTCGGGGAGAGGCACACAGTAGAGCATTATCGGCAGCATCAAGCGTAGCCAATATGGATTTGTGCATTTAGGATGCGGCTGTCAGAGCAGGACAAAGGAACAACCGCCAGTCAGTTAACTACTCGCGATCACGTTACTTGCACCAGGCCAGGGAATCAATAATACATTTACAGGCATGTAAAGGCAGCAGACAGGCATCTGTCATTAGCCGCGGGGAGAAGAAAGATGGGCAATGGAAAGACAACCCATCCTTTCATTGCTCCTACAATCGGAGCATGAGTTGGGGGTGAAGGAGCTAGGAGAGCTTGATAGTTTTAACAGCGAGCAAAGAACCAGCACCCCTTGATTGCAACTTGCACGAAGCTGTTCTGGGGCTGGAGTCGAAGCTTCCTGTTTAAGGCAGAAACTAAATCTGCAAAGGAGAAGACGACACAGGTCTGCGAGGCTATCAGCCCTAAGAAATAATTTAGCTGCCAGGCACTATTTTGAGAGCCTGTTGCTGAGCTACCGCATTCCAAAGTCCTTTTTTTTGCTGGAGATCAGTTACAGGACTCAGACAATGGAGAGTAATACAAGAGCGTAGCTTTGCCAGAATGAAGCTTTCCTCAAGACTTGAAAGTAGAAGATTCTGCATGGGGGTGGTAGGGGGACTCAGGAACTGTGAGGGGAGCACATCACTCTTCTGAATAAGAGAGGACTCTACACCAAGCAAGGGTGCAGCTACTAAGTTCAATGTTAGTGAGAGAACTAGCTAACAAAGATTCACGTCTCAAATCTGGAATTGAAAGAAGTCCAGCGGGTCTTTTTGGCAAAAGAGGCTGGAGATGGGATGCATAAAGGGTGATCGGAGGAGTCAGATTGTTGGGATCCGTGTCCACTGCACTTTCATCTGTTCCAGGGGCCTTCATTGACGGAATTCATTGGTATTCTGGGTCAGTCATGGATCCGATTCCTCTCAGTTCTTTGAGATGTACATTGGAAGCTTCTGAAATTTTAATGAAGACACCAGATCCGAGAAAGAGGCAGCCAGTGACAGGTGTGAATTTGCAGGGCGCACAAGCATCTGCCTGAGCTCCTGGTTCCCTGCAGAGTCTCCGAAGCAGCTGGGCACAGAGGCCCAATGGCAACCGGAACCTGACCCGCTTAGACTTGGAAGAGAATCCAAAGTGGGGACTGTAAGCCCCCAGGCTTCCAAACTGCCGGGATCTCAGGGGCTTACTTACTGTGTAACCCTCTAGCTCCTGGGAGAAGAACCTGAGAGTGAGCGGGGCCAGGATGACTCAGGGATTCTGGAAGGTCTACAAGGCCAAAGTTCTACAGACCCTTGGTGGAGAGCTGCCGGAAGAGGAACTCCAGGATGAGGTAGAGGCATCCTCAGCTGGGCCCTTTCCCCTCCTTTGGTCATTGAGCGTGGGGTAGCAGCAGGCAATGGGTTGCCCTCTCTTAATTTATGGCAGGCAAGGGGAACCTAAGGCCCTCCAGATGTTGCTGGACTCCAGCTCCCATCAGCCCTAGCCAGCACAGACAAAGGATGATGGGAGTTGTAGTCCATCTGAAAGGCCATAGGTTCTCTGTGCCTGATTTATGGGGAAGAATAAGATGTCTATGAACTGGGGTCATGCCTCCTGGTTAAAGAAAACTCGTGATCACATGCATTTTAGTTGATCCATTTATTCATTAACCTACTTCTGGCACTCTTCAGGTGTTGTGCTGGACTTCATCATCCCATACCATTTGTTATGCTGGCTGAGGTAAATGGAAGTTGGCAGCCCAGTGACATCCAGAGGGCACAAGGTTGGGGAAGGCTGGCTATTTAAATCTAAGAAATGTGATGGGGGGGGGAATTCTAAAGAAAGAAGCATAGATCTAAAGAAAGAAAAGAGTCCGTTCTTTGTTTTCAGATAACACAGATGAGTCTGTCTTGTACATAAAAGCCATTGTCTGAGGGGAGGCATTCCCATTCATTCTCATACATGACAGAATGCTTCTTCTAAGATGGAGTTTGCCATCTGTTATTTTTTTGTATAAGAGCTTGTATTGGAAATAATTAAATGTTTACTAATAAGTAAATAAACACCTGCTGGCCGATAATTGCCCCCCCTTTTTTTAGCTGATTGAAATGTTTAAAGTGATTTATTTAATGGATTAGTTGACAAAAAGCTAAGGCTTTACTAGAAAGGAAATTGACTTTCGTAGGGCAGAAACTACATTATGAAACTGGTGGAGGGAGACTGGCAAACACAGGCGGCAGAGGGAGAACAGAAGGCCACACCCATAACATACATTTAAAGCACTATTATACCACTTTATCAGAGAATGCTGGGAACTGTAGTTTGTTAAGGGTGCACAGAGCTACAATGCACCGAGTGGTTTAATAATCAATCCCTCCAGGCCCCAGCAGGAAAAAGCTTTTTCCACACTGCCGTAGAGTGTAGTCCAAAAGGGCTACACCTGGGCTATTCCATCAAGTCTCCTCCAGCACTCCTGAAGCTGATTTCTTGTTTCAGAGAGATAACCCTGAACTGATGGAAACCACAGACTCAACCCTGCTGACAGAGGAGGGGTCAAATCCTGTTTCTCAGCTGGCACGGCGGGTAAGGACCAGTAGTTATTTCTCTCCAGAACTCAAGTTGCTTTTGAGCTTGGAGCTGCATTAGGTGGCAGCCTTTTAGACCCCGGAGCAGGCCTGGCCGGCATAATGCTTGCCTCAGCCAATCAACCCACTAATGCTGTATTGTGTGGTTTGCTGAGTGACTGACAGGTCTCAGGTAACTTGTGTTGGTGGGTGCCCATCGGGGCTGGTTGCACAGAAGACAGGGAGCTAACAGTAGGTGGCACCATAGACAATGTCCCCATCCTCCTTCCTGCAGAGTTCTACCAGGCAACACTAAAACTAGTGACTGATGCCACTTAATGGACTGATTTGTAGGTGAGAATGCTGAGGGCAGACTGAGGTTGGTGAGGCAATGCCCCATTCACCCCAAAGAACAACCTCTACTGCAGGCAACAAGCAAAAATGAGATGTTTACTGACACACACACCCCAAACAGGCTGTGTTCAGTATGCATCAGCATATGGCTGTTACATATGGGGCAGGGGTCAACTTATTTGCAGTGAGTGTCAATTGCTTATCTGTTCGTTCATAATTCCACCCTACCCCATTTCTGCATGTATCAGCATTTAAAATAATACTAACAATAAATATGAGAAACTATATTAAAAGATCTATTAAATTACATACGTAAATGTATAGCAAAATTTAGACGAGGGCAAAAACGTTGAGTGCATCCTCCTGAAAAGACCACATGAGAACCACTGAATATTGTGTGAAACATATCTAAACTGTGGTCTATGTGGAGCTCCACTGAGCCATGACCTTGTAAAATAATTTCAATTGCCTGTTGTTTCCTGGGAGGGCTAACGGGACTGCAGACAGACATATGAATGTGTGGTCATCGTGTTGGGGAAACGGGGCAAAATACTGGGTCAGGGGAGGGGCTCTCACTGGAAAGCAGCCAGCCACGCCCTACAAGTCAGCAGCATAATAAGTTTAGTAAGTGTCCACAGGCTTGTCACTCATCAGTGCTTTGCACATAGCGAAAGCAATAGACTGCAGCACTTCTTGCTAAGCAATTGGGTTGAATACTCACAGCACTCTGTTCCTTTCGTTTCAGCTCCACATGTAAAAAGGAATAAAGACTGACTTTTTGTTTTTAAATGAAAGCTAAAACTTCAGGGAAAGGGCCAGGGATTTCCCACTATCTAGCACGTATGGCCCTGGGTGTGGCTAGTAGACCCTGATCTCCCTCCCTCTTCTCCCATCTCCCTCTGCAGGTCCAGGGAGTTGGAGTCAAAGGCTGGAGAAGTGTCTCATCTTTGTTCAGCCGGGAAGACGAACATAAATTGCTGGCTCCTGAGCCTTGTCCCGACCAGTAAGTGAAATCCTTCCCTAATTCCACCCCTCCCCTCCCCAATGTTTCTTTCTCAAAGAACCAGCTAGTTCACAAGACTGTTTATCACATGAGAATCACAACTCTTCCATGGTAGTTTGGCTGAAAGGGACAGAGAAGTTTCCCACTGCAGCATATCCACAGAAGCCTCTGAGTGCCTAAAATTGCTGCTGGTTCTCACAGCCACAACAGGCTCTCGTGGCCGGAGAACCTCCATCCAGCCCTCAAATTGCCCCACACTCTGGGCTAAGAGGGAGCCACCACCTACTCACACACTCATGGCCATGTTTTGAGGAAGAAGAAAATTACAGTACAGTTTCCTTTCCCCCCTTTTTTTTAAACCTCCCAGGGTTGGCTCCTCTCTTGCCTACAGTTGGCAAGGAAAAGAGCAGGAGAAAGCTGACATTAGAAGAGAGAGAATGTGGACATGTACGGGATAACGGCGGCCAGAATTTTAGTAGCAAGAAATTGGAAAAATACAACACTACCTAACACGGAAGATTGGCAAATCCTAATGGTAGAATACCTGCCACTAGCAAAGGCAACAGGAAGGATAAGAGGCCAAACAAAACAAATAGTTTATAAGGAATGGAGAATTTTTAAAGAATACTTAAAAAATTATGGTATAAAAGGAAACCTCTTGGTAGAACTAGAATGACCCTTGTATTGTATAAATATAAGTTCGCAGGGATGTAAAAAGAAACTATATAAGAACTATGTAACTGTGCGGTATAAGGTAATCAATAGATAAAGCACAGTGAGACTAGTTGGAAGTCACTTTTAATTTTTCTCTTCAAAAGTTTCATAATTATTTGCATTGTTGGGTGTATAAATGATGTTTGTTATATTATTATTGTTGTTTCTTATATTGTTGTTTGTTTGTTTTTTCTATTGTTTGTTTGCTTGTTTGTTTGTTTTTCTTTTTTCTTTCTATAAATGTTTTTATTTTAAAACAATAAAGACATAATCTCAAGAGAGAGAGAGAGAGAGAATGTGGAAAGGAAAGTACTGGGGCAGCACCATCCTTGCTTCTTTCTAGAAACTAGCTTTTGGGTGCTTCCTGAGAATCTGTTAATTGAGGATGCATCAATAAATTGCACCCAAGGACGTGTTATCCCACACTTTCCAGTGTATTTCCCCATAACTTTCCTTACTGCAAAATGTCTGATCCTTAGGGGAAGCAGGTTGGTTGCACAAGACCTCCCAATCTGGGTGATTGGCAGGTGGGTGCGGCTTGGGGAAAATGATCTTCCGGGCCTAATTCAGCCCATGGGCCAGAGGTTCCCCACCTCTATTCTAGACAGAATGCCACAAAGGCATAGGTAGCTTTCTGCTGTGGAACCAGCAACGCTTCTGAAACATTCTTATCGGAAGGGACCCTAGCTCAGTGTCATAACACAGGCTTCACATGCAAAAGGTCCAGGTTCATTCTCTTCTCTTCTCTTCTCTTCTCTTCTCTTCTCTTCTCTTCTCTTCTCTTTAATTTTTAATTTTTATTTGTTTTACCAGGTTCATTCTCCAGGTAGGGCTGAGCAAGGCTTCCTATCTGAAAGTCAGGCCCCTTCTGTACTACACACTTAAAGCACAACCATACCTCTTTAAACAGTCATGGCTTCCCCCAAAGAAAGTAACTAAGGGTGCTGAGATATTGGGGGGGGACCCCTATTCCTTTCACACAGCTACAGTTTGCAGAGTAGTTTAACAATCGGTCCATCTTCCCAGGAAACTCTGGGAATTGTGCTTTGGGGGTGGGATTCAACTGAACTGAATAAAAAATTGCCCAAAGTTCCACTGGAACTTAATTCACAGTCATTTTGCCCAGAATTTACAGGAACAGGCATAATTCAGAGATTTTAGAATTATGTGAATTAGCTAATCTGAACCAGTTCATTCAAAGCCACTACCTGCACCTCTTTCCTTCCTGAATTCTCCTCTTGTTTTCACAGCCCACTGGCAGCCAGGCCAGAAGAGGACTCCCCTTCTGAAAAGAAGACATCTGGCCTTTGGGACGTCTTTGCCACAAAGTGGCAGCAAACTTCAGCTCTGGAAAAGGCAGCTTCGAAGGCTGAGAGTGGAGACCAGATGTCTGAGGGCATTGGGGCATCGGGAGAAATGGCGGCTGAGGAAGCCGGCTGCACCAGCCTGGACAACGACCTCCGAGAAGCTGAAGGGGTGGCCTTCAAGTGGAGCTTCCTGACCAGCAAGCTGGCCGAGATAAAGAACAAAAGTGCCTCTAAGAGCAACTAGGAATGAACGTGAAAGACATGGACTTTGTGACATAAGAGACAACCTATTTCCATGCAGGGCAAGCGTTTTTAGCCTCCCCGCACCCCCGTTTCTCCAGGAATCTTTGACAGAACAGTCAGAGATGACGTGAAATCCCGGGGCCAGAGCTCAGTGTTATTTAACCCTCTAAACATTAGGATGCCCCAAATGTGTGTGTCTCGTGTATCAAACCATATCCATTCCATCTCTCCCCTTCTCTGAACATTGCTTTCTTGAGATAAAAAAATAGACAGGTTGAAGCTTCTGCCAGAGATTTTCTGCCCAGCAAGGAGAGAGTTTGGACAGTCTCATTGTTTTCCAGGCTTGCATGGTTTGACGACACTCCTGTGTGTTTTCTAAGGAAGCTTCCTCCTCCTGAGTGCTGATCACCCAAGCGTCCAATCAAAGTGTGGAGGAGGCAGCAGGGGATCCTGAGTCAAAATGGTACATTGGATAGACTGAGAAGACCTGGGTTCAAATCCCAGATCAGCCACAGAAGCTGTGAGCAAGTGACCATCTCTCAGTCTAACCTCCCTTGTAGAGTTCTTACAGGGACTGAATAGGATAGCTCTATGCATTTTGTCCTTGGAGGATGACCGGGTTACAGGGGTTTTCAATAGGAAATAAACAAATCCTTGCATCAAGACCCTTCCTAATGGGACCAGCAATGGCGCCCCAGCACTGACAGGCTGGCCTTGCAGTTGAAGAATGGCTCTGTGGTGTTCGAATCCCAGGAGCCCCCTCTCTGAAGCAAAAGGGCCTTAGCTCAGTGGTAGAGCACCTGCTTTGCATGCAGAAGGTCCTGGGTTCAACCCTCCCCCCCGCACCCCCAGGTGGGGCTGGGAAAGAAACCTTCCTGAACTCCCAGGGAGCCGCTTCCAGTCAGTGTAGACAATACTGAACTAGGTGAGCCAATGACCTGACTTGCTAGAAGGCAGCTTCCTAAGATATAGGCTGCTTGGCTCCGACATTTAGATGGTCTGATTCGGTATAAATCAGCTTCTCATGTTCCTAGCCTAAGAGGATCTGGCTATCAGCCCAACTGGGCAAGAAACAGGAGCATAGTCTAAAAAGAGCCAGGTAAGACTGACCAGGGGCTGATCACTGAAAACCCCAAATGGAGACCCCTTCTCTACTGGGGCCTTACCATAGATCAGGCATAGGCAAACTCCAGCCCTTCAGATGTTTGGGACTACAATTCCCATCATCCCTGACCACTGGTCCTATTAGCTAGGGATGATGGGAATTGTAGTCCCAAACATCTGGAGGGCCGGAGTTTGCCTATGCCTGCACTAGATACACACTCGCAATCTAGAACAGTGGAGGATTGGGGGTGCAGATCTTGCTATGGCTATCATCATGCTCCAGTCACACAACTCAAGGCAAACTTCTAGTGAGCAACTTGCCCTGACAAGGGCTGGAAGTGCCTCCAGCCCATCTTTCTTGGGCTTCATCCCCTTGTGGGGAGCTAGAGCCTTCTAAAGACGGGCAATTCTTCTGCATTCTTCTGCATTCCACGGACTCTTGCCTGCCACACTCCCTGCACCATGGAATGGACAAGGCAGTTTGGGTGGCACTTGGTTCCTTGAGCCTACAGGAAGGCGCCCAAGGAGATTCAGGTTCAGCTTCTGTCAGCTGCTGATCACCAGCATCAGAGTCAGAATGCAACATCTTAACCAGTGACACTGCAGCTTCCAACGCACTGTCCTGGTTACTCCTGGATTCTGGGATTGTGACACTTAATCCATAGCCTATTGACAGCCTAGGACTACCGCTCACTTCAAGGAACTTAGGTTCGTTGGTTTATCCATCTGTCCATCCCTATACCACATTTTCTCTCCTGGTAAGGTTTTCCTTTGGCAGCAGGGATGGGGAACCTGTGGCCTTCCAGAGGTTGTTGGAATGCAGCCCCATTGTCCCTGACCGTTGGACGTGCTGGTTACCTGGGCTGCTGGGAATTGGGGTCCAGCAACATCTGGAGGACCATTTTAGCCACTCCTGCCTTAGGGACATGGCTTTGAAATGACCAGTAGATCAGTGGTAGAGCATCAACTTTGTACACACAGAAGGTCCCAGGTTCAACCCGTTTCAAAGAACCAGGTGATGCAGAAGAGAGCTTTGCCTGAAACCTGGGAGCCACTGCCAATCAGAGTAGACAGTACTGGATTGGACTGGTTAATGGCCTGATTCAGTATGAGGCAGTTTCATATGTGAACTTCCCCAATTGCCCTTTAGTTACCAAAGTTTCCTCTTTTAACTGATGTTGTTGGACTGCAGCTCCCATCATTCCTGACCATTGCCCATGTTAGCAGGGACTGATGGGAGCTGGAGTCCAACAACAGCAGGAGGGCCATGGCTTCCCCAGCCCTGTTCCAAGGGAACAGAAAGTCACCAAGGGAAGACTCAGGGTTTATCTACACTTACCATTTCTCTAGTCTTTCCATGCATGGTCTGTGCTTTAAAGCTCTGTGTCTGAGCACGCTTCTTTTTGCTCCGGTGCTTTGAGAAAACCCACTCTTTAAAGCTTGGTCAGAGCAAATGCCAATCCATGGAAAACCCAAATTGACATTTGCTCTGATTGAGCACTAAAGAGCGGCTTTTCACAGGAGAAAGCTCATGCTTACATATGTGCTTGGATGTAGAGATTTCAATTGTGGACCTATGCCTGGAAAAAGCGAGGGAAAAGGTAAATATGGATAAGCCCGGAGAGAGCATTGGCTTTGCATTCTTGAGTCCGTCACTGAAGATGCTCTATTATCCAACTCTCCTTTCACAAAGTATCTCCATCGGTGCTGGCTCCATTATCCAGCAAGGAAGGGCCTTTGGGTTTGGGGTGCCCTTTTGCTGCCTTGTTACCAGCTGGTGACTGGGTGAGTGGGGGCAGTTCAGCAGCCTTCCCTGGGTTCTGGCCCACATGCTGAGCAGAAAGGGGGCATGTCTACCTTGACCGTTCATGGTGACCCTCTTATTTGCAGTATCTTTCTTTGGATTTTCATTGACAACTGTATAATAATAATAATAATAATAATAATAATAATAATAATAAACATAAACATGAATAAGCAAAAATGGTCTCTTAAAATTCTCCGTGCCATTCGTGGTCAACAAATTTTGAGAGTGGGGATTGTTGATGCATATTATTGGAATGGGGAGATTAAATTTTCCCAATAGTTTATATCTATCTATCTATCTTCTGGGAAATTTTGGCTCACTTGATGTTGAACAAAACTCTGCTGTTAGGAACGGGAATTGTCCCCTGTCTGGAAGTGCTGCTGCCAGACAGTGTAAATACTGAGCTATATGGACCAAGAAGCCCAACTCCGTATAAGACAGCTTCCTGTGTTGTTCTATGTTCTTTTTGGTGGATGAGCAGTGGTGGGCTGGTGCCCATTGGGTGGAAGGTGGGGAGCCCAACAGTAGGGGGAGCCAAAGTCAACAACAGGCAGTGCCAACTGATTTTGGTTTTGTCCCCATCCGCCTCCCTGCTGAGTTCCACCAGGGCACTTGGGTGCTGGCTGCCCCATTTGCTCTGTGGCTAGTCTCCACTGGATATGAGAATCAACAGACAATGAGAGAGGGGGCCTCCCATAGCCAGTGGAGACTGGCCAGTTAAACCACTTTAAGACTGGATCCGCAGTTGCATCCAAAATACATGGATGACAAAGTTGCAGGCACCATTCTACTGAATGTCTCCCAGCTATTCAGGAGAAAGATGGAAGAGGTTGAATTCAATTTCAGTTGTAGCTGAAGATTAGGGGTGCAGCTGAAAGCAAGAGGAAACCAATCACAGGGTATTGAAGTAAAAGGTTCAGGGTGGAATGGATCAGGTTGTGCTTGTGTTTTTAGGGCTGTGCTGAAATTTATCAGAAAATAATTTTCTGGCAAATTTTTGAATTTAATCTCTTCCAACTTTCTCCTGAATAATTTAGTCTGTGTAATTTAGTCTGCTTCTACTAATTATGAGGGCTAGAAACCTGGGTTTGTTTTAACATGAAATCCAAGATTCTCAGGAGGTGGATTTGAAGAGAATCCTGCTAGCCTCCCAAGTAAAGGCAGGTACAGTCTTGACATAAGATGATCTTCCTGTATTCCTAGGGCTGCCACAAGGTGGCAGTATTTTTACAGTCTTGGGAAGCAAAAGAGGAACACCTAGGACTCAACTATACAGCTGAAAATAAAACGTTTTGAATGTGTTGTAAATTTCAATATACAATTGTGACACTAGATGGTGACTGTGAGCTATAGCAAATTCAATGCATTTTTCAAAACAGTTTTTTAAAAAACATTTTCATAAGGTTTTTAACGTGTGTAGATTCCACCCTATTTGCAACTTTCCATGCATTACATGGCAGCAAACCCAGGTTTGTTACATAGCACATACGGTTTTAAGAAATAAATAAATGGAGGCAGAGCCTAACACAATGAGACTTGGGACCACCAAACCTTTCCTCCCCATGTTGCAGTCTCATGAAAATCCCCATATTCCCTGCAAAACTTCTATTCATCTGGATGGAAAGTTACCACTGCTTACTTCTGGAGTGAACAGCATCAGCATGAGGGGCTTCGTTTTGTTGGAAACATGGTACAGGATGGAAAAGGTTAAACCCTCCCTCCTCTGTGGTCTTGATCACCAGAGCCCTCCTGTAGCTGCTATTTGAAAACAACCACCAGTGGCAGATATGTGAAATGTTTCATATATCCCCTAGTTTGGCCACAATCAGAGAGGCTGTGGAACTCTTAGGGTGCTGAACTTTTACAACGGCATCCACATTTACACACTTTTCAAAGGAAGCCCAGGCCCAGCCCAACCATTGGGCAAAATGAGCTAGCTGCCTCGGGGGGGGGGGCAGATGCTGAGGGTTGTCAGTCAGGTGTCAGAGTGTATAAAACCCTGCATGTCGCATGTCCTGCCGTTAAACTAGCTGTGGAGAGACACCAGCATGATACTCATGGATGGCAAGGTACCCACCAGTACTGTCTATGGTGCCCACAAAAGGTTTCAGTAACTATCCCCTCAGAACCCCACAGTGCACAAGAGACCCCTTGCTCTTCCTGCTCTGCACTGGATCAGCCCCACCTACAATGAAAATGCCCCCTGAAGCAGGCCCACATTTCACTGTCTACTTTCCTAACCATTATGAAAAGAGAAGAGGTACAAAGAGCTCCTCTCTGTGGTCATATGTGGCAGTGGGCAGCATAGGTACCTTTCCCTCTCTGAAGTGCCAGCTAATGGGAGTTGCCCCATTATTTTGTGGTCTAGCCTCATTTTCTGTGCTTTCAAATGGGGTAGCCATTTTGTGTTCTGCCACGCCTCACAGCAGCCATTTTGTGATGGGCACCCATGACACTTGCTCAAAATTCCAAATGCACCCCCTGGCCCTGAAGGGTTGACAACCCTTAATAGTAGCCTGATGTCCCCAACTGCAGCGCAGGATGTTGCCTTTTTGAACCCAATCCCTTGACCAAAGATGACCTAGCAGCTGTCCTAACTGTTTCACTCAAGCTTCACAGAGGGATGCTGGAGCTGAGGAACCCATAGTTGAAGGAGATGATTGGACTAGACGACCCTCGGGATTCCTTCAAACCCTGCAATTCTTTGATTCTATAAGTTACGACATTTCTGCCAGAAACCTTCGACATGGAGCGATTCTTCAAAAAGCTTCACGTTTATTAAGAATTCGGGGACAGAGGTAACATTTCTTAATTGTAAATAAGATGTTAGCTGGCCCTCAGGAGGACCCATCAGTTTCGGATCAACAATGACTTTGTTCTGCTTTGCACCATTGGAAGGAGTCCGCCTCTGAATACGAGTTGCTGGGAATCACAACTGGGGAGAGTGATGTTCTGCTCAGGCCCTGCTTGTGGGCTTCCCATGGAGGCACCTGGTTGGCCACTGTGAGAACAGGATGCTGGACTACTTGGCCATTGGCCTGATCCAGCAGGACACTTCTTATGTTCATGGCCGATCACTGAGAAAAAGGTTGAGCGCTTCTATTAATACCCATTCATAAAGCTAATCCCATCATCCTGAGCTACCAAAGCTAGTTCTGAAAACAAGGAAAGAGACACAAACATGGGTTTTGCTTTGAATATCTGGAGAATGTCTGAGGAAGGAAGGCACAGAAGGAAACAGAATTGGTTGCAGCACTGGGGGCCAGTTCAGAGATTGCTCCTGTTCTTCCTGCTTTCATTTCACGGAATGGCTCAGTAGAGTCAAGGGCCTGGCAACCACAAAACGTTTCTCCCAGACTGTACAAAAACCACACAGCCTGGACTGGGGCTTGTATACACCCCACTAGCCACAGTGGTGGTTCTCCGGCAGCTTGTTGCTTGAAAACATAGAAGGGCTAAGCCTGAGAAGTGCTTTGTAACACTAATGATCTCCTGTTGATCACGTTTGCATCACACCCCTCCACAGAACTTTGGGGTTATCCCAAGAGATGCTCTGGTTGTAACTTCATAACAACCCTGTGAGGTAGGCTAGACAAAATGCATATGACTGGCTCAGGGTCTCCCAGGCAGGTTCATGGGGGATTTGAACCCAAGCCTTCCCTGTCCAACACTCTAACCCCCTACAACATGCTCGCTGTTGATAACTGCAGGAGGGGAAGATTTACTCATATTCCTGCAACTTGTGGCTCTCCAGGTATCATTGAACTCCAACTCCTATCAACCTCAATCCACATAGCCAAGAGTCGGGAATGATGGGAAATGTAGTCCAGCAATATCTGGGGAACCACAGGTTCCCCATCACTGCTGTAGAACGTATAATTTATATGCTGGTCACCACTACTTATAGCGGGGAAAGAGAGGAGGAAAATTATTTGTCCCAAACCCCCAAATTTTGCCCTCATAATTTAGGCCTCAGTTGAAAATCACGTTGGTCCTGACATGTGTATCCCTTTCTACCTCACAGGCATATTTGCATACAGGCAATGCAGGACTGTTTTAAAAAGCACCCATCATACACCAATTGCCATAATTTCATGGTGAGAGACACTCCCTGCTTGGCTTCCCATGATGGGAATGTTGCCATCATCAAGATGGCAAGAACTGGGCCCTCACTTAGGCACATGACTGGCACTTGCAAGGTTACAGGAACAGTGAGGCCCAGCCACTGGCCCTCCCTTTCCTGTGATAAGAATTGCATTTGAGACCATGTTTCCATTCACACAGTGGACTCCTTGGCCACAGACAGGGCCTGCTGGCAGCTGTACAGCCATTTAATGACACGGGCGTTTCGCTCAATGACAGAGACCGATGTGAGTGGCTTCTCGCTCAGCTCTTCTACAGACAGCTCCTCTTCGTTGAGTGAGAGACAGTCATGCTCAGAACTGGCTGACCCCACGCTCCCCAGGACGACACAGGAGGACCCCAATTCCCAGCTCCCCGGCTTGAACCGCTCAGCTCCCAGCATCTCCACCAGGTTCTGGTCCAAGCCACAGTAGTTAAAAAAACGCTCTTTCTCCGAGAGAGGGAGAGAATAACTTGGTGCCAGCTCTTTCTTGGAGTCAGATGGTTCTGGGCTCGTGGAAGAAGAGGTTTGGTCCATAACCAGCTGGGAGCTGGGCTGGTGTCCCAAGCTGCGTTCAGAAGCACATCCCACGGACGTCCTCATTAGAATGCCTACTGAACTTATGGTCCTTGTTTCCTCCTTTTCTGCTGGCACCCAGACCATGGAGGTTTCTTCCTGTGTAACTTGTAGCTGTCCATCTCCCAACATGCCTCTAGAGGAAGGGGAGGCACCATGCCCATCTCTCAACGGGCCTTGAAACAGCCGCCTCACTAGGCTGTAGCCTTTGGTGTTCTCCTTGTTGACAGCCGAACAGTCCCGTTTCTGCCGGTAGATAACAAGCGAATCGGGCCTCAGCATGCGCCTGCCGCCCCCTCTCCGTGCTATGGGCGACTGAGGAGAAGGAGGCAGCTTCTTGGGCCCAAGGCCATCTTGGCCTACCTGAGAGAACTCGCCTTGCTGGTGGAGGGTCAAGGCTCTTCTGCCACAAGCAGGCGACTGGAAGGTGTAGCAGAGCAGCACTGGCTCTTGGCGGCTGTTGATGACTTGTTGGGATTTGACGTATTTGGCTTTATCGGCCTCCAGCCTTTCCACGGCACTTGGAGTCCGCCCCCCAGTACTCCCCTCCAGCTGCTTACGGAGGTAGTCGGGCCCTCGGTTGAGCAGCCCAAGAGGGGAAAGTCCTTCTCCGGGAGACAGAGGCCTCATTTTATGTCCACAGTACTGGGATAATGAGCAACCTTCAGTTTCAGAAGGAGAGTTGTGAGGAGACTTTGCGATGTCAAGGTATCTCTGGGAAGTTGGGATGGTTGCCAGAGCTTTGCCCTGAACTGGGCAATAGGTTAGGTTGGTGGTTTTACCACTCTAGGTTTTGGGTGGCTTCTTCAGAATCCGCAGCTGAACTCCTATGGCAGCGCTTGTAACCAGCTTCCTGCTTCTTACTTCCTGTCATTAAAAGTTCACTCACGCTGTGAAGATTAGGAAAATTCCTTTTCTGTGAATAGAGGAGTGGGTGGGTATCAACAGGTCAACAGTTGCCCTAGAAGCAGAGAATGTGGTCAATTAGTGAAATAATATCTGTCAGAGGAAATGACTCTAGAAAGAATGGAACAGTTGGTGACTAACAATAATAATCCTAGCAGTGAATGATTTTTGTTGAATGAGGTGAGCAGTTGTTGGTGTTGATACACTGTGGACTTATAACTGATTCGGTGAATTGCAATGTTTTGACTCAGGCTATGTCCACACAGTGCAGTGGTACCTCTGGTTGCAAACGGGATCAGTTCCAGAGGCCCATTCGCAACATGAAAAGCCCGCAACCTGAAGCACCGTATCTGCGCAGGTGCGTGGCACGATTTGGCGCTTCTGCGCATGCGCGAGCGGCGAAACCCAGAAGTAACCCTTTCCGGTACTTCCGGGTCGCCACGGGACGCAACCTGAAAAGACGTAACATGAAGCAAACGTAACATGAGGTATGACTGTATGTTTAAAGCACTATGATACCACTTTAACAGCTATAGCTTCTCCTAAAGCATCCCAGGGACTGTAGTTTGTTAAGGGTTCTGAGAGTTATTAGCAGGCCCCTATTCCCCTCAGAGAGCTACCATTCCTTATGCCATTTAAATGGAAATTGTGATCAGCAATGAGTTTCCTATGCTGTCCCTCATTCCAAGGAAAACTAACCCTGGGTAAGTATCTGGAAGCCAATGAATCTTGCACCCCTCAGAGGCTGGGGTGGCATGCAACAATAGTGACCCTCTAGAGAGGTGACTCACAGTCGTGGAAGCATGAGCAGGGGAAGAATTTCAGTTTTGTGTTCTAGCATCAAAAGACTCCGTATGTGAAAACCAGGCCAGTGCACCTGCCCCAAGGAAGGTGCAGCCAAGAGCCAAGACAAAACTCTAGACAGCAGCACTTGAAGTGGGAATGACCCGACCAGGAAAAGGAAACTCTACTGGGCATGTTGTCAAAGGGCTCTGATTTTTTGTGTGCTGAGGTTCCAAAAGGAAACAAAGCAGGAAAAAATAAAGGAGCCAGCAATCTTATCTTTACGGTCTCAGCCGTCCACAGAACAAAGCAAACTCTGCCATGGAAAAGGGTATCTTTGCACTCCCCTCCAGGCGGTCAGTTATAGGAAGGAGGAGACAGCGGGAGGTTGGAAAAAGCCACCAAAGTGTCATGGATTCGCTTCTATGCAGCTTGGAATAATCTAAAGGGGTTTTGGCTGACGCGGGACCTTGATGTCCGCTTCCTTTTCAGAAAGAAATGCCAAGAAACTCGGGAGGTGCCTTTGGACAGGATGGCTTGCCTTTGATCTCAGGGCTAGCAGGGCAGAGCTTGGGGGAATCTGTTGAGTCCAGGGGAGAGGCAGGGATGGCAGGTCACTGGTGGAACCTCATCGGTAAGACCCACTAATCCATTGGCTAAGTATGGCAGAACTGGAAGCTTACTGGCTTGTCAGATTTCATGACTGCTAACCTAGGGTCTAGGGCCCTTCCAGACTGATGGGGATTATGTGCGCACGCAGGTTTATTCTGCAGCAGTGTGGCATGTCATTAACACATTAATAGGGCATTAGTGGTGGATTTGCACTGAAATGTCCATGCACCAGTCCCCTTTATTAGTTGTTCTGCGGTGCTTCCCCAATGTTATTACATTCATTGCCATCTGAAAGCGCAGATCCAGCCTCCAAGGAACGCGTTGCTGCTGCCATTGTGGCAGCAACAGCACTCCTTGGCCTCTTGGTGAATTGGAGGCTCTGATGGTCTCCTCCCAGCTCTAGGGAGGAAATGGTGCAATCTCCTGGGCTCTGCACCTGCTGGCATAATTCAGAGCAGGCCCCTTTCCCCCTCCCCCCTGCAATGGCCTTTGATTCCCACTTCAATCACTGACTAAGGTTGATTTGACTGCCTCAAAGAATTCTGGGAATTGCATCTCTATGAGGGGCAAACTATAGGGCCCAGAATTCTCTGAGGTGGGAGCATACATGCTTTAAAGCAGGGGTCAGCAAGGTTGACCTTGCCTGGGCCGGTTCAGTGCTGTGGAGCCCCCTCTGTGGGCTGGATTGTGGGTGGACGTGAGTGTGATTTCCGGCATCTGCATCTGCACAGATGCAATTTCCGGCGCCACGGAAGCGAGTCCCCGTGCCACACTGCGCCGCTTTAGTTGAGGGAGGCTTGGTTTGAGGGAGGCTCCTGGGCCGGTAAAACAACCCCCGTGGCCGCTTGTGGCCCATGGGCCTTAGGTTGCCGACCCCTGCTTTAAAGGTACAATGTGTACACAGCTAGATTGTTAGCCTTAGAATCATAGAACTGTAGAGTTGGAAAGAACCACAAGTGACATCTAGTTCAGCCCTTTGCAAGGCAGCAATCTTTTGCCCAATGTGGGGCTTGAACCCATGACCCAGAGATTAAGAGTCTTATGCTCTACTAACTGAGCTATCCCTTGAGATGTTTTTAGCTGCAACCTCACCTAAGAACCAGCATATATTCAAATATAATTTTTTGTCTTATTCTCATGGTACTTCCTATTGGAATAATGCACATTTTTGTTGTTGTGCAGACTATTAATAGAATTTGATATAGCTGGGATCTCGGCAGGCCTTAACCAGGTCCCGGCACTTAGTTCAGAGGTGGCAAATGCCTCCCCCTCTTTCACTCCTCCCACCCAGTAGGAATCACAGATGGTTACTTCTCTATTAGGAGAGACACAAATGGTACAGCAACAGCCACTTCATCATACACAGGGGGTACTCAGAACAGAAGAGTAAATGGGATTCACACCAAATATCTGGCACATGCTAAGTAGCCCAAAGCCATTTGTCTCTGGGAAATGCAATGAGTATTTCCTTGCTACGTTCATCCAAATAGACTTAAAGAGTTCTCAGAAACAAATAAAAAAAGCCACACTTGGCCACTTGTTTTTGCAAATAATGTGTGATGTAAATAGTGGGGCTGGGGGGGGCACTTTTGGAACCTAGGAAGCTGCTTTTTACTGAGACCTTTGGTCCATCTAGCTGCGTATTATCTGTGCTGACAGCAGCAGCTTTCCAGAGTTTTGGGACAGGGGACATTCCCAGCCTCACCTAGAGATGCCAGGATGGAACCTGAAACCTCCTGCAGGCAAATCATGCACTCTCCCAATGTGCTACGGCCCTAAACATAAAGTGAGATTCTAGTCTTCATCGTTCTGAATAAAGGTCTGAGTTAAGTAGGAACGTAAGGCAGCTGTCTTACACTGAGTCAGGCCTCTGTCCATCCAGCTCAGTTAAACAGGTCAGTAAGGATCCAGCCTGGCTCTTTCTCCTGACCTCATGGGGATGTCTAGGAACCAAACCCAGGGCCCTCTTGAACCCAAAGCAAGAATCCTACTCCAGAGACCGATCAACCTTGAAGACCAACAAACAATACTGAGGTCGATGGACCAACAATCTGAACTTCCTCTGGATGCAGTTCTCAAATGTAGCTCCCTAGGGAATTAGGCCAGGGCTTTTCATCATCCATGCTATTCAAGATTCCTTAACTGCAGATATTGGGGGAAGGGGCGGGTTTCAAAGGAGAAGCTTCATATACGGAGAACATTTATTCTGTCACCAAACTGTGCATGACTAATTCATCTTATTTAGCAAAAATTATACATAATAGTAGTAAAACCTCTCATTGTTTTATATGAGAACAAATAGGGCCACCTAACCCCTACCCAGTGAAAGCTATTATCCTCCGGGGATGCCATGATAGACAGGTCTTCAAACACAGCTTCTGAAAGTGGCTTGAGCAACTGTCTGGCTCCTTGAGTCACCCCAAATGTGAGTCCAATGTTAATCCTTACGCAATCAGCCATGTCAGCTTTCCTGTAGCTTCCCAGCCCTATTGCAAGAGGAGAGGAAGCTGCAGAGGGTCCCCATTGCTCCATCCCTTGTAGCAAAAAGACCAGCTGTTTCCTGAGCTGTCTGCTACCCACTGCCTGTCCCTTACTCTTTGCCTTGTGCAACTTTTTACTTTTGTCTTGTATTTGCCCATGGTTTTGGGCAAAAAGCAGCACTAAGGGCCCTTCCAGACCGAGGTTTTATTGGGGGTGTATTCTTTAAGCTGCAGAAGATGTGCTGATTGGAAGTGCAGCAGTGTAACTTTGGCAGGAGTAAAGAATATCAAAAGCAGGATTGCATATGGCTGCCCCAATATCATCATGAATGCTGAATAAAAGGGACATCTAGAAGGGGCCCTAAGTATATCTGGTTATCAGTACAAAGAGAGAAATTGCACATCCTGGAAAAGGCCCAGATTCCTTTGTACAGCCCCTCAAGTGATGCCCCTTTCCTTATACTGGGTCTCCTGCAGAGTCAGCCTTGTACCAGGCAGACTGTCAGATGCTGGGGAGACTGCTTCTCCTGCGCCCCAACTCATAGTCATTCCCACGTTTCTGAGCTGGCACCTTAGTAGGGGTCCCTCCAGACAACGTATTTATCAATCATTCCTCCTGGCTGTAGGATATTTTCATGTCTCCTTGTTAATAATCCACTCATCTCACACTGCCAAAGCATTTCCTGTCACTTTCCAAACCGCAAAAAACTCCAGTATGGATAGCCTTAGGTAGGCCACCATCTTTCATCATGTGATTCCCTTCAACCCCAAGGGAATAATAATACTAGATTGGCATATAGGGTTTGGGGAAGGATTGCCAAGATAATTTATGCTTTAAGCATAGAATCAACTGTAGAGTTGGAAAGGACCACAAGGGTCATCCAGCCCCCAACCTCTGCAATGCAGGAATATTTTGCCCAACATGGGGCTCAAACCCACGATTAAACGCCTCATTCCCTACAGACTGAGCTAGCCCAGCACTTAATAAAAGTGCTATATAGGAAGACTGGGTCCTGCTTTCAATACTGGGCCCTTCTACACTATATATTTAAAGCAGTATCATGCCACTTTAAACCATCATGGCTTCCCCGCAAAGGATGCTGGGAATTATAGTTTGGTAAGGGTGTTGAGAGTTGTTGGGGGGGAGGAGAGGGACTATTCCCCTCTCACAGCTACAACCCCCAGAGTTTCCTGAGAAGAGGAATCAATCGCTAAAGCATGCATGAAATTGTAGCATTATTGTGTCCATACATGCTGCAGAATACAAGCATGGGGTTGGGATGGGTTTTTGGATGACGCATATGCATGAATTTGTTTTATGTGTGTAGATCAGTGCATGCTGACCAACACACAGTCTTCGCACACCCAACCGTCTAGAGGAGCCCTCAGAGAGCCAGGATTGGCTGCAGCCGCCCATCATTTTTTTTACTCTGTGGCAAAGCAAAAAAACCCGATTCCTTGCTGCCACGCACTCCGTAGGCTGACCCCAAGAGGAGGACACCCACCTCCTTCTAAACCTTGCAAAGGTCAGCCAGCTTACTCCCTAGGATGCCAGGAGAGAAGTCATCCTCTCCAGGCTACAGAACCAGACCCTCCAATTACGGCTGAACTTTTTGCCTCTTGAATCCACAGCTATAAATAAGCACGCCTGGGGCAAGCAGCCTCCCTCCTCCCTGTGACACACCCGCCAGAGGCGGGTTTTAACTACAGGGCAGCCCTGGCCAAATGGGATACCTACGTGCAGCGGACTGAGAAGAGAGAACTCCAAGCTCCGTTTCCCCGAGAGGAGGCTAAAAAAGAAAGAGAGTCGCATTCTGGGTTGCTCACCACAGGAAATACCTGCTAGCAAAGCAGCTGGGTGGTCTGTCCAGTTCTGCCTGTAAGGACAACAATGAAAATGGGGTCCCAAGGCATTAGGGAAATAGAAAGGTGCCTTATATTGAGTGCTTAGCAATGTCTGCACTGACTGGCAGCAGCTTTCCAGTGTTTCAGGCAGGATTTTCTCCCAGCTGTGCCTGGAGATGCTGAGGATTCAACCTAGGAACCTTACAATATTCTACCCATTTCCAGAGGGTGGCACACAAGTTTATTGCGTCCAGTGCTTCTGTACACTAAATCTCATTTTGTCACATGCATATAAAGTGTTTTCCTGAAGTTTGTGCACTGGTATTTATTGATTGATCACAGGGATCTGCCTCCTGCCCTTCAGTAGAATTTCTAGGGCAAGTTACAGATTTTCAAAATATATAAAAATGTTTAAAGTGAGCAAAAATACACCAAGAACAGCAGAATCTACAAGAGCAACACCAAACTAAAAGACTCATACAATGCAACCATCAGCAAAAATCAAATAGGTTGCGGCTAAAAGCCTATACACACACGCTTTCCTAGGCGTAAGCCCTATGGAACTGATTGCATAGGATTGCTCTGTAAATTAAATTAAAAGATCTGAGAAAACAAGAAGGTATTCACCTGGTGCTCATAAAAACCCATTATTCGAACCTCCCCATTTTGTCTACCAAAGGTTATGCTACCACAATGCATTTGTTAGTATTTCTTTACAGTACCACAAGACTCCTATTTTTTGGGGGGGGGGAGGCGCTGGGTTCCTAGAGCTCAAAAATCTACATGTCATCCAAATTCATACAGCACAAGATTCCTTTTGGGAGATTGCCTGGAGCAGGAAGATCCTCAGTTCATCCAAGTTCATAAAGCACACACACACACACACACACACACACACACACACACCTACCTGAGCAGTTAATCAGACATCACCACCCTTCCAAAAAAGGTATCTGCTTTGAATGCAGGAGGTCCCAAGTTCAATCCCCGTGGCATCACCAGGTAAGTCTAGGACGGTACCCTGTCTGAAATGCTGGAGAGCCGCTGCCTGGCAGCACAGAAAATCCTGATGCGCAAATGGTCTGACTCGCTATAAGGATGCTTCCTATGACCCACCCTCGCTGGCTTTGGAGGCAGGGAGCCTCTAGAAGCAGGTAGAGTTATCCCCGAAGAGGCACTCACCTTGCTATCCTGGCCAAAGACATGTCAACGCTGCTTTGCCATCTCCAGCAAAAGATGGCCAGACAGACGGGCAAAGTGAGCTCAGCAGCTGCAGCAGCAGCAGCAGCAGCAGGCTGGCTGGTAAATATGGGCTGCCAGGGCAGGAAGACACAAACAAGCTCCCTCCCTCCCCTGCCTTAACCCTTTCTGAACTGAGCTGCCCCAGGCATGATGCTATTGACCCCTTCCATGCCACAGTCTTTATTGCCCCCTCAGAGCCTTCCTGCATTTCTGCCAACAGCATTAACCCTTCCGTTTCTCACACATCCCTCTGTGTTGCGTTAATGACATTTGTTTTCGGAAATCCAAAAAGCAAGGAGGACTTAGGGGTGTGCCATTTTTGCATGTGCTGCACCTGCAACTTAGGTGTAAAATTGACTTATTGTGTCTGCAAGAAGCTGATGAAGTATACTGATGGTCAATTCCACATTCAAAACGTGTGTAAAGGACATGGTTCCCACTACGAAGACTGTGGACTGTAGTTTGTTAAAGGTGCAGGGAACTGCAGCTCTGTCAGGGATAAACAACAGTTCCGTGTGTGTGTGTGTGTGTGTGTGTGTGTGTACACACCCACCCACCCCTAAATTAAGTCTTTTGGGGGTTGTGGGGACCTTTGCAAATTGGAGATACTGATGTGGGCATGACATTCCCTACAACCAAGCTCACACTTCAGCCTAGTATATAGGCTATAGTACAGAGGTTGGCAAAGTTTTTGTGGCTTGGGCCACTTCACAGTCCCGCAGACGCTGCGGTGGGCCGGAGTGTATGTGCACATGCACACGCGCGCATGCGCAAACGCTATTTCCAGCACTCCTTCCAGCGTGGAGGAGGCGTACATGTGTGTGCAGCTTCCCATTGGCTGCAGGAGCTTCCTGCAGCCAATGGGAAGCCGGCCAGCGTCACAGAAGGCGGTCCCCGCACACAGGAGCCAACCAAGCAGGCGGCGAGGGACCATGGGCCAGTTAAACGACCCCCATGGGCAGCTTGTGGCTCATGGGCCTTAGGTTGCTGACCCCTGCTATAGTATAACACTTCTTTCAAGCTTAATTTAAGCACACGGGATGAGTAGGGAGAGGGGACTTTATGGATAGCAGGGCCTTTTTGGGCATATGTGTGTTCACAGGTGCCTTGGCAAGCCTTGCTGCCCTGAACAACTTGGGCCCTGAATATCTGGACACCCACCTCCATCCATACAGACCCTCTTGAATTTTAAGATCAGCAGAAGGGGCCCCTCATGGTAGTCCACCACCCTCAGAATTGCAAGGAATGGCAGCCTGGGAAAGAACTTTCTCTGTGGTTTTTAATCATATGGTTGTTGTAACTTGTCTGGAGGGCCCAGTGGTGAAAGGCTGGTTTAATCAAATAAATAAATAAATGGCCTTCTTGTTGGCATTCATCCTCTCAGGAGACAATAAAAGAGTGTGCCTTCATGGGCAAAGTAAAACTATTAGAAGGTTGCACCGCCTGCTGTGGCTGTAGAGACCAATACAGGAGAGACATGTTTTGTTGCAGCTGGGGCAGATGAAGGCATCTGGTTGTGCTGATGCAGGTGTACCATGGTGTTTCAGTTCTCTGCACTCCTCCCAGCAGTCATTCTCCTCTGGTCACCACCATGGATACAAGACCTGACTGTCTGTCTGACTCCAGGCAATGCAGGGTGGGTAAATCCACAAGTCCCCACCCCGCCACCCTGGTCAGTTTCCAATATTTTCTATTCTTCAGTTCTCCACATTTCCACATAAGTTTATTGTTTTAAAAAACAACAACCCCCAATCATATAAACAAACACAAATCCTCATTAAAAATCATCAGCATAAAGTGTACATTTGTATGTGATTTTGCCTAATATACACATTTTTGCATCTCAATTATCCCAACTATAACGCATTCTTGTATGTTCCTTTCACCAACATGTGCATCTCAATGCACACTTTATACTAGTGTGCATTCCCCTCTCTGCCTTCAGATTTTCTCATGCCCCCTCCTTTTCAGAGTATCCCTGATATAATAAAATCCGGATTGAGGGATGGGAAAGTGTGGGAAGGGAGTCATTTGAAGGAGAACGTAAGGTGGAGAACAGAGAATTAATTGAAGTACAGAAAGCTTAATATCCACATCAAATGTCAAGTCTGTTTGGGTGAGTGGGGGCCTGCCCTGCTAACCTCAGACAGCTCCCACTGGCCTGCCCTCTTACTTACAACCTGGCATGAGCTGTCAGCTTTCTCCCCCTTCTTAGTATTGCACTTGTAGAACTCAGCAGGGAGGAGAATGGGGACAAAACTAGAAGTTGTCTCTGCCTGTTATTGGCTCTGGCACCACCTACTGGGAGCCTCCCTCCCTACAATGCTACCAGCTCCAGTGGACACCAGCCACCACTGACCCTGAGATTACAGGACTTGCCGATCAGAAGGTTGGCAGTTTGAATCCCAGCAATGGGGTGAGCTCCTGTTGCTCGGTCCCGGCTCCTGCCCACCTAGCAGTTCGAAAGCACATCGAAGTGCAAGTAGATAAATAGGTACCTCTCTGGCGGGAAGGTAAACGGCGTTTCTGTGCGCTGCTCTGGTTCGCCAGAAGTGGCTTAGTCATGCTGGCCACATGACCCGGAAGCTGTCTGCAGACAAACGCCAGCTCCCTTGACCTATAGAGCAAGACGAGCGCCGCAACACCAGAGTTGTCCGCGACTGGACCTAACGGTCAGGGGGTACCTTTACCTTTACCTTTACTATATAGGGCAGGTATCAATGTGAGTCTCTTTTTGCAGCAAAAACAGTGTGTTTTAGCACCTTAAAGACAAACAAATGCATTAAATAGCCTAAGCGCTTATGGACCAGAAAGTCCACTTATTCAGATGCATTGATCTAATTGTGGCCCTTGGGTCTGTCTGGCACTGACAGGGTTAAGAGCCAGAGCCTCTTTTCCGCCCCACCCCACCCTGCTCCCCCGCCAGTCAAGAGGAAGTTTTGATCATACTCTTTCCTGGGGAGATTTAAATTGCAGGAAGCCGCAATAGAACCTATAGCAGTTGCCAGAGGTTATTTTTGTGGCTGGTCTTTGAACTGCTCAGAATGTTGCTCCTTTTTATGAAAAACAATTATAATATTTTTTCCCCAGTAGAGGTACTATAGCAAATGGAAAATAAAACAAGAGAAATGTTTGCGATATAAAATACAGGAGATTACTTTTACACAATATATAATAAACAAAAGAACTACAAACTGTTTTTATAGATATTTTTTATTTTTATTTTAGACCGCTTAAAGATTTTGCTACAATCAAACAGTGTGTGTGTGTGTGTGTTATATATTAATGCTCCCAGCAATAATAAATAATTGACATAAACTGCAATTCCCCCGGCACCAATACATAACAAAGCAGCTCCATTTCTATAAAGAGCCTTTGGACATCCTTTTTATGGTATATTCATTATATTTTGTGCTCATGGTGGTATCAGGGAGGTTGTGCGTAATCCAGCTTTCAGACATTTTGGGGCAGTCACACTTTGTTCCCCATCAGTGTACGTCCCATAGATTCCTGCTGAAATCATGTAACTTTTTATGCCACAAGCACTCTGGAGGGAATTTTCATTTGGAGATCAAAAGGGGACATAGATGACGTTCATGTAAGATAAAAAACAAATAAAATAAAACCTACATACAGCAACAGTGTTTTGTGTTGTGTAGGCTCCTATGATGTAAGTAATGGGCGCCGCCTGCTAACCTGCTCCCTCAAATATCACTAGTTTGCTCATTTCTACAGATAGGGTGCCTACATTCTGCATGTGCAAATGGCTTTAGATACCTATTAGGTCCATAAATTACCATATAGCATATATTCAACACAAAAAGCAGTGACAATTTGTTGTTGACAAAGGACAGCTGGACATATAAAGGGCCCCATTACCTTCAGTAGCTGAGGGCCTCATCAAACCTAAATCCGGCCCTGGCTGAGGCAACTGCAGAGGCTGCTGATCAGGTACTGGGCAACTTTCAAGTTCTTGTTACTAACATATAAAGAAAGCCCTTGAACAGCTTCGGACCAGGTTACCTGAAAGATTGCCTGGCCCTGTATAGACCGCTTAGATCATCTGGGGAAATTCTACTGGTGGCACCACGCCCTACAGAATATCACAGGGCGGTGACCCCAAATGGGTATCTCCTGCCATGTGGAATGTCCTTTGCTCTGCCAGTCACGGAGCATCACCCACCAGTTGCTTCAGGTGTCTTTTAAAGACCTATCTATTTTGCTTAGGCTTCCTTTGTTACCTGTTAGGCTTCCTCTGGACCCTGTTATTTCTGAATTCTTCTTTTAACCTGTTTTTGATGTTGCATCTCTGCTTTTTATGATACTGGGTTTTCTGTTGTTGCATTTTGTATGCTCCTTTGAGATTTTAAATCACGCATTGGCTTTGAAATGCAGGTAAATGAATGAACGAGCAAACACAAACGAACTGGTCCCTTGCTCCTTAACCTCCAAAGATTTAAAACTCACCAGCCAAACCAGGGTCCCTAAGCATGACTTCCTGCTGAAAGATCCCCTTTCCTTCTTCCATTGTCATATCTCCAAAGTGGAAGATTCCACATGTCCCATATGAAATAGCCATCCGGGGCTGGAGTGGGAGGTCTCGGTGCAAGGAAACCTTGCAAAGACAGCTTGAGTGACAGAGACAGATGCTGCCACCGAAGCTACTCCAGCTGTCCAGATAACAAGGCCAAAGGGCAGGGGGAAATCGCACCCAGCTATGTGGAAGGATACATGGGCATCTCTTGCTGAGAAAAGGAAAAGCAAACCACCAGCAGAAATATATTTACTACGGCTAGTCAAAATAAGTAACCTCCTAGAGAGCAGCCAAAGCCTTGATCTGTGGTCTGGCTTGCACAGCACAATAAGCCAAACAACGGCTTACCCGGACTGCGTGAACATGCCTGCTCCCCAAAAGGAGCTCGCAGTCACTCCTGCCAAGTATGAGCTAAGCAAGGTTATCCTTACTAAACATAAGCTGTAGCCAATAGCAAACCTTTTAAGCCATGTCTTTTACTAGGAACATAGGAAGCTGTCTTATACAGAA